GTAGCTAGCGAGTGCTATTATAACCTACGTTAAAGTCGAATAAGTCTTAGAGGATTTAGTAGAATAGCTTAGCTACTTTATTCTCTAACTCCTGTCTTAATATGATGTTTCCGGCGTATATAATAGTATAGTCTTTATACTAGATTCTCGATACTCTATTGAATTATACGCCTCTCCCTGCTTTAAGTAATACTTATAGAGTATTCTCTCCTAAATAGCCGGTGCGTAAGTACTATAATTACGGAGTTACGAAACGCTCCTTAAGTAGTTAACTTAACAATTAGAAACCTTACTTATTTAAGCTATGACTTAGAGTCGGGTATATTATAATAGGCGTGCGTGTTAAGGTTATTAGGTTATAAGAGTAATAAGAGTATCTGAAAGGCTTATATTTAAAGAAAGTCAGGTTGAACTTTTGAACTAGCTATTTAATAACTACGCTTATCTAAACCTTCTTATACTATAAAGTAGTATCTTTCCCTGAGTACTATAGCCTGGTATCTTTTAGTAACACCTCTGAGATAATATTAATATAGAAATCACGGACTATAGTAATATTATTAAGTGATAAGTCTTAAGTATTTAAACTGTTCAGCTTAGCTAAGGAGTTCTTAAACACTTGTTTCCCTCTGCTGACTACTGGAATTTATTATATTCTAGCTTCTATATAATTATTATTAGTTGATCTCTTGAAGGAACCTAGAACTAGCTTATTCTTGTGATTAACTAAGTGCTAGGCGCTATAGTTATTAACTAAAGTACTCTCTAAGAGTGTATAAGGAATATTAATAAAGTCCGCGGTATAGATTCCGAGTGTCTCTTTAAGGTCTAAGAGCTTTGAATTAATAGTAGCTATGTTAATGTTTCCGGGGTACTTCCCTTTAGCTTACTAAGACGACGGTTCTTAGTCCTTACTAGGCTTCTTCCTAGTAATCTGAGCTATAGAGATAGTAGTCTAGCTTTCCTTAGAGATCTCTCGGCGTAGTTCTGCGTACTTAGGTGCTTAGATAGTCTCACGAATCCTCTTGATTTACTTGTTATTTAGACGGAATCTTATGCCGTTAGCTTGAAAGCTGTTATAGGCGAAACAGAGCTTTTAGTACTTGATTAGAGGGTGCTGGTATCTGATTCTATAGGGGTAGTTAGTCTTCTTATCTCTTTAATTTAAACAGGAGCGATTCTGAGAGCTTCCGGAATAGTCTTATAAGCCTCTTGTATTAGAACGACTACTTAGTATCGGTGTAGTGTAGAAACTATTAGCTCCCTTGCCTCTGTTCTAGTAGTGCTCCTTTATATTCGCTATAAACGCTAGACTATACTCCTCTAGTGTTATATTATACTGACGTCTTAGAGTATTATCTCTTATAATATCAGCGAGTACTTAAGCGGCCTAAGTCTCTAACTAAACTAATACTATATTTAGGAAAGCTCGTATACTATATACTTCTTATATATCAGGAATATTATACGCTCTTATAAGATAGAAGTTCTTTTACTATAGCTTATACTACGTGCGAGGTTTAATTCGCGACTTCTTGTCTTAATATGTTAGTAGGCTAAGTGTGTTAGTATAGTCCGAAATAATAGAGGTTAGTACTATTACGTCTAAAGGTATTATATCACGCTTGATAGACCTGACTAGTGCTTGTAGTCCTACGGCGCCCTTAGCTATATTATTATTAATTATATTAGTTAGAATAGACTAGCTGATAGTATTATTTACTTAGTTAAAGAGGTTCTGAATATAGTTATTAAGCGCTGTTTATTTAGCTAGCTTATTTAAGTACTCTCTTATTCGAGCTTCCTAGAGTACTTTGATATCTTTAAACTTAGCTTCTAAGGGCTTACTTATAGACGCTAGCGGTTCTATTATACTCTCTCTTTCCTTAGTAGTAGTAGTGTTCTATTTTACTAGTAAATCTAGGTTAGCTTATATTAATAACGCTATTTACTTACTAAGGTAACTATTCGTCTCCTCTTATATAAAATCGTTAATACTCGGGAGATTCAGTTGTTACTTGATAATATTTCTAATATTATCAGTGTTAGGGTTAATAAATCTCTAGATTCCTTTAAGTTCAGTATAGTACTAGAAGGTTATCTACTACTAGGGCTACTACTTTCTTTAATCGAGAGTATCGCTCTCGTGTTTAATTAACTTATCTTAAAGGTACGTTAATATATTAGAGAGGCTTTCTATAGAACTAATAGTATTAAGAGTATTTCGGGAAGTTCGGGGAGGTATTTAAAGGAGTTCTTTAAGTAGCGGTATGAATATCTCTTAATACTACCTGTAACTCTACTTGTACTACGTAGTATACTTATATAATAGCTTAAATAAGCGAATGTAGCTCTTAACTATCGTGTACTGTAGGGAGGAGCTTTATATAGTGTGAAAGTCTTGATTTATTAAGGTATTCTAGAGCTCTCTTATAAGAGGAAGCTCTAGGAGTTCTAGTTATATAAGCAGCCTCTGGTTGGCTGGAGCGCCTTATGGAGTGCCTTAGGTGCGTCAGGTGCACGATATATACCTTATATAAAAAATAAAAAATCGGACCCACTTTTATTTTATACGCTAGTCCTAATTAGGCTTATAAGCACCTATAGCGTCGAAGGCGCCTAGGGCGCTAGGGGCGCCGGCTAAAATTACTATATACGGCCTTAGGGGTCGCTAGCTGTCAAATTAATCGACATGCAACTTAGGCTGAAATAGCGAAAATAGCGCCTACGGCGGTCAGCCGGCGGCTGCCTGGAGCCAGATCTTTTTGCTGATGTATTAAAGAAATTATAAGAGAAGTTATAAGATAAGTTATAAGAGAAATTATAAGAGAAATTATAAGAGAAATTATAAGAGAAATTATAAGAGAAATTATAAGAGAAATTATAAGAGAAATTATAAGAGAACTTATAAGTGAAGTTATAAAAAGAGTTATAAGAGAAGTTATTAGAGAAGTTATTAGAGAAGTTATTAGAGAAGTTATTAGAGAAGTTATTAGAGAAGTTATTAGAGAAGTTATAAAAAAGAGATTATAGACTTTTGAACTATTATATAAATAAGTTATTAGAGAAGTTATTAAAGAAGTTAATAAAAGAATTAATAAAGAAGATATCAAAGAAATTATTAAAGAAATTATAAGAGAAGTTATAAAAGAAATTACAAGAGAAGTTATAAAAAGATTTATAAGAGATATAAATAAAAGGAGTTATTAAAAAACCTATTAGAGAAAGTTATAATTAAAGAAGCTATTAGTTCTACACACTAGTAGTAAAGTTATTAATAGATCTATTAATAAAATTTATATTAAGAAACAGACTTAGTAGACTTATTAATAAAGCTATTAAAAGAGGTTTTAAAACACTATAAAAAGCTACTAGAAAACCTATTAAAAGGCAACTATAAAAGGAAGATATTAAAAGACTTATTAAAAAGTCGTTTAAGTATTATTAGAAGGCTATAAGAAGACTTATAAAAGAAGTTATAAAAGATATTATAATAAAGTTTATAAAAAACTTATAAAGATAAAAATTTAATAATAATAAAATTATTCTTAATATTCTTAATATTCTTATTATTCTTATTATTCTTATTATTCTTATTATTCTTATTATTCTTATTATTCTTATTATTCTTATTATTCTTATTATTCTTATTATTCTTATTATTCTTATTATTCTTATTATTCTTATTATTCTTATTATTCTTATTATTCTTATTATTCTTATTATTCTTATTATTCTTATTATTCTTATTATTCTTATTATTCTTATGATTTAACTTCTTATATTTTTACGTGCCTATTTAAGATTTAGTAAGAACTAGCGTTCAATACTCTATTCAACGGTCAATGCCGCTTCGAGTGGCAGTCCTTTATTTTTTCTTTTTCTTTCCTGCATGCGAGGGTAGTAGGGTTCGTGTCTTGTATGCCTCGCCTCGCCTCGCCTCGCCTCGCCTCGCTACGGTAATGAGGTGCTCGTGCTCGTGCTCGTCGCGAGGAACTACGAACTACGAACTACGAACCACGAACTACTGTACTGTTTACGTATGACCGTTGAGTTTCGGAGTTTGCTTTTTGCGATGGTATGGTACAGTAGGTGTGCGTCTGAAGAGCGGGGAAATCGGGGTGAGATGAGATCGGATGGCTGGGGAGGGGGTAAATGAGGTCAACAGTTTGAATGGAATGTGAGGTCTAGATTCTTCTTCGCATCGAGACCGAAGATTGGTAAGTGTTGTACGGTACACTGGTATGGGTGAATGCGCGATGTAAGCGTACCATCCACGCCGTTTCGTGTTGTTGTTGGTTCATGCTATGCTGGTTTGGACAGTCAAAATAGGTGATGTAAGTGTAGGATTTGTTGGAGATCCATTAGAAAGATTCATGCCCTGAAGGTCTGGGAATCCATCCTTCAGATCTTCGTTGGTCTCGATTGAGAGGTGTGACCGAGCCGAGGACTCTCTATTAGTGGTGACGTGACGATTTGCTTCATGCCGACCTGTGGATCTGTTATCCATAGTCAAAGCTGCAAGAGGCGATCTTTGGTTTCAGATTCTAACATAACGACGATAGATTCAAATATCAAATATCTCCAGGTCCTGCCTGATGCCCTTGGACCGACCTCAAACCGTCATCAGCCTTCCTCCTCCACGACAAGGCTGACAAGAACTCAAGGCTGACCGATCCACACCCATCCAATCGGCAGTCAAGCCCCAACTCGGGATCTCTCTCCATCCCAAACCCAAACCAGGGTCACCACTCCCTCCCCGCCCGCCGTGTTTAAATTTCGGCTTCGGTCGAGGTCGTTGGTTCCCAGACCAGCCCAAAATCCCAACTCCCAATCTCCAATTTCCAATATCGGAGATATCCTTGCCACTATTGAAAAAGACTACTCACTCACTCACTCTTAAATATCGCAGCACTTGCAGAATTGGGATTCTTGTCAATTCAAATGACCTACCTCGTCATAAAGCAGTTCCCACTTACGTGCAAACCCGGGTATTGAATCCCTAAAGCTCGGATGAAATAGGTAAATAGGTAAATATGATCCAAGACCCATCTTTGAAGCCTTTCTGGAAGTTGGTACCTAGGAAATGGAATAAGATCGTGATACGGTATATGAAGGGTCCAGCCCCGTCCCTCCAACCCTCTAACCCTCCTAGACCCAGCGCAGACGAACCAATCGTGCTCGCTACCCTCTCATCTAGTCCCCAGCTAGCCCACGGGCTCCATTCTCCTTCCAGCGTGGGTAGACCACCTTCCCTGATTCTGCAACAAGGACAGGCGAGACAGGGTACTTTCGTACTAAATCCGGATTTTCGAGCTTTCTTTCAAGGCTGAATGAAGATTTTAGGTTAGGTTTAGACACCACCCACAACCGAGAGTGGTGAGTTTGGTAGGGTAGTTCAGTCCAAAAGCCAATCAATCTAGTCTTGACTTTTCTAAAATAAAAATAAAAATAAAAATAAAATCCTGCATCTTTCAATCGCATCATCGTGCATTATTCTATTCTCCTCCTTCACAAATTCTATTAATTGGTAAATATAATACGGTACAACGACATCCATCCCATCGCACCGCACCGCACCGCAGCACACAGCAAGCTCCAAACACTGGTGAAGAGACATCTCCACTACCTATCAATTCAATCTAGGTACTGTGGGGATATCATACAGTAGTACGTACCCGCACACCACCACCACCACCACCACGAACCGGGATAACCTCGTGCAGACCAAACTCTGGGATCCACAACCATCTTTCCCCTTTATCCTTTCCTTTCCTGTCAAGCCAGTTCAAGCTTTTTTCCTTTCTGGACGTCGACGTTAATTGCATATAGCATTTTCTTGCGACAGACGGATCGAATAAGTACGGACGAAATAATTGCCGATATTGCGAGAATAAGCCTACCTGCAAGGCTGGTAGTGGACGAGACGAACGGACGAGAAATACATCGGAGTGCGCGTCCCTGTGAAGACAGACAGGTCTCGTCGCATTCGCAGAATCGAACTGAACCATACTTTGGACGAGTAACTTCGCGCATACACTACAGAAACACAGGCTGGCAGACAGGCAACGAGAAAGAGAAGGAGAGATATACATTGGGAGGACGCAGAGCCAGAAGCAAGACAAAAAATGGCGAAACTGAATATCTTCTCTGCGCAACACTTTAAATTCGGCACCGATCTATGGGATCCAAGTCATCGATTCGAGACTTCTTGGTTATTACCACCATGGGTACTCTTTGGGATTCGCGCGGCAATTGTATGTCTTCCCTCACTACTACAAAGCAGTACATCTGGCTCATAAAGATACAGTCCCTCTATGCATTTACAGTAACGTTCTTCATTATCGGCTGGGAACTCAGTGGTCATGACGGCCTCTCCGCGCGCGACGTGAGGAATTCATTCTCCTTCTTCACCAGTACGTCTCTCTCCCTCCTCCCCTCTCCAAAGCTTTCTTCCTACTAACCACCACCCCCCGCAACCAGTCCTCTGCTACTGGGGCATCTGCTTCTACTTCCTCATCTCCTCCATCCACACCCTCTCCTACGCCCTCCACGGCGGAACCCCCCTCCTCAACCGGTTCCCGCGCCCCCTGCAAGCCCTACACTCCCTCTTCCACACCACCATAACCACTTTCCCCCTCCTCGTCACCATCGTCTACTGGGCCATTCTCTTCTCCTCCCGCCCCTTCCCCACCACCTTCGCCCTGTGGTCCAACATCAGCCAGCACGGGCTGAACTCCGCTTTCGCACTCTTCGAGATCCTCTTCACGAGGATCAATCCCGCCCCGTGGATCCATCTGCTGTATCTTATTCTCTTGCTGGCGTGTTATCTGGGCTTGGCGTATGTGACGTACGCCACGAAGGGGTATTATGTGTATAATTTTCTGAACCCAGAGCCGGAGAGGCGTGTCGTTAATGCGGAGGGGAAGGAGGAGAATGTAGGAGGGGTGGGGAAGCCGGCTGTCGTGGGGTATGTGTTTGGGATTGCGGTGGCGATTTGTGTGATTTTCTGTGTGGTCAAGGGACTTACGACGTTGAGGAAGTGGCTTACGGAGACGAAGATGGGGAGGAAGGGGAGGTTTTATGCGGGGAGGGATATGGGCTATGGGGATGTGGAGTTGGAGACTCAGAGGGTGTGGGAGAAGTAGAGTGTGGTGGGAATAGGATTGGGATGAGTAGCTGGTGTTTGTTTGTTTAGTTGTATAAATTAGGTATTGGTTTTATTCTGCGCGGGAGGCCAATGATACTAATTACACTGATTAACTCCTCATCATGGAATATGGAAAGCGAGGCCGGCATTTCGTTCATTGCAAGGGCGTAGCGTCGAGAACGGAAAGAGTTTCTCCCAGATCCAGATTAAAGCTCTTGTGGATATGCTTTTCCTTTCCAGTAATTGTCCTTCTAGCTAACTTTTCATACTTCACCTCACTCTGCTCCCCTGTATCCTTCTTCCCTCCACCATCATCGACATCTTCCGAACCTCCCTCTCCTCACGCGAGTCACGCCTAGCTGTATACCTATACGTATTTCTTCGTCTTGTGTATCCCTCTTTTCCCTTTTCTTTCCCTCTCTATTGTCTTTTCTCGCCTGTCATTGTTAATCTCACGTCTGTTTTTGATCACATAAATTTTAACTTTGTACTCACTCCCCATATCGTGTTTCGACGTTCTAGGAACTCGCTCGGTGCGGGTCTCTCTTAGGTGTATCCTTCAGAACAGAACATCTTTCTTTAGAATCTTGCCTCCACAAAGCCATTAATAAAGTCTGGCTACCACTACTGAGCTGAACTGGAGGTTCTTCTGTTCTAGTAGCTAGGTAAGATTCTGATGGGGGCATTAGCATGCTTGGGAGAGAGGTGAGAGGTGAAAGGCCGTGGGTGGTATGCGTGACTGCACCTGACAGAATCTAGAGTGCGGGAAGAGTGAAAAGTCGGGAAGGCTTGAAGAAAGAGAAAAGGACTTGAAATTATCTGCATACAATACTTGTAGACTTATGAATATATGAGTTCAAGACTCGACTATTCACCACCTGTATTACTGACTTGTTGAGTTACGTTGAGAGAGGAGAATGTAGAAGTTAATACGGCTCTGTCATCTATTAACTGCTGCTGTTTTGAAAGTGAAACAAAAACAGAGGTGACTACTGAATACCGATGTGAAGCACTCACCTTCACCATCCGCACTTTAAACTCACGAGGATCCTCCTCCCGTGCGGGGTAGGTAGCTAAACCCCTTCCTCCCCCAGACTGTAAAAAAAATACACAAGGCAGAGTGTATATGAACAAGCATCACATTTTGTCTTGTCTTGGGAGGGGAAACCGGGATACAAGAAGCTCTTGGCGACGTAGAGATTTACGGAGCATGTCTGAATAATCGAGGAGCGTTTTCTTGTTGTGGGGTGTATTTGGAGTTGTTGATTGAGTTTCACACCTAGCTATGTTGTTTTGTTGTTCTTGGCGTCTGTAAGCGAGGCGACTGGTTAAGTGTTGTTGTCAGTCGCAAATTGAGTGTCGAAAGTCCTGCAACTATCGATGCCATCTCTCTGACTCACAGCATACCAGACTCTCTCTGTCATGCTTCTTGCCTGCAGACTCAGAGACTTTTCTCAAATCAAGCACTATTCTATTCCTTAGTCGAGGTCTTGGTCTCATCCACCGAGTGATGTACGATGTTCTGTAAACAATCATATTGCTTTCAGCGCAGTCGCAGGCCACGACTTGCTACAATGAAATTGAACAAGATGGAGGCTATATATACCGTGTTCATGCAAGGCAATCGTCGTGGCTGGTAATTTTGAGTCAAGTGTGGGTGGTGGAGGACATTCACCTGGTCCTGGAGATTGGAATCTTTGGCTACATTACCTGGAACTTTGAGATTCAGAAGAGTTGAAGGGTCACGATCGACGTAGGTGCTAAGAATGACCCCGGGCATCCCCTTTCAGCTCCAATACCACGTCCTGTCTCTTCGCTTGGTAGAACTCATCACGTGAGAAATAACTTGGGGTTGGTGTACCTACTGGTAACCTGGCCGCCGCCGAGAAGCTTTCCTTACGAATCCTTTATCTTTCTTTTTGTCACCTTTGGTATAGTGTAGAAATAAGAGCATTTCCATTAAATATGAATTAGCTCAGTTCCCTTTGGCGCTGAGCGCGAGGTTCCGACTGCGTCAGCGTTACCAGGGCAGTAATGCTCCAGTAGCAGTCGCTTGATCGCTACCCACAGATAGCTTTCTCATCGCCAACACGAAGCTCTCTATCGCTGTGGGGCATTCTATCATTGATTCTGAAGGCAGTGGCCATGTTTGCGAGGGACTCTGCTGTCGGCCAATGATTAGCGAGCCACATTGAAGACTTGCACTGTTCTTCCATCAGCGTAGAAACAGGCGTGCATTGCCTAGAACGTCCAGTGGCGTATACACACTAAACTCTTCTGGCTACTCTTTAGCCATGGTCCGAAAAGCTCGTATCAATGGGAGCTGAGCCTGGAACAAAATGGCAAGGCTTCAAGCTTTAGCCAAGCCTTTTGGTGTTCAGCTCCTTCAGCCACCACAACCTCAATTTGGATTCAACGGCAAGGCAGACTTTGTCGCGGTTTTCCTCTCTTGTAATTCTCGAGTCGCAATAAAAGTAAGCTGCTGGCATTCATCTTCATCTTCCCAACATAATCAGTGTTCTGTTCGGACAAGACCTGAGTTGTTGAACTCTGCTTGCTTGCAATCAACTTGTGGTTCTGTGACGATCATTGAAGCATGGCCGTGCTCTCACCCTCAGCCTCGAAATCGCCGGATGCATATTCTTACTCCGCAGGCAAAGAAACGAGCCATGAAGGAGTATACGATCTCAAAACCTCAAACACGAGGACAACACCAAATCCCGGAGACAGGTATAAGCGAGGATGGTATAAATACGGAGAAGCCTTCTTCCGGAGTATTGGCCTTCAAGCAGTCAATAGTTGCATGCCTTGGCGCCACAGCGAAGAATATCCCAAGGTTGCAATTGAGCGAAATAGATGGAAAGTTGTGATCCGGTCTCTCGTGCATATTCCTCCAATCGCTGGTTGCGTCTCTTTGCTGGTTCTTGCTGGCATGACGACCATCGTGGAGCCAAACTCTGCATTTCAAGTCCTACAATTCGCAGCCAAATTTCACGAGATCCTGATGCAGGCTTCCATTGCGACTATTTTGCTGTCTCACATCAGATACGAGATTACTCAGGGTGGCCGGGTCCCTTTCGGATCGCTGTTTGCTGCAGCGCAAATATCCAGCATTGCGTTTATCTGGTCGCCCGAGATGCTGGGGACTATGAAGAGTAAAGGGATGATCTGGATTAGGAGACTCGTCTTGGTGTTGCATATTGTCTTCGCTATCCTGTTGGCTGCTTCTGTGGGGCCATCGAGTGCCATTCTTATGATTCCGCGACCCATATTCCCAAAGTTCGGTGAGTGTACAGGAACACTTCCTACAGCGGTGGAGAATCTCTACCCTTCTCGCATGAGCCTAGAGACGCCTGGACGAGCGTGAGTCTGTCCTGTTTTACTCTACTACTTTGAGGTCTTGCTAATGTACTCGAAAGTGATTTCACCGCCGTCAGTAAATTAGACACCAATATAGGAACCCAGGATAATTTCTTCTCCGTCAGCGAAACTACTAAAGCTTCATTGGGGGCGCCCATCAAGGACGGCTTCAGTATACGTATGCTGAATACGTATGAAAGTGGATTCGTTATCGGGACGCCATTACAGATAACGGCGGACGCCATGAGAGCGTGCAACAATGCGGAATGGGGTACATATGATACCTACATGTCACTCATGAGCAAACAGCCGTTCGTCTATCCACACGGGTGTGACTCTATGCCCATTATCGACATGGATCCTACCTCCCCGCTGAAGTTGAGAGTGGATTTCGGAGGAGTGTCCGTCGGGTGGATCTATGCGGATCTCAATATGACGCTACAGGAGTTCGACGACGCTTATGTTGCATCTAAAAATGGATCGCATATTACATGGCTAGCACCGCCAACATATTCCAACTTCTCGTCTTCGATAGTCGCTGTGGTCGGCCCAGATCGCAAGAATCTAGGAGAAGGGGTAGTACCGTGGTACGCAACATGTTCTATCGACGCAGCCTGGCTCCCAGCCATCGTCAACATAACAGAATTCTTCCAAGTGCAGGCTTATCTCACGGATGAGAGCAGTGCCATCTTAGAACAAGGCAGCTTAGGCGGAGGACCCGATGCAGCACATATAATTCCCATAGATCCGGCATGGGCTTACAACGCGACCGCCAACGTGGACCTATTCGAACAGTTCAACCCATCGGCAACACCATCCACCACTCTGAAAGACCTGCTTGACCAAGCTTATATTCCTCAAGTTGAAGGTCAAGAGCCATGGAACGGAACAAACGACGTGGCAGAACCCGCAATCGCCTCCCTACTCATTGGAGGCATCATCTCCACAGCCATGTCAACCGCACTTACAGCCCGAGCTGTCAATGTTACATACGTGAACACCACATACGGAAGAACAGATCAGTCAACGCCCCAAAGCGTCTTCATTACCAATATAACCTCCCCTCCACTAGCCACCGAATATCGAGAAGCGACCTTTCGCCCTGGAAATCTTACCCTTCCGGACGAAGAGATTCGTCTCCTCGCTATCCCTGATCCAGCTCGTTCCTTTGTCATTGACGTCTTTGGGAGATCACTTATCGGGTACACGTTTGAATCAGTGCCCGTCAGGCTTGCAGCCGCTATCCTTTGCGTCTATTGTCTGTACGTCTTGATTTCCCTTATTGCGACTTTGGCCCTAGGATACAGCTCCAACAGTTGGGATTCGGCGTCGGAGATTACGGCACTGGCGCTGAATTCTACTCCGCCGAAACATATTGGGGCAATCAGCGCTGGTTTGCAAACGTTGCAAGTCTTTCAGGAACCGGTTGGAGTACTGGTTAACGAGAAGGATGAATTAGAGTTGGTGTTCAGAGATACTGGTGCTCATGATGGAACTGAGACATTCAGTAATGTAGATGTGAATAAGGAGTATTGATTTTGGTTGGCGTTTTGCTGGGTTTGTAGGGTGCTGTGCTTGTTTACATTTTTTTACACGGAATTTATTCTGAAGATCCGCCCCGTGCCTCGAGAAAATGCTGGGTCACATGTATCTTTCTATGTCCTGTCTTGATTGGCATCATTGATTCATATAACACACGCGCAGTGTCAGCACAAGGCGATCTGTAGAAAGACCAAAGAAACTGAGCGAATACTGCTTCATATCATCCCGAACTCAGTATCTGAGTGAGTAAATTCAGAAGCCTGTCAAAGTTCAATCGTATCTAGACCTTCTCACACATGCTCGGACCCCCAAATTGGCAGACTTGCCACGATCGCTCTCACCTGAACCTAGCAGGTGGTTTTCAGCCAATACAAATATTCATTTTGCGTTTCTTCATAACCATCTCCAAACCATAAGGTCCATACACATAATCGTTCGGGTCTTCCCAAAGCCAATCCAACAACTTCATGACGCACGATAGCGACTGCATCTCATATTGCGAGGTCGTGAGTATCGTTCGGAGATACTCGCGGTGTTCATACTGCACCATACAGGACCCGATGATTGTCAATGGCCACAGCAGGGTCGTCGCAATAGCTGGCTCGCATGTTCTGCCATTCTCGTCCAGCGTAATCCAGCCAAGCATTTGCTCAAATACAGGAATAACGGAGTCGATCACATCATCCACGGATGATCTCAGCAGATGATCCGTGACTCGAGGACCGTAGAATGTGGTGTGAAGGAATACTAAGAGCGCCCTCCTGTAAATCTCAGCTGCTATCAGCCAGTCACCGGAATACGGAATTCCATTTCGTAGAGGAGGTTGCCACGCAATGATCTTTCCTTCCAAGGCTACGTAGAGGTATGAGGATCGGGAAGACGAGAAGACACCTAGTTTATCTTTATGGCATTCTACACCGAGTTCGCAGATACGAGGAATCATTTCAAACAGCTCGTGTCCGCAGCCGAACATGACGCCGAAGCCTACGACGTAGAGGGGTCAGTCATCGGCAACATCTAGGAGCTTGTTGGGAGTTGGCGGGGTATACTTCTGGAAAGGTGGAGGTATGGGAGAGAAGATACATACTGCTTGATGCCTCGAGAGAATTGAGAGAGAACATAAAAGGATCAAAAGGGATCAGTCGGGCTTCGGATTCCAGGTTCAGAGTGACATTGTTGATTAACGCTAGATAAGCATAAAGCTCGAGAAGAAAACCTCGTATATCGGTATCGCTCCGCTTAGCAAACTCCTTAGAAAGTGAGAGTACAAAGTGACGACTAGCACGAAGATGATGCAGAACAGCCCCATTGACATTTCCAGCAATAATCTGGATTCTGAATCAGCTGCACGCAAAGCTGCAAAAGCTTAACAACTCACCTCCACGTGCGAGAGTAACAAACACGTAACTAGCAGTTTTGCCGTGTCGGCTTGATTGCTGACGACCTTCTCGGTAAGTGCATGCTTAAGCCCTCTCACAGCTAGGCCATAGTGGATCCATGTACTGGACGCTACAGCCTCGGAGTCATTCCCGTTTATCATATGAGATCCGCTTAATGCGAGAAGACTGTGCATCACAAGGCTATCCCCTTCCGCAAGAGGCAAGATGCATGCAATGAAGGGATTCTTGGGTCCGGTAATGCCCCCTAGCTTTCCGGCGGTTCTACCGCGATAGTGGTCAAAGAGCAGACGAGATGCAGGTTTTGCTAGCCATGGAGTCCCTGGCGCCCTACAGACTTGGAGTGATGGGTATCTTTTGGCGGACGTGGTACGCCAAGGTGCTTGATTCTGCTCAGGCGAATCTCTCTGTGTGTCCGCCTTCCCATGATCATCATGTGCCTTGGAGCCGAAAGAGCAGATTAGACCATTCCGAATACATCCCAGACATTCTGGTTTGGTCTCGTCACACTTCTTACGCCTCATCCTGCAGCACAGGCACCCTGTTGTAGTCCGTGGTGCTGGACGACGCTTTCGCCGAGGATGAGATGATGCATCTGTCATTCCTACCTGTTTCTCAAGGTTCTTTAAGTTAGCGGAGGCTGTCATTGGTAAGAGGAAGGTTATACAGAACGAGACAAGAGTCCGAAAAATGTTGTGTTATGAAGCTTTTGCAACATGTCGCGATGTCGTTGCCAATATAAACGCGCTTATCCACATCGTACCTTAAGCACTGCCACAAACCCCGTCACGGCCTCCAGAAGCAGCCAAGACTTCTGGTGCTGACTCAATGGTGGGAAAAGGCTTGGTTTCTTGCCCAGCCAAGCTTTTCGTCATTCTTGTCCCTTCCATTTTGCCAATGATGATATGCATTGCGGTAAGAGTTGACGCGCTTATCTTTGTGCTTACATCACAGTGTAGATTTGGACCTTTATTTGATTCTTCACTCGCTTATGGAATAGGGGTCGTGAACCAAGAGTGGGGAGACAGCCAGAAATCCGCATTGGTACGTGGGCCTCTAGATCATGGTACAAGTCATGATTTCCATTCATAATCCTGTCAATATCCCCTTCCTCCAATAACACGTATCAGTTGATGATCTATGTAGCCAGAGCCCACCTCGGCGTAACAGATGGTGCTCGGTGTCTTGGTATACCCGATACGCGAAGCAGAATGTAGGATGGTGAACAGATGGACTTCTATTTATGCTGTTACTATCAAAGCATCAGTTAAAACAATTCCGTCTGTACGCAAAACTGGCATTATCCCATTCTAAGAGAACGTTGTGCTTCGTTTCGCCTCGGTACGTTTGTTGATGTTTGACACGGACCGTGGACCGTCCCCGCTCCAGATTAGCGAGATCCCCACACTTGGCACATTTCAGCTTCAATCAGTGTACAGCAAGGACTGGATATACCATTCAGACAAACTTGGATCTGTGCGCGATCTTGTCAAGCGTTTTGCGGTGCAGACCAGTTGATGATGATCTGATTTCGATTAGTTGCCCAGAATCTCAAGTTTACTTTCACAGTCGATAGAAGTTCCGAACCAGTCTCTTGGTAGCACCTAGTGATGGCGGCAATGTACCCCGCACGGCCAATGTTGTGGGAAACACGGAGGCGCGGCAACGTCAAATAATTCCATAATTTCAGAACCAGGGAAAGTTTGGACATCTTTATGCTCAACCATATTCTTCTACAATATAACATTCCCTCGAGAAGAAGATCCATCACGAGCAACTATTATTCTGAAGTTGACCCTCGCCACTTCTGAACTGCCAAGCAACGGCAGCGCTTCGAGACATTGAGGACAGAATCTAGAGGATGGCTCACTTCACAAAATCTCAGCTGGAGAAGCCGAAAGACTTCAACTTTGCCAGAAATGTAGTAGATTATTGGGCAGCCAAAGATCCAGAATCAGTGGCTATGTACTGGGTATCTCAAGATCTGTCCGAGACACGAATGTTGAAGTACAGCCATTTCGAACGACAGTCGCATCGAATCGCCGCCCTCCTTCAGAAACTGGGTCTGTCAGCAGGGGATAGACTGGTGATGATACTTCCTCGAACTCCAGCCTGGTACGTAGCATTTTCCCCGCGTGCCGATAGATCGACGGTTTTCATGTTGACAACCACAGGTGGGAGATAGCACTCGCGTCCATCCGCAGTGGAATCGTCATCTGTCCGGCGACAACTTTACTAGTGGCAAAGGATATCGAGTTTCGCTGTAAGCTAATGGGCGCGACAGCTTTCTTTGGTGACAAGACAAGCGTCGAGAATTTCATGAGAGTTAGAAACAGCTGTCCGACAGTCAAAATCGTAGTGCAGGTTGATGAGACGAAAAAAGCTCGCGATTCCGCTATCATCGACTACTACCAACGCCTTGAGTTAGTTGATGCATCTGTTAATTTTGAAAGTCCTCGACTTCAGATAAGCGATCCGTCTCTGATATATTTTACGTCTGGAACGTCGGGTCCTCCAAAGATGGTGCAGCACAACCAGATTTCATATCCCCTAGGTGTGTATCTAAATGAGATTTCCTCGACAGCCTGCGCTAAATTTCAGGGCAGCACATACCTTGACAGGAAAACATTGGCTTCAACTCAGCCCTGGAAAAGTGTACTGGAACTTATCTGAGCAAGGCAAGTCACATGCTCTTCTCACTCGAGCATGTTGTTGATATCATTTCCAGGTTGGGCAAAAGCAGCATGGTCCTTTTTCGGGACCTGGAATTGCGGCGCAACACTCTTCGTACACGACGACCGTGGGGCATTTGACCCGCTCCGCCTCCTACACATTCTACAGACCTACCCCATCACCACGCTGTGCGCACCACCAACAGCATATCGACAGCTAGTCCTCCAGAAAAGCAAGAAGTTTCTCGAACGGAATCCGCCGAAAGCACTAGCTCATTGTACTGGTGCCGGAGAGCCACTGAATGCTAGTGTCATTGATGAATGGCAGAAGATGACTGGATTGGAGATTTTTGATGGATATGGACAAACGGAAACTGTGCTGACGTGTGGGAATTTCGCTGGTACGGCCATCAGGCCCGGATCGATGGGCAGGCCGACACCTGGAGTCCCGCTGAAGATCATCTCGTCAGACGGTACGGAGTGTGTACCGGACACAGAGGGCGATATTGCGATCCTGGTCAACAGAAACCCGGCTGGGAGCTCAGAAGAGTTTTTCGGTCTGTTTGACGGGTATCTTCGGCCTGACGGGAGCTTGGACAGGAGAATCAAGGACCTGGGCGGGAAAGAGTGGTATCTGACGGGTGATAGAGCGACGAGGGACAAGGATGGATATTATTGGTTTGTGGGAAGAGCTGACGATGTCATTAATTCTTCTGGGTACAGAATAGGTATTTTCTCCCCATGAATCATCAAGATAGGATAACTGACTGGACTTGTCAGGTCCCTTCGAAGTCGAATCGACACTAAAGTTGCACCCCGGAGTCGCAGAATCAGCAGTTGTTTCTTCACCCGACGAGTCTCGAGGCGAGGTGGTCAAGGCATTTGTCGTTCTAACTTCTGAGTTCAAAAATAGTAAAGACAGCAACGAGATCGTGGAAGAACTGCAGGATTTCTGCAAAGAGAATGCAGCGCCGTACAAGTACCCACGGAAGATCCAGCTCGTTGATCCGGATTTCTTGCCGAAGACCATCAGTGGGAAGATCAAGCGGAATGAATTGAAAGCTGCGGAGTGGAAGAAAGAAAAGAAGTCCAAGCTTTGAGAGGAGTCAATAATACTCTCTGCGTTTTGCTACTTACCAGCACAGGCCACGAGTTATATTATTTTTACTTGTACTGCTTGGTCTTGGCGAACAGAAATCGACCAACTAAATGGGGGGTGAACTGTATTTGGAAACGTGGAGAAATAGATGGCATGGAAAGACATACTTTAACAAAGTGCGTAATAGTAATGGAGAAATGCGAGTCGGCCTAAGGAGCAAGATACAGAACAGATTTGAAGAGGCCCAGATGTCATTAAGCGATAGTTGTCAGCACTTGACGAGTTAGAGGAATTCTACAAAGCAATACCACCCTCTCTGCGACCAAACAACTCCTATTTACAGTCAGCAAAGGGCTATTTTCACCATTACGCAGATGACTTACCTGAACTTTGAGCCTGAGATCACCGGTGAACCAAGCCCAAGCTCCCAACAGAGCAAACAGTACTCCAGCGACGACAACCAGCACAACGACCACTACTGCAGAAGCGCTCCAGCCACCTTTCGATTTTCCTGGAGTACTTGGCAGCGGTCCAACCACCCCCTTCCCATCACACCACAACGCAAAACTGCCCGTCCCCTCGAAATTCAAACACTTCTTCAAATTACCCCTCTCCTTATTTACCTCCATAAACGAAGCCGGACTCCCTGCACACCCCTTCTTCTCAAACTTTGCCAGCAGTGCAGAAGTACCATTCGCACAAACGCCCGTGGAATAGATCTTCATCATGTCCGTCTTAAGATCAACACACGTATCCGTGTTCGGATGATTGAAGAACGGCGCCCTCCTCCCACACGCACTCTCACTCACGCTTCCCTTCGCCGGCTTCGGAACTTCTGGTTCCTTGGGCGCATTCGGATCCGGTTTCGTGACGTTTCCAAACCCTTCGCACCAGAAGGACATGCTAGAGACTTTCTTGGCGTCGCCGATCGCCCCTGTGGAGAGACATTGCATGATTTCTGAGTCCTTGATGTCGACTAGGCCGTACGTGGAGGAGATCTCGCCGTAACCGCATTTGTAGTCTTCGAAGCGTGCCCATTTGGCGCGGGTGCCGTTGCTGCAGACGGCGGGGGTCTTGAATTGGATGCCGAAGCCGTGGATGGTGAGGCAGCGGTCGACGGGGACGGTCATGGGTTTGTGGCCTCCGACGCGTTGGCCGTTGCAGGCTGGGAAGAGATGCGTGTAGACGATTCCGTCGGTGGGTTCTTCTAATGCTACAGGTGCGTCTTCTGACTCGGTCTCATCTGACTTGTCGAAAATGTTCATTGGTTTTGGAGCAGGTGGAGGAACTGCTGTTTGGTGTCTGGTCTCCATGCTTTCTGTCGCACTCATTCTGTCCTCCATGCTTTCAGTGCCGTCGCCACAACGGAATATCATAGACCATTCCTTTGGTGAGTGGCCGCCCCAGAGACAGTATTCCGGAATACCTTTTCCGTTCATATCACTACGGTATGCTATCTCGCCTCCACAGCCTTGTCGATGATAATACGCCATAGTCGATTCCTTTCCATCTAGACAGATCGGCGCTTCTGTGATAAGCATATTATGGTCGAGATAGTAATCTCCAGAAAGGCAAACATCCGTCTCCAATGTGATAGTATTGAAAGTGCTTTCGCGGCAGCCGAAGCTGAACATAGGACGGAAGCTCAAGGGGGATGCGGGAAAGAGCTTGATGGTGGCATTTCGAGGACCGCCGATGATGATACCAGAGTCAAATGGTTCTTCTGGGACATAGGGACGATTGTGAATGAGCTCTTGTTTGGGGATAGAGGGGTTGTCGAGAGGGATTTGTTGAGCGGAGGTAACGAGGCTGAAGGCCAGCGCGAGGCTAGACGTCTGAACAAGGGAGGGTAACATCCTGTGTAGATGTATGGATCAAAGTAACGAGTGTATAATTGCACCTGTCTGGGAGCAGGACACGAGTAGGATGAGATAGAGGTAGTTATATCATGATTCTACATGATGTTGAAATCCCTTGCCAGTTGTCGCCGCCGCGCTTGCTGCGCCGCATCGAAGCCTGAATTACGGTGGGTCTGTTCTATCGATAGTAGGAAAAAGGAGTTCGGTGATCCAAAGCAAATGACTTGGAATATTACAAGTATGAAGTTTCAGAACATTCACTTAGCAATCGATCGTACGATTCAATCCCAAAATTCGAGTTTGATGAGAGAAGGACGAGTGTTGAAGTGATTGGAGGTGGAAGTCTCCCCATGTCGTCCATGAGCTAAAAATAGAACTGGAAGCGAAGCGATGAACTTCAAAAGACTGTGAACAGTGCTGAGACAAAGGGCTTCTAAGAAACGAAGATTCCGCATTTCAAGTCGTTTTCGTGATGTATTGATTTTATAGTTGTATGTTTCTAATCGAATTCTTCCCTGAGTATTTCTGCCAGACTATCAATCGAATTCTGGAATGTCAGAATGGTATGGCCGGAGCCGGACGAGATCTTCGGTTCGCGTTGCTTTCCTCCCGAAGGAAATCTTCTGCGTGAACATAACGGTAAAAGTCAATCTCAACCTCACAAAAGGTTCCGTTTGTATCCTCCATCTTAGGACAAATCTTCCGATTATTATCTTCGCCCTAACACGACCCCAGGTTTGGGTTACTTACCCATCCCGACCAAATCTCTCCGGCCCAGTCGCTAAGCGCTCTGAATGCTCAAACCCCAACAAACCCATGCGCTCTGATGCAGGAGAATAGTGTCAACTTCCTCAAGGCACGTTTGCCATCTCTTGGAAATGTTGGTGTTTCAGGATTTGCTCGTGCTACCTGCAGCCTCCTAGGAGCTCACACAGCGGTAAGACTGGCACTACAGGATTTCGACACAAACACCACATCTCGTATTTGCTACGAACATCTGTCATGATACTTTCTCTCGCATGGATTTTCATCTTGTCTGTATTGATGTCCTGAATCATTTGCAATGGGCACAGCCTCGCCAGCCGATCGGTCGCCAACAGACACATCTGATGCTCTGGTGGGATGGGTAGCCGAAAGTCGCGGGCGGGGAACTCTCACTCTGGTATCCAGCTGCATTTTCACAATTTTCCTCTGCACTTGGGTAGTTATCCACCCGCATGTATCCAAAAGCCCCTTGCTCCGCGGTCTCCACAAATTCGCTCTATTCCTGAAGACGATCGTGGCGCCAGAGTTGATCGCTGTAGAGGCATTACAGGAATGGAGTCAGGCCAAGAAGATGAAGGAGAGTTGTGCGACCTTTACGAAAGGTGATGAGACATTTACACTCATACATGCATATTTCATAGGGATGCTGGCGCTGAAATATCGTACGCCGCTGGGGAATAAGGTTATCTGGCCGAATCAGTATGTCTGGCTGTTGGAGCAGAAACTTATTGACTGGAAAGATCATGCGTCTTGGGGCTTGTCGGTAGAAGTCATTTCCGACAAGAGTAATGCAGATGGGACGGTGAAGCTGGCAGCACTCACCCAAGTGTCGTGGTTCCTCGCGCAATGTATCATGCGAACAGCACACGACTTGCCGCTTTCGCAACTCGAATCCATGACAATCAGCTACGTTCCGCTCTTCGCCGTCACTTACTTCCTTTGGTGGATAAAGCCAAAAGACATTATGACTCCATCGATCGTGGAGCTGCCAGTTATGACGCTAGAGCAAATGGCAAAGTTCGAGGACATGGCTGTGAGTAACGAGTTTGACGATGATAGGTTGGGAGGACAAAACTCGCTCTGGAGTATCTGGCATCTCACGCCTCGCGTCTTTGAGAAAGAAGCAGACGACAAGAGAAAGCAGGAAGGGCAGGATAAGGCAATGCAGGAGGCTGAGAGGAGAGCGAAGGATCGAGCAGAGAAGACTCAGACAATTGAGGAGCAAGAAATTGCTACAACGAGCGACAGTGATGAAGAGGCGAACATTGGGCTCGTACCGGTGGAGCCAAAGGAGATTGTGGTGTCCTACTGGGATCCAGATCTCTACCGATCCAGAATCTGGCCGATCATTTGTTTAATGGGTTCATCATTTGGTGCACTCCATCTGATTTCATGGCATGGGATATTCCCCACGCTCGTTGAGGAGTGGCTTTGGAGGATAGCAGCCATCACCTCCATCGTCACCCTGCTGATGTTCATGCATTTCGAGAAAGTGGTGTTCAGATGGGATGGTCCAATGTCGCTTGTCAGTCTCTCGACACCTGTTCTGTATCTTGTCAGTCGCATCATCATGACAGGTGGAGTTATCGCAGCGTTTCGAGCCTCTGATCCTCGGATTTACGACACTTACCTGGTGTCCAACTATTGGATTCATGCTTTCCAACGATGGGATGGGAACTTCATGTATGTTAGATTATTATTACATAAAATAGGGGCGTTTGGTTGGGGTTGAATTTGAAGGGAAAACTCGCTGGGGCTGGCGTCCGTGGTTGAGAATTCAACAAACGGCAAATTACTCAAATGTCAGAGTTTTGACTGAGGTGCCATACTTTTGACTCCGTTTCTGACCCAAATTCCGTAATCTCGCCTATACAGCTCGCTTTAACATGTCTCTCAATTGGTCTGTAACTTTGGTTGTATCGTACCGTCAATTGTACCGATCGTACCTCTAATTGTATCGCATCTTCAACTTCAATCGTGCTATACTTCTAATTATATCGCAAAGTATGGCACTGTGTAAGAAATAGAGTCAAAATAATGGCATCTTAGTAAGGATTGGAAAAAGTATCGTGTTTGAGTAGTCTGCTTTTAGACAACTGGGGTATCGTTGTACTATCTGAAGGTAAAACCACTTGACAAGAAACAGACTGCAGATATGACGGTTTTTTGCCCGATCCATTATCTATGAGACCACAGCAGCATCAAATATACGCATTGCAGCCATAGTGATCACTGGATATCCCATGACAACGTCATGCAAACCGGTTTGCAGAAGTTCTTCTCTGATGACGCCGACTTCGGTTCGCCATTCCATGGCCGAGCCGGCAGCTCCAAGATCAATCCTCGTCTTATACTTCTCATCCTCCAGATCTTCATAGCTAATTCCGCCAGAGACAGTAGCGTTGACCGCGTGCCAGAACAGCAACTGGGTATGGCGGAAAGGAATGTCCCAGTCATCCTCAGCATGGATCAAAGTGAGCTTGTACTTTTTCCCATTGGCCTCATTGGCCTTGATGTAGCCTGCAATTCGATCTTTGCTTGACCACTTGTCTTGGATCAAAGACCGCAAGTAAGCAAAGGCAGCAGGAAATCTGGCAATTGGAGACAAGAGAGGAATGGTGCCTGCGATCTTGTAGGTGGACACAAGAGTCGCAACGTCAACGAGTGGCGCAACTAGTACTGTGCCAGCGAAAATAACAGGGGGCGATTGAAGTGCAAAGTGTTCTGAAATAGCAAGAGTCACAGCAGTGCCCATGGACTGCCCAAAGATAAGAATGCGGTTGGGAGGAACTGCAGCGACGTTTAAGGCCCAATCAACCACTGATAAAGCGTCTAGGATAAGTCCATTTTCCGAGGGAGTACCCGTACTACGGCCGAATCCTCGATAGTCGAATGTTAGAACATGGACTTTGTCCGGGTGTCCTGCTGACAGTGCGCGGTAGTTGGGCGTTCTGTAACCTGACCCTACAGTACCTCCTGCACCATGGAAGTGTAGCACTAGCAGGGCTTCAGGGTCTTCACTTAAGAGCTTGAAAGAAAGGCGGCTTTTGATATCCAAAGCAAACCCCGATGGCTCCGCAATCAGTGCCTCTTCATGCTTGCGATACAGCCCAACAGGAAGAATATGCCACGCGTAGAGTGTTTGCCCGTCGGAGGACTGGATACTGAACGGAGAAACCTGGTTGTGCAAGAATCCAAATATCTCAGGAATGTTCAGATCCTTGAACCAGGTCATCTGAATCCCATGGAGGTAGACAACATGGGCCTGACAGATTGAGGTTGAAAGGAGTCCTAGTAGAGTGGCATGAAGCCCAACGATTACTGCGGCAGAGATTGAGGCATATTTTAGGATAGTGGTGACCATATTCCTTGCATGTATTTGCGTCCTTTCTAATGATTCGTGTGTCTATAACCGCGGTCTGCCTCGTGAAGTCGTGGTGGCAGAAGGTAGTCGCGAGGCTACAAAGCCGAAGCCTTGGAGGGGCAGCAGTGTTTCTTCGCGATTGTTAGCCGATAAATGATTTCTAGGTGTGGGGATTGAATAAGGGCATACCCCTTGTCGAACTAAAGGGTTTGTAGTAATCCGAAAGGTTATCAGCATGTTGCAGTCGAGTGTTTTTGCAGTTGGAAGGAGAATATGGTCTTGGATGGACTTTAGCGCCGTCACAATACGCTAGTCTCTTATTGGCTGCCCCTGAACAGCAAGGCTGTGATTCCCTCCAGTCTCTGCTCTCACCAACATCCACCCAGCTACAGGCACATTTATCACATACGCAAAGCTATATTGTTGTCACTCTCTGTAGATATTCCGACGAAATACTCAACGTGGATTGATTCATACATGGCCAAAGGTGTCATATAAAGAATGTGTTTCCAGTTCTCACGATTGTCTTGGTGTTGGAGCACAGCTTCTAGGATATGATCATTCTCCTACCAGCAGCTACTCGTCCCATAACACACTACTTAATCCATCATCATTTTCAGCATTACCAGTTACGCCAACCCGTAGACTTGCTACCTGGGGACCAAGTCTCCCGGTCACAGGATCCCTTCTCACCACCACAACATTTGCCGTAGTCTGGTCACCAATGGCCATCAAGTCTCCAGCATTGTTAATTGAAAATGTCCGAGGATATGTGCCTCCAGAAGAAATGATGTCCAGGAAAGCCATCACGCCGGTGGTGCTGAGCGAAAATGTGGCAATCGAGTCATTTGGCGAGAAAGACAGATCCCTTCGATTCGAGACATACAGGAAATTATCCTTCACATGAATCTCTCCAATCTTGCTTCCAGTCGGTGCGGTCCTATTACCCGGCAAACTCGTCAAGGACTGAGTCCTGGTCAGAGTGAGACATCCAGACGCTGGATACGTCACGGCAAATGCGTGGACTGTATTTGCAAGCTCATTGGCAACATAGAGGACGTCTTTACCCCAGAAGACGCCATGTCGAGGACCTGTTCCGCCAGGCTCCACATAGCTTGGGCAATCGTTGAGTTTTCCTGATGTACTGTCGATTTTGTAGATCCGAATGAGGTCTGCGCCAAGATCTGGAGCTAGAAGGAAAGCGCCTGTCGGATCAGAAAAGACGTGGTGAGGATGAGGTGCATCCTGTCTAGATGGGACCGGTCCTCTTCCGTTCATGGTATACTTGAGATTCTGGAGCGTCTTTGAGGAGGAAGACAGAGGTAATTTCAAAGTTGAGATTGTTGACGTCTGGCTGTGACCAAGCAAGTCAGTAGGAAGCCCAACTGGCTTGATGTTGTTAACTCACTAGTGTGCCGTTGCTATGTATCCCGAACCATATAACACATTTGCAACTCCTCCAAGTGGTACACCAGTCGCTTTGCCGAGCAGTGTTAATCGGCCATTTGTTGCTGCCGAAACTGCGAAGCTCGAAGCAGTTCCAAAGCCAGTTTCGTCGGGCAAGTATATTGTTCTGCTTGATGAGTCCCATGTCATCCAACTTGGTTGTCCTCCGATTGACAGAGAACTGTTTAGTGCTAGCGAGTATGCCCCATTGCTCGTCGAAGTCAGTGTCAGGCTGTTTACTGTCCCGCTGTAATGGGCAGCAAAAATGTTGGCACCAGCAGCAATGCCCAGCAAGGCTGACAATATTGCCAGGAGATTGTAATGCAGCATTCTATCGATGTTCTAAATGGATGCAGAAGACCGGCTACGCACCGCTTGAAGTTGAAGCAAGATTCCCACGTCATATATGGTTCGGGGACCTGTCTAATTTGAATATGTACATGTTCCGCATGATTGAAAGTTATCCTATTGCGATTAACAACGCCAGGATTGGGGATGAATTGCCCCATTGCTTTGTACAGAGGTATGATTGCACGCTCACTAGGGAACTTTAGCGCGATGTTTTCGTTTCGAGTTTACCACATCCGTAAACCTAGTATACGTCTCATGACAAGACACCTAGGGACAAGGGAAACGCCCATGATCCGAAGGATATGCCCTCCCAAGTGATAGAGTGGTATTCGGGATGGCCTTGCCGTTTTAGCCGCTGCAAGATCAGGCGGTACGGAGCTACTTCATCAGGCAAGCTGGGGTAAATTCCTGGCTAAAATATTTACCGACCCCTCAGCCCGAAGCCTTTAATTGACGGTGCACTCTTCAAAGCTTATTTCAGATAAGAACTTTTGCGCGGCTCAATCGAAGCTTCTGTTTGTCGTACAACGATCTATTCGCGTTGCTTGGTATGCCTGGCAGGTCGGGTGATGCTATCCATTATGTTCTCACCAACTAATGGAATGTTACAGAGCGTAACGTTTCTGGAGTTGGTGATCCGGGATAAAATGGCATGGAAGTATTTGAAATAAATTTAGGCACATTTCTACTTTCCGATCTGTGTCAGCGGATTTTATTATCGGCGGTGCCAAGACGGTCAGTAGTATCGTCAAGCTCCCAGTCTTCACTCCGTATGATCTATTGACATGCAGACAGTGCAGCTGTCTTCCTCGTGCGTCTTTAACTCAAGATATATTGCTCGTCATGCCTAAAATATTCGCATGTCTGAGCTAGTCGAGGTAGACCGTTGGTGATTTGGCGCTCTTATTCAAGACGATCTTTCCCAGGAAACCTTCCAAGAGCATTCAAGTCTTGGGCTTTCTCCACCTATCATCTCTCAATCTCGCTAAAAATGATTTTGCCTTTGTTGACGTTGGCGCTGCTAACAACGACAGGAACTCAAGCTCATGTGCAGAAACGAGCATCTGTTACAGACTGCCTCAATGCAGTGAATGTTCCACGATCTCTCCCAGGCTCAGCCAACTTCACACAAGCAATCAAGCCTTTCAATCTACGTCTTCCGTTCACTCCAGTTGCGGTAGCAGTTCCGTCAACGGTTCCGCAAGTCCAAGCAGCTGTTGCGTGTGGAGTTCAGTACAAGTTTGCTGTTACAGCGAAAGGAGGAGGTCATAGCTATGCTTCTCATGGCATCGGTGGAGAGAACGGCCATTTGGTTGTGGATATGAAGTTATTTACCAACATTACCGTAGACAGCTCTACGCAGATCGCTTCTGTTGGGACTGGGTCCAGACTTGGAAACGTAGCTGTTGCGCTGTTCAATCAAGGGCAGAGGATGTTCAGTCATGGAACTTGTCCTGGGTATTGTCCCGCACTTTATTCTCTAGGACGCAAGCTCACAACTATCAGTGTCGGGATCGGCGGCCATGTCGGCGGAGGAGGCTACGGTTATTCATCCCATACGTAGGTGATAATCGGAAGGCAACAGGGCATTCCATTCCCTTTGGGATCTGCATGCTTCTTCAATATTACCATTCATTGCTAGAAAACTAATCCCCGATCATCAGGTATGGCCTCGCTCTCGACAACCTTGTCGAAGCAACCGTCGTCCTCGCCAACTCCACAGTCATGACAGCATCCACAACGCAAAACGCCGATCTCTTCTGGGGCATCCGTGGAGCCGGCGCTTCATTCGGAATCATCACACAATACAAATTCCAGACCTTCCCTGCGCCATCTAGCAACACGGTATTTTCGTACAACTACAACTTCAACCAGGCGCAAGCAGCAGCCATGCACAAAGTGCTGCAGGAGTATGCGAACACGACGATGCCGGTCGAGATGAACATGCGGATGTTTGTTAATGCGTATAGTTTTGGGCTGCAGGGTGTATACTATGGCAGTCAGGATAATTTCAAGAAAGCTATTGCGCCGCTGTTGGCGAAGGCGCCATTCACGGGTGGGAATGGACAAATTTCCACGAAAGGGTGGATTGATACTTTGAGCAATTATGCGTATGGGAGCTTGAGCACTGGATTGGATTATGATGTTGTGAGTTTTCGTCCTGAGAGGGCAACCACGTGGACTGACTTGCCGAATCTAGCATGAAACCTTCGTTAGTAATTCCTTGCTCAACTTCTTGGTTAAATGTGAGCGCATTAACAATTAGTCTAGTTCTCCAAGAGCCTTATGACTGTGTCTCTTACCAACGAAGCACTCAATGCATTTTGGGCATACTGGAATACCAACGCGCGGACGAACTCGCGAGTTAGTTCCCACTCAACCCAGCCTTTCCTCCACACTCGACACTCGTCATCTTACTAATTCCAAACAGGATTGGTACCTAATTATTGACCTACACGGCGGTCCTACCTCTGCGATCTCCAAGGTAGCGGACAACGCAACCTCATACGCTCACCGCAACGCCCTCCTCAAGTACGAGTTCTACGACCGCGTGAACAGCGGTTCGTATCCTGCTAATGGGTTCTCGTTCTTGAATGGTTGGGTGGCTTCAATCACTTCGGCTAGTATGTTCTCCCTATCCTCTTCCTTCACAGTGATAATATCTCAGCATTATGTTATAGAGGTTCAGGATTGCGGAATAGGTAGAAATGAGCTGTGCTGACATAAGACGCCAGTGAACACGACCACGTTTGGAATGTATATGAATTATGCCGATCCGTCGCTGAGTACCGCTGATGCGCATAATCTGTACTGGTTGAAGCATTATGATGCTTTGACGAAAGTGAAGAAAGCGTATGATCCGACGATGGTGTTTTCGAACCCGCAGGCTGTGATGTTGACATGAGTGGGGCAAAACGATGCGATGCGAAGTGTGGGGAGATTTGGATGAAAGAAGTAGAAATCTAGATTATGGCATCTAATCTACCCAAGGAACATCTGTCTAGGATCTATGAAAAGAAATCTGTCTGTCTGTCTATCTATCTAAGCAAAATCTAAGTGCCCAAGCCAAAAACAAATCTATAAACCCTCTAGCTCCTCTAAAACATCCGCAAAACATGGCCCCTCCACCACGACAGGCGCCGTACACTTCCAATGCAACAAATTCAAACCTTCAATAACAAACGCATCCTTCTCACCCATCCCCCCCTCCTCATCAACCCTCCTCTCCACGAATCCCAACAAGTCCTCAATGAGATGCCCAAACGCCAAAACCTCCATCCGCTCCAGCATCTCAGCATGCTCGCTCTCTCTGCTATAAATCGTCGCGGCGCCAAAATCTCCAAGAAGAGCATGTCCAGTCTTGTCGATGAGTATATTATGCGCGTATAGATCTCCGTGCGCAACTCCCCGCTCATGCAAATGCATCGCCGCACTTGCGATCCCTAGAAGAATACTTTTACATTTCTCAACGGAGAGTACCGTGTCGGGATGGTACGAGTCGCGCGTACATGAATCCAGGGTAGGCGGGAGTCCCAGGTTCGTATAATGTGGTGGGATGAGTTCGAGCACCAAACCACGCTTCTCGTCTGGATACCCGTGGATTTTCCCGATCGGATCGATGAGGTTAGGGTGCTGGCCAGCGACAATACAAGCGTTCATTTCGTCGGCTGGAGAGCCATCGCTTGTTACTTCGCCTTTGAAGAGCTTGATTGCTACGGGTTTTGATTGGGTGGAAGTGGGTGTCTTCCATGTGCCTTTTGAGATGATACCCGAGGCGCCTTCGCCGAGCAGGTCGGAAACGGAGAGGTCTGACCAAGAGATTGAGGGAAGGGTGGGATTATCTTCTGTGGATGGAGTGCATGGGTTTCCGGCGAAGGAGAGGAATGAGAGTTCGGGCATGGAGAAGAGCCATGTTGGGAGGTCTGTGAGTCTGTTCGATGAGAGGCGAAGGAGTCCGAGTTTGCGACAAGAGGCCATCTCGGTGGGGAGAGAGGTGAGACGGTTGCCGGCTAACATACATTTCTGCAGACGGTGGCAGTGTCCAATACTCTTCGGCAGCTCCGCGATCTCATTGTTTGTGAGGATGAGCCAGCGAAGCTTGCGAGGGAAAGCATCTTCAGGAATGGTGGTCATGTGATTCCCTTTGAAAGCGATCATTTCCAGGGAACGGCATTGTGCAAGTTCCTTGGGGAAGAGGGCGAAGTTACAGTCTGAGAAGAAGGCGATTTTTAGTTTGTGGAGACGGGAAATGTCTTTAGGGAGGCTGGTGAGTGGATTATTGGACAAATCCAGGATCTCCAAGGTGTCGAAAAGGGAGAGGATTTCTCGTGGGAAAGTCGTGAGATTGCTGGAGAGCTTGAGCCGTTTCGTGCCTTTGTAGTGCCCGGCTTGGAGGCCTTCGAGGGTTTGAATAACGGCCATGATCTTTACAAGCCGTTATACAAGCAATTCCTTGAAATAAGTCGGAGTATCTAGAGAAATTATTAGTGTGGTTTAGGAGGACGTTAGAAGGTTTAAGGGGCTACATACTTTCGCACACCGCTCAGAGTATCAATTGTTTTTCCAAATTTGCAGCTCTCGGTTGACATGAGGCTGAGTCGATTACGGTATTTCCATATTGTAGATAGGAGAATATAGATTGAAAGAATAGTAGAAAGTATTGAGAAGGGAGAAGGAATTTGAGGACCAAAAATAGATGCGCAATCTCCACTCCTCTTATCTTAGCACGTGTTCGCTTCAATGTAGAGCCACGATGACTAAGCATTCCTTCACGGCTATTTGGACGTGGCTTTCTAGAGTTCCATGGTTTGATTTTATCTCTTTCAAAAGCACCCGTTTGTGTCTTCACCTCCAGGGTGCAGTCAGATTGAAAAATGGCCGTGGATCTTGTTCCAATCTTCTCTTTGGTCGTGATCTAACGAATTTTCATTGTCAGTCCCTTGGCCGTGTGCCAGCGAATTTCAAGTTTTCATCGCCTTCGTCAATGTGTTTTGTGTGGCGTCTTGCTGGGTTTAAACAGCTTTTCAATTGGCTAAGTGGCCTTTGTCCTACGGGTATCTAGCGCCCCTTCAGATCGTACAATCACGACCACAATTTTGTCTTATCATTTTGGAAGTCATCGTCCCCCTCATACTCAACTAAGAGCGTCATGAGAGCCCAGGCAAGCTATCAATGAAACCAAAGAGCACTCCATGCAAGCGTTTCCTTTGGTTTCCAACCCACCATTATTGCAGCGATAGGCTTGACAATCATGTCACTGAACTGTCGGGTGCTACCTTGTTATTGTGCTCCATCCAGTCCTCTGGTTTCAATCGTGATATTTGTTGGTCTGGGTGGGCGAAGAGAATGAGAGCCCTGGGTGCAGGCCAAGACTAGATATTGTCCAAATTCAGCATCCGTAGTGCAGGAGCGAGCTTTGGACGGCTCCTACAGGTGGAGATACATCCCCCTCATCACTGTCAGCGCATGCAGAGTCTTCGATTGACCACTTCTGGGACACTCAAGACGTGAATTTTTCTTGCTTATTGGCAGAGACAGTGTCTTGATCTGAGACGATTGTTGGCGAACCAGCTTTGACTCTCTCGAGCGAAGTTGGTGAGACGAAATGAAGAATTCTCAATGTCCCTTCATAACAAAAGCTCGCTAGTGTCCTTCGACAGAATTTGGCCATCCAGGAGATATTTGACGGCCGGGTGATCGTCAGATTCGAACACTGCTTTTGATCCTTCAATCAGATCTTTTAGAAGAATCGCAGTTTCACCCGTGCCAAGCACATTACGGCACTTTATCAAGGAAAACATTGCGAGTAGGCGGTCCGGATGATGCCGTCGATCTCTTCGATGAATATCCACCACTCTCGACAGTATTTGTTCTGCTTCATTGTATCTTTTTCCACACATGAGCATGCGGCCATGATGAAGTTCTCCAAAGAGGTATATGAAGTGGGTTTCTCCCAGATCCCTTCCTACCTGTTTATGTCCAGGCAAAAATATCGCTAGCGCTTCGTCAACTTCACCACGGACAGCCTTGACACGTGCTAGATTCAGAGCAGCCCAGAGCGTGTGATAATGTTGTCTGCCGAGCTTCTCGACACGCTTGGAGAAAACCTCTGTCTGTATCTCAAGAGCACGGTCAATATCTCCCGGTCGGCCCTCACGATAGGCAGCTCGGTCGAAGCAGGCCATAGCTAGATTGTCCATAGCCTCCAGTGTCGTTGATGGGAGGCACCAAGCTTGGTCTTCAGACCAGCAAACGCTTCATGTTGAATTCTGACAGCTTCCGTAAATCCAAAATCTTTGCTGATCGCGCGTCCCAACCAACTCATAGCTTTCAAAGTTTCAATGTCATCACCCCCAATGGTTACTTTCAGCCCATCGACAGCAATCGTAAGCACCCTAAGTGCTTCGATGATTCGGCCCTGGAGCCACAGACCAGAGCCGTAGCTGTGCATGATCTTCAAGGTTTCCGGATGATCTGGGCCGAAAAGCTTGTGGCACGCATCCAAGCTCTGCTTCTGAAGTTCAACAGCCTTGTCCACCTGTGCAAGCTGCCAGTATGTCAATGATAGTAGCCGCATGATATTGATCGATTTGATGTGTTCTTTGCCCAACCATTTAATCACAGTTTCTGCAACATATTTTTGCAATATCTCGGCTTCTTCGAGCTGGTGTCCTTGTGTGTAGACCACGCTGAACTTGGTAAGCTGAAGAAGTCGGTCGCGGGTCACGGGGGCGACCAATGCTGGCAAAATTTTAGGCCTGGATTCTCTATTCCTGAGAAACGCTGTCTGAATTGTACGCTCAACTTGTTGAACATGACGGACGTGTGGAAGCAAATCTCTGCGGAACATCTCGCTCTCCTCCGTGTCGCCTAATGGTGGGAGCAAGATAGCCTTAGAGAGAATGGTTGCTGTCATGACACCAAACCGCTTGCTCGACAAGCGTCATTTCCGGCCTCTGCCTTGCCCATAGATGCACTGTCGCATGCATCGAGTAGGAATCACCTGAGGAAGAATTTGCCGAGATTAGTGACAAACGACATAGTTCACTGAGTGCCTGTTTCAACCGTATTGCAAAGTAATTTTCCGATTCGGAAAATATCTTTGGCAGGACAGGGCGATGATTTAGCTCAGAAAGAAGGGCAACAGTGCGTAGGACAAGTGTCTTCAACTTTTGCGTGGGAGTAAGCTGGGGAATCAATACTCCATACATTTTCCTTTCTTTCTCTTGCCTTTCTTCGTCGGACGCTTCCAACCCTGGATTCGATACTGCGCGCAAGAATATGTCTATCTTGATTTGCTGACGATCTAAGAAAGAAAACATGCGCAGTAGATCTAGAGCATCTTCAGAAGCCACGGTCTTTTTGGATGCAATGTGATCGTAGATAATTTCAAAGCTGCTGTAAATGGTTGCTTCTATGTCCGAAATCGGGGTGGTGGCATTCGATCTCTTGATGTGGCGAATTCGATCCCAGGTTTTGTCGAAGTAGTCAAGGTATGTTTCCAGCGTGCATAGGTTTTCGAGAATCGTTGTCCCCGCATGTACAAGTGCAAGAGGTAGGTACCCCAGTGCCTCAGCAATGACCTGTGCCGAGTGGCGAGAAGTAGATATCCATGGCTTTGGCTCGTCCGCCGTTTTCAACAGCAATTCAACAGAGTTCCGCTCGTCCAGTCCCTGAAAAAAAAAATAACGAGGTCCAACGGTTCCTTGTGTCTTGAGCTTTGGGTTCTTGGTCGTAATGAGAATAGTACCGGAAGTGCTGTCAGGAAAACAATCCTGGGTAGGAAAACTTTCGTCGTCCGCGTTGTCAACGATGAGCAGCCATGGCCGTTCTGGACCAAGACTCGAAAACCAACTTTTGACAGCGGTTTGACTCGGCGCAACCTTTCCAATTGTGGAAATCATTGAAAACGACTGTTCTGCGTGCTTCTTGGAGGCTGCATTGATCCAAGATACGCCCCAGAAGCTGAGAGGGTTAGCAATAACCCATAAAGCGAGCTGATTTTTCACTGTCCCTACCTTTGTTTATTGTCGGCCGCGAACTTGCAGCAAAATTGAGTTTTGCCCGAGCCGGCAAGACCAAAGACTACAAATCTTTTCTGTACTTGATTTGGAATCGCAGCTGAAGTGGGAGAAAGATAATCTTTCAAGACCTTGAGCTCTTCCTCACGTCCAGTAAAGTTACTGCTGACGGTTTGCGGTGTGAAGAAATGTGTGTGTGCTTGTGGCAAAGCCATCACTTCTTGCGCTGATTCGATCACGGAATTAAGCTTGCAGGTCAATACTTTCTATTGCTCTATAGCTTGGTTGAAGTCTCTTCACTTACAGTTTTGTCAGCCGTTCGATTCACAATGCTTTCCAGGGATTCTATCTTCGTTTGCAAACCAGCGCCAAGATTCTGAATGAAGGCGGATAGGTCCGAGTGAGCATTGCGGGAGGCTTGCTGCGAAGTGCGAAAGTCAATTCTGGTAGATGTAAGCCAAATTCTTCATAGGATCAGAAACGAGAAACCTGACATCCCGACTGCTGAAAGACTGAGTTGTAATGCAAGCTGATATTGCCTGAGTTTTCCCCGTAGGGTGTCCAACTCCTCCTCGCGTGATTGTTGCTTCAGCCACTTGCGTATTTGATCACGCTTGATGTGTTTTCCACTTCCAGAATTTACAACTTCTTTCAATATTGTCTCGATTCGCTCCACAATTTGCTGGCAGTTGGACAAAGTACTACTGGTTGCTTGCCAGTTTGTATCGAGAATCTGCTGAAGATTGAGATTTGTTGCGGTAGTGGACCCATCTGCATAACTCCTTCTAAGTAGCTCATCGATGGACGCATTAACTGTTTGTAAAGAAGTGATCTCTCTGAGAAGGTCTTCCAACTCTTGATCCACGACTCGAAACCCATGGTTGGCATCTTTTAAGAACTTTCCAAGCCGAATACAAACATCGGCTAGTCCAGCTGCACCTGCTAGAACAGAGAAAGGATCAGCCATACCTTAAGCGAACTTGTGCAAATAATTCCACGCTTGGATATTTGTGACAGAAAACAGAGTGTGATTAGTGCGATGGCAAAGGAGGGAACGAGTGGAGATAGCACAGGTTATGAGGCCTACTCCATAAACAGAGTTGAAGTGTTTGCGGACCTGCGAGACACAGCCCCTTTTATCTTGCTGGGTCAACACTTTGGAGGCCAGCGGGCGGCTGGCCTCTTGATGTACATTGTGTATCGGGGAAGCATCACATCCGTCCCGCCCCGATGCAGAAACAGTGTCTCTGGTGTGGTGCAGCTCTGCACGGCCAGGCGCTTTGCTGCAACAGGGCTTTCCCTCCATGCATGGCATGCGGTGTTCAAAGTGCTCTTTAGGCAGACCAAAGTGTCCTCAGCAATGCTGCCAAGGCGTGGAAGGAAAATTCAAAGCTCGTTGAATTTATCCGGCAAGCCGCAATTGAAGCTGTGGGACAAGTAATGTCTATTTATGACTGTAATTCATATCGGACATTCGAAACTGAGAGCCTCGTCCTTTTTCTCTCTCGTTATGTATTTTGATTTACGACCAGTGATCGCTCATATTTAATCGGCTGCCCGCAGCTAGTGAAACATTTACCTGGCCCCTGGCGTTAACGATGCCCCCAGGCCCCCTAGCAGGCCATGGCCAACCACACTCTTTCAGATGGCTGGGCGGCATTGAGACAGGATGAACTGGCCTGTTTGAAACCAGCCTAGCAAGCAGTAAAGTAAAGAGGCACTGGGGCGGCCAAACCCCAACACCTTCACAACAAGAGAGGGAGTACCTAAGGCACAAGTACTTCGATATAAATAAGCGGATTGAGCAAATCTCAAGATATCACATAACAAGGGCGTGGGATTTGTTCACTAAGGGGTGGGGAAGAGCATAGACTAGACAAAATCCTGCTAAAGAGTGTAGTTCATCGTAATTGTTTCAGGTGTTATTATTTTTTTATTCGCGTAAAAGAATGAAAAAAAGAATAAGAGTTTCAAACTCTCAATTACAATTCATTGGAAGCCTACTAGAGATTTGCGATGCTGAAGAACGATCGAGAGCAATGTCACAATTACCGGAAACGACATGTACGGTAGTAGGATCTTTCCTGTCCCGGGAATTTGTCCGCATGCCCTGTCGCTTTTCCTGATCCATGAACCATAGACTCCTGGACTTTATCGGTTAGGTACAATTTGTTGTACTCTTCAGGATTAGTCTATTTGGACAGTTGACAAATTGTATCCCGCAGCTGTGCCTGTGTGATTGGACAGCGGCTGATCTTATACCTCTTCTCATGGAGAAATAAGTATGAAATAATTGTTCCCAGAACAATTGCAATCTCCACTTATTCACAGTGGTCCTATGAATAGCCCACATGGTTCTCAGACTGAGTCTGCTACCAAAGTAGTAATGGAAGATCGCCGGCTGCTGACTTCAATGATACCTGGCGTGGAAGTCGTTTCCCGCTGGGTCATTGACTCAGACTGAGCAGCTGCCTGTCGTCTGGTTCTGCATAATTCTTTTGCCGCTTCTGTATAATCGAGCAAGTTTTTGCTCCTCTTCAGCATTTCATAATTCCAGATGCAAATAACGAAATGCTCGCGAGACTGGAATCCTTCCTCATAAAGTGGATTTTTGTAGTTCCGTTCAAATTCAATCATCTCGCTTATCTTGTCAAAAGCCAATAGAAAGCCTCAAAAACCTCCCTAATACCACCTCCATGGTATGTATCGCCTCTTCAGATTTGATAGAGCCTGGTCTGCAAGGTATTCCAGGACCCTGAAACCATACAGATCGCTAGTACTATCTGAATGGATTTCGCTCGTAATAGTGGGGTTGCAGCTGCTGTTAGACAATTTTCGGGGGTCTGTGAGCCTGAAAATAGAGTGAATTGTCACTGAAAACCTTGTCGGAATGATAATTTGTATTCTTAAGGAATAGTTGGCGGTATCGAGTTATTGACTTTGTCGAAGCTGAGATGAACTCGTCTACCTTCGCATTGTAATGTCCACGTAGACTCTTGAGAACGAAGCAGGAGCGAGAATATGGCTCGATTGTGGCTTGAGGCACTTTTTCGTCCAGAGGGAAAAAAGGAGGAAGGAGGAAACTTCAATTGCTAGCGACTTCGCCTGAAAATAATCATCTTAATCTACTTGAACTAGGTCGATCAATTTAGAGCCTGAACCACTACACCGAAAAAGTCAGGCAGCTTCTCTAGTCCGACTGGTAGTTCCAATATATTCACAACATAAATTGAAGCCAAAATTCTCTTGGAAAATAATGGTCGTCATCTACGTGGGTTAGAAGCTAACCAACTGCGATTTTTGGCCACAACAATTATTAGCCCAGGCTTGGTATACATGGCCGCGTCTAATCGACTTTAGTTATGGGCTCGAAGAGGATTTCTATGACGAGAAACCACGCTATCTCAGATTCAGGGTCTCCTAGCATAAATATATAGCTCGGAATGCTTGTCACAAATAGAATGACTGCCGCTTACAACCTAAGTCTCTATACCAAGATGCGTTTTTCTGTGTTCTCTGCGTACAAACACCCATTACATGGGACAAAATCATGTATATGTTGAGATTCCTATACTTCATCTCAATTCGTACATCCTGAATACGAATCAACAAGGGTCCGTGGACTTCATGAAAAAGGGAGGATTTTGTCCTTTATTCTTTGTTCTTCGAGGACTTCGGGGCCTCTCACTCACAAAGACATTCCTCTTTTCTCCTTTCAATCTCATACATACTATGCATTTCTCTATTCTTTGCTCAAAGCTAGCAAGAAATGTCTACCAGCACTTCATTTCATATCTCAGGCTACTTAGCGATCACTTTCGCGGTTTTGCGGCCATCGATACTTTTAGCCTTCCTCGTGATCGTCTCTTGCACTGTATATCTTTACGCCCGCAGTGCTATCAAGTATCATGTACGTTTAGTTATGAAAGGATGTGAAGAGCTTTGTTGAACGAAGAATATAGCACGATGCCGAGTTCGGTAAGCGAAATGGTTGCAAACCCTCACCAGCTAAGCTCATCTATCATTGGCCGCTTGCACTCGACATATTGAATGATGGGTTTAAAGCAGAACGAGATGGGAAGCTTCTTGCATTCTTCACTGAACATCTAGATCAGTTGGGCTCAACTGCTGAAGTCAAAATCCTTGGAGGCACCGGCTATGTGACGCAGGATCCCGAGAATATCGAGGCATTACTTTGTACACAATTTGAAGGTAAGTAACCAAAAAGTTCTCCTCAGTCCGTAGGCTCGAGCGTCCTGGCGTCTTAGCCTTATCATAACTGTTGTCAGACTTTCATCTCGGACCTCGCACATTGGCCATGAAAGCGATGATCGGTGATGGGATATTCACCCAGGACGGTACTGCCTGGAAACGATCACGGGACATTCTAAGGCGGCAATTCATGCGGATGCAGTACCATAGTTTAAAAGGCTTTCACGAGCATCTAGAAGCCTTGATAGAAAGACTGAACGCCTCCACTGAAGTGACAAACCTTCAGCCAATATTCTATAGACTGACACTTGACACAACCATAGCAATGATATTGGGTCAACCAGTTGAAAGCTTCGAGCACGAAATTGGCGATTTGTTTTCGAAGGCCTTCGACCAAGCTTCTCTCGTCACTGGCACGCGAGCTCGACTTGGGGGCTTGTACTTTTTGTACCGTCCCACGGGTTTCCTCAAGGCTTGTGGAACAATCAAAAATTACACCTTCCAATTCGTCGTAGACGCTCTGCAGCGAGATATGCAAAACCCAGGCGATTCTAAGAGTAGTTCGTTTATCTCAGAACTCCAGCGCGAGAACCAGGACCTGCAAATCGTTCGTGATCAGGCGTTGAATGTGCTGATAGCTGGACGAGATACCACAGCTGCAACGCTGTCTTACGCATTGTTAGTAGACGAAATCATTCTGGAAGCAGTGCTAATACCTCAAATATAGTCATCTCCTCCTACAAAACCCAGCCACACTAAAGACTCTCCATTCAGAAATCGAAAATGTTGTTGGGTGTGAAAAAGACATCAACAGAGCGCACATCCAGAGAATGCCATACTTGCATAACGTCCTACAGGAAAGTCAGTACATGTGTTTCTGAGAGTCACGCACTTGCTGACAAGAATATACAGCCCTTCGATTGTATCCTCCAGCTCCGATTAATATCCGGTTTTGCAGGAAGACGACTACTCTCCCTGTCGGCGGTGGTCCAGATGGCCGCTCGCCACTTCTAGTTCGAGAAGGTATGCCTGTCGCATATTCAGTTTACCACATGCAAAGGCGGAAGGATCTTTTTGGACCTGATCCTTTGGCGTTCCGACCTGAGAGGTGGAACGGCCCGGAGCTTGCTAGCATCGGCTGGGCCTATCTTCCATTTAATGGTGGCCCGCGACTTTGTCTAGGTAGTAAGTTCAATTCATTTCTTGTCTCAAATGCAAGGGCTGAATAAGTGAAACCAGAGGATTTTGGGCTCATGCTTGCTTCCTGTGCGATTGTACGGATTATCCAGGAGTTTCCGGATATAAGACTTGTCCCAGGAACGGAATTAGAAATACCGGGAACTGAACGACAGCACCTGGCGCTTACTCTATCTAACGCTCAGGGCTGCAAAGTCGTTCTTCGATGAGGAGACGTACGACATTTTCATATGTAATCCTGCTAACCGCATCCACATGCGCGAGACATAGGCAAGTCTTCGGCACAATGAGAAAGATGATTTCTTCTTCCCAAGCTTTAGTATGTAGATCAATAAAAACAAATGGAATTGGCACATCCATCGTGTACCTATAGCTAAGGTAGGTATTTCCGAAACTTTTCGCACGTGACGTTGGCGGGAATGGCCTACTCCCTTCATCCTGCTACAGCTGATCATCTCTTACTTCTACAAAGGCAAACTGACTCAAATCGCTGTACTCTTCTTTTATCAGACCTTTCCATTCGGCGTGATCTAATGCGATATCATCACTTTTCGGATGGTTCAAAAATCCTGAACATAGAGTTTGGTTCCTATTAGTGACATGCGCCTAGTGTCACGGCAACACTTGCACGGATCGCCATGATCGTTTCATCGCGACACAACAGCTCAGGGCCATCCATACCTGCTCTGATGGAACATAGATATACAGCTAAAAAAGATTGTTAGCCATACTGCTGATGAACACGACGAACTTCTGAAGTTCACACGGCACTCGAAGATGGACTGCTTTGGGATAGTCTTTGCTGAGCTGCAGCCGCTTTTGGTACAGATGTTGAAATCGACGGCTTTTCTCGTCCTTCAAGCCCCGTTTACTTGTCTCAAGGTATCAAACTTCTTTTCAAAAAATTCCAATGATTCGTACTTGAATTTGATCATCTTTCTGCAGGGCCTCAACAACGTAATGGCACCAGCGGTCTTTCCAATTGCCATCACCTCAATGTCGCTTTCGACCGAATTCCTCGGAAACGTCACCAGCACCAACACAGAAGACATTCGCGACCTCGGCTTCTCAGGAACCGTTGGGAGCGTCAACATCAACACGTACGGCGATACACTGATCTGCGGTGATGGCTCCGCTCATGACCGTTATTACCAAACTCCTCCCTGTCTTCTGCTCCATGCAAACTCGGCAGCTTATGCTAGGTCAGACCCGCGCTATATCACGGATTTCAATCTTGATAGAAATGGTAACGCCCAGATATTTTGTGGTTACTTCGATGATGAGACGCCGGAGTCCAGTTACGGAATGGGACTCACGAATGTGATCGCACTGCCCGGCTCGTCCACGAAGGGAATCTTGTATTTCTTGAAGAATTTCCGGCCGAATGGGAAGGATATGATTGTTGGAGCTGGTGTTGCTGTTGTTGATGTCTCAGGATCATATCCCACTTGCCGGCGTACTTCAAAGTAGGTAGTCATCTGAACAAGTAGTTGAGAATATGAGGCGCCACAAACAGAGCTGAACATGATTGTAGAAACATGTGGAATGCAAGTGAGCCTCAATATGGGGACCACGGGCAGCTCCTTGCACTGGACGGATGGGTATACGTACGGAGGTATACGGAGGAACTAATACAGCGAAGTATTACGATGGTGTTTATGTGATGCGAGTTCCACATGCGTCTCAGCCAGATTTAGATTGTTATGAGTACTGGAATGGCACTCACTTTACCAAAGATCGAGTCTACGATCCCACGGAGCAGCAAGCTATTCTCGGCCCTGGATCTACGCAAGGAATTGTAAGTACCAAGTCTCACCCTTGGGTCGGAACTCAAGAAGTTTAACACTACTTCCAGGTCACTTGGAACTCATATCTCGGCACATATCTCTATATCTACACCTGTTAGTCTCAAACCCTGCCTTCAGTGCCAGTATATTAAGTCCACACAGACTTAGCCGACCTTCGTGGAAGGACAGCATACAGACCAGAAGGACCATTCGGTGATTATTTCACAGTCTTCACTGCGACTGATTTTGCGTTTGTTTACAGCCCATCCCAACAAACGCATTATGATTCATCGGGGATGACGCTGGTCCTTTCTCATACTGGCTATCCAAATATCATCCAAGCAATCAAGGTGGTTAGTTGAGTCGAGTGTTCTTTTATTTGGGGATGACGCTGAAATACTTCTAGACTTTCGCATGATTGAGATAGAAGAGCTACAGTAATAATGCCTTCTACTATGTGCAGCTTACTGAAGACGGTGGACATAGACAGATGTTGACTCCTAACCGAAATTTACCCCACTCTACAAAGGTGGGGTGAGGGGTGTAACCAAACCGCCCAGTGATGGATTAGAAGAGAAAGGAAGCACGCAAGATATGCGAATCTGGCGAAAGATTGAGTAAACAGGTATGGTAGGACATCTAAAGCGGTCAGCAGCTTCTGAAGCCCTCGGACTCGACCAGCATGGCACAAATTATTGCAATGAGCAATTAATTTCATTCAATATCCACAAACACTTGCTCAGTTTTCAAAGACTCAAATCATTCTCATAACAGCTGAAGTCATACAGCATAGTAATCGCTTCAGTCATGGCACCTTCTGCAACGAATCAACATACATACCAAGCTCATGACCGGCCCTTGATCAAGCCATGGAGCCGACCAGCACCAACAACAGAGAATCTGGAGTGGGCACCACTAGTTAAAATCGACTTATTCCGCTTTGACGAACCCAGGGGCAAACAAGCAAGAACTCGCAAGGCAGCTGTACGATGCCGTTACCAAAGTCGGATTTTGGGTCGTCGTAAACATCGGAATTGATGATGCTCGTGTACTGAGGCAGTTCAGCATTGGCAATACCTTCTTCAAGGAACCGCTTGAAGAGAAGCGTACTGTTCCATATAAGTTTGCGGAAGGAGAGTATTTCGGTTATCGCGAGAACTCGAGATGGGTTGGTCATACGGGAGTGAAGGAGAATATTGAGATGGTGACTCCTCAACCCTTTGTTAATGCGAGAGTGAAGTCTAGCTTACGCTGAATAGTTAATCATCCCAAAAGCAATACCCGAGCTTGCAAACGAACCAAAACACAAGATCGTAAAAGATCATTATGACGAAATTCCCAGCTTCTATCGCGAGGTCTGGGAGAAGGGAGTCCGCAAGCTGTTCGTTCTGATCTCAATCATTCTCGAACTACCTGAGAACTATCTCGTCGACGCCCATGCCTACGATGAGTTGTCAGATGACCATCTGCGATACATGATATACAATGTCCGAACTCAGAAAGAATGGGATCTTGCTCAGGCTTACTCCAAAGGAGGTCACACCGATTTTGGAAGTTTGACTTTACCTTTCTCGCAGCATGTTGCGGGCTTACAGATTCGGACGCCGGAAGGAGAGTGGAAGTATGTGAAACATGTTGATGGGGGCATTACTTGTAATGCAGCGGACACTCTGTCGTTCTTGACGAAAGGTGTGATTTCTCTTGAAGCGAAGCAACGAGATGATCGGTCACTGATTTATGACATGTAGGGTTCGTCAAGTCCACGATCCATCGTGTTGTCACGCCGCCGTCTGATCAAATCAACATTCCGCGTCTGGGCCTGCTTTACTTCAGTCGGCCAGGTGAAAACATACCGATGAAAGCCGTACCATCACCACTACTTTATCCTCTTGGTCTTCTTACTGCTGAAGATAAAGATCCTAATCAGCCGGTAGTGACGAGTACGGAGTATGTGAGAGCAAGAGTGAAGGATGTCCATCATAAGACGGTCATTGATAAGCGAGAAGGCACTTCTTTCGAGTTCAAGGGCCTGAAGGTTGCGAATCATTATGATTAGGCACTGTAGCTGTGAAAATCGATGTCAGCACATCGAATTGGATCCATACTTCAGTGCCTGATGGCGTATGTACAATAGTTCAGCTTCTTCATCATCTGGAATACTACTTGAGATGGAAAGTTCTGTAAGACAAGGACAATATTTTCTATCATTTAATAAACAGACATCTCCTGTCATAAACATTCGGCCCGACCAGTATTTGAAATTCAGGTTCCCGAGCTCCGGATCTTCATGTTGAGCGAGATCTGCAGCTTTTACAGCTCCCTAAACTCATTGGACCCCTTTTTCCCCATGGTGAGGTGCGGGGTTTGGCAAAGCTTGTGGCGGGCACCAATGGAAGGTCTTGCGGAACCAGAAACTACAGTGGCAATTTCAAGACCATCCGAACACTGTTCGGATGGACCTGACACAACTGGTTAGCGAAGACCATGACGACAATGGCACTCTTTCGGCCTTGTAGGCTAGTTCTGTAGATGGGACGGCAATCAGGAAATCGATCAGCAGTTGGACGGCATCATCGGTCGATGATTGATATTTAAACAATGCCACAAGAATTTTTCTTTGTCCACAATGTTAAGCAAGTCTTGATATTTGCAAAATCTCTCACGATGTCTCCGACACGCAATATGAAACTTCTGTCCGCTTTACTGCTGGGTGGTAGCGAGATTATTGCTGCGCAGATTACCAACTTCAATGCTACGACCAATGGCACCTATCCCGTATATTCCTCAGATTCAGTTCCTCAAGTGACAAAAGACTCGACAGAAAATGAGGCAAACTACACAGCTCCTTACTTCCCTCTACTCGGCTTCAAGGAATACGAGCAGAACCCCATCCTCGCTCCGAACCCAGCAAATAATTGGGAATCAGCCTATCTGTACAATCCCTCCGCAATTGTCATAGACGATAAAATCTGGCTACTGTATCGGGCTCAGAACTCGTCCAAAACATCGACGATTGGTCTGGCTTGGTCCAACGACGGGTACAATTTCACGAGGTATAACAAGCCTGTCGTCACGCCAACTGAACCTTATGAGATTCCCGGCGGTTGTGAAGATCCTCGTGTCATCAGAGTCAATGGCACATTCTACATGACGTACACTGGATATGATGGGACGACTGCCCGGCTGTGTTTGGCTACCTCGACAGATCTCGTGGATTGGACCAAATATGGCCCCATCTTGCCGAATGTCACGGACGTGCTGTGGAACTGGCAGGATCCGTTGAATTCCTGGGTTCCGCGACAGGGGTGGAGCAAGAGCGGTGCGATTCTGAATGAGAGACAGCCGGATGGGACGTATCATATGCATTTCGGGGATTCGTTCCTGTATTTTGCGAACTCGACAGACCTGATTCATTGGAATGTGACATATAACCAGCCGGTTTGGGCGCCGAAGTTGAATGTTTGGGAGCAAGCGCTGATGGAATCTGCTGCACCACCAGTCAAGACGAGAGATGGGAAGTGGTTGAAGTTATATAATGGTGTGGCGACTGGGCAGGGAGGATATAAGGCAACGCAGTATAGCACGGGGGAGATGTTGATTGATCCGGTGAACAATCCGTTTGGGCCGCCGCTGGCGAGGTTGGAGACTCCGTTGCTGCAGCCGACGAATGTGAGGGAGATTAGTGGACAGGTGGATAACGTGGTGTTTAGCGAGGGGTTGGTGCAATTTAGAGGAAAGTGGTTTTTGTACTTTGGGGAGGGTGATGCGTTTTTGGGTGTGGCCACTACTCCAGTACAGCCGTAACGATGTTCGGAAGGTGTGACTTAGACGAGTGTTGAAATACATTTGAGTGATGTCCTCGTGCCGCGGTGTGTTCCTTCTGGCACTGTGACTGGCGTTCAATGAACGATACGTGCTCCTGGTAGAGTTGTTGAAGAATATCTAAATAAAAGCATATGCCGGTACCACAGTTATCCCATATATATGAGCTTTGAGACGAATCAATTCTTGAGCTTAGCGACAAGAATGTCAATGAGACTGTTTTTGAATGGCTCATGAGCGCTCAGAGCTCCGTGCTCGAACTGGTATCTTGCAGCATACCTCATCGAAAACGAGATCCAAGAGATCGTCCAGAAATAACCAATGCACTTCAGCAAAGCTACAGCACCCATCAGCAGCTGTTGGGCATATCTGTCCTTGTCAACTTACTACTACTCTTGATCCCCTTCTGCCTTCCCAAATCTACAATATAGTCCTCCAATCTGACAATAGGAGCTTGCATGATGAAATACGTAAACATACCATGCGAGCTGGGCGTCCAAGGACAATTGAGCGCGCCAGACCAATGGACGAATCCTGACATGGTGAAGGAGCTCAAGAGGCTGACGGTACGCTTCGCCCCTCTAGAAGTGACTCCAAGCCATCTCTGAGCATATGGTGTGAGTATGCCAAGTGGTCTTCGAAGAAGTTGATGCCAGACTCGACCCCATGCTCGACTCACCAGATAGCCATCCGAGATGTCTCCGAAAAGAGGAGGCCAGTCTTCGGGTGTTTGGAATCTGGTAGCAACGGTGAGGAGTGCGCCGATTTGGTAGGGGAGGTTGATGAAGCAGAATGCTTCGAGTTGGTGGAGCCAAGTGAGGATTACTTGGTTGATGATGGGCTCATCGAAGAAAGATCCGCGGTTGGTGGATTGAATGTAGGAGAATTGTCCCATGGCATGTTTGCAGATGTCCCAGGCGAGATATGAGCCGAAAATACGAAGTAGTGTACGGAATAGGAAGTATCTGGAATTATTAGTGAATTTGGCTTTGAATGTAGCTTGGAGCATACATGGTAGATTGTGGTTGCCGCCCAGGGATTCCTCCCACTTCCCAATTCCATCCGATACCTCTCAGGGTAAAGAGCCATAGCTCAGCACTATCCTTGAATTTCGTCCAGATTGACTTTTTCCCGTCAATGGCTGCAACATACTGCAATTCTTGGGTGCTTCCAATCTTCTTGATTGAAGCGTTTCGATTCTTGACCTTGTAAACCTCTCCATCCCTTTTTAGGATCCCAAAGTCAATGAATTTGAGCACGAAGCCGAATATGAATGAAGCTCGACTGAAGTCTTTGACATTGTCACCTGTTGAAAACACCCGAATTTGACTGGCAAGGAGACTGAGAGCGGGAACTGCGAGTGCAACGCGTGTTTTTCGCGGCAGCATCGTTGAGCCGATACAGGCTGACAATGTCAACGGGAGAAACCATGGTCTTGGTGACACAACGCGATCTGGTGATGGATACCATTGCTTGGGGTCGAACAAAATGTCCATGATAGCTGTATGCAAGAGTTGTGTTGCTTAATTACTTGTAAAAATATCATAGAAAGAGAAAATGAAAGAAGGAACGAGATTGAAAGGTAAGGAGGGCAGGAGAGGTTCAAGCCCTTGAGGACGATCATATCCAAAGATGGTACCTCATCAGCCTCTGATCTGCATATGCTACAGCGACTACGCGAAGAGATAGGCAAGGAAGGTTTGCGAGTTTCATTAATTGGTCTCAGGAACATGCCTGACAATAGTACAATGTTCGCAGCTCATAACTTTTCGGGCTGTGAGCCTGTGACAGATCTAAGAAGAGCAAAACCAGTGGAGTATAAGTTCGGAAAACTTTGAAGGACAAAACCGTTTGACCTGAGCCTGAGAGATATACAAGAGTACAAAAGGACTACCGTATATAATATTGGCCATTTGTGAGAAAAGAGTATGTTCCGAATGTTTATCGGAGACCTGGCGAGGAGATGGTGAGAGTGGAAGCAAGAACTGCCATTTTGGTGTTAATCGCCGACCGTAATCGTGAACATCCATCAGCCGCAGAGCCTCGCGTCTCGAACTTCAACAACGCGACAATTGAAGTTATTCTCACCACAACCCTCGAACCCTCCTCTCTTCCCCATCGCCAGCTGCAAAGATGGCATCTCAACCCCTCAACTCTTCAATGCAACCCACAGATGTCTACGGTGGAGGTAATTGGCCCCATCCACCCCTCCAGACAGCTCTAACATCCACCTACAGATGAAGTATCCGCAATCATTCTCGACCCAGGCTACTCCAGCGTTCGCGCCGGCTTCGCAGGAGAAGACTCGCCGAAATCCTTCCTCAATTCACATTACGGCGTGCTAGACAGCGGCAAGTTCGTTTTCGGCGACGATGCGATCCACAACCCGCTCAGCCATCTCGAGATCCGGAACCCGATGTCGAAGGAGGGCATAGTGGAGGATTGGGACACGGCTACACAATTATGGGAATATGCGATTACATCACGACTCACGAGCTTCAAGCAGGCGGATCCACGGACGAATGGCCTGAATGATGATGTTAAGGATATGGATGTGCAGATGGAGGGGGTTGAAGATAACGAGAAACCGCTGGAAGAGCATCCGCTGCTGATGACCGAGACGGCATGGAATACAGTGAAGAATCGCGAGAAGGCTATTGAGATTGCGATGGAGAGCTGGGGATGTCCTGCGTTCTGGCTAGCGAGGAACAGTGTCATGGCTGCGTTTGGAGGGGGAAAGGCAACCGCGCTGGTTATTGACGTCGGTGCTTCGACGGCGTCTGTTCTCGGTATACATGATGGACTCATCTTGAAGAAATCCGTGCAGCGATCGCATCTCGGCGGAAATTGGCTCTCTTCACAACTTCGCGCTATGTTCAACAGCCAGGATCCAAAGATTGAGCTGGTACCGCATTTCATGGTCTCCTCCAAGACGGCAGTTGATGCAGGTGCGCCAGCCCAGGCTGTATTCCGCAAATACGATAAGACGGCTACAGACAGCTTCCGAGCATTGGAAGAAGAGCGTGTTCTTACCGAGTTCAAGGAGTCAGTTGTGCAGACATGGTCTGGCCCCGGCAGGTTGAACATGCAGAATCAGACTGGAGGTAGCAATCTCGACTTCGCCCGCTCACAACCAGGTCGCGTATTCGAGATGCCAGATGGTTACAACCAGATGTGGGGTGTAGAGCGCTTCCAAGTCGCAGAGGGACTATGGGACGCCAAAGCCGCTCTTTCTGTCCCTGGTGAGGCGGCTGTTACCCAGTCACAGACTATTATTGATATGATCAAGGCGAGCATTGGTGCTGTGGATGTTGATCTCAGAGGGCATCTTCTTGCGAACATCATTGTCACTGGAGGCACGACGCTGATCAACGGGTTTGGAGATCGTCTGAACAATGAACTGATGAACGCGTACCCTGGTACGAGGATCAAGGTCCAAGCTGCTGGATTAACTACGGAGAGACGCTTTGGTAGCTGGATTGGAGGAAGTATCTTGGGCAGCTTGGGGACGTTCCATCAGATGTGGATTTCTAAAGCAGAGTACGCTGAGTTTGGTTCAAGCGTCGTAGAAAAGAGGTGTAAGTGAGTACTGGTTGATGAAGATGTTGGAAAAAGCACTTGTTAGGGAAGGATCAAAACTTGCGAGGGCTTAGTCTGCTTGCTAGGTTGGTATTGAAATGATGGAATGGGGTTGGGTGGGTGGAGTGGCTGGCGTAGGGCGTTGAACTTGCTAGACTGATATACCATCTGGCTCTGTAGACAAGAAAAGTAAAATGAAATGGAATGAAATGCATTTGAGTCTTACTTCCGTATCTCTAGCAGATATCTTCCTTCCTAGCTCTTTCCATCATCGGAATCGTCCCTTCCTCTCACTCACCACCCCCTCCACCTCGGCCAAACATCCACAATCTCATCCCCGCCATCAACAACTAGATACCAGCCAAACCCCGCGCCAGTAATACAAGCATGATTCGGCCAGATCCTGATCTTCTGTCCTACGTGTAACATTTCTTCTTCGGGGATCTTGCTTTCCTTTTCTGTTGTGCTGGTTTCGGTTGTGCTGGTTTCGGTTGTGCTGGTTTCGGTTGTGCTGGTTTCGGTTGTGCTGCTTTCGGTTGAGTTGTTTGGGTTTGAGGAAGGGGAAGTCCAGACGAGAATTCCGTGTTCTTGACTGATTCGTCCGACCGTCCAGCCGGTGTGAAGTTCGGGACTGGTTAGGGGTGTGTGTCTGTAGGAGGGAGGAGACATTAGTTGGGTTTGGGGCAGGGGGTCGAGGGAACGAGTTGAGGTGAGGTGAGGCTAGGTGGGTTGGAGGTTGGAGGTTGAAAGATGCGGAATAGAGAAACAGAAAAGGGAATACATACACGCCTTCCCTCCCCCACCCACTCACAATCCCAAACCCCCCATACGCTTTACACGGCTCCCTCGCCAACGCAATAATCCCCGCATTGATCAGCACCTCCGGCGTTCCATTCTTGCCTCTCCCAGGATAAATCGAAGCCACTTCCGCTACGACGGTAAATGCTAGGTCGTTCCAGGTGAGCATCGCGTGTGGACCGGTTGTGGGAAGAGCGTGGGTGGCGAGCTGTTGGATGTCGAGCGTGGGGTAGACGCCGGCGTGGATTTCGATGGTGAGACCGCTGGATCGGATGAGGGAGATGGTGGCGCGCAGGGCGGAGATGGCTTCTTGGCTTGGGGTGGAGGGAAGGGGGGAGGATGGGGATCTGGAATCTGGTGGCGGGTGCGTGAGGAGGAGGTTGCGGATTGAGGTTGTGGTTGGGGTGGCGCCGACGGCTGGAGGAACTCGTCAGTAGGGTTTGGGATTGGGGCAAACTACCCTGACATGGGCTCTTTGTGAGAAAGCAGTGTTGTGATGAATGTGATACCAGGAGATGGGGCCAATATTTCTGGTTTTGACTTACATAGCACAAGTGGATGGGAAGGAGACACGGTCCGTAATTCTATAGCTGTTACGAGCAGAGCCTCAAATTCTTGACGTAGGAAGTCAAGAGCATCGGATTCGCCTGACGAGGAGTAAGATTGACCTGCGTGAGAGTAGAGACCTAGGAGGTTGAGAGTGCCGGCTTTCTCAAGTTCTAGGAGGGAGGCGATGAGCGTAGTGCAAGCGGTTGTTTGGGGAGCAACGCCGGCGCGGTGACCGCCCATGCTGAAAGGTTCGTTAGTAGATGTTTATTCAACCAGAGACTGAGGTGGAGAGTTGGCAAAGTAATGAATGGAGGTCAAAGGGTTATAAGCTATGAATTGAGTTGGACATAAGTGAGTAAACAGGCTAGTATGCAAGCGGACTCTTTCAAGACAGTGAGAGGCAGGAGAAAGCAGGGACGCGGCACCGGAATGAAACAGGAAATGAAGCTTGAATAAGCTTATGGTAAAGGTTAATACAACATACTCGATCTTTAGGAATACAGATGGAGCATTTCCGCTGAGCTCATGGAGTGCAGTAACATTTGGCAATTGATCTGGATGATCAACCATCAAAGATAGACCCCTCGGTCCAAGGGCTTCGGAAATGAGAGCAAGACGCTCAACTGCTGATGGAGTGATCGGAAAGGAGTACAGAAGCTATGATGGTTAGCTGGTCTCCTACAAACAAAAGTGGGGGATGGAACTCACATCGACAGCTCGGCCAGATGATTTGTATTCTTGGAGAAGGGGAACTATGTGCTCTGCCTCTACGAGGGTTGATACTATGATGTTTGCTGGACCAGGACCTTCTCCTACTTGAAGCCTTGTAAGTTCGGTTGTCTGTGAGCGTCAGCTTGAATCTCGTCATAGGGACATTGAATAGAGCGCTTGCGATTGATTGAAAAGGTGAATATTAGGAGACAATTCATTTTCCAGGCTAAGAGAATGCAGAAGTTTCCATACTTTGTGTGTCTTGATGTGAGCTCTCCAGCTAAAGTCCAAGGATTCAACAGCCTCCAACATCCGATTACAGTTATTCTTAACCTTCCCTAAATCAAGCACAGCAGCAGGAACGGCTACATCTTTGATAGACTTTCCTACAAACTGTTTCCTCAGATCTTCTTTGATTGAAAGAGGGTATAAGGAGGTGGTAGCCATGACATGGGAATCTCCGGAGGGGTCGGGAGGAGGATGATAATGGAAGGACTTTAAAGAGGGGAGTTTTGGGTGCATTTGGAATATGTGAATGAGAAAAGTGGGGTGATTTGGATGATCAACGCCCGCCCAGTTGGTAAAGTGAGAATCTGATACTGTCACCTAAATATTGAAGATGGGAGTTATGGGCCTTGTTTCTCGTGGGCCAGGATCAGCAGAAGCTAAATCAGACGATGCTGTACAACACGGCGGTAAGCTCGGGTTCGATACATCTTCGCAGGTTCACGTAACCCGTTGATAATTCTCAGGTAGCAAAGCCTAGTAAGACAGAAAACCCGTAATTGCAACAAATCAAGCAAGACCAATAGTTTGAGAAGTTTTACCTAAATCTGGAAGCTGAAGTTGAAAGTTGACGTCGGCGACTGAGATCGACGCGTCACGTGATCATTAGGGATCACCAAGCATCATATGCGCGCCAAGCATATCAGCCTCGCCGCGACCAACCTAGAATCTCCTCCCCGCCTACAATTTACTTCAGCCTCTTCAACCACGCTCCTTTGGCCCCCCATACAACTCCCTCCCACAACTTCGACGCCACGGTCAACGAGAGCTTGACTTGCGCACCGCAGTGACCCTCCCTCATCGACCTTTACAAGAACAACCCTCTGCGAACTCCTTACCCAACCTGAACAGACACGACATCTGCGAGCTCTCCGCTACAGGTTAGCAAGAGCGCGCAATGGCGGAACCAGATTTCTCGTCCTTTATGGACACGGACTGGGAGAAGCAAGAAGAAGAAGACTCACGCAACTTGAACGCCCTTCTTGCTGCCCAATCGAGTACCAATCAAGATGAAGAAACCCAAGGTCTCTTCGACATGAACCGTCCTCTCGACCTGGGTGACAAGGCCGACGACGCAGAAGATTTCGAGGATATCAGCGATGACGATCTGCCAGAGGAGGAGGATGTTAGTGGGGAGAAGATGGACGACGCGCCTGGACTGACAGATGACGCCACGGGCAACGATGAGTACGATGACGATGATCTGTTCGGCGAGAGTGGGCGCGCTTCTTCACCTTTCGAATTCGAGGAGCCAGATACACAGCCTACAATTGCTTCAGAACCGCGTATCAATGTCGGACTCACTCTACCTTCTATCGCGCCTGAACCTGAGTTTGTCGACCTCCGCGCCCTTAACTTTCCAGACCAGTTCGCCGCAGATGAGGAGGATGGCATGCCTAAGGGTGAAGCTGAGATCGAAGCATACCTTACTGAGAACTGGCCAGAATACGAGAAGGATGCTGTTCTAGACTTCAACAAGCTGTTCCCTCCACACCCATCGCATTTCGTTGCGCGAGCACCGGAGAAGCCACCCAAGCCACTACATCCGACCAAGGTCAGCTTGAACATCGCCCCTGACCAGGAGAAGCTCTTCCGTACCGCCGGCCCAGCCCAGAGCGACAAATACACTCGCATTGCAGAAGATGAGGCAAAGGGACTTGTCTCAATTGTGGAAGACTCAGATGAAGAAGAGGACAGTGACGATGAGTTCGATTATTCTCCTATTACCGATAGAGTTGGAGGCAAGAGTATTCTTGACCTTGACATCATCTGTGCCGACTTTGACGTCGTTGATGCTCCGGCTTTGGTTCCTGCCCCAGTTGAGGAAGAGGAACCTCAGGACGAGTGGGAGAGAGAGTTCTTGGGTCCTGCAACGAAGCGCAACGCCGAGTACGAATTTGTATTCAAGCCACGTTTCCCAATGCCAAACTTCGATAACTTCGAGCGAATGACTGCCCAGGTAGCCAAGCGCGTTGTTTTAGATCTTAACGACCCCCATCTCCTCGTTGAGATCTCGGAGGTCGACCGTTCGGCCAAGCGTAGATGCCTTGGTCTGGGTAAGAGAGCTCCGAAGGATATCAAAGCTTCCCTCAACCAGCGATTCAACATCTCGAATGACGACGAATACTCTCATCTAAAGAACAATCATGGCAAGGTCAGAGCTACAGTCGGTAACATCACTGTTGAGCATTCTCTTCCCGCTCAGAAGTTGGCATGGCCCTATTACCACGTCAAGCTCAATGACCACCAGGCTCGGACATACCACCGACCTCAGCTGCAGCTTGGCAAATTCCTTCATCAAAATATTCACTTCTCTAAGCCTGGTATGAGAAAGAAGAGAGAAATGAGAACCCTGACAACCGAACAAGCCTTCAAGGAAACCAAGGATCTCTCCCTGTCCGATTACTACGCGACTGCTACTCTAATTGAGTACTGTGAAGAGTACCCTACCGTTCTCTCCAACTTCGGCATGGGAAATCGTATCATCAATTATTATCGACGCAAGGATGCTGATGATCAGAAGGAGCCTGCTAAGTTTGATGATCGCGTCGGTGATACCACCATCCTCCTCCCAGAAGACAAATCTCCATTCTCGATCTTCGGAACTGTCGACCCTGGCGAGACTGTTCGTACTATCCACAATGCCATGTATAGAGCCCCCATCTTCAAGCACAACCCAAAGAGCACCGACTTCTTAGTTGTTAGATCGAGCACTGGCGTCAACGGCTCTTCCTGGCATATTCGTAACATTGACAACCTTTTCGTGGCTGGTCAACAACTGCCCGCGATGGAGATTCCTGGTCCTCATGCCAGACGAGTCACTAATGCTGGAAAGAACAGAATGAAGATGGTTGCTTTCCGTAAGATGCGCCACAATCCGCGTCAGGAAGTTTCTCTCAGAGAGATCACGGAGCACATTGCAGATTCTACAGAGTCGCAGAACAGACAAAAGGTCAAAGACTTCCTAATCTATGATAAGGTCGGTAAGGTGTACAACGTCAAGCCCACCGAAGGTCCACTGGATGAGTCTTTTGTCCGCACACTGGTCAAGCCTGAAGAGGTTTGTGCCCTGGATGCCATGCAAGTCGGAGCATGCCATCTTGTCGATGCCGGTTATACTCTCGATAAGGAAGATGTGGAAGATGCTGGAGAGATTCGAAACCAGAGTCTAGAGCAGAAGCTCGCACCTTGGAACACCACTAAAGCCTTTTGCGATGCCGCACAAGAGAAGGCGATGTTGGAGCTACATGGTGCAGGAGATCCTACTGGCTGTGGGCTTGGAATCAGCATGATTAAGACTTCCATGAAGGGTGGTTACCTCGAGGGTATCAAGGAGGGCGAACTGTCAACTGCAGCTGCCAGAGTTGCTCTTGATCCAAAGGCGAATAACGGCCACGGATACAATGTGAAGGTCCAACAAGATCTATATGGTGGTGGCATCCAGCGAATTTGGAATGGTCAGAAGAACACTTTATCAGATCAGGCTGAGAAGGATGAGATGGAGGTGGATGAAGATGCTCCTGAGGAAGAAGCATCGATTGCAGCCAAGACACCTCGATCTATGGCCACACCTGCATTTGATGATGACGAAAGCACTTACAGCGAGGACACTCTAGAGAGAGTTCTGAGAATCACCCGATCGACCAAGAATCAATATGGACAGCTGGAGGAAGTCACGGAGGTCATCCGCGATCAGAAAGTTATTAACATGTACCTGAAGCGCCGCACTGAAATTGAGATGGCAGATGTTGAGTAGGTCCACAATCCCCAGTAACACTGCATAATCATGCTAACTTTGTTAGCCTTTTGAAGTGGGAGCCCACAGGTGACCCTGAGGCTGATCGGATTATGGCCGCAAGGCAAGTACTTTCTCACTTCATTCCTTTCTCCTCTTCCCCTTCTGTTTTCAGGAGCCAGTGCTAATAGACAGCAGAGCTCAAGCAGAATTGAAGCGTCTGAACGTCAACAGAGATCGCCGTAAGCATCGCTGGGGCGCCAAGGGAAACTTGGACGGAGTCAAAGGTGGTATCGCCAAGGGACCAAAGTCGAAGACCAAGGGCTCGAAATCAGCGTCTGCGGGCATGCTATCGCCTTCCTCTACTCCCGCTCCTTCCATTGAAAAGCCTGCTGGAACAACCAGAAAATGCGCCAACTGTGGTCAAGCTGGACATATCAAGACCAACAAGAAGTAAAGTTTACTTTGAAATCCTGCATGATGTGCTCTTGCTAATTCGCTTAGGCTTTGCCCAATGCTTAACGGTACAATGAAGCCAGGTGACAACCCAACCAACAATACCGGTTTTGGTAATGGAGGCTTTGGCAGTGGTGGCTTCGGAAATGGCGGCTTTGGCGATGGTGGCTTTGGTGATGGCGGATCCAGTGCTCCCCAAGCATCGTTTGCCTAAAGCCTCCACCAAAGCCCAGGCCACGAAGTGCTGCACCCCTCTTTCTTACACCACACAGCGACGTGTTACGACTACTATCCTACGACTCCTTTCCCGCTTCTTTCCACAATAGGACCTTCGTTCTCATGCACTGCATGAGATCATACATCAGCCAATCAAGCGAACACACTTTCCAAGACTTGATCATACACAACTTCCCTTCTTGTAAACATGTTTCACATCACACTCTGGACTGCAACGCCTTTCAATCAACAAACTTCCGACCGACTCAAATTCGAGCGATACACTTCCGAGCGAGCATTCCCGGCGTTGGAGGATCATTTTCCGCATTTTCTGTATCCCATCGCATCTGTCGGCGTTGGGGTTGCTGGCCATCACAGCAGGCGTTCTGCTTTGAGAGGCACAGCGAGTGTACACTCTGTATGATATGTATTGGCGTTTTGAGGCCAGATTCGATTAACATCTGGCCTTTTTTTTTAAAAAAAAAAAATGGGGCTGGGTTTCTTGAATGATGACGATGATGCGATCCGAGCATCGTGCATTAATTTTACCGTCCTTAGATGCGGACGAGGCGCTGTAGGGCTTTAATTTCACTGAGAAGACTGCAGAGGAGAGTGTTAAAGCACTCAGATGGTTGGATAAATTGTCGATGCAGCACGTTCATAATTTGGTTGATGGTTTGATCCGTCCAATAAGGATCGGAGCATCCCTTCTCTCCACACAGCACATCGATAACCACCTTGGTTTGGCTGGTTCCGTCCTAAACGACTGGAGCGCCATTCCCTCCTCTCATCACCAAACTGGTTTCGATAGTCAGGTTCAGCTTGATCCGTCTTCACGACAGGAGCGCTGACCCTTCGATCCAAACGCCAACTCAAACACCTGGTTCAGTTGATCCGTCCCGTTCGGACTGGAGCACTGTCCTTCTGTTCAGTTCATACGCCACCTCAGCAAACCCTCGCAGCTGATCCGTCCTACAGTACTGGAGCGCTGTCACTTGATGCTATGGTATGGCTATGCATGACGAATCGATTTCCTCTTTCCTCTTAGCTTCTTCGTACTTGGCGATGATGAAGGGGGTCACCGCATGTACTGTCATTGAGACAAGACAGGTTAATGAATGAAAAATCATAAACTCATCGCCTTCCATGTAATTTGATTTGTGTTACTGTGATTGTGATTATGATTTGGTGTTGTGCGGAGTAAGAGTACATCATGTTTGCACTACATATCACTAAATCCTCTCCGTAAGGTAAAAGTTTTCTTGATCTGTCCAGTACTGTTCTAATGTTGGTTGCTTAGGAGCGCAGAAGCTAGACAGCCTGCTGCAGCACAGCGATCTGACCTTTCTGGCTCTCGAGCGCGAAACATGACATTGTGTACCTTTGAACAAATGCTCCATTGCTAAAAGTTCACGAGCTGACCAATCTCCAGATCCCCATCGATCAATACATTAGGAGATAAACAGCGAATCTCATTAGCTCATTGCGGCGCGCATCGGAACAGCTGCCTAAGCGAGTGTTGACAGCTGCAAAATCTAGCTTGGTCAGTATGCAGCATGCATGCATACGGCGGGAACATCCCTGAGTGGTAATTATGCACCGGAGCGCATATGGATGGCCCATCATCCAATTACAAGTAGTAATTTGCGATTGAATGATCGCGGCCTGGTCTTTAATGTGCATTCAATTCATATATTGTATTTATTCGGCCTCGTGCATGCATGGATTTGTGGGTTCCCTATCGACCACTGTCAGCCAGTCGAACCCGAGTACTGATAACAGCATGTCACATTGCCTTACTTGAACAGCTTCTGCACCTCGCTGCCTCTCGCCTTACACTTTGTTAGATTTCCAACCTGAGCAAGGTCCAGTCCCAGCACCATGGACCTGGAATCGAATGTTTATTTCCTGGCTTTGCCAGCACTCGTTGTATATCTGTGTGCCGTCATATTGGGAAGACTCTTCTTTCATCCTTTATCAAAGATTCCCGGACCCAAGCTTGCCTCCATCACGCGCTCATATATATTTTATTACAACGCTACAGGCGGCAGCAGGTTCTATCTTCAAGTCGAGAAGCTTCACGAGAAATATGGTACTTAGATCACAACTCCTCTGAGATCCTTAGAAGAATTATCTGACTGTATCCTAGGACCTATCATCCGCATAGCCCCCTACGAAATCCACCTCAGCGACCCAGAAAACCACGAGAAAATCTACCGCGCCGGATCAAAATATACCAAAGAACCCACCTTCTACGCCGCCTTCGGCTGCGAAACAGCCGCCTTCAGCACCCCCAGCAACTCACTCCACCGCACCCGCCGCGCAGCACTCAACCCGCTCTTCTCCCGGAAACGGGTCCTCGATCTCGAAGACGTCGTTCAATCCAAAGTCGCAAAGCTCGATCAGCGACTCCGTGATGCTGCGTCGACGGGAGAGGAGGTCGATCTGCATTATGGACTTCGAGCTATCTCTGTGGATACGATTACGGATTATGGGTTTGGGAAGTCGTATGATTTGTTGGAGAGGGAGGATTTGGGGAGGGGTTTCTTTGAGATGATGAGAAAGCTGGGGCCGGCGATTTGGTTTTTTCAGCAGTGGCCGTTTTTGCAGCCTGTTGCGTTGGGGATTCCGGAGTGGTTGGCGAGGAGAGTGAGCTCGAATTTGGGGACTACTATGCAGTTACAAAGTGTAAGAGTTCATTTCTTTGCTCATTTCTAGTGGCCTTTCTGGCCTTGTAGAGGTACTGACTTTGAAAGGAATGCCGTGATAACATTGTTGTGATTAAAAAGGCCATGGAAGCGGGAGTCAAGGATGAATCTCGGACGACGATCTTTCATCAACTTCTCGATCCGAATGCGACGGAAGGCCATGTCGTACCTTCTGTTGATAACCTGACAGATGAAGGGTTTGTGATATTGGGCGCTGCTTCCGACACTACTGGAAATGCAATGACCGTCGCCATGCATGGAGTCGTCAGAAACCCAGCTATTTACGCCAAACTGACTGCGGAGCTTAATGAGGCGTTTCCTGACCCGACTGTGACGTTGGACTTTATCACACTGGAGAAACTTCCCTATTTGGTGAGGACTGGAGCTCATGTACGTTTCTGGTGGATGCTAACCTGGGTAGACTGCCGTGATCAAAGAAGGACTTAGGTTTGCTCATTTGCCCTGCTGGTACTTTCAGCAGCTAAATTCTCTAGACTATCATATGGTGTCATCGGTAGACTTCCCAGAGTGGTAAACGAACCTGGTGTTTCATTCCACGGCTTCGATATCCCACCATGTGTAAGTCACACCACCACCTCTCACATATCACAGCTTCAGCAAGCATCTAACACAACAACAGACCATCGTCGGAATGAGCGCATATATGATGCATCGTAACCCTGAGCACTTCCCCAACCCAGATACCTTCGATCCTGAACGATGGACCGAGCCCGGGGCCGCGAGGAGACTCGACAAATATCTGGTGCCCTTCTCTAAAGGACAGAGACAGTGCATTGGGATGCCGTGAGCCTTTCCATTTTCACTCTGCATCTTATTCACGACTCAATGAGATGGAATGATTTTAAAGTATCAATACTGACTGGCGACTTAGACTTGCATATTGTGAGATATATGTCACGCTAGGGACACTGCTTCGTCGGCATCAAAACCTGAAAGCAATGCCTATGTCTGAGGAAGACTTGGTGTACCAGGTTTATTTCGCCGCATATCCTCCTATTGATGCAAAGAAGTTTCGTGTTACGGTTTAGGGTGGGGTGCAGTGTCAGGAGAGTAGGGTTTGGCGGGGTGGTTTCGGGTGACGGAGCTAGTGGTGGGGGCTGGTTAAGCGAGTAAACAAAGGACAGGCGGCATTAAACAAAGAGAAAACTGGGTCTTCATCTGGCATAAGTTGATGCACAGGAAAGTATGTCCCAGACGTGACTGCTTCAAAAAAGAAATTTATGCCTAGAAGAAAATCCATTGCTTTTGTTACTTTCGCAAGTTACCACGCTCGAAGATTCTTACGAATCATCAAGTCCATTTAGATCAACCCAATCTGCTTCATCCTCATAATCCCTTGGATGTGCCATAAATTTTCAGGTTCGTCTGAACCAAGAACCCTCCTCGGATCACAACGACCAAGCAGCAATACCCCTCCCAGGCCCCATCTATGACTCCTGCTCGGACAGATACTGAGATACATCAAGCTACCATCCTCGTTGCATCTAATCAAAGTTCCCAATAACTCTAGCGTGAAGTTCTCTCCTACAGATACAGGTCTCCGAATGGGACACGTGACGTCGTTACATGGCATGGAGTTTTCCTCGCTCGGAGCGAGGAATATCTTCTCAGTATGCTGCGCGCCACAAGTGGAGACACCGCGCGTGAACCCCGTCTGGCGAGCGAGGTAGAGAACTTGAGTTCAATATTTTCCAATCCGGGATTCAAGGGATTACTCGCAATTTCAGTCTGGAAAATGTGCTTGTAGGCGGCAATTTTCCCGGTTGTGGCTGACAGTCCGATCTGGATTCTCACACCAGGGAGCCAGAATCCGAGATAGCGTGGTTTCTTCTGATATATTACGTCTTCGAGATGTTGGCTAAATGCGACTAGGCGTGTTATAGAGTGAGTGCGAGCTTGGCTGGGGCTGGGGCTGAGGGTTTCGATGACTATGTTGAGGATTTCTTTGGAGGAGGGGGCAATTGGTCTTGATGTAGCGAGCCATTTGCATGATGCGGGTGAGGAGGTCAGAGTCCGTGTGATATGTGTTTCGCGTGAGGTCTCCGAAGGAAATGGCGAAGTGGTGGACACCGCTGATGTCGAAGCGTGAGGTGGTATCGAAAAGTGTGGTTCTATAGAGGTTCAATCCATGGGTAGTATCGAGATCCATGAGTAGGATTGAGCGCTCAACATCAATTCGTTTCGGGGGTAATGGGTTGAAGACCTTCCAAGCTGCAACGAGATTTGTTTGGCGTTGGAGCCTTGTAGTTCTGGCTGTAAGTATGTATTCAGAGGGCTTGTGTTTCTGCTGAAAGTCATAGCCGGGCAACCATTTTCGATTGCAATATATCATTGAAGTGTTGAGAGGCGCTCTTGTGAAGGACAGTAAAGCCGAATATTGACTGACCTACAAGCAAACCTCCACAACACGGGGTTCCAGACGAGCAGCCTCCCAGATTAGAAGATTGAGCTCAGTTGCAAGCTGACTGAACGCGTGGAAAGTCCTTGGAGGTATTGAGAAGTTGATGGAGGTATTCTCATCTGGCCAGGGGATGACGACAGCTTGAGCGGAGCTGTTGAAATCTTACTCTCCGGAAGGGAAAGTCGGATGCTTAACTATGCGCCAATGATCTCTTTGAGAATCAGTACATGAAACAAGCTTGAACCCGATCGATGGTATTGGGAGAGTACGTACCGGCGGAAAATACCTGAAGAGAACGGTCATTGGGTTTAGAAGCCAGAAGTCCTTCCATATTGTGGGATGGGGGGCCTTCTGCCTGTTATCTGCGCGAGTTAGACATGGAATCAAGAGCCACACTATTTTTTCATGTAAAATACGTACCTTGAATTGCCAGGGGAGAGGCAATGCTCAGCCCTTTGGGCTTATTCTTTTCCTGGTTGTGTATAGAACAGGCATCCGAGGCCGCTGCACTGGTGACTGCTGACTGTTGTTGAAGTCGGGCAGAGTAAGCGATCTGCTCCCAACTTAATTTCTTGTCCTGAATTGGAAGACTATCGGGAGTGGCTTGTCTTAAGTGAGCGGGGTTGTGGGTAGAGGTAGTTGCATACTGCTGGCGGTTCTTCTCAAAGCATCGAGGCACAATCAGCAGCACCTTGAATCGCGACACTCCTACCTATTTTTCCATCTTCGCTGCTCTCCAATCTCTCAAAATCGAAGATGCTCTTCACCAAATCCCGAAGACTATGGACATTAGCGCAGAAGCAGAAGACGTTCATTCAACTCGAAATATCCCAAATTATCCTCGAAGTTCTGCATCTCATCTTCGATGCCACTCTTAAAAGTAGTAGATATACGTACAGACCAGGGAACATGTCGCATATTCTTGCTGCACTAGTAGTAGCATTTACGTATACATATGTCGTATACTTCAGAAAGAACATTGATGATGCTGAAGATGATGAGGAGGAAGGGATTCTCGGAATGAATATGAGACGAACTTACCGGAAAAAGGAAGTATATTGTTGGAGGAGATTTGAAATATGTATTAATGTGGATATCACAGGGACGGGATTAACTCGATTTTTGGAAGTATTGGAACTGTGTTTCTTTGTTTGACACGGCTTTCATTTTCTGCTTGTGGAAGGTCGGGGCGCTGGGAAGACAATGGTATTGAGTGGCCGTCCTTCTTTATCAAGTATGGAACCTCAAGGTTAGCTTTCAACGGCATTTCAAGAATGGATGCAGCTTGTAGCTGTAGCTTTGCCTTCAAACTAAATTTGTAGAGCACCCATTGGCCATGTTCGATCGCGACCCCAGGACATAATCGATATCTTGCGTCAAAATATCCAAGATTAAGCTGCTCACGCCCACTTGCCCAAAACACTCATAAGTATCAACCCAGCAACAAGACTGACCCCCCCAACAAGCGCCTTCACCCACCCCGCCCTCGCCATATCACCCCCCATCCAATCATGCGCCAACATCTCCACCAGCCCAACCCATAACAGAATACCCGCACTCAACGCATCCAACGTACCAATCGCCACGATCGTCGCAGGATCATTGCCATTGAAGTGCTGCAAGACGCCTACACCGATGGCCATCCCGATGGGAGTGATGAGCGTGAAAATACCCGCCATGAGGACCTTGGTTAGGAACGATGTTGAGGATTTGAGGGCGGCGATTCGGGTTCCGAGTGCGAGGCCTTCGAACATTTGGTGGAAGAGGATGACGATGAAGAGGGTGGTGTAGTAGGAGTTGGGTGTTACGTTGAGGGTTATGCCGATTACTGGATTTTGTTAGAGAGGTACGACTGGGTGGGATGAAATGGAAAGAGACAGGGTGCATACGGATAGAGTGGAACACAATGCCTGACTCCATGACTGCAACGCTGAAATGGCTGTCTGGATGCATGTTGTTGGAGTGTGCATGTCCAAGCGCGGCGATATATGTATCTGGAGCGATGGGAGCGGCATGTGTGCTTCCTTTCGGAGAGGTCTCGGATAACTGCTCCGAATCTACAGGAGTGATAGCACCTGCGTTTCTTCTTGCCACAAGTCGATTACCGATGTATTCAACAAGGAAAGAAAGCATCACTCCTGCCATTGCAATGGCTGTGGTGGTCCCTTCGTACATGAGAGGTCCGAGACATTCGTTCGCGAATTGCATTTCAGCATGGGAGAGGAGCTTTGGTTTATTAGTGGACGTATCAGGATCAGGGAATGGCCATTTACATGAACAAATGCTGTCGAGATGATGATGCCAGTGCCGAATTGCTTGAGGATGGTGAATAGAATGCTGTTGAGTGTCATTTTACTGAATCGTTCGATGATCATCGGCGCAAAGACAGCTACTATCAATCAGCAAGACCATTCTACCTACGCGACTACCGAGGACATACCGAAACCGCTTGTTACAAGAATAACAAAGATAAGCCCAATTCTCAGTCCTGTATTGTAATCTCGATCGACACGTTCGCAGGTAGCTGGAGAGGAGGATCCTCCAGTACAGTGCCTGAAAATACATAAGCTGGAGATATCAGAAGTGAGAGGAATAGGACTTACTCAACGGTTCCGTGAAAGTGGCAATTCCCTTTCGAAGTCTCGCCCTCAGCCTCAGCGTCATGGTCGTGATCTCCCTCCCCGTGGCCAGCCTCATCTGTATGTTCTGAGCCCTCGAGGGCGATGGAGACTTCTGATCCATCTGATGCTATACAGTATCTTGAATCGGTCAGCATCGCGAGACTTTCAAGCTAAACACCTCAGCGAGTGATTTTGGGAGTACCTACATTGAGCCACCTCCATGGCCGTGACAGTCGCTGTACGATTCTGGGAGGGGAGTAATGGCTGGAGTCTCGAGGACCTCATATTCAGTTCCACTCGCTTGACAGTACCTGGATTAGGGTGAGTATTGCGCTCGATCTGGTTGATATTTACAGTAAACTTACTGTGCGCCACCATCGTGAGTATGGCATGCTGTTACTGATGCTGGAATTGCAACAGACGTTTGGCTCGCATCTGCAGAGGCTGGCGCTGTAGTCACAGGCGCAGTAGTGGCAGTAGCTGTTGTTCCCGTTCGTGTGAAGGGTACTTCAGATCCGTTCGGGAGGTAACAGTATCTATGATCGTCATTAGAAACGACCACGCGAGCCAGCGAATTAACTTACTCCTGTCCATCATGGCTATGACAACCTGACAAAGTGAAAGTAGTCTGTGCCACCGCGCACGTGGCCAATCCAGCAAATACAAAGATATTTCGTAAAGTCATGATCGTGAAGTTTGGCTGCGTCAAAATGCGATGAAGGATGATGGCGGTGGTGGCTTGGTCGACAGCAACCTCGGATACCTTATACCCCCGAGCAAACAAACCCACATCCTGCACGAAAGAGATCATAAGCAAAAGGAACTAATCCCATCCCATCATTGGCCCCTCCCGGCGTAAATCTCACATCCACGTTCTCTGGGCATATGCTCGCCAAGCGAGCGGGTTTTTTGACCGCTGAGCTTTTCAACTCGCCCGCCCACAACCCTGATAGATGAACCCTCCACCAAAACATCACAGATCGTAATTCAATTGGCTGCCAAGCGACACCTTCGGCCGTTCCCTGCTCTAGTGGAGTTGAAGAAGAGGCAATTGTCCGCCAAGCGCCAAGCGCCGAGACAATTCAAATGCTTGAGTAGCCATCAAGGTGTCGGCATGCCAGCTCCCTTGTCCGATGGCATCAACCTTCCTCGGGGAAGTAACGTGTGGGAAGCACAGAAAGGAAATCTTTGGAGACGATCGAGACGATGACAGCTGCTGAGAGGGTGGTATCCCACCTTCGATAGATTCTAGCTTTGTCTTGGCTGCCGGCTTGTCGACCAATTTCTTGAAGACTTTTCTGTGATGCAGCGCTCCAAGCTTTTGGAAGACGTACAGAAGGAACTATCTTTTACCAATACCTTGATTCTGGGATAGATCTCCGAGAAAAAGATGCCATCAAGGTTGTAGATATTGCTGAATGATCTGACAGATTCTTTTCTGGCTGCTTGGCTGCAATGTTGTAAGTGGATACTTTGTACTATGTCACGGAAGCACCGACTGAGAAGGCTGGGAAGTGGATGATCGTTCAGGTACTGAACCAGAGGGGTCTTTCTCGGTGTATCTCACAACGAATATATAAGGCTCGCTGGTACCCGTGGGTTGATCCTCATCCTCGTCATCAGCCAGTTCATTCTCCATTGACTTTGAAGCCGCAAGAACGAATCTCTCACCATGTTGTTTACTCAAGTCCTCCTTCTCAGTGGTCTTTCATTGACTACTGCCATTCCCACCTTTACTTCTGAGCAGAGTGTCGAGAAGAGAGACACAGCTTGGACATGGAACGAGGGAGCATCGCCCGACTACACCATCCATGTTTCTTGCAATGCCACCGAGCGAGCCCAACTACAGCGTGCCTTGAACGAGAGCACCACTTTGGCCCAACATGCAAAGGACCACATTATGCGCTTCGGTAACTCATCAGAGACCTACGTCAAGTATTTCGGAAACTCCAGTACCACTGCTGAGCCTGCTGGATGGTTCGATAAGCTCATCAGTGGAGACAAGAGCGGAATCGTATTCCGTTGCGATGATATTGACCACAAGTGCTGGCAAGACGGTATGCAAATTGCTCATGGTTGCCTGATCAAAATGCTGACTTTCACAGGATGGGCCGGACATTGGAGAGGAGAGATCTCGCCAGACCAGACTGTCATTTGCCCACTGTCCTTCGAAGCAAGATGGTCGTTGGAGGCAATGTGCGGACATGGATATACTGTGGCAGAGCATAAGGATTCCCTCTACTTTGGAGCAGACTTGTTGCACCGCCTTTACCATACTTCGAAGATTGCCGAAGGTGTTGTTGATCACTACGCCGATAGTAAGCTTCCCCAATTTACTGTCAAAAGTAACATACTGACCAGATCCACAGCTCAAGAAGAGATCCTCCAACTGGCGATCGACCACCCCGAGGAGGCTGTTCGAAACAGTGCAACACTCCGCCATTTTGCAGTTGAGGTGTACGCCTATGATATCGCGGTTCCTGGACAAGGTTGTGCTGGCAGTGTTCCTGCGTCGTCAGCTACATCTGCAAGTGAAGCTCCAGCAGCCTCAGCAACATCATCTGTCGAGAGTGTACCTGCAACTTCAGAGACACCAGCCGCAAGCACAGCTGAAGCTCCTCCAGCTAGCACTGTAAGCAGTGCCGCTGCCGAGTGCCACACCCATGCCGACGGAGTTGTACACTGCGCGTGATGGGAATAATGAGAAGATGGGGAGGGGGATCAGAAACGATGAATGATTTCATGACAAAAATAAATAGATAACTCTAATTCTTCCTGTTGAGACACATGATAAAAGATAATATCAGACAATTTTATCCGTAATCTTCTGCGCAACTGGCACTGTGTCCTTGAACGACTGCCTCTCATTCAATCCATCAATGTACTTTGCCAGGTCTGGGAAATTCTTCCTCCATGGGTAATCGCTGAGCCGGACATCAATATAGCCACAGACACTTCCAACAGCGACATCTGCATGACCGAACTTGTCACCAATGATGTACTGCTTCTTCCCGATCCACTCGGCGAGAGCTCTGAATCCACCATCGACCTTTCTCAGTTGACGAGCCTTCCACTCCTCACTCTGACTGCCTTGAGCACGTTGCTTCTCGAAGAATAACAACACGAGGGCATCACACATCCCATCAACCACGACCTCGACTTTCTTGGCAAACAGCTTCTCATCAGTGTCTTGTGAGAGCATCGGCGTCGTGTTTGGGAACTTGGCTTCAATGTATTCCAAGATGTAATGAGATTCATATACCGCTGAACCATCCTCGAGGATGAGAACTGGGAGTTTCTCAAGTGGGTTGTAGAGCGGAGTCTTGGTTGTGCTGTCCCATGGTACCTCGGTTAAGAGCTCGAAGGGGATGCCCTTCTCAGCGAGGACGATGCGGACTTTTCTCGCGTAGGGAGAAGGAGTTGCGCTGATGAGTTGAAGCATCGTAGAGCAATGGCAGGATATAGAATGAAGCTGTCTGTCATGGGACATTGAGGAGGTCTAAATGAGGAGGTATCAATGACGACAAACGATTAAGCTAAGGAGGGCTAGCACGCAGCCTGATGCACGTGCTATGGTAGTGAGAATACAAATGATCAAACTAGTGAGAAGTGCAAGTAAACAAGAAAATTTTACTGATCTAAGCGAATAAGCACCTGGAAATGACCTGTCCCTGAAGGTCTTGAGATAAAACCTCCTCATGGGCCAAGAGACCTGAGATTAACACGCCAAGCCATACACTGAACAACGTAACTGAGAGGCTCAGAAGCTACAAGATAGAGAATGAGGCAACTTGAATTGGTCTGTCCTGGGTTCACAAACTTGTGAACAGCCCCCTCGACGGGGAATCTCTCCCAGTCAAATGCAGGACCGACTGGTATGGAAAAGGGGCGAGCCAAGATTTAATATGACGTATTAGACACTCTTGAAGCTGACCACGGGAAAAAAGAATACATGAAACTAAATTGTATGAGGCTCGTATATTGTGCGGCGTGTTGTCGAGCTTTTCCTTGTTACCTCTGTTGTGGAGTATGGATTCGAGTCATGAAGTCCAAATAAGCCTCGGCTGGTGGCTCGGAAACGCCAAGCTATTTTAAGCAGGGACACGCTAAGGAAATGTCAGGGGGAATCTCTAGAGAACAATGATATTTGGACCTCGTACTCGAACACGAAGCATCACGACAGCTTACACTTAGGAGATTCGGCCTGCCAGTCTCCCCCACGCTCCTTACCTTCTCTTCGAATTCAGGTCCATCTACGAATAATCCAGGGAATTTCCTACGTCCACTTTCCCAGCTTCAACAGACTAGATGTCCCCGCGATGAGCCTCTTCTCCTACATGAGGAGCATTTATGCTCTAGATACGATCGATACTCGATTCACGAGCTCCTCCGCCACACCGTACCAGACTGTCGTAGATGCACGGTCGGATCCGTCTTCGAAAATAAAACGAGATGACTCTGTGCCTGGAGTAGGAGTGAGGACAGATCATAGCGGCAGACCTATTGCCCAACCCTCGAAATGGAACACCCCAGAATTCTACTTCTACTATTTTGTATTTCTAACAGTTGTACCGTATATGTTCTGGGTGGCATTCGATGTGTCTCGGCGTACGTACAATCAAGCCTCTCCCAATAGGCGGAATCTGACTTATTGCAGCATCTCACCCTAATTACCACAAGTTCGAGCCGTATTTAAGCAAAGGCTGGATTCCTGGGCGAAAAATCGTATGTTGGAGCTCTGTGGAAGGAAGTTGTGCCATGCTAATGCTGTACAGGATATTTCTGACGCCCAATATTACTCGTTTCGCAAAAATGTACCATATCTTGCCATACTCCTGGCATTCCACCCTCTCCTCCGAAAAGTATACAATGCTGTCCGGCCACTACCAGCGCGAAGCGGCTCTCCCAGACCAAATGGTGCTCCTTCATATATGTCGGTCGCAGACGGAGAGGCTCGCAAAGAGCAACGAGCGTCGTTCGATTTCGGATTTGCAATTCTTTTTCTGGCGGCCATACATGGATTCTCAGGCTTGAAAGTCATGGCTATTCTGTACGCCAATTATTCTCTTGCTACCGGCCTGCCCAGAAAATATGTTCCAGCTGCAACCTGGATCTTTAATATTGGCATTCTCTTTGCGAACGAGTTGTCAGACGGATACAAATTCTCGGGCATGGCAGCATATTTCTCGCCTCTGGATGCGACAGGACAGGGGAATTCTCTCAACAACTGGGGAGTGTGGCTTGATAACCACAGTGGGATCATTCCAAGATGGGAGATTCTGTTCAACCTGACGGTCTTACGATTGATTAGTTTCAACCTTGATTACTATTGGAGCCAAGACCGAAGAGGTGGAAGTCCAATTGAGGTTTGTATCCCAAGTCTCCGACTGTTAAACACTGCTAATACTCATAAGAAGAAACAACTCGACCCCGCCAATCTCCCCGAACGAGACCGCATCAGAACCCCCGCCAACGCCAAGGACTTCTCCTTCCGGAACTACGTCGCCTATGCCATCTATGCCCCTCTCTACCTCACCGGCCCAATCATAACATTCAACGACTTCATCTCCCAGCTCAAATACCCACCAGCAAGCATCGAAACCGCCCGAACAATCAAATACGGCATCCGTTTCCTTCTCTGCCTCCTGGCCATGGAAGTCCTACTACACTACGACTACTGCGTCGCCATTTCCAAAGGCAACCCCGTCTGGTCAGACTACACGCCCGCTCAGCTCTCCCTACTTTCATATTTCAACCTCCACGTCCTCTGGCTCAAACTCCTCCTCCCATGGCGGTTCTTCCGCCTCTGGTCGCTAATGGACGGCATCGACCCCCCAGAGAACATGCTCCGCTGCCTATCCGACAACCCCTCCACCGTCGCCTTCTGGCGCGGCTGGCACAGGAGCTACAACCGCTGGATCGTGCGCTACATATACGTACCCATGGGTGGCGTCTCCTCAAAAGATTTGAAATCCACAATCATGTCCGTAGTCAACTATGTATTAGTCTTCACATTCGTTGCGCTGTGGCACGATATCAGTCTGAACTTGTTGGTGTGGGGCTGGCTGGTGGTGTTCTTCATGATGCCGGAAGTTATTGCGGGGATATTGTTCCCGAGGAAGAGGTGGGAGGATAATCTTACGGCCTATAGGGTGCTGTGTGGGGTCGGGACGGTGGGGAATTTGCTGATGATGATGATGGCTAATTTGGTGGGGTTTGCGGTTGGGGTGGAGGGCTTGAAGAGTATTATTTCGGGCATTTTTAAGGATGCTTCTGGTATGTTTATTCGTCCATACCTTTTCCACTTTCTTGATTACATGATGAGCACCGGCTAACATCTCACAGGCGTTGCATTCCTCCTCTTTGCCTCCTCGGTCCTCTTTGTAGGCATCCAGGTCATGTTTGAAGTCCGAGAGAGCGAGATGCGAAAAGGCATTTTCCTGAAGTGCTAAGATTTGAAGAGAATGTGTGTAAGAGCAAGCATAAACATAATGAAGCTGTCGATGGAACTCGGCTGATCTGAGCCAAAAAAAATTGGTCCTCTTCAGGATCACCGTGATTTGAGATGATCGCTTCGTTGTCACGGGGCGGGCGTCATTCTTCGTGTGAGAAATCGTACCATGGCATTTACTCAAAGCTCAAGACATCCATGCACTTCCAAAGTTCCCGTGGAAGTATCCACAGTCTCTTCAAGTCTCATTAGTTCTAAGTATCACATGGCAAACTTCAGCGCAATCACAAGCATCATAGTACACGACTGTTGATTTTTTTTTGGCGGGGGGCAAGCGCCTCCACAATTCCCTATTTTCTATGGTTCGTCTCGTTAATTCGTGATAATCCATCAAGCAGAAAGTCAACACACTGGCAGGAGGTTGAAGGAGAAACGGAATGGAGTGGAAGAAATGAAGGCAAACTCCCAAGAAAGACAGCAAGCATTCTCCAACGAAAATCCATGTTCAAGCAAAACCAAGACGCAAGCAAAACTGAAAAAGCAAAGTGAAAGCTAAATCCAAGAACAACCTGCCAATATTACTCGTTAGGAAATTACTTAGGAAATTACATGATTGTCAAGTTGACGAAATGGAAACGAGAGAGCGCGCAAACAATGAACGAAAACATTTTCCCCCAAGAGAACGTCTGCTTGCAAGGAGAAGTATGATGGCGCGCCTCGGATATTGGCCAAAATCGTGCCATTGAACCCACCATCTGACGAGTACATTCGTTCAATTGCTCCTTCAATCCTCAGCCGAGGATATCATCCCGGCTTCTTCAAGGTCTGCTGTTATCATGGCACCAAATTCATCCGAGGCACAGTCGTTCCACTCAGCCTTCTTGGATAGACATGGTCTGAAGATTTCAGCCAGGTCAGTGGCTTTGGATATGCGTTCTTCCTTGGAATGCTGTCGTAGATGGGGAAAAAAGGCCGGGTCGAAGTGTGAATTATGGAACTGCAATTGACAGATGGGGCATGTTGCAAGGCCATAAAACCAAGTCCGAACATCCAAGAACTTTTCGATAGCTTCGTATCCTTTCGATCGATCGATGAACTCGTGAGATTTCATGTGTCTTAGATCCTCGTAACAAAGGAAGCCGTTTTGACAAAAGCCAAACTCTCTTTCGACTACACTGTGTTCGCAGCCCAGAAAGGCAAGAAGGCAATTACTGCTGCTCTCAAAATGATGTAATCCGTCACTAAGCGGTGTTTGTCTCCACTGAAAGTGAGCCAGCGAAGCTTCCTCAGCTGCTGTGCAGCATCCGTTTTGGCTATGCTCCGTATTGAGGTGGTCCAGAAGCTCTTGCTGGGTCAACGGACCAAAGCGGCAAGTATCGAAGATACATACGAAAAGGTTTGCATTGTGATGCTTTCTCATGTGCAGTTGGAAATGATCCTTTCGAGGAAGTGGCTTAGCGATCCTATTGCATCCATACACATGGCAGGAAAAGGCAGCGCTGCGATTATGAACACTTTTCTCGTGGCGCTGGAGCTCGTACTTTCGTCGAAAAGTGCGCTTGCATTCCGGCCGTGAACATCGCACCCTAGCTTTGAGTGGTGAGGGAACAATGTTTGCTGAAGATGTTACCGCAGAAGGTGCAAGGGGTTGGGAGCCAGTGAACTCGCGGGTCCAAACATTGCTCATTGACTCAGGCTCCACCTGTTCCAAGGCACTGAGCTGATTCAGACGTTCCAGGCTAGAAACGGAGTGATTGATAGTGTGCTGTCCAACTTGGCTCGACAATGGCAGTGAAAGATCGGAAGCATTGGCCGTGATTAAAACATGGCATTGGATGGTGTCTTCGGAATTGAAACCAGTGTCGCCTTCGCTGTTTCTGCATTTTGCCCAAGAATTAGCGCGTCTTTTTTTTAACTCACCTCTCACCCGCCCAATCATTCATGATCCCCATGCCTTCTCCTGCATCCATGGCGTCCATGTCCATCCACTGCGACCAATCGATATTGTCGTCAGGGACCATGGGCTGCATCGAGGCAGCAGTACCACCCCAAATGTCTTGTTCGAGTCCTTGGAAGTCGCCCTGAAATCCGACCTGCAAGTCGCCTTGGTCGTCGCCCTGGAAGTAGCCCTGGAAGTTGAAGTTCGATTCCATGATGTTGATTGGCGGTCGAAGGTTGTACAGAAAGTGAGGCGTGCTAGCGAGGATGTGGCTTTTGGAGCGGTGAGGTTTTGTGCGAGGAAGGCTGGCTGTTTGGGTGTGATTTTGCGTGCGAGAGTGCGTGCTTTGATGTGTGAAATGTGCGAGAGGGTGGAAAATTGGGCTGGGGATATGGGTTGTTCTTATGCTTGGGGTGAGTTGCTGCGGGAGGATGACACAAGGAGAAGGGCGACGCTAGGAGATGAAGAATTGAAGATGGCTCAGGGGGTGGATTACACTTGCCTTTCAAAGGTGGGTAAGACCTATGGCAAGTTTGATGAGGCTGGGATTATTCTTTCCACTTTATCGGTTCTGATGAAGGAACATTCTTTTGTTTCCCGTTGTCAACATTGGGCGAAGGAAAGTACGGATCTTGGAGCCTTGTCTACTTGGCATGTGCTTTCCTTGACCCAGTGGGTAAGGAATTCGGGTTTTCAATTATCAGCACACTAGGTAAGTCATCTTTGTTATACTAGACTCTTACTACAATAAAATCGTCAGATTATGCATGTTGTCTTCTTCCAAAGATGCTTGCTTGCCTTGTCACCACCAAAAATGTAGCAATCACGTGTCATCAAACATTCTCCGTTCTTTATTTTCATCTGTTACCACTACTCGTAATTTGTGCCTCATCTTGGTCGATGTTTAAACGTCATAGCTTTGCCTCATACATTCGAGACAGCGGAGAATATCGAATGAAATCCTATTAATTATTGACCGCCCAGGAAAGAAGAATTAAGCGAATGTCGTTTTTTCGAAAGGCGCAAAGAATAAACAACCACATCCTGGAGTACGGAAAAATTCCCAAGACATGAACAATAGCAGCCCTTCCCAGCTCAACGCCTGTTTCAGATGATACCCAAACCCAACGAATTTTCTAAAATAACGCAAAAACCAACGCCTGTTTCGAGGAGTGAAAGCCAACGGCCCAAAGCATAAACCAACACCTCTCGATCGCCGATGCAAGCCAGAGGAGCCTGGATAAATAGAGCCTTTCCCAAAACAGAAAAAAATATCGAAATGTTTCAGCGAGTGAGCTGTAGCACTCGGCAATCATCAGCAACATCTCAACGCCTGCTACCAGATCCTTCACCGGTCTCCTCCTTAAACTCCCTCCTCGGCTTCTTACTACCACCACCACCACCACTCCTCTTAGGCTTGGTCTTTTTCGTCCCCGCCTTGTCCTTCGTGGACTTCTCCTCCTTAGAAGCATGCTTAGACGAAAGTCTGTTAGCTTTATCCAGCTCAGCTTGCTGTTTAGCTTCCTCCTCAACTTTAGAAGCGTTCCTGTCTTTATTTTTGGACATTTTCGGAGGTGGATCGAGCCGGTCCTCGAACACATTAATAGCTGCTGAAAAGCTACCAACTGCTGATGAAGAAGAACCAGAAGTAGGGTAGGTACCGGAAAATTGCCAACGGTCTTCTTTTATATCCCCTGCCCATATAACCACTGTCCTTTTGTCATCCTGTTCTTTTTGAAATTCCTTGGCTGCCTCTATGTGATACTGCGCTCCTTGAAAATGTGTGGCGTATCCAGCACCATACGGATTTGACTCTGAGCCTTCAACTTGTTTTTGCTGCTCGGTTCTCGGTCTTCTTTCCATGGAAGCTGCATTCGAAAAGCTTCCAGTGCTTCCTGGACGCGAGGAACTTGCTGTAGGGTAACTCTGTCTGTCGACTCCTTTGCCTTTGTCTTCTCTCTCTCCTTCGTTGACAACATGCTTTCTCATATAATCAATGCTAGATATTTGCTGCTTTGAATACTCTCCCTTGTCATGGTGAGGAGCGTCTATGTCCCTCGTTTCGCCTATAGATGCCGAAGATTTTGTGCTATTCTGTAGCAGAGGCAGCGGAAGCTTCTTGTGGTCCTTGCCGCTGCCGCTCGGCTCGCTACCCCTATTACCACTGTCCTTCTTCTCTTTCTTGTCTCTACTCCTGTCATGCCCGCCACTTTTGCTGGTGGAACTGCTTTTGCTACCTCTCGGATGCATTTTGGAGGTGCTTTCGCTCGTTCGCTTGGTGTATTATGCCGGCGTCGGATAATCAATGTTTAACTTATTTTGACCTACTTGTGAACACTGAATGCTTGTGCAGCTTTTTCAGTGGATTTTCAAATCGGAGGATTTGCAGTCAGAGGAAACTGTTTGTTTGTGATGAGGAACAGAGAGGATCAAATCGATGAGAGTTGGGTTTTTATATATCCCAAACACCATGGTTACACGATCAGAATTACAAAGACCCGATGTGATCGTACTATTCGCCTCCGTATGTGATGAATAACATTTATCTCATTTCGACTTCTTTGATTCTTTGAACTTAAATATAGTCGACGGTTATCACTTCTATCATTTCCCTTTCAGTCTCTATTTGGGATAGTCGACTTGAAAGAGATGTTGCGTTGAGCCTTACTGCAGTGTAATATTCGCTTGGCCGGAAAACACTTCAAACACAAATCTGAAATAGAAACTCTGGCTTCTCTTTGTCTTATGGGTGTAATATGAGTTGTTGCTACAGATAAATGCAATCTAAGGTTCCACAATTAAACGGTTCGGTCCGTCTCCAAATACGTACCATGTTTATGGACAATGATTTCGGTCGTACCCAAAATTTACCTTGTCAAAGATTTGCTCCCCTACAATTACGGTAGATTATTTACATGACTTAGACAGCGGGAGGTCACAAATTTCCTATTCTCACGAGAGTCTTAATCTAGGGATTAGACCGGGCTACAAGGTAACCGTGTGGATTTAGATGTGCTAAAAAGGGCATGTTTACTAAGTCCGGCATCGGGTCATCTCCTAAGCGAGGCACACCACCCCAACTTATGCTCCAATAGCTTTCGCAAAAACGTCCCCATTCGGTTTTCGGCCAAGATATTCCTCCAAGCATTCCATCTCAGGACGACTTCCTCCTCTACCCAGGACCAACTTTCTGTATCTGCGACCTTCCTCTCCATTCAGTGGGTCTTTCGCAAATCGTGTCTGGTACAAGTCGCTCGAATACACAGATGCTCTGCACTTGATCAATTCACCGTCTCTCACTTAGATTAGCTACAGGATAGAAGGAAAACTCACATGACATAAGTGTAGTACCCAGCATCATACCCTCCAAACATGTGCGAAAATCTGCTATGTCCACAGCCCCATCCAAAGCCACCACTTTCGATCTCAGGGCCGAGAAGACCAGTGCATTCTTTGCGAATGCGATTATACGTTTCGCCTGGGTTCATAGCTTTCGCTTCTTCGTTCGAGATAGAGTGGATCGCCATGTCAAACTTAGCGAATGCGATTTGTCTCTGCGTCAGAGGCGCGAGTGTCACTTTGCGACTTGCACCAAGCTTTTCTAAGTGCTCAAGTGGTGCTTTCTCAGGTGGTTCCGACAACTTGGGATTTTCGGCTTTCCAGGATGCCATGTATTCCGGAGAGAGATATGCGTAGTGTTTGGACAAGTTCTGGAGGATGATGGGATCCCAGCAGAAATTCTCGAGCATGCGACTGGGGATCTCGACAAAATCTCGAGAGGTCTTGGTGCCATAGGTTTCACCATATCGGGTTCTGCCAACCAAGCAATGGATTCCATGGCCCAGTTCATGGAACATGGTTACGACGTTGCGGTGTCTGACTAGTGTAGGCTTGGTTGGAGTTGGTCGTTGAATGGACATCACGAGGACAGCGCTGGGGTATTGTTGCCCTCCGTCAATGGTGTCGAATCCCTGTAGCATGTCAGTGCAACTCCAATCAAGTTCAACTGGAACCTACTGGTTGGAAGGTAATGCAGCAAGCATGGTCTCTCTTTCCTTGCCGCTTTAAAACGTCAAGGTACAGATATCCCAAGAAATCGCCTCCGAGTGCTTCTTCATTCCAGACCGCATATGCCGCGACATCTTCATGCCAGGTTATGGCAGATGCATCCTGTCCTTGTTTCTCCATAAGTATCCTCCGTGAATCTTCCGAAATCTCGTTGAACACAACTCCAAATAGAGTCTCGAAGTTCGTTAACAGTCCATCAATGGTTTCTTGGAGAGGAAAGAACTCTGCGATTTTGTTTTGGTCTAGACTGCTCTCTTGTTCCTCCATCAATCTCATGTAGAAAAGCTGGTCCCATAGATACAAGCGGTCATCTATATCGATTTCTGCGATCTCTTGTGAAATTAGGTGCTCCCTCTTGAGCTTTCGTAACTTGTCCCTGCTCGATTCTGAAGCAGGGGCTGTCTTTTGCTGCAGATCAACCAACAAATCTGCCACTCCTTCCATCGTCATCAACCGATCTTGGATCACCAAATCAGCATGATATTTGTATCCAAGCAGTTCAGCATGCTCTGCTCTCAGTTCGATCATCTCCTGAAACAACGGCACATTGTCAGGACATTTGCTCTCATTGCCGAAGAACATCCGCTTCCTTGTGTCCGAGCAAACACAGTTTTTGGAAGCCAGGTCCAGATCAACAGTCCCAAACGTAACCTTGTACTTCCCTTCATTCTCTCCTTCTCCTTTCTTCAAAGTCTCAAGAGCATCGCGAGGGAACCCCCCCAGCTCTTCAGCGGTGAACCAAATCCCACCACTCTCTTGGCGAATCCGTTTGCCCCCCTCCGACTCAATGTCATCAATTCTCTTCGTAACAATCTGGAACCTCTCCTTGATCGGCCCTTCCTGAAGTGCAGCACCACTCCTCACCAGTTGTGATATTTTCCTATCGAGATAATACTGCTCCTCCTGATCTAGCACCTCGCCCTTCTCCTTCACCGCCTGAAACAGGACATAGATCTCGGGCCTCGCCACGATCTCCTGGCCGAACTCAGACCACATCTTAACGCACTCAATAGATGCATCTCTCAGCTCTTGGGATGGAGAAACAGATTTGAAGAGAGCTGTGAGAGAGCTGGTCTTCATGCGATTGTTGCGGTCGTGAATCCACGGAAGCACGAAATTTGCAAACGTGGCTTCGGAAGGTGGGATTCTGACCAGGGCGTCGAGTGTTGCTCGTGAGATTGCAATGGTAGTCTGAGTGAGATCTATCAGACCTGTAGGAGTCTGATTGAAGACTACTGGGAGCTGAGGAGGCTCTTGAAATTGATGGAGTGGCATCTTAAAGCGGGGTCTGGAAGTGGGGTACAGCCGTACTTTGATAGCCCTGAAATGTCTGGGACTTGTAAAGGATCCTAGTCGTATATCTACACGCATCAATATAAATTTTGAGTGAAGAGCGCGCAAGAATATAGTGAAGGATGTTTGTTAGTCCAAGGATAAGAACGTTGGCTCATGCAAGAACGTTGCACGCCCTTGCTCGCTTGTGCTGCGGGTCACTGCAGCACCTAGGTATAGCTTACTTTGCCTACGAAGTATACATTAAGTGCAGCTATTGGGAGATGTTTAATCAATACATCTCTGTATATATATTCAAAGAATATACCAGATTAACAGCAGTGAATGTAATCGAGATGAAAAAGACATTCTTTTCATGGCTATTCTGCTAAGAGCTAGGTCGAACGCGTTTCGCTTGCACTAGCGGCCGCGAGTATCAATATTGACGATCTTTGTTCAGTCTGTTTTCATCTCCCACACCATTTTCTCGAGTGTCTGCAAATCAAGTTTTGCAAGTAGCAACAACACCAAGAATGCCGTCAACTGACACCTCAACAAACGACCCTCAAGGGGGTTATGACCGAAGCACGCACGTCTCTGGTCTGCCTCCCGAGATTTGGACATTGGTTGGAGAAGAGGTAAGTTCATTCATCTTTCAAACCTTACGTAGCAGTTATAGCGACTGCGGGTGTACTATGTACCTCTGAAGATGATCACCGAGAGAGAAAGTGAAAGCTCCAAGAGTCGCTTTGAAGGGCCTCGCGATGCTTGCCACACGATCTTGTGAAAAGTCGCATCAAGAACGCGCCTCCAGCATGTTCCAAACCTCTGCAGGCGGAAAATCGCTACCTTCATTGGTTTAATGGACTGCTACTGACCTTGTTTCCTAGATCCAAAGCGACGTCGCGTTCAAGGCCCTCCGATTAACATGTCGCACATTCAGAGACATATTCACACCAGTCGCCTTTGATATTTACCACCTCGAACTGAAGTCAATATCTCAACTGGAGAACCTTGAGTTGCGGCAGACTCTATGTCATACCAAAACACTTTGCATCCAAGTAGACTCTGTTTCAATTGACGATACTTTTGCTGAGGAAATTGACAAAGCTGCTGAGCCACTTGTGCACATTCTGCAACAGATGCCAAAACTTCAATTACTACAGTACGTGGCTTAAAGGAGATTCTGGACGTGTCGTGTTGCTGATACACAAACTTAGATGGACAGATAGTAGTTTCGAATTACATGATTGCATCCTTCTCCTTCGAAACCCCGATTTGCTGGATTGCCTTAAGTCCAGGAAGAGCCTGCGAAATGTTGCTATCCAGTTCTGTGCTGCAAATTGTACAGAAACAGTAGATGGCCTTGAAAACTGCTCGACAACACTTCAAGGGTTTAAGAACCTCACATCCCTTGAGTTGTACAACTTTTATGGAGATTGCAAAGCCATACTCAAGGATATCGCCAATACTTTGGCAGAATGCCCCTGTCTCAAGAAATTAGGGCTCGGCAGAGCGACCAAGACCACCTATGGAGATCAAAACGGAATAGGATCCGATGAATTACTCATCCTGGATGATGTAGATCTGCTCGAGTCTCTGTGCCTACTGTACGGAGCGCAAGTCGGAACACTGCCTTTAAAAGTTCATACCCTGCGACTTGGTTACTCGATGTTTTTCACAGAACCCAGTTCGTCCACTGTTGGGAACTACCTCACAAAGCTTCTGGATCTACGCACTTTAAAGAGTCTGGAGATGTACAATGGATACGTTCTTCTAGATGCTGCGGATGTATCGGACCCCGACAGATTCAAAGTAATGCTGCAACCACCTTGGGAACTATTGGATGATTGTTCTCTCCGGCAGCTTGGCGTAACCAAAATCGACCACCGAGTCACAGCTTATCTGACCGGCGCAGGCCAATCAGTTGAGGAACTCTCGGTTTCTGGTGCCTACTGTATGAACGATCCTGCTATTCAAGAATTCAACCTCTTCAGCCTGCCGAATCTGAAATCGCTCTGGACTCGCGAAAAGTTTGTTTCCAGAAATCCAAATCGTGACAACTCGATCGACTTCGACAGTCCATACGAAACCCTGCCTCAAGAGACTACTGTGGGAGAATTGGAAGACCAGGATGAAGAGGAAGAACTGCTGTGGGGAGGAAGGCTTGAGAAGAAAGAGCAGAAATTCATCTTACACCGCCTTCACGACCGTGGCTCCAGACTTGCCACTCTTGCTATCAACTTTGACTTTGATAGCGAATACGTAAGTGTTCAATGCCATGGGCCAAACTCGGGGGTTTCACTAACATCCCCAGATTCACTTCATTGCTCTACTGCCCAAACTGACTTGTCTGACTCAACTGAGCCTTCAAAAAAAGCGAGAGGGTTATTGGTATCAACAATTTCCTGCCCCCAACACATCAATGTGGCCGTCTATCCAGACTCAAGAAGATATCGCCCATCGTTATGCTCAGATGATGGCAATGCTTTGCACGTCTCTGCAACACATCCAGATTGGCTTATTTTCTTGGCAAGTAATGACCCCATCTCACCTGCGCCCTCCCGTCCCGACCCCGATACATGGAGATATTGACGGCGAACTTAAACTTCGAAGATTGGACCACAGAGAAATCCATTCCATTGAGTTCTTCTGCCGTCACCCAGACCTCATTCAGTCAGGCTTGCCCACTACTGTGATGCCGGAATATTTTGAGGAATTGCAGGTGAAGGATGGCTCCGAGTCCAATGACGGCTTAGTTGTGTATGATTACGCTTGAGAAGATCGTTAAAGAATGATGATGGTGGTATCTTTGACGGCGAGGATGAGAGCATTGGTTCGTGCAAGCGTTAAAGCACTGTCCAGCAGCACGGCAGGGTGGGATCTTAACAGCGCTGGATTTCCATATCGAAGCTTTCGCTTCCGAACTCGGGTCAGAGCTCATCTTTTCAGGTTCAGTGAGGAAGCTTACTTCGAGCTATTCAACCGATATGCTGCATTTTATGGGCGAGAATAGCATTGTATGAATAGATAGCCAGCATATTCCGAGCAGTGAAACTTCCTTGCGACACGACAAAAAGCACAGACATGAATACAAAACTTACAAATGAGCCGAGATTAAGTGTGAGAGTCGTGATTGTTTTCTTTTCTCTGTATCTCTAGGTCGCCTGCAATGTCTCCGGTCATTGAAGACTGTACAGTGACATTGATAGCGGTCCAAAATATGCTTACGGCCACGTCAGGCTCGAATTCCACAGCTTCCAGCACTCAACAGATATGTAAATCTCATATACGAGCTCTAGGTCCGGAGAATCTCCGGGCGTAGATAGAATTGCTCGGTCTCATCCTCACGAAAAAGGAAGTTGTAATCGTGAAGAAACAGATCTCGACGGATGGAGGTAGACATTCGAACCCCTGACTAAGCCTCATCGGGAAACGCTCAAGGTTCACGGGAGAACCCCGCAACGCGTCTCCCCCAAACCACCGAGTTCCCAAGTCCCATATGTATCCCTGAATTGACACAGAAGCGACATAGATAATACCGGAATGGCGTCTGAAGGTTTGGCAATGCGTGGAAACATATTAGGCTCTGTATCTGGTCTCCCTCCGGAAATTTGGTCCATGATTGGAGACGAGGTACGTGTCGTGACTGAAGCTAGCATGACCTGGAAAGCCGCCGATATCGACGCCCTTTGAGTGGGATGATATCGTCTTATGTCATGGGTGTATTTGGACATATTTTTGGATTATGCTAACAAAGATGACTAGATTCAAGGCCCAAAGAACTTATCCGCGCTGGTTGCGGTATGCCGTGCGTTTCGCGACATATTCAGGCCATTCTTGTTCGCCCGCAAGGTTCTTAAATTGAATCAATTCCGACCGGAAGAGATCAATTCCTAGGAGTTGGAATCAACCTTGATTCATACTAAGGATTTTGAAGTTCGCGTGGACGAATTCCTGTTCAACGACTTCAGCTATGATGTCGCGATGAACGATGCTTATGTGAGATTCGTGGTGAAGATGCTGAAGAGAATGCCGAACCTGAGAAGTTTCAGGTACGTTGGATTTGAAGAATCTTGTGCAAGACAACTCTAATCAGGTTGTAGCTGGCACGACTGTCCGCATGAGGATCACATCCCGTCTACGATGTTGAGAGATAAAACCCTCATCAACGCCCTCTTGTCCTGCAAATCGCTCGCCCATCTGTATATCTCGTTCGACTACCAGTGGACTGACGAGGAAGAAGAATCTCTCAACTGCTTTTTCCCAGTTGCCGAGTTCCGCAACCTGACATCACTAGAATTGTACCACATCGGCGGAAATGAGGCTGAGGAAATCAAAGGCATCACGGCAGCTTTGAGCTCCTCTCCACATCTAAAGACACTCGGTCTTGGACGGGGCTGGAGATGCGATTGCGACGGTACTCCTGAAATTTTGCTCATCCGAGGCGAAGGCGACTTTCTACTTGACCTCTGCAAGCGTTACCATGCTTTGGGGAAGCCACCCTTGAAACTTGAGACTCTGAGACTCGGTCACGGTGTCTTCCCAAGCACAGATAAGCCCGACTCCAGCAACTTCCTTGCAAAACTTATTAATATGAGTGGGCTCAAGACTCTTCATCTATTCAATGGGCTGGTCAGAGGGTCTGATGGCGAGGATGCGTACCTGCTTGTTGACTGGAGGCTCTTCGATGCATGCATTAGTCTTCGGCAATTGGCAGTATCAAGACTCGGGCTCGATCTCAGGATTTGGCTCAATACTGTTCGACAGTCCGTTGAAGAATTGATCGTGACTGATCACAACACATGCTACGATTCTGGGCTGAGGCAATTTGACTTGTTAAGGCTTCCAAAGCTATCATATATTTTTACTCGTGAAGTGTTTGTTGACAGGGAACCCCGACTGTGGTCCGATACTGACTTGGGGTCCGGTTCTGAAGCAGAAGATTTCTGGGAAACGGATTCAGAGCTGGATTCAGAGGTGGAATCGGAAGAAGAAACAGGCTTGGGCTCAAATTCAGGCTCAGTTTCATACGAGCTGGCCAACAGTGAAGATCCAAAGCCGGAGCGCGAACCTCCGGTCAATCCACCACTCCGTGGCTCTCAAACCATCACTGTCCTTGATAGACTCCACGACGGCGGTGTCAATCTGAAGCGTCTTGGGATCTGCCTTGATTTCAGCAATTCTTGGGTGAGTAGCCATATCACAACTAAAAAATCGCTTTCTAATTTTCCAGAACCATTTCGTTGATCGCTTGGATAATCTCAAGCAATTGACCCAGCTTCGCCTGAACAGCAAAAGTGCCCACGGCGGAGTTTACCCCACCAAGGAATCGTCCCTATGGATAGGCGTCAAGAGACCGAAAAATATCGCAGAACGTTTCGCCAAGGTCTTGAAATATCGATGCCCTTCTTTGCAATACGTTCAAATTGGACAATGGACGTGGCAATATACTGATCTTGTAGATCGACACTTCGAGGATAGCGACCAAGTTCAAATTCGACAGTTGGAGTATGATGAGATGATGACATTTGAGTTGTTCGCGATGAACACTTTTGCTTCTGAGGCAGGGCTACCAGAGCCGGAGACTGTTCACACAGAGTGGTCGGAGGAAGAGGAGAATCGCATGGAGCGTACGTTGGCGGAAATTGGACTGGCTTTTGAGGAGGGGAGACCAGTGGACCCGAGTCGATTTAATGCCTGATAGTAGCCGGAGCATTACGATGCGGATGTGTCTCTCAATGTGCCAACCAATTTTATGTGGACTAAAATATGGCATTTGCGTTGGAATGAATGCTATCTGAGTCGCAAGCCTGCGTCTATCCTACCTTGAAAGGAGAAGGCAGGTTTGCCCCCCACCGTGAGGGCGGTGCGAGAGGCACTTTCCTGATATGATAACCTCGAACCCGTTAATTTTTTCCAATCACTATCAACTGACTGTTTGAAGACTGTCCAGTACTTGAAGTGCAGCTCTAGCGATTCCCAAAGACTAGTCCTTACCTTCCATATAGACGTTGGAGGCAATCCTCACGTGATCCTGCGAAACTATCTATGATTAATCTCACTTCAATTACCTAGCAACAAAAAAATACAGCCCTAGCCTCCCTCTCACCTATTTCCTCTTTCCTCCCAGTTGCGTATCACCAATCCCTCCCCTCCCATCAAAATCAACCCCCCAAACCAATCAACCCACCCAGCCCAACCCCCTCACGTCTCCACCCCTCACGCTTCCCCCCCCCCCCCCCCCCCCCCCCCCCACACACCCAAAAAAAAATTCCCACAACCACCTCAATTTCTCAAAATACCAACCCCAGGGCATACACATAACCAAATAAGCAGAGCCAATCATCAATCAGCACCAACAAACATCCCTCGTGGCGCAATTGGCTAGCGCGTAAGTTACTCTACAACATCATCTGTCTTAAACAACATGGTTTCTGACATTCATCTAGGTTCGACTGTTATACAACAGGTTTCATCGAGAGGTTGGTGGTTCAAGCCCACCCGAGGGAGTGTGGTTGATTCTTTTTTTTTTTTTGCATGTTTTTTTTGTCTTGTTTGGTTTGGTTTGGTTCGGTTTCCTGTGGGATATGGTGTGGGTTCCTGCTTGTGGGTTGGAAGGAGGAGTCGGAGGAGATGTGGAGATGCTGCCCACTTTTTTTTTACTTGCTGCATCCAAGCGAGCCGAGACCACTATTGGAAGACGGGAGGGAATGTAAACAAACTCAAGCGAGTGGTGCTAAGTTTTAGGCTCTCGTTACCTGCTACTTACTACTATCACAACAAAAATCTGGACGCCACCTTTCTTTCGTCCTTCCAACGTTTTCCCCGACGATCGGATCTGTTCTCTCATCGCCTCTTCACGTAATAACCACATAGCAATTACAACCACAAGTCAAGCCTCTCCGCCTGCTCGTTGTCAGCTCATCCTAACCATTTTTGACATCCCGTCTAAGCAACAGGCTTCCTCGAAACTGCTTCCACCCACTGTATAATATTCAACAACCCTGACCTCTGACGAGCCATAACCCGACCGACCTCCGAATTTCCCGCCTTTGTTTTCATCCTCGCTTACGATACTTCAGTTCGCTTCGTCCCGGGCCTCCCCTCGGCACGAGCATCAAGCGAGCGTGCAGGTTAACCAAAGCAATCTTCAAGATACCTAAATTATGTAGTTGATTAATTAGGATATAGCATAGCTATGAGCGCCAAGAGCTACGGAAATTTAGTATTAAATTATGTTGAGACGGGGAAGTACCTTAGCCATTCATTATCCCAATCCCAATCGCGGTCTCAACACACCAATCCAATCCACCCAATCCATCACGCACCATTCATCGGAAATTATTTCAGCTGAAGAATACGAACGTGTTTTTTTTTTTTTTTTTTTTTTTTTTTTTAGCTGGGTTAGAAATGACTACCTACAACTTCACAATCCAAAACTACAATTTTTCATAATACATTGCTTTGCTTTTGGGATAGCAATGGAATTTCAATTCCGTATATTATAGTTAACTACAACAGCCAGTACCAAAAAAAAAAAAAAAAAAAAAAAAAAAGCTAACATATTCCGGCTTTTCAGATGCAGGCTTCAACTATTCTACGCACTGCTATACTCCCTCCTGTCTACAGGCTGGCTGTGGCCTGTGACTGACTCCACGCACGACCCGCCAACGCGATCTTGTCATCCCCGAAAATGCCACCACCGGTGCACAGGTAGCCTGTTCATCGTACGGGCAGGCAAGAAAATGGGATGATGGGATAGGATACCGGGATCAGTATACATGACGCAGAATACCGTTTCGGTAATGTGTAGAGCGGGACTCGGTGCAAGGGAGGTGAAGTTATGAGTGTGCATATGAATGATAAATCTGCGATTTTTGATGTGAGGAGAGACTGAGGATGGGAGGTTGTAACTCGTGAGGTATGCCATGTCATGTCGTGCACCGCGCGGTACCCTAGGCCCCTAGTCCCCCTGTTACCCGGGCAGAACCCTTCCTCACCTACTCTACCTTCCTTTCCTACTTAACCTTCTTTACGTACCCTGCACAGCGTACGCAAATTACACAACATAGAGTACCACATGGCAGGACATGGTAGCACATAGCGGGGCTATGGATTTGATGCTGTGGAACGGAAGACTCATCGAAGGGCCGTAGAAGTCTGGAGGATTCGGTTGTACTTCGAGGAAGGGAGGCTGAGACTGGGATCGGGAGTGTGAAGACCTGTGAGAGTAGGAGATAAAACCGGGATTGCGAGCTGGTGCTCTGTGGTGGTGTCTCGCGGTCGGATGTATTGGCACCATGGGGGTGTACGTCGTGGTTTGCTGTACATGGTGAGGATGGTGGTTTACCAGATGGAGAGGTGTGGATTTATTTGTCTCTGCTTCATGACGATAAGCGTTGAGGCTGATCGTGGAGAGGGGAGAAAGTAATAGGGAGCAGCAGTTAGGAGTTGGTGAGACATGTTGTGCTTGATTGATGCAGGTACACCCAGCTCAACCTGTGGCCGAGAACTTGGCTGAGTACCCTTGTACCCTTGTACTGTGTCTGCAGAACTGCCGATATTGCAAAATTGATGGTGAGGTGCTTCGAAGCTGGAAGCCAGCCACTGGTAGCTGTTCTGTGTGCCCTCTATTTCATGGTATTGTGCATATACACTTCTTTGGTTCCTGGAACTGGTTGCTGGCTTTGGGCGGGCCGAAAGACAGGCTTCTGAATCCGAGGGACTAATAACTCCCAAATTCAGTATTCAGCTATGTATCACCATACCTTTCTAGAAGGTCAGTACAGCAGACTCCTATGCCATCTCGTCCGGGTTTTTGGGCGGTGCCTGCATACAGGTACGCATGCATACCGCCTACCCACCTACCCACCAGCTTGCCCACTTCCATCCATCTCATCCTAGCTACGACACTATCCTACCACAGCCGCACTCCTACCAGACGCACCCCCAGGGCCTTTAAGCGCCGAGCCAACATAGAACTTACATGCAGTTTTCCCGATACCAACCTCGCCATATTAGATTCCCTCCACATCCACAACCACATCCAGGCCACCTAACTACAAATGCAGACGCGGCTGTACATGTCCATGTACATGCTGCGCAAATCAAATCAGATCAGGCACATCTCCACCCATCAGTCGAAATACCCATATGTATACGCATGTGTGTGTGTGTGTGTGTGTGTGTGTGTGTGTGTGTGTGGAGGTGGAGAAATAGATTCTTGTCTCGAAAGGGAAGAGATTATGCGGCGAGATAAGAGCAAGACAGGTAGATTGGGGGAGACTGGGAGCGGAGGGAAGAGTGTAGCTAATTGTAGCGCGTGTATGCAGTATTATGGAGAATATGCATGCGTGGATGACAGGTACCTGCCGCTGTACATGCATGTATGTATGTATGTATGGGGTTCTTGGAAGGGGAAGGGGAGGGATGGTGGGAGATGGATAGATTGGGTGAGGGGTGGGAGGGTTGAAAGTGGTGTGTGATGATGTGAGATTGGAGAGTAGAAGGAAAAGGGAGGGGTATGGGACGGGATTGTGGGTAATGTGTGGTATGGTTGTGCTGTGGTTGTGTCTGTGAGGTGGTGTGCGTGTGTAATGGAAGACTGTTTGTACCATGGAAGGATTCGGGTGAGACATATTTCACCGATCGCGATCCAGATGACGAAATCCAATGGAAAGACAGAGAAGAATATATCGCGAAGTGTCGCAATGAATGGGGACATGAATTGGGATCCTTACTAACTTGATAGGATTTCGTTGCATGTTGCTCACCGAGATGTTGGCTGGCATCGCAAGCCCAGGTTCCTCGTCATCAGTGTTGCTTATAGAGATCGTGGGTATGACAGTGACGATGAACAATGGAACAAGTCCTCTCTGTTCTTTTCTCGCGCTGCTCAATGCAGTCAGTGGCCTTCATTCCTCAGCCAGCCTCTTGAGCTAGTGCTGCGATACCGATGACATCGACTTCTCTCTGCATCTGCATCTGCACGCACATGTACAGTATGTCCGTCATGTCCTTGCATACGACGCGATTGATGCATCGCACAGATTCAGGGGAGAAAACTGTTGCATTGCATGATTGGTAGAAGAGGAGGTGTCGTTTGTGCAGTGCGTGATGCGAGTGAAGGTGTTGTTAAAAATAGAACTATTTTTAGAAACACACAACGGACGTGCGGCACTAGCGTGCGGGTGGCTGGAGCCTCATCGGTATGGGTGCAGGGATTTGAAGGGAAAGTATGTTTGTGGTTGGAGGGGCATGGGGGAAAGCTGTTTGAATGGATTGGGGAAGGGGGTTGATTGGAAGGACGGGATATTCTTTTGTTTGAGAAGAGTATATTTGGTCTGCGAAGAACTGTGATGGGTTTTGATGTTGCTGCAGAAGATCATCGCAGCCTTGGCATCGGCGACCACATTGAGATGCGGCTGCCGCAGCCGGTCTTGGGATTTGAGAAGATGAAGATTGTCGTCTCCTGAAGCTGCTGAAGAACCGTGGAAGTAGAGCGGAAGGAGAACAATACCTCCTTACCAATTTTCGATATCTGTGGTATCCAGATTATATGGTCTGCCTTGCGCAAATGAGGTCGTCAATCGCTTACACAGGCTGCCAAGGAGCCTCGTCTGCACGACATGATCCCCGGAAATATTCGCAGAAAAAATGTCCTGCTGTAGTGACGACGATGACCGGGAGGATGGAAGCCGGGCCTTTGAGCTGGTCGTCTGCCATTCTGAAGAATGATGTGACATGGTTGCTGGTTCGTGGCCTTGTTGTACAAAAATACCAGGCCAGGATGGTGAAGCGAGCTGAAAGAAACAACAATCCCTGGATGTTACTCACAACCGTTGTGTTTCAAGTTCTGTTGGAGGGAGACTGAGGTAGACTACCCCTCTATTGTCCATCTTCCCATTGTATAGATGAAAGTTGTGAGGATAGAAGTCTACGAGATTCACTTATTCCACATCTCGCATATCAGTCTCTTTTCTCGGCCGAGAATCCACAGATTGGTGGTATGTTCCCATGGTAATGGGATGGAGAGACAAGGTCGGTAGTTGATATCAAGTCAATGAAACGAAACAATCTGCCAATTGTGTGGCCTCATGTGCTGCAAGTGACAGTACCTGCATAGGTCTCCTGTGGGAATCGACAAGAATAGAAGTTCTCTTTGAAGCTCTGTCCCTGGAAACGGAACGTCCCCATGCAGAGCAATTCAACAGGGCTGGTCAACTCTGGTAACATTGCAAACGAAAGGTGACAGAACAACACCTGGAGAACACGGGGTTTGGATCCCATGGGTTTGATTTGCCCGGACCAGAAAACGCATCTCGATTTCTGAATATGTGTGTGACACAAGAAGAGGCACGGAATGTTGAATGGGCAGAGGAGATATCTGCAGCTAATTTGCTGCCTTGAGCCCCCTTGTCGGTAATATGGCCAAATAGAGCTTGAAGCGGGCTATTTTGGGACCTTTTTGATGCAGAGAGGGGCTCGAGGGGCAAGGGGTCGCTCGCTAAACCAATGAGGGCGGATTGCTGACAGCACCGGACGTCGGGTAACGGCTTGTGCAGCCAGTGAGAAGAGCAGGCCTTGCAGCGCTGGGCGCTTAGAGACATGTGCGCGAGATAGCTGCTGGGAAGCGAATGAGTTTGGGCTGTGAGGTCTGTTTGGTCTGCCGTAGTTTCTCTCGGTGATGGAAAGAATGGGGACGTTGGATGATCATACAGAAGTTTGATGGGAGGAAACAGACTTTGAGATGGGCCTACGAATGAAGGAAAACGGGGCTGAGATAAGCCCCTTGGAGACAGCAGCAGAGAAGAATGGGCGACGCTCTATTGGTGTTTTCGTTTCCTTGCTAGGGAACTGGAGATAAGTTCATCGCATGTACGGAGTAAAGAATAAGCAGATCGTTTGCAGTGCCTGATTGGATAATCGACGGGAATTAAGCCTGGATCATGAGCTGTCATAGGCTGCCCTGGAAGCAGCCGCAATTTATGGAGATGCCGTTTTGACAGGTGAGCTGATACGTCGCTCAAGCTTCGAACAGCCGGTTGGAGGCATGTGGGGAATATAACTGGTGGATTAGGGGAAATATGATGGAACTTACGTCGGCCTTTGCTTCGTGAATGGTTGCATTGGAAGTGCGCAGGAGCGAGGAAGTGGGACTCGTGGGAGCAGGTGAGTGAAGGTCAGAAGTCACACTCGATCGGGGCAGGAGTGACTTGTACCCGACGTTCTGGTCCCTCTTTGACTGTGATGGTCCCTCTGGCTTTGATGACACCTCGATGATTCACAGCTATTCCTATCCCCTCTGCCTGCCGTATATATACATTTCTTTCACCATCTTGGATAAAATTATCCTCAACCTTATACCTACAAATACTTCCCCTCTCCTCCAGGCCCATTCCATTCCATTCCATTCCATTCAATGTAACACACAGTTGCACAAGAATCAAAGGCGGGCTCAGGTTCAACCTGCATGCAACTGTTACTTACTTCACTTTACTCTCCCAGTTCTGCCCGTCAGCGTCAGCCTGTTCTGTGAACCTTCTCGCTGGGAATACAAACCAACAGCCGCGTACAGCTATACCATACGGCCACCTGGATAGCCCCTCACCGCACTTTTCTCGCCCGGGCCTGTTTCTGCGTCTGCGTCTCCCGCCAAGCCCTCACTCCCAGAGTCCCAGGTCTCTGGCCCAGCCAGTTGTCTCTCTCTCCCACACCTCCCACACCTCCCACTCCCACTCCCACCCCCTCGCTCCCTCGCACTACTCTACTCCCATCTCCCCCTCTCCCCTTCCCCTCCCACCTCTCCGACCACCACCCATCTCTATATTTAGCATCGAGATCCTCTATCGTCTATCAGCCCGGCACCAGCACCAGCACCAGCACCAGCACCAGCACCAGCACCAAGTCAATATCAACACCAAGAAAAAGTCCCTAGAGCTGCATCCAGGTACCGTCCCGCAGACAGCGTCAACTCTCTATAACACCAACCCGCGCGCCCCGTCCAGGAGATCCAGATCCGACGCCATCCCCGCTGTAGCACGATTCAAACTGTTTCAGGCCTTTCCAATCCATTTCTTTACTACTGCATCGCATCTGCATCTCTCCAGTCTGCCCTCGAGAAAGTCTTACCTCGGTCGCATCCAGTCTCTCCTTCAGCAGCAAGCTCTTCTTTTCCTCGAGTCTATCAGCACCACGCCGCGCACATCGCCGGCTGCCTGTATTCTAGTTTTTCCTAGTCGTCGCAGACTCTGCCTCGCGTTCATGTGTGCGATCGTGCGCCACTATTGAGCCAACGACCAGCCGATAGCTACATCAGGCTGTTTCATTACTCCTCCACCACCTACCTGTGCATCCACCACCGTCCGAGGAGCTGGATCAATTCACAGCAACTTCATATCTTCCGCAAGATCGGCGCGTCGCCGCGATGGGAAGAAGAAAGATTGAGATCAAGGCCATCAAGGACGATCGGAATCGCTCAGTGTAAGTTTATCTGCTGCCTGTGGTCTTCAGCTCGACTTCGAAACATCTGCTGATCAGAATCTTCACAGAACTTTCCTCAAGCGCAAAGGTGGTTTGTTCAAGAAGGCGCATGAGCTTTCCGTCCTCTGCTCCGTCGATGTCGCAGTTATAATCTTTGGGAACAATAAGAAGCTGTACGAGTACTCGAGTAGTGACATTGGAGAGATCTTGACGAGATATAATTATGTATGTTATCCGTTTGGAGCCCATTGGATAAGAACTGACAGCTATTAGTATGGAGGAGCAAGCGAACATAAGGGTCCGGCGGACTTCAGTGGGAAGGGAAAGATGGACGATGATGATGACGATGATGACGGATCTGGACCATCCCACCATGGTTCAGTCGAGCCTCAAATGATGCCCCCTCAATTCCAGAACCAAGCCGCATTCCAACATATCCGCCACCAAACGCCATCTGCTTCTCCTCCGATTCCCAATGGCGTCTTCCCACATCTTCCTCAACAACGTCAACACACTCCACAGCCACAGCATGATTCTCGGCCGTCCTCAAGAAACGGTACCCGAAGAACGGGCTCCAACCTCGTCCCTCAGCAACAGCAACAGCAACATCCTCATCCTACACCTCCCAATGGTTATGCATTCATGCCAAATCCAGCTATATATAACCCTCACAATGGCCCCAATATGCCACCGCAGCATTCTCACGGAATGCCGCAACATATGCAACAAGCACCGCAAATGCAAGGTCCTCCGCAAGGCGTTCCACAGCAAGGAGGACCACAATATCCAAATTACGGTGCACCTCCTCAACAACATCCACACCCACAGCAGGTTCAGCAACTGTACGCTGAGGAGCAGCGAAGAGCTTCTATGCCACCAGCTTTCCCTCAACAAGAAAGACCACAATCGAGATCTCCACCACAACCACAACAGCAACAGGCTCCCCAACAGCAGCCGTCTCAGCAAGAACAGGAGGAGCCACAACCTGCACCTCAGCAAATGTTGGAGCCTGTAAAGAGAATGTCGGTGAAGTCTCGAAGTATATTTACGCCCATTGATGAATCACGGTCTATCCTGTCGCAACACTGGGCTTCTTCAACCTCCAATACCGAGCCATCCCGAGATCCGCCGACGTCAAATAATCGTGCTCAATCTGTTGATGTTGGAGCTGTTACCCGCATCAAGACCAACAACTCTCCTCCGCCTGTTCGTGCTCAAACTCATAACAAAAATCGTAATGTTTCCATGTCTTCGATGTCTTCTATGCCTGATGGTTTCACGCCCCCTTCGCGTACGAATTCGGCTCAACTTGGTGGTGGCAAGCGTCCTGTCCTGAAAGTTCAAATTCCAGATGAGCCTTCACCTGATGGTGGAAGTGCGACTGCCGACTCGGCCTCAAGTCCGCGGTCAGGCACAAACGCAACTGGATCTAATGCTCGTCGAAATGGGCATACGAACTCGGACTCACACTCCTCTGGTGTTGTCTTACCGCCTCCATCGCCTTCAGCATCTGCTCTTCTGTCAGCTGGTGCTTCTGGTCCTCCAAATCCCTTTGCTCGACCTCATCCTGTTTCTCAAAACTCACAAGCGAATTCAAATAACGGAAACCTGATCGATACCCCTGTCTCCGCCTTGCCTTCCAGATTCATGAACAATGACTTCCTCCCGAGTCCCAGCAGTTTCTATCCTGACTGGAACTATCGCGGCAGTGACTCGAACACTCTACCCAGTCCCCTTAATTTCGCCACTCCTGTTGTGGGGACAGGACCGAGTTTCTTGAGAGAAGATAGTGGCAGTCGAGATGGCGGCAATAACGGCAAACGTAAAACTCCCGAGATAGAAGCAGAAAGCAGCGACGCCAAAAGAGTAAAACTCGATACCTGATCATCTCATCCGATATCTTATTCACTTCTCAGTTTTCCTGGTTACGGATATCATATACCTTTATACAAGTCTTCTCCCATCTGGCTTGGGTTTCTGTTCTCTGGTGTAGTGTGTGTGGGTGGCTATGTTATGTCATGTCCTTTTCGGATTCTCTCTGCATTGGGCGGTGTTTGATTTTATCTTTTTCTTCTTCTTCTTTTTCCGGCGTTTTTTTTTTTGGATTCTTTTTATAGGGATGGCATGGGATGGTTGTGGTTGGCTAGCGTGATGTCACTTGCGAGAGTTTTGTCACGCGCGGTGTGTGAGGCTTGGGTTCTGGTATAGGTAGCGGAGAGTGAGGTGATCAGAGTCAGAGTCAGAGTCAGAGTCAGAGTAGGCTAGGCTAGGCGAGCGAGGAGATAGGCAAGTGTTGTATAATGGATACCCTTGCTTTCAGATGGACTTTTTTGCCGCGGATCAGGGTGCGTGACGTGGTGTGATATGTTGTTGCATGGCTTTACCTAGGTGGGAGTGCAAGGGAAAGGGAAAGGGAAGGAAAGGAAAGTAGATATATAAGCATGACATGACATGACACGACATAGCACAGCGCGGTATGGAATCGATCAAGATCAATCAATCAATCAATCAATGTAGTTGCGTGTGTGTGTGTATGTGGAATGAATGTATGAAAAAAAGAACCATGAATCCAAATTACACCCACCTATACACACCCACACACCCACACACCCTAATCTCTCTCTCTCTCTTTCAATCATCTCTTCTCTACTCTACTCTATTCTACTCTATTCTACTCTATTCTACTCTATTCTACTCTATTCTACTCTATTCTACTCTATTCTACTCTATTCTACTCTATTCTACTCTATTCTACTCTATTCTACTCTATTCTACTCTACAATACTGATCCTGATCCTTAGGTACGCTGTCAAATAAGCAAGCAAGCAAGCAAGCCAAAAGCGATGGAATGGATAGCTGCTGAGTTCTAAGCGGGAAGGACGAACAGAGAAGGAAAAAAAAAAAAGGTCCAGGGAATAACCTATTCTTGGAGGGGGGGATGTGGAAGTGATTGTTTGGTAAGGAAGTTTGGGAAGAGTAGTTTGTAAAAGTAGTTTTGGGAGGTTGGGTTCTGTGAGGTGGGGTTGTGAGTGAGTCTGTATGTATGTGGTGAGGAGGAGGGGGGTTAGAAAAAAAACAAAGATAGAAAGAAGAGTGGAAAAGAGATTGCGGTAAGATGAGATGTTGAGATGTTGAGATGTTGAGATGTTGAGATGTTGAGATGTTGAGATGTTGAGATGAACTATTTATTGTTACTGTGTAATATCCTGAGTATACAGTACATTATCTCAATATTAAAAGATAAGTCTGATTGTAATTCTGACTTCTGAACGCCAGTGGAGTGAGGATATTTTCCTGAACCTCCCACCCAGATCTAAACCCCAAAGTTAGGTTAGTTCCGAAGAATCGATTCCTCCATTCTTCTGAACTCTAAATCCCAAGTCCATAACATGGATTATTATATAGATGACAAAGCCCTCTCTTTGCCCTGTTTTGTGACCAGACTGTCTCATTTCTGCCTGCTAGCGTGCGCGTGCGTGCGTCCAGGCGATAATAAGAGCTGTTTGGGCGAATCAGTTAAGCGAGAATGTAAACAAAGCGATGGCTTCATGTGTATTTGTAAAAGAGAAGGACAGGGGGTTGTATTGTGAAATAATTGAAGCTGAAACAGTGGGGTCATGAATATGTATTTGGGCTTTTGAGAGTGGGTTTTGGTTGGAAGTGCGTGAGGGTTATTTTTCCAAGTTGTGGTTTTGCTTGCAGGGGAGACGGGGGTTGTGTGGGTAGTGGGAGGGATTGGGAAGTACGTACATACCTAGTACAGAGTATTCTGTACTCTTTTCGGAGACCGATGAAGAGCGATGAATATGATATTGATAGGGTAGATACTTGATGTTAGCGATTCAACGTTGGAGTGTTTAGGCATGGCTGAAAAGTGTTGCATTTTATGTATGTAATGATGCTGAAACCATTCCCAATCTCAGTTTATCCTGATCATTCCCAAAACCCATATTCCAGAATGCACTGCCAAAACTAGTCCGTTCCATATCCCAAAATTTGTCGCCAATCTCTTCCCAAGTCGCTGCAGAGGCAGTATGCCCAACCAAGACAAAAGCCAAAATCACAGATTCGTGGCTACCAGGTAAACTGGCTCTACCATTCTGCGGCATATGGATGCAGCATCCCGTATCCAACAGCATCCCACCACGGAATACCAATGCCGCAAGCATATATGAAGTACCTCGAAGAATACTTTTTCCACGGAGGTCGTTCGATGGTATCGCCCTTCTTTCGAGAATCGAGCTGGTCGATGACAGCGTCGATTATCTCTTCCGACAGTATGCCTCGATCATACGCCTCTCTCATAGTTCCCATCGACAGACAGCTCGCCAGGGTATCCACAACCACATCCCGTAGTGGCCACGTCGGATATGCCTTCTCCCAGATACATTGCAGCTTTCCAAGAGGTATTTTCTCTCCACTCGACGAATGGACCTCGCCGAGAGAATCAATAATATGGCTCATCACCAAATCCAAAAACCCAAATGGCACTCGTAGATAATCCCCCAGAATATAACACTCGACCAACAGTTCCAGCTTACCCATCTTAACCCACTTCCTCTCAATCACATCTTTATCCGCGACATAAACCAACTTTCTCACGGAAGCAAACCAGCCGAGAGCTTGATCAATCTCTATCTTGTGGGTCGTTAACCAGATACTGTAGAGACGGAATGCGGCGCTGTTGGTGCTAGGCATAAAGACTAGGCCGTATCGCTGCTCCAGCCAGGGACTGGTGGGTTGGAGCATGGTGGAGAAGAACTTTGAGTTTTGGGTGAGGAGGGTGGTTGGAAGGGTGGTTGTGGTGCCGGTGCGGGTTATTATTGTTGTGTGGTTGGGGGTTCTGTGGGGTGAGAGGGATTGTTAGAAGGGTTTGGTTTTTGGTGAGGAGGGGGGAGGGGAAAGCTTACCGTCGTATGAGGAGTCTGTATAGCAGGAACAAGAGGTTTCTTGAAAAGGTGGTTACTTTTCTGATATAGGATTTGAATATGGTGATGGTAGTAAGTCGCCATTTAGCGAGGACGTTCGAGTGGGGTTGTGGGTGTTGTTGCGGCGTGGTATCGAGTACAAGATCATCTTGTACAGATTCATCTTGTACAGTCTCATCACTGTCTCCATGAACACCATCTCCAAGAGACCCAAGTTCACTCTCATCATCAAAAGATAAAGATAAAGGAGCATTCGTAGTTTCTTCCCGGGTGGAAGTCTCCATGAGGTCTTCACAAAGCTTCGACATTGTGATAGTGGGGTGTAGCTGTTAGTGATATTAGCAAATAAGCTATATAAAGAACAATCAGAAAGGAAATTGTTCTTACTCTCTTCATGATACAGTCCTAGACACTGTAAAAAGCGTAGCACTTTATACCCGACTGGTGTTATGTTACAAGACGTCTTCAAGTGGAAAGCTCAAGGAAAAACCTATCGAGATCAGAAGACAGTTCAAGAAAACTTATTCAGTCGAGAACACAATGCGAACAAACCACGCACACCGCGTGCTATGCGACACATTTCGAGGTGCTAAAAGTCACGCCTGTGAATTAGTCGTCTCGTGAACCAGAATATGTCTGGATTTGGTAGGGAAACAGTCGACTGTGGTGCCGTCGAGTCGGTTAGGCCTAATTGGGACGCGGGATCATGTTGGCTCGACACTTGACCGTTATGATCACTTAGATGGGTTTGTAACTTTAACGGTGCTTTGAATGTGAATGTGTGTCTTTTCAGAGTTATGGAACTAAATGTCGAGAATGCTTGGGCTCGATATCGGGTCCGATTGCCCGAGTTAAATATTGACAGCTTTTGGACATTTGTGGATAATTACTTACTAGTAAGTAGTCTTCTCAGCCACTACTTGGAAACAAGCATGCTAGAAGTTGAAAATACAGATCTAAGAGCTAAAATACGCCTAGAAACATCACTAAATGAAATGGTCCACTGAAACTAGGACACATCGTATTTGAGAAAAATAGCCTAGGGAGTGGATCACTTCTTCCTGATCTAGCTTGACACTTTGCCATTTATTGGTAGACCTAGGCGCGTAGAATAAGATGCGACATTTAGGTCGCAGCTAGTAGTTCAACGACACTTTCTAGTCTGACCTAGATCCGCCTAGAGGATTTACTAGCCGGTCGTCGCTTTGCTCGGGGAGAAGTGCCTCGCAGGAACCCCACAACTTCAAATCTGTCAAACGCTTTGACTATACACTATTTGTCTCTGCTCATATGCTCATATGCCATAGATATGTGTGTGATCCTTTAGTCCATACCCTCTGAAACTTTCAAGTGATTCCGACACGGTCTTTTCGTGTCACGTGATAAATGATATCACCACCAATTGCTGTACATAGATTTGGATCGGCTCTGGTTTGTGAGACTTATACCATTGTAGCTGGGAAATCGAAAGCTGGGAACAATGTTTAAAGACATGCGAAGTTGAACCTATTGATTCTTTCATAGAGATTATCTGTATGTGCTAGTTCAGGGTTATCTACACCCATATCATTCCCTATTCACATGTCACAGCATCACAAACAACAATGTGCAGTCGTGAATTCCATGAAACGTTGTAGTGAGTTACTGAAACACTTACAAGACTTCGACCTTGTTCAGACAGATCTTCAAGTGAATGGGTAGATTGCCAGTAATATTTATAATTCAGAACCAAAAGCTCAACTAGTACGCTCAGACAGCTAAGCTACTCTTCAGGTATAAATTGCGTCCCTGGCATAGGTATTGCTAGGCAAAATCTGAGCCTCGTGGCTACAATACAATGCATTATGGACAACTCCATACTTTTGGAATTTAGGGATAACAAGGTGGGTAGATACTGAATGAGAACTGATGCCAAGTTCAAGCCTGACTAAATTTCTTTTTTTTCTGTTTTGGGGACACGTTATCTAGCTGATCCAAACAGAAAAGTCGTCTGCGTTTAAGACCAACTGAATGTTGTCAGGCTCTTGCACTTGCCTGTTCTTCGGATGCTAAACCTGAGAATTTGCAGGATCTATACATTGTGACAGTAGGAACGAGGCGAATTCCAGAAGCACTCCCAGAGCTATAATGTAGCTCTGAGGGGCTGAGCATTGGAGCACCTGTAGTGATACTTGAAACCCAGTCAATGGTAACAATAAAACATCAGGAACAGAGATCTTCTAGAAGCGACGCTTCATTCGAATCACTTGCGTGCACACTGTGAACGGATAGATCAAGCTCCTCCATTCACGCAAAAACAGCAATGCTCTTACTCAACCTGCCCCCACCATGCATCAGAATAGCATCCAGCCATACCTGATCACTCTCCTTATCCCAACCGCGCTCCTCGCCCCAAGCCACGATCTTCTCAAACTTCGATACCACGGCGCCCAGTCCAGACATCATATCTCCAGTCCTAGAAACAGAGGTGTAGGCATCGAATTCCACGACCTTGATACTGGGCACTTCTTTCAGTACCGCCTCAAGCAAGTTCGCAGAAAAACGCTCGTAGAACCCCTCACTCTTCCGGAATCCAGCAAAGATGGCATCACTAGGATCGCACTCCACGAAAACCTTAAGCGTCCTAACACTCGTGCAATCCTTCAATCCCAGAGCATCATTGACAACCCATCCTTGGGGCGGATTGTTCCAACCCGGGCCAACGCGCAATTGCAGTGATGTGATAGACTCACGAGATTGTGCCGGCAGGCGCGCAAGCAGTGGTCTCTTGGTCTTGAAGTATTTACCTGGATATGTAGGGAATATGCGGAAGGTGTGTGTGCTGAAGAAGTGGTGTTTGGCTTCGCGGTGGATCTGCCGGGAAACTCTGAAGAGCGCGAAAAGCTGCATGCGGTGGTAGATCTTGTGGGTGGAGGGATCGAGGTCGATTACAGCTGGAGCAGCAGAAAATACCATGTAGTAGATCTTGTTTCGTAGTTCGGAGGGGAGGGAGAGGAATGGGAAGGGCTTTATCCTGGTGGTGGCGTCTTCATCTTCGGCTTCGGAGGGATATGCTGAGTTGACGGCAGATGCGACAGCAGAAGACGCTGGAGTTGTGAATCGAGAAGATTGGGGGGTCGGAAAAGCACTCTTTGGCCGCAGAGCGAGTCTGTTGTTTGCGCGTCCTTTCATCTTTGTTGAGAGTGAATCCAAGGTCGGAAAAGTTCTCGAGCGGGGTAGAGTGGATGTTTATCAAAGAATTCAGTTTGATACGGGGTGATTCCAATCTTGAGACACAGTATTAATGTATGAATGAATGATAAACTGATTGATTGATTCTTGTGACTATTGAACAAGACTGTCTAGGTCCGGGACGTTTCGAGGTTTGTAGTGGGATTGTAGAGGTGCAACGGGATCGAATAACTCTTGACGGCTGGTGCTGAGCACCAGCCGTCTAGTATCCAATTCTTGAGCATGCCATTTGATCTCGCACGACGTTCAGCTCATGTCCATGGAAGAAATTGGGAGTCCGAGTCAAATTTATTCGCGCTGCAACTTTAGTGAAAGAAGAAGGTTCAAGGACGACTCGCAGATTTATACTTCTCTCACGAGCTCGGAGCTAGTATCTCGAACTAACCACTTCTGATCTAGACGCATCTGCCCAGAAAGATTTCTGGACGGGCCTCACGCAACAGCTCGAATATTATTCTGCCAACCACACAACCAGCCAGCCTATCTTCTTAATTGAAAATAGCTGTGTATTATAATTTTGTTTGTCTTTCATCATGTTGGCCAGAGCAGCTCTTCGTGCGTTGCAAACCCCCGGGTTAAGGACGACGGCAGCAACATACCGGATAGCCTCATCAACAGTATGGACTCGGTCGATGGCACGCAATAATCGACCGCCCAATCACGGACCAAAGAAGCCAGCAGACTCTTCGAATACTCCCATAGGAAAGCCAGCGGGCCCTGCTGCAACTTCGAGTCAACAACCTCCCAAGAGTGTGGACAGACGACCTGATTTTGCAAGAAAGCCCGAGGTTGGCAAAGGCGCTGCAGGAGCTGCAGGAGCTGGCGCAGGAGCCTTCAAGCCTGCTTCAAGTAAAGGTGAAGAGAAGGAATTCTCTGAGAAGCAAGCGGAATTCGAGACTGGAGCTTCCTCGTCAGGAAACACAGCTCCTCAAGCATCCTCCGAGTTCGCTATTGACCCGGCAGAAAGGCAAGCCCCAAGCCAGCCTTTACCAGATCTTACGAGAGGAATACCATCGACCTTGGAATACGAAACTACAGGCAGCACTTCAAAGTCGCCACTAAAGTTGAACCTTACAGAAGCGGAGGAACCAGAAGCTCCAGGGGGAGGTGGACGAGGGCGTGGAGAGCTCCCAGCCTCAGCATATGTCTCTTCATCAGAGAAGAAGCGGTTAAGATTCGCAAACTACATGTACGCCATGTTTGCCATCTTGTCAGCAACCGGAACAGTTTTCCTCGGACGAAATTGGGAGACGGAAGAGGAGGAAAAAGCACACCCAGACGCGCCGTCAGGGTGGGGCGTAGGATTGATGTGGGCTCGGGCAAAGGCTCGGTTGGGAGATCAATTGAACTACTATAACGAACCAGCTTTCCGAAAGCTTCTACCAGATCCAGACCCAATTTTTGAGCGCCCATATACCTTGGTACTGAGTATGGAGGATCTTCTCATTCACAGCGAATGGACAAGAGAACACGGATGGAGAATGGCGAAACGACCTGGAGTTGATTACTTCTTGCGATACCTGAGCCAATATTATGAGTTGGTCATTTTCACAAGTCAACCTTGGGCTGTAGCAGAACCTATTATTCGAAAGTTAGATCCATACCATATCGTTACTTGGCCTCTTTTCCGCGAAGCCACACGCTATGAGAATGGAGAATACATCAAGGTATGTTCTCTACTATGAGACTAAGCTGGGCTTCACTAACATTTGCAGGATCTCGAATATCTTAACCGCGACCTCTCGAAAGTAATCATCCTGGACACCAAATCCTCTCACGTCCAAAAACAACCCGAGAACGCCATCGTGCTCAAGCCATGGGAGGGCAATGTTCAAGACAAAGAACTCGTTTCCCTGATCCCCTTCTTAGAATACATCCACACAATGGCCTACTCTGACGTACGGAAAGCCATTTCGTCTTTTGACGGACAGCACATCCCCACCGAATTTGCCCGCCGCGAAGCCATTGCCCGCAAGAAGTTCCTGGCGCAAGTAGAGGAAGAAAGGAAGAAGCGCCCTAAGCATTCAGGTGTGGGATTCCTGGGTAACGCGCTAGGCATCAAGCACCAGAGCATGATGATGGATCCCGCGGACCAGACACCAGCCGAGGCATTCGCACAGGGCAAGATGCTGCAAGATCAAGCTCGAGAGAGAGGACAGCGAAACTACGAGGCATTAGAGAAAGAGATCCGAGAGAACGGGGAGAAATGGTTGAAGGAAGAAGCGGCCCTCGAGGAGAGAGCTAAGGAGGAAGCGACCAAGGCCATGAAATCGGGCTTCTCGGGATGGTTTGGCGGTTCGAAATAGATTGTCAAAGCCGAATGAGCGGTCTGCGGGCAAAATGGGGTTGGTGTTAGTGTAATTGAGGAGGGAGTGCAGGCAGTGTCTGGAGATGCACTTGTGTATGATTTTTCGACGGACGGTGCTGGTCTCAAGAGCACCAGCTCGCATCTCTTCTCTCGAAACGTTCTGGTCTTCGCATAGCGAGCGTGGGGTGTGTTTATGTGTGGGTACACATATTAGGCGGCGACGTTGACTTCGGATTGGATTTATCACTCGATTGGTATCCGTTTCGCCTGCTCGGCCGCTTATCTATCTGTCTGTAATCCGATTTCAGGCAGAATAGTTGTACAATAGTGTCATGAATAAAGTCGAACGAAACAACAAATGCGAGGGAAACTCAAGTTTTGTTCCGATATTTGACTGTCCCATTTCCATGCTCCGTCACGAGGAAAAACATCCTGACCACAACATAGCCATAGTGATGAAGTGGCGCAGGGGGTACAGTCAAAGGCCGATGAGGGGTTGTTACATATAGATGCGGCTCCTTGCAGGATGCTGACCTCGTGGCTGTAATCGGTCCTGGTTATCCTTGGCTACAACACATGCATCTTCGTCTAGGTGTATCAACCTCATCATCTGCCCCTCCACTTTTGATGCTTCTAACTATCACAGATGACCAGCGTCATTGTATCTCTTCTGTGGTAATCTATGCGCTGTCAATTCCAAACCTTACCTTGCTGAGTATAGGACGTGGACGTCGCGAACAAGATAATAGCGAGCTTGGTTCTTGTTTTGTTTTGAGTATCTGGGTTCCGTCAGCGTCAACCTTGTCATCAATCTCAAATCATTTCAAATCCTGTCTCCTATCCCAAATAGCTCCCACTTATCTTTTGAACCTCCTCTCAACTCCACCTGCCCAAATCTTACCAAGATGCATATCTTCTCTCCGCTCTTCGCCCTCACCCTCCTCCTCACCACAGCTATCACATCTCCCACTCCAGCTCCAGCTGATCTCGCCAACGAGATCATCGCCATTGAAGACGGAGCCGCGACACCTTGTCGCTGCGTGAGGTCCTGCTATAACAACATGAAGGCGTATTGCGATAGCTGTGCGACTATTGCAGACCCGTGGATGTGAGTCTCGTTCCAGATACTTTTTTTAGATTCTTATGATTGGAGAAAGAGAAGGTATGGATTAGGAGGAAGCTTAAGTAAGGCAAATGAGAGGGCAGATTAGCTATGGACCGATTGGCTGACATGGGTGGTATGAGTAGGCAGTTCCAATGCGTCTCGAATCCTTGCTGCGAGTGTGTTGCTTGTCCTTAAGCGACACGCACGCGAAGTCTCTTCCTTCATCCCAAGTGTTGGCCGTGAGAAGTTTAAGAGAGAAGAGATATTCAGCAATGAAGTAAGTTTGATGACTATGAGGGAAAGAATGAATGGGTGCGGATTAGGAGATATGCGGAGTTGATTAGGCGGCGGCGTCTTTTCGATATCTCGGTTGGATTATGAAAATAGTCAAGGCATAGGGAAACACAAAATATGGTATCGATTGGGAGAGAAACATGAGAAAAACTCTGGGAGCATCTAATGATAATGAAATGTAATGAGCAAAGAAACTTGTTCTCGTGACTAAGCCGTTTAAATCCAAATTTGGAGAAGAAAATTATTAGAACTTCTGTTCCTGTCACTCCCATCAGAGTTAGTACTTCCAAGGTAAGCAGCTACATCCACTCCTCGAGTTTCACTTCGAGCATTTTAATTTTTAAGTAATACCAGGAATACTGACGGAATAAGCAATTGTAGCCCTTTTCCTTGACCAAAAGTCAAAACCAGGCATGCAGCTACCCACTGCCACGATCGCATCCAAGATCTGTATCTCCATACACAACGTATCAACATCTCTGCATATCTTCCCAAGCCTCACCTCCCTTTCACATCTCACAAAGGAGCCTCGTGGCATATATCGGCACTCACCTCGTCGCGCCTCATGGGCAATAGACGGTGTTCCGCTTTGTTTCTTCCTTCAAGCAATGCATAGCAACACAATCTACTCCACTTCACATCCGAAGTGTTTCCTAGCAAACACACCGTAGAATCCAAGTGTTCTTTTGCATGCATAAGATCGTCATTTGACCGGCACCGCTCGGCAGCTCTTTACCCGCACATGTACATGTGTCCATAGGAAACCGGTCACTTTAGCCAAAGCACAGTCGAGGCACAGGTACACCGATCAGACCAAAGTTCATTGTACACCGGATCTGATGATCTCTGCATATGTACACAGCATATAACAGAAGGATCCGAAGTCTTCTGATAGGCCCCGCTGACGTCCAACAAACTCTATGTCAACCAACGAGTAGGTCGCATGTGGGGGCGGGGAGTTGTACTTACATATGGCTTCTCTCGCAAACCCTTACCTCATATTTTCTAAAAAGTTTCTACATTCCGAGACCTCAAAATTATCTCTGCCCCATCAACAAATTCCTTCCAGACACGTCCCGCACACACAATGCCTCGCCTCGCACCCTTCCTGTCCCTCATCTTCCTCACCACCACCCTCCTATGTCTAACCTCCGCACTCGCCCTCCCGGCAGAAGACCACAACAGCCATGACATCGCATCCCCCTCCCCACCCTTGGTCTCAGAAACCTTAGAAACTTCAGAAACAGTGAATTACGTCTGCGAAGAAGGATGTCGAAAACCGTGTTTCGACTACGGGTACTGCAGTAGTTGTGATTCGTTGACTGGTTATGAGTGAGTCTTTTCCTCTCCTTATTTTTTGTTGTCGTGAGTGCCGGTGGTGTATGGAAATGAGGATATTAGAGAAGGAGGGGAGCGAGACATGTAAATTTGTGAGAGGGTGAGGAGGGTGTGAGAGAAGAAGAGGAGAAAAAGGAGGAAATGGAGGTCCGTGAAATGGGATGAGGTGAGGTGAAAAGTATGGGAAGGAAGAACCCAGATAGGTAGATGGAGATGTGGCAGAGGAGACTGGAAAGGAGATGGTGAGGTTGTGACGAAGATCCGCATTGAAACTTGTTCAAAACGGAGGGCCAGATTGAAGTTGAAACTTAAGGTAGACTTGAGAGTCAACTCAGAAAATTTTGCTAACAACTTTGTGATGGCAGGCAGTTCAAGTGCGACACATCTTGGTGTTGCGAATGTTTGTGCTAGAATCCGACCTTCTCCGGTCGACAGGAACGAGGGAGACTAGATGAGCGACGTTGAAGTGTGAGACTATGTTTGATGGTATTAAAAAGACTGAGTTATTGACCGGTTAATTGATTTACTTGAAAGTAGAAAGTCGGTACACCACGAAGAGGTGTTACAGCGTGGCTGATGCTCTGAGAGCTTGGTACAATTATCAGAGAAAATCGACTTGACAAGAAATGATGAAAGATTGCGAGCGAAGGAGAAGATACCGACAACATGTCAAAAGATAATGAGAAACGAATAATAACAATCCAAAGAAGAAGAGACATGACATTCGCTCATATAAAATCTAACGCCATGGTATCTTTGCCCCAGATCAAGTCCCATGCTCCCTACTTTACACAGCGCTCCTCTGAACGCCGACCCATATTAATTCCATCACTAAATCTAAATGAACAAAAACAGATAAATTAAAAGCAAGCATATGAAACACAAAACCAACTTTTCCAAATCCATCTACAAGTCATGACTCGTGGCTCATCTCGCGTTCTACCTGTTCATTGGTCGGTCTCCTCTGTTGTCGCTCGATTGCTTTTCCTTTTCCTTTCCCTTTGTCTTTCTTGTCCCTGCTGGTCTCCATCGGTCTCTTCGCAAGCTTGAGAACACTATGGTGACGAGACATTCCCTCCTTGTACTGCCCCGCTCTTGCGAAAGCCGAGCTTCTAAGACCCTGAGCAACGCGCTCGTAGTCTTGATCGTCATCAACGTATAGCTCCATCTGAGTTGGCCCATTTGGTACCGATGTCAATGTCGTCTCAACTTCATGCGTGTCAGAAGATCCGCCACCGTGGTGGCAGACACCTTTGACTTTATCGGTATTTGGAGCTTGTCTTTTGCGGACTCTGGATTTGGAGTCCATCTTTGGACTTGACTTTGAGGTTGGGAGTGAGGGTAAAGGACGTTTCGTGTAGAGTGACATGAGCTTGGGATCGCTAGGCGTGTATGTCTTGTTTGTCGGTACTGAGGGAGCCGTCGTGGAGGGAATAACGACCCAACTGCCATCCGAGTCACTATCTAGGTCCTTTTGTTCTTCTGGTTTAGGCTCTAGTGACACAGGAAGCTCCAACTTCCAGTCCTCTATACATTTTCGAATCTGAGTGAGCCTGTGATGGATCAGCGAGAGCCCCAAGGAAGGATAGTGTGTTGACCCACGTGATTTGTAGCTTGTATTGCTCGTAGAGGTGCGCAACGATTTCTACATCCGTCTTTTTGTCTTCGAGGTAAAGACATGTAATATAGTATCGATGGATGCTCAGGATGTCTTCCTCGGTCAACTCAAGCGTATGGATTTCCATACTGCACGTCGAAAGAAGAACCAGAAAGTAAGCTTGTTTGGTGCTGGAAAGTTAAACCGGGGGAGGAGACAGATTGGTGGTGATTTGGGTTTGATATATGTGGCTACTGATGGTCTCAGCGTCTTGGAGGACAGGGATCTGTAGCGGAGCATTGTAGCGCTTCGGAAAAAGACCAGATCTTGGGTTGATGTTGGGGGAAGAGACTTGACCAGATACAAATGAACGTGCATAACACGGGACATAAGCGGCAAGGGAACTGTCAAGGAACAGAGGGGAAGAGACGAAACAGCAGAATGCTTTGATGAATGCAAGCAACCTGGTTGGATAATGGTACGAAAGATAAACCTTGAAGGTAGAGCTCGTCTACATGTGGGATGGTCACCAACAAATGAAGATGCCGACCCAGCGACATGGTAGACCTGCAGCAACCAAATGCGACCCGAGGGAGTGGGTGGCCTTTCATCAAACAAGTTGACGTCGGCATATATGATTTAAGGGAAAAGATTCCTGGCTAGGATGGAATCGTTGGATGAGGCCAAAGACTCAGAGACCGAAAACGGCGAGCTATCTCTAGCCTTCATTGCAAGTTGGGATACTTGATTATTGTAAAATCGTCCGGTGCTGAGTAGATCGACGATGCACTCCTGGGACTTCAGAATCAGAAGAGCGTCAGGTTGTGGCTTGCATGGGCGGGGGAAATGCAAGGGTTGGAACATACGGAGCAGAAGCCCCTCTCTGATGTTGTCCCAGCTTTTGAACCTCGAGACGGGGCATCTAAACACCTGTCGCCATACGAGTCTTGTCAGTGCCCTCAATCAATCGCAAGCAGTTCCAGCTGGGGGGTTCATCAGAATGCAGGGGCATGATCATGTATGATGACGATCCAATAAGCATGCCAAAGTGTTGGGTGGTGGCTTATGAATTAATTCGGGTCGTCCCAAACGGCTGCATGTCAAGCTGTCAAATGAACCTTCTGAACCGACGCAGCCGCTGGAGAAAAAAGCAAGCCCGTGCCATTCGGCCGGGACGAGGATCTCTGGAGCCGGAAAACAGAAGGCATGGATGGTGCGGAGACGATAGAAAAAGCAAGCATACTCGGTGTTGCTCCCGACAAGGACTTTGTCCGCACCCTGCGCTAGGCTTTATGGTCCCCTACTTGCGTAATGGGTCGATAGAGCTGCTTTCAAAATAAACAAATACGACGACGTACAGATATTAGGGGATTTCCACAGCAGTAGATACCACAAATGTACCCTGGCTTGCGCAATTTATCTTGGCACATCCTCGAGCAAGTCGAAAAGAAAAGACGAGTGCCTAGACTGTAACTCGAGCGAAATGGCGTTTAATCCCTGACGGCTGAGGACAAACCCGAATCTTTACTGAAGCCGGTTTGGCAATTGCCAAGTTCTAGATGATGTTGAGTACTCTGCACTCGCCCGCAATACGGCGCTGGTCAATATGCATCTTGTTGCACGGCGCTAATAGTGTCATGCCTTGCCAGCCGACGAAATCGACGGGTTGCTGTTCATACTCGTAACATTTGATGCTGGAAACCAGGAAAGGGCACGTCTTACGAGCCCAAGCTGTTTTTACATAAGTTGATGGCGCTTTTGAAGGGGGCTGTCCAATGAAGGAGAAGGCCCACGTGGGAAACCATACTGACCAGATACCTGGGTCTGATGGAAAAAGAAACTCATCGATTTGGTGGAGAAGCGGCCGGGGTATTGGCACCGATGAGATGGTTATATCGATGCATGTTCAATATTTCCCGTCTTCCGCTCTGAGCTGTCAGAAATGAATTGGCGACTGTTTGTCGAATGGAAATGAGCAGGTCGAGCTTGTCCCTTGCCTCAAGCCTATCTAAGACGATATTTGCATTGTTCCATTGACGATAATGACTGCAGTTGTAGCTGATTTGTGCTCAAGCCCGTAATGCAGTTTCAACAATGGCTGAATGAGACATTCAGATCGCTGGTAGCCTGGTACGTACCTAGTCGACACTGAGACCGATGAGAGCAAAATCCAGGAGACCGGCTGAGCCTTCCGGGACAAGGATGATGAAGATTTGAACCGTGGCAGCGTGGCTTCCCGCCTACAGCCCCTCCCAAGCGAGACGCTCATGCAGTTTCCATCAACCTTGACCTAAAATTCGGAGCAGGAGTTTCTTCCTGCAGTCAGCAACACTTTCATCTATCTTTGCTCATCTAGGGAAAAAAGCCGCGCGCATCGGCATAATGTTTCAAGTTCGTGCTGGAGCTGAAAAAGGTGACTGCATGGAAGGTTGCATGGAAGCAATTTGGAAGACACGCCTCAGCCCTGCAGTCAGATCAGTTTCTCCCGACTTGGCTCCAATCGTGTCTGAGTACGGTGTACTGGAGAACAATTTGTAGATCCGGAAATGCGGGAGTAGACATGCAAGCTATCGGAGCCCTTGACAGACAGCCTTGATACTTCTCCTTTAGATGGATGATTTGTCCATGCAATGACGATTCCGAAGCTGGCATTATTGTAATCGCCGTTGAATGGTACATGTAGCTTTCTAGACTTTGCAGAAGGCTGCACTGGAAGGATCGAAGTTTCAAGCGCATCGACTTCGACCCATGAGGCAGGTTGCAAAAGTGCATTTGTTCGCTTCGACGTGAAATCGATATCCGGTGAAGCTCGGTCTGTATGACGGGGATGAACAAAGTGCAAATGCTTGCAGAGCTGACGGTTTATCAAATATCCATGATGCCAGGGTGATTGAATTCATACCAGCTCCTGCAACTGACTTATCCGCTGGCAAGTGAAACGAAATTGGAGTACTGGACGGCAAAGCTTGTCGTCCCCAATATTGAATCTAAGACCGACACACGCGCTCCCAGCTGTATTTTATCCCTGCCCAAGGGCACATACCTCACCGGCGTCTCCATGACGAAGCTGCGTTGTTCACACATAGTTTGTGTGCGTCGAGGAATGTTAAAACGACAGATGGCTTTTCGGGACTTTACCACGAGGCTGGACATAGTGGCCAAAGTGCAATTGTCCCCAAAGCGCGGTCTAACTGGTGGTCGTTGCAGGTGTGACCCTGAAATCTTTCAAGTAGGTGATAGCTCCCCAAGCCCACTAGAGATCAGCCATGACATCTTGAACTTGGTTATCTGTGAAGGAATATTTTAGGAACATATGTTGGGCTTCGTGGTCGGCTCAACGCCCTAGCGAGGTAAACACTTGCTCATCATGGTTTATAGAAAGAAGCACTACCAACCTGCTCACTGTGTGAGGAGCCCAGCAAATGCAGTATGCAGTGCATTGATCCTCCATAGATGGAGTGCAAAGAAACTGATTTCGAATGTCGCATTGGTATACAGACTTGACGGTCTCATAAGCAATACGTCACGGCCTTGCACTCTAAGAAAGCACAGCTCTAGCCAAGTGTAAGAAATAGACCAGAGGTGCTTATGACAGACAATGAGATTCAGTCTTGAAAACCGAACAAAAAATTGAAATTGGAACAATTCGTACGACTGAACTCGAAACAAGTCGAGGTTGAAATAAGACTCGACTCAACTCAAGGTTGGACAAATTGAGTTTCGGCAAGCGCTCCTCTTGCCAAACGAGGAAGGGACGATTCAAGCCCATTGATGCCCAAACCCAAACTCACCCAGATGAAATGTACTCAAACCATAATCAAAAGAACGCTGAAAAGGGAGGAGAAGACGATCGGCCCTTATCAGTCTCTTTTGGGATCGCCATTGTGCTGTAATAACAACCGTAAAACAGCGAGAAGCAATTGGAACCAGAAACAGTGCAGAGGGAATCGACTAAATCAGTGGGGAAGAAGGATGCAACTAGATTTCGCAGAAGCTCACCAACTGACAAGATAAGGCGATGTACTCAGAACTCCGCAAATGCTCCTGATATTGACTCTAGCACCCAATGAACCACGCCTTGCATAGAGTTCTACCTGATGCTAGAGAGAACCAAACGCCTATAGTACAATACAGTGTAATGCAGATATCATTATAGCTCCTCCTCCACATCCATAGCATCACCGTTTGCATGCCCGTTCGCATCAGACTTCTCCTTCGGAGCAGAAGCCTCTTTATCGATCATCTGTCTTGAGACGGATACGATGTTGTCTTCGATGAGCTGTTGTCCGACGTCCTCCAAGTGCTTCTTTGGGTCCACCTTTCCAACATATCTCGTCTTCAGCTGGTCTTTTGTAAGTTCTGTTTCCTCCTTCACTCTCTTCTCATATCCCTCCGCGAGCCCCACCAGCTTCTTTAAGCGCTCGTTATTGCGGCCACCTTCGACGCGGAAATCGTCCATCTGGAGGCCCTCGGTCCAAACGTGCTTGTGTAGGTTCATCAACATGTTCTCCTCTAACGCGGTCTTGCGGTAGTTGATGCCAATGCTGTAGTAGTGTCTGTTTAATCCGTGGATGAGCGCTTGAATGGAAGGCTTGTTGAGATGTCCCAAGTTAGATGTACTTTGGCGGGGTTCTTGGCCGAGCATGAGTGACTGTGGGTTGATAAGGCGGAAAGCATCAATGACGACCTTGCCCTTGACGGATTGAATGGGGTCAACAACAACTGCGACGGCTCGAGGTGTCAACTGCTCAAAGGATTGTTGGGTATTGATATCGACCGAAGAGAGCCAGCAGCCAAATCCAGGATGCGAATGGTACCATCCAACAACAGTTTCTGGTCTGCAGATCTTGTCAGAATATGCGGAAGTTTGTTGTGATCAATATCCTTACCGTCCAGTTTGCCTTAACATATCCATCATCTTCGTTTGAAACACAGGGTCAACAGCCTCGACACTGACACCGGTACCACTCTGCGGCATAGCAAAAACATCGACCACTCGTACTGTGAAGTCGTCTACGAACTCTCCCAGCATCAGACCCATAACTTCCATAGGTACTCCAGCCCTGCCGTGTCGCAGCATCTTTAAAAGCGCAAGGGAGGAAATGTAGACGGTTTCGGAGTTATCGATCAAAGTTGTGTTATCCTACCGAGAAAATATAGATTAGCTGCAGCCCATTCCGAAGCTTCTTTGAAGCTGCAATGTAGTCTGCATAGCTTACAGATCCGGGTGCAGCGCTGTTGAGTCCGCCCATATTCCCAGCCGAAGCCAACATGCGATTTAACCTATCCATCTTGACGGTTGTATATGATTATGGAGGTTGAGATGTTTGATGGGGAAAATTTTGTTCGTGAGTCGTCAATTTCGTTGCCACAACTTCTCGCTGGTTCTGTTGATGCTTCAGTTGGAGCTCTCCAGCCAGGCAGTTCAGAGACGCGAGTTGCTGCGAATCAATTTGGAGTTTAGCGCGAAGTTAGCTCATCACATGATCGCAGCCTTGGGTTTTCAGCCTCGTCTACGGGTTTTTGCTTGGTAGGACCTATGACATGAAATCATCCGATCATTTTATGGAAACACATCTAGGAACAAGGAAGTTAGTAGCTTCTTGCCTTTGACAAACGTATATTCAAAAATCTTCTCTCATTCAAGGATTTGGAAAGGTGAACCGTTGAAGTGAATGGCAGGCATTATGCCCCATTCGGTAAAGGCCGGCCGCCCAAGCTCATGCAGTCCAGGAGGCCGGCGTTCTGATCTCTCCCAGAGCTTCTCCATCTTCTTCTTTCCCCTCCCCGTTCCATTTTCACACCAACAAAACCACACTATTCTGCGTCTCGACTTCCGTTGAGTCAGTTCGTTTTCCCATCCAGAATACATTTCACATCGTTCAAACTTTCTTTCCAAAGTGGTTACACCTCCAGCAGTTCCTCACGATGACTTCCTCGTTCGCGCCCCTCGATGCGCCGAACTTCAAGAGCGGAGATGACAAGAAGAGGGTTGCATATTTCTACGATTCTGATGTTGGAAACTACGCATACGTTGCTGGCCATCCTATGAAGCCGCACAGAATCAGGTTGGCGCACAGCTTGATCATGAACTACGGCACTTACAAGCACATGGAAATCTACGTAAGTTGGAAGCCTCAGTCCCTTCAGGATCCTTTAGTATTTTTCGAATTAGTATTCCATACGGCCTCTCTGTGCTCGGCTTCCATTATGCCATTGTCAAATCTTTGGCAGGCTCTTCCAGAATTTGGAGTTTTCCTCGGTCGCATTTCCTTCCCAACTGACTCTTCTACGATTAACGGTGGACGCGTCGCAGACAAGGGAGGACTATCTGGCTTATATGCTGCGTGCAACTCGTATCTTCTTTACCCATTTCTGGCATTTGAGGTGGATGGCTCGGTGGTGCAGTGGAGTTCACTTTCAAGGAAATCTATGTTATGTCATTTTGTCTTTGGAGCTCTTGGGCCGTACTTTATCTAAACCTCTCTTGCTAATCATGTTCTCAGCGAGCGAAACCTGCTACTCGACATGAGATGACCCAATTCCACACCGACGAGTACATCGATTTCCTCCAAAAGGTTACTCCGGACAATATGGACACCTTCTCCAAGGAGCAAGGAAAGTACAATGTTGGTGATGATTGTCCTGTCTTCGACGGTCTCTTCGAGTTCTGCGGTATTAGTGCTGGTGGTAGTATGGAAGGTGCTGCGCGTCTCAATCGTGGCAAGTGTGATATTGCGATCAATTGGGCTGGTGGTCTCCATCACGCAAAGAAGAGCGAGGCGAGCGGTTTCTGCTATGTTAACGGTATGTGAAAAGTCAAAGAGCAAATCGACGTGCGCTGATTTCTTTATAGATATCGTTCTGGGCATCATTGAGCTTTTACGATTCAAGAAGCGAGTCCTCTACATTGACATCGACGTCCATCACGGTGATGGTGTTGAGGAGGCTTTCTACACCACCGATCGTGTCATGACAGTCTCCTTCCACAAGTATGGCGAGTACTTCCCAGGAACTGGTGAACTTCGCGACATTGGTGTTGGCCAAGGCAAGAACTACGCCGTCAATTTCCCACTCCGCGATGGCATTGATGACACCACCTACAAGTCCATCTTCGAGCCAGTCATCAAGGCCGTCATGGATTACTACCAGCCAGAGGCTGTCGTCCTTCAATGTGGTGGTGACAGCTTGTCTGGCGATCGCCTTGGATGCTTCAACCTTAGCATGAGAGGCCATGCCAATTGCGTGAAGTTCGTCAAGAGCTTCAACCTCCCTACCCTTGTCCTTGGCGGTGGTGGATATACCATGCGCAACGTAGCTCGTACCTGGGCTTACGAAACCGGCATACTCGTTGGTGAGGAACTCGACTCAACCCTACCATACAACGAGTACTACGAGGTAAGTTCAAATTTCTAGTCTCATGACACTTTTCTGACAACTTTCAGTACTATGGCCCTGATTATGAGCTGGATGTCCGTGCCTCAAATATGGACAACGCCAACTCAAAGGACTACCTGGAGAAGATCAAGATCCAAGTCATTGAGAATCTCAAGGAAACAGCCCATGCTCCTTCAGTTCAAATGACCGATGTCCCTCGCACCACCATGACTGGAGGCGTCGACGAGGACGAGGACATCCTTGATGACATGGATGAGGACGAGAATATCGATACGCGATCTTCGAAGCGACGCAACGATCAGCGTATCGCTCGAGATGACGAGCTTGATGAGAGTGAAGATGAAGAGGAGAATTACAAGAATGGTGTTCGCCCACAAGATGGTGCAAGCAAGCGACGAAATATTATGGACTATCAGAACGAGAACACTGCTGCTTCCGACGTTGACATGGACAGTGGCGTCGTCACACCCGCTCCCCCAACGCCTCCATCACCTCCAGTGGCACAACTACCTACCACGCTCTCTGCCGAAGTAGGATCCAATGCACCATCACGAGCCGACACACCTAAACCTGTCGTTGATACCGAAGGAGATATCGACATGACTGATGGTCCAGCTGAACCTGTCAAATCACCTGCCGCTCCATCACCAGCTCCAGCTACAGTCCCGACTGTGGAGACCGTTGCCAAGCCCGCTGAACCAGAGCCAGCCCAAGTCAAACAGGAAGGAGAGACTGAGCCTGCCGAAGCCGAGATTCCAGCGGATGAGCCGCCAAAGCCCAGCGAGGCGCCAGAGTCGGTCGCAGAAGCGGTTACAGAGGCGAATGCTGAGGTCAATGCCGAGATCATGGAACGAAAAGCCAGCGTTGCGGAGGCTGAACCATGAGAAGGCGCTCTCTATCACGTTCAAGTCCATGGATTAAAGGACTAGCGACATAGAGCATAGCCGATTCGCGTGTATTTGTACCTTTGAGCAAGGCGCATGGAGTTTGGAGTCATGGCCAAAAGGTTAGGCGGCGACCAGGATAGATGCAACGTTCATACCAGGTATCATTGAGATTTGAGTTATTTTTTTTAATGTAGACCTCCAGATGAACCGCAATAAATCGATCAAATACAAATGCCATTCTCCGTTTGACTTACTTTCGTCCTGGTGGGCTGTTTTGGGATGCCTCAGATCAAAATCCTCAAATTCCCAGAAACATTTCTGGATGGGACTCGCAACTAAAAGGTCATTTCTACAATAGCACCTATGACACTTAAAACAATTCAGCCAGGGGCTTGGTGTAGAACTATAATGCAATCCAATTCTCATCATCCTGATAATTTTTCCAGTCGTTTGCGCCAATTGGAGCTTAAATTTTAGTGGGCTCGCTTAAGCGATTAGGGCTTTCCACAGTCCGGAAATTCCATTCAACCCAGCCGAATTTCGCGACGACGAACCCTCGATTTTCTTCAACGACAACACCACATCTTTGACTTCCTCGCAAATTTCAAAGATCCACCGATAAGATGGCAAAGATCTCGTATGTTCGCCCCTATGCTCCCTTTTCTTCTGCTGCAGTTGGCGCCGTCGCAATCAATGCGAATTGATTGGGGGATGATGGCACGGAATAATGGAGGGATTGATGGAAAGACGGAGAGGGGAGAAGGTGAATTGGATCGAAGGAATGTTACTGACGTGAAATAGACGTGGTGCCCCTGGTGGCAAGCTTAAGATGACTCTCGGTCTCCCAGTGTACGTTTTGACCTCGAAATCCCTATACCACACCCTTTCTTGGAGCGAACTTGGATCCGCAGCTGGAATTGAAGGAGAAGCTGGATCTGAAGATGAGGGTGGCATAGCGCATGGATATGCAGAATCATGGATACGAGGCATTATATCGAATCGAAGCGGATAAACGAGGAAGGAAAGCAATTGCAAAGAAGGCTGGCTAACGGAGGAATAGTGGTGCCGTGATGAACTGCTGCGATAACTCCGGAGCACGTAACTTGTACATCATCTCAGTCAAGGGTATCGGTGCGCGTCTCAACAGACTGCCAGCCGGCGGTGTCGGAGATATGGTTATGGCCACAGTCAAGAAGGGAAAGCCTGAGCTGAGAAAGAAGGTCATGCCTGCTGTTATCGTCAGACAAAGCAAGCCATGGAGACGAACTGATGGTGTCTTCTTGTACTTCGAGGACAACGCTGGTGTGGTGAGTGCTGGATTTCATCCATACCAATACTTGGAGGATTCTGCAAAGGCTGGCAGTGGGGTTTAGGGAGCCTGTGTTCGCGAGATTGGTGCGGACATTTGATCTTGAGGTTTTACTGACAAATTTTCTACAGATCGTCAACCCAAAGGGAGAGATGAAGGGATCTGCTATTACAGGACCAGTCGGAAAGGAGGCTGCTGAGCTCTGGCCAGTAAGTTCACTCCTGTTCACCTACACGCAAACAAGCCTGCAAGGAAATACGGAACTAACACAATTCCCAGCGTATTGCCAGCAACTCCGGTGTCGTCATGTAAAGGGTTGTTTCTTTCGGGGTTTGGGCATGGACATGGGTTTGCTGTTGCATGGTTCTCACGATAGCGATCACAACAACAAAAATTTGACGCATTCCACAGGGAACTTGAAGATATCCTAAAAAACCTACCTACCTACGACTTTTTCAAAATGTGACCTGGGATGAACCGATGCTGGGAATGGTAGGGCAGGCCGAAAATTTGCGGATCCGGAATATGGGATATGGTTCCATGCATTGGGTAATGCATTTGGCAAGTGTCAAGGAATCGAAACAGGACGAGGCCTGGGTGTCATCCGACACCGAAAAAGGCTTTGGTGGTGAATTTGCAACATTTAAACATATCTGGAGCCTAGCCCACGACTTTCTGGTTCCGAAGGACATTCCCTATGAGGCTAAATCCTGCCAGACCTCCATATTCCTTCAAACAGCGTCCTGGAGCTTACGTGTGTCTTGCCCAGCCAGTTCTGTACCTTCCGCCATACCAAAAAACTTCCTACTCTTTGCTACAGACTTGTTTCATTGCTAGTCTCTTTCATTGGCTCTATTTGCAAGTGCGTTCCTACAGGGGTCCTGGGCTCTAATTCTTTACTCCTACACGTAGTTGTTGTCACTAACCACTGAATGAAGCCAAGCCACTTCAGTAAAGCTTCAAGGATTCATCAAGTACAGGAGAGTATGTTTGGCTTCTGTTCGTAGGTACTTCTACATTGCGGGAAGGGACTGAGGCGGGATTACCTGGAAGCAATGCTCCTCTCAACACGTTTCGGAAATTGGTAAATACTTTTGGCGCCTTGGACACAAGACATGGAGTCTTTCCCTTTATCTTTGGCATGGGGATCGGCATTGTAGAGGTGGAGACCAGGCTTCTCTTCCAGAGCTATACGGCAGGTTCTGGGTCAGTGCTTTGCTCCCAGACTTGAAACAGAAAAAAATAAAACAGTGACAGCATCTTCTAGCCATATGGTTCAATTCTTGGCTATATGGCCATTATAAAGATTGCGATTGTCAGTGGGGAGCAGAATTGCGGTAGACGGATCCCACACTAACTGGTAGAGTGATCGGCTAATAGAAATCTCTTCTGTTCCTCATTTAAAGTATATGCATCTCAGTTTAACAAGCATTATTTATCTGGTGGAATTGACGCAGTCTTGTTTTGCCATTCTCCCTGCTCACTGCTCCTATTTCTTCGCCGAGGTGGATTCTGATCACGTTAGCTCATGTCTCCTTGCTGATTTGTAACATTGAATTTGATGAAGGCATTGTGAAGGTTGTCATGCAACACAATTTACGACCACATTCCACCGGCGGTGCAAGAGACAAGACCAGTAACATGCTTCTCGGAATAATATCGCTCTTTTCATTCTATACAATACATACAAATCTTTCGCTGAAACTCGTAAAGAGAGAGAACACATCTAGTGGAAACCATTGACACCATTGACGCCATTTATACCGTTGACACCATTTCTTTTCTTAAGCGTGCTTCCCCAGTTCCCCCGAGTCGCGATAACAGCGTCTGTCATTTCCGCAGCTCCTCCCAGATACTGCCTTGGATCACACAAGTCCCTAAGCTTTTGTTCTTCAACTTTCTCCTTCACCTTCTCATCCTTCAGCAAGATATCAATGAGGGCCACTTTGGTCTCAATGCTCTCCTTGCAAGCCTCATAGACAATATCGTGTGCTGGATTTCGACCAAAAGACTGAGCAAGTTCCATCATCACAGCTTCTGCTACGATCAACCCTCTCATTGAGTTCAGGTTGTCAAGCATAGCATCAACATTGACAACTAATCCGCTCATAGCGAATATCGTTTGATGTAACGCTCCAGATGCCATGATGAAAGACTCTGGAATTGCGACCCACTCCAAATGCCATGGTCCACTAGCTCTCTCAAAGTCGCTGACCATGCCATCAAGTACCAATCCAGCATTTGCTCTCAGAACCTTGGAAGCTGCCAGGATCACCTCGCTCGAAATGGGATTCCGCTTTTGAGGCATGGTAGATGAGGCCCCACGATGCGGTACGAAAGGTTCAGAAACCTCGCCGAGCTCATTGGATGACATGATAATGATATCAAGTGCAAGCTTTCCGAGGGATCCTCCGACTAGTGCGAGGAAGTTCTGGATCTCAGCTACGGAGTCTCGTGCCACGTGCCACGTGATTGATGGGTCTTGAAGCTGAAGTTCCATAGCAAGCTCTTTTCGAACTTTAATGCCTACTCCTTCATTACCAAGTGATGCCAGACTTCCGGCGGCACCTCCAAATTGCACAAGGAGGCAGCGGGTCTCGAGCTGGTCTAGACGTTCGTAGTGGCGCTGAATAGAAGAGAGATACACTGCACATTTGTAACCAAATGTTACGGGTAATGCATGCTGTAGATGTGTTCTTCCTGCCATAGGCCTTTCAATTGTCAATTGCAATCACTACAACTGGTGCAAGTGGACATACGTATCTCGATACTGCCTCGATAATTGGGTGAGTGTGTATATCAACTCTTCCAATTGCCTCCTGACAATTTTGAGACCACTTCTCATTTGCAATATAGAAGCGATATCCATGATATCTTGAGTCGTGGCCCCCCAGTGGATGTAGCCCGCTTCTTCCACGGGGCACATTTCCACCAGCTGACGAACAAGTGGCAGGACTGGATAGCCAACAATATCTGTCTCATTTGCTAGACGTTCAAAACTACACCCAGTCAGACTTGAAACACGAAATTTGCTTGGAGGCTTACTCTATCTTCTTGATATCGCATTTTTTGGTGATGGTCTCTCCAACATTCTTGGGGATAATGCCGACCTTTGATTGAGCTCGGCCGAGTGCCGTCTCGGCATCGATCATGCACTGGACGTATGATGTATCAGAGAACACATCTCGAATCTCTTGTGTGCCAAAGAGATTTCTGAACACTCTTGAGTCAACAGCACTGCAATTCATGATGTTTGGTTGGAGTGGTGGCTGTTGAGGAAGATAGAAGAAGGGAAGGTCAAACGATGTGAGAAATGGAACAAGATTTTTGTAAGGAAACAGTGCTGCTCTGTGCTCCTTACCTATTCAACCTACTTCTTCTTGAATTAAATATTACAGCATACACCCATCCAAGACGCCACTCTATCGAAGAAGCCGAATCCTGGATTCAGGGAGACGATGTGGAGCATCCGTTGAGGTTCGGAATAAGCTCTTAACCCGTGATGTCTTGCTAGCCCACTAGCCTCCCCGCCTTCGGTCCTCCTCTTATTCCGCTCATGCCTCTCATGGCAACATCACTTATGCTTGCATACAGCTTCTCATTTGACGACGCCGTCCACGACGCCTTACAATTTTCCAATCCTAGAACACTAATGCACCGCAATATACCGTGCTCCCCCGTACTCCGGAATAGCTGTCCATAGCGCCACCCGCAAGTATGGTCTCACGGCCAGCGTTCTTGTTTGACTAAGTGCCATGGCGAGCATAACAAGTCCCTAGGATGGCGCGCGAGAAACATCAGCTCAAGTTTGGTATGTTGCAAAATGATACATCACGTCCCACTTGACTGGACACCAGAATCTCGAATTGTAGCTAATTCGAAGAGAAGTGATGATTGTAGGAAGTAAGAAGAGCGGAATCCAACTCTAGATGTACGGAGAGGTTTATGGGACATATAGACGCAAAGTAAAATGTGATGGCAAACTTCCGGCTGTAGGTGACTGATTCAAAAACTATATGGCTCGCGACTGCGTCTTAAGCGATGTTGACCGAGGCAGTGCTCAAATTGCAAGCGGCTTCAAAGGACATGCACATTCTCAGCTCAACTTCAACGGAAAACCAAAAGACGGGGGTGAGAAAGCCATGTTTCAGAATATAGTACTTTGCTGATTGGCTATTTAGCCACGCAGATTCGAAGGATGAGATGATTCAGCGACTACAGAAAGAAGTCACAGAACTCCGCCGCCAAGTGCAATCAAGTAACGAGACAACAACCACACTGAGTATGTGAAGCTCCACGCTTTATGGCAATCGGTTTTGTGAAGGAAATCCGAACTGATTCGTCTAGATCAGTGCAGTTCTTCAGTACAAGAACAGCAGGCTCACCCACAGGTGACGACTAGATCTGCAATAAGCTCGAGCGTTCGGCGTCCACCACATCGCAATACGGCTGGTCCTATTACCAGACACCTGGGTCGCCTTGTTTCTGCGGAGGACGGGGTAGATCAGTTTGCGGGCACTACAACAGGAGTCCATTTCACATTAACGGCGCAGCAAAAGTACCAGGAGCTTTTTCACTCCAAAGAGAATTTTCCAGAAGTTGTTTTTAGTCTCTACCTCCTTCCGGGCTCCCATGCCAGGGAACAAGTGCAAGATTATGATGAAAACTACCGGAAGGAGTGGTTTCCAATGTCCAAACAGCACTATATACATCAGACCGTTTTGTTTTTCGAGAGATGGGCGAACATGTAGGTCAAGCCCAGGCGGATAAATAATGGGGCTAATACTTCCAATCTTAGTTATCCCATATTCACAAGGAAGCAATCCGTCTCCAGCATGGAATTCGTCTTAAATCAGATCTACAGGGAAGAAGCCGTGGAAGATAAAACCGCCCTTTACCAGTTGTATCTCATTCTTGCCATCATGGAGCCTCCTGAAGTTGGCAGTGAAAGCAAGGCAGATACTTTCTACAGCTTTTCCCTTGGACTACAGAATTATGTTGCCTCAACTGGCGATCTTTCGAGCCTCCAGGGCCTTCTTCTTTTGATCGTCTTCTTACAGCAATCGTCGCGTCACCATCTGATTGTGCAGATGATGGGAACTGTGGTAAGACTGGCCCAATCCCTCGGTCTTCATCGACACGCGAGGTGATTCGAATTTTGCGTGGGAGAGACCGAAGTCAGGAAGCGGGTCTGGTGGACAATTTACTCATTCGATGTGATGATCAGTCTGCATTACGGACTACCAAAGATCATCCAAGATGAGGATGACGACAATGATCTCCCGATCGATTGCGACATTGGTAATATATCGCTTACCCAACTCCCACTTCCGCTACCCGGCGAACAGACTCGATTTGCATCCTTTTTGGTCTATGTACGGTTGTCGAAAATACTGTCTATGGTTTTGAAGGACCTTTATACCACCACCCGCAGACGAAATGCTGAGGACGCGATGGTTTCCCTGGACAGAGAACTATCTATGTGGCTCTCTCTTGCTGAGCCAGTAATAGGAGAACTTTGGGACCCCAGTGAACGTGAAAATGATGCTCCTAGCTGGGACTTTTCTTCACTGTGGCTCCATGCAATGTATCGGCTTGCTGTGATATATATCCACCGACCTGCTCTGACTTTCGAGCCAACAGAGCCAAAGTTCAAGGATAGTCTTGGGATATATTCGAAAGCGGCATCTGCACTAATTCAACTTTTGATTATGTCAACATCAGAAAGACGATTGTTTTACGCCTTACCGATTGGGCCCAGCATAGTATTTCAATGCGGTATCTTGAATCTATTTGCTGTCTGGTATACGCCTTCATCAGCCCTTGATTATAAGAGTCCTGTCGAGTCCGCAGCCTCTCTCCTTGAGCACCTCGAAAAATCGATTTTCTACAAGAGGCCAACACCTGAGGAAGGGGCGATAGGTACAAGATACAACCAACCCCTATCCCATGCAGCTTGGGTTCTCCGGCACCTCTCTGCGATTACATCCCAAATCCCTGACATTTCAGGGTCACCCGCAGCGTCTTCAAGTCACCAAAATGACTCCTCACAGTGGGCTTGCAACCCTGCTCCGAGTTATACAGCCCCAGCATACCATCCCGATAGCCGTGGTCAGCATAATGATGTTGTTACTCCTTCAATCCAATTGGGATTGCAAGCTCCTCAAGAACAAGCCACATTTTTGGATCCTAATTTCCCGTGGGGACTTGGAGGTGGCATTGACTACTTTAATCAGATGTATGACAGTCTGTGGAATTTTTTGCCGTCCGTAGATGACATGATGGGAGATGTCATGCTTGACCTCAATCAACCTCATTGATCTATGCCATCCGGCAGTACGAGTAGCGATTCGGAGAAAGGCATAAACTTGTACACTCTCAAACTTATTCTGCCAGCTTAAGGATTCGAATAGGTTGCAAAGATTATCGACCAGTCGTGGGTGATTGCAACTGTGAAGACACATACCCCGGATCACTTTGTGATCAGCACACCAGAAAATGGCGGGGAGACTCCCCTCAAGTATTTTCTACCATTGGTTCGCGAACAACATGTTTTGGCCAACCACAGTCATCCTCTGAGCGAAAGGTAGCGTGGGTTAAGCATCGAATCCGTTAAGTGTCACGGATAGCAAGATCCGTCTCTAGTCTCGGAATAGGCGTTATAGCGAGAACGGCTTTGATCAGTTTCGCCGTACGATGTCCATTCTCTCCACAAATTTCACGACATATCCCCGTCTGGTATGAAACTACGAACTGAATCCCCCGAGAAAGCAGGCTATGACTTGCCTGATCTGATGTTCAGGACGCTACTCCGCAATTCCCCCCGTCGGTAACACCTGTCAGCAAATTCTGGGGTGACAGGCCATGGTGTAAAAACAATCTTTTATAAATTCCTCTTCCCCATGGACACTTCTCAGTCTTCCAATTCATTCCTCACATCAAAAACTCTTGTCATTCGGCTTTTGTAACACACAGAAGTTACATCATATTCTCGCCAAAATGGACACTTCTCCTTCTTATCTTGGCTCGAGAGGCCACAAGCTATCTGTTGCCCAAATCTTCCTCGCTGTCGCTCCTGCCTTCTTCCTCTTCGGCTACAATCAGTCTGGAGTTGGTGGACTTTTGTCCGTGACCGACTGGACGAAGACATTCCCCGAGATCGACACTATTCATACACACGGCCACGAGAAATCTCAACACTCGACATTACAGAGCGTAGTTGTTCTACTTTTACCATGGGAGCACTCTTTGGTGCCCTATCTTGTTCTCGCCTCGGAGATATACTTGGCAGACGTAAACTTATTTTCATTGCTGCCACAATGACTTTGATCGGAGAAGTCCTACAGACAGCTAGCTTTGGATTGCCGCAGTTCATTGTTGGTAGAGTCATACTCGGGTTTGGGGTTGGGATTCTTAGTGCTACTGCTCCTGTCTGTAAGTACCAGGGGATATCCATTTCTTCCTGCTCCGAATATCACAAGACCTTCTGCAAACATGTCAAACTCGCTTCTCCAAACATCTACAAAACAACGATCACTAACTCGACCGTTACTCAGGGCAATCTGAATGCTCGCCGCCAAAGAATCGTGGGAAGCATGTTGTTTTGGATGGTTTGTTTATCAGCTTCGGTTGTCTTTCAGCAGCATGGGTAAGTTCAAGACCCTCCACTGGCTTTCCGTCACTCTCAAGAAACCTGACTAACCCCTTCTTGAAAGATCAATCTTGGCTTTTTTCCAAATCAAAACAGGATCCATTCCCTGGCGACTACCCCTAGCAATCCCAAGTGTCGTCTCAATGCTCCTCATGTCGGTCATATTCTTCCTCCCCGAGTCTCCACGGTGGCTCCTCCGAGTCAGCCGCCGCGAAGAGGCGATCCACGCCTTATCTGCTCTCAAAGATCTGCCTCCCACCTCGGCTGGTATCGCTCAAGAGATTTCCGCTATCGAATCCACACTTGAACAGTCCTCTCATACCGCTGCAAAGCTTAGCGATATCTTCACCATGGGAGAAGAGAAGCTCTTTTATCGCTTCATGCTTTGTATATTCTTGCAGCTTTGTCAGCAGATGAGTGGCGGGAATCTTATCTCGGTGAGGTACGTTGAATATTCAAGTCATATAATAATACCTGACATTATCTCTAGGTCTATTCAACTGTCATTTTCCAGGAGAATCTCGGACTTCCTTCGCAGACTTCTCGTATCCTGTCTGGAGGAACACTCACCTGGAAATTTCTATCCTGCTTCGTGGCCTTCTTTACAGTCGATCGCTTCGGCCGAAGAGCTCTATTGATGGTCAGCGGGGCAGGAATGGCACTTTGCATGCTGTCCCTGTGCATTGCCACATCATTCGGCACCGAGAACAAGAGCGCTGGCATCGCAGCAGTATTCTTCATCTACATGTTCAATTTCTTCATTCCCATTGGTTTCCTCGGAGCCAACTTCTTGTACTGCACTGATGTTGCACCTATCAGGTTGAGAGTAGCGATGGCGAGTATATCGACTGCGAATCACTGGCTGTGGAATCTGGTCGTTACGCTCATCACGCCTGTAGCGATCGCCGACATTGGATACAGGTACTACATCTTGTATACCGTTATCGGTCTCTGCATTCCGGTCACATTTTATTTCTTCTACCCGGAGACTATGGGCAGGAGTTTGGAAGAGCTGGATGAAGCTTTTAGATCGAACTCTTCGATCTTGGGTATTGTGTCTGCATCGAAGAAGTTGCTGTCCCAGGAAAGCTTGGTGGAGGATGATGAGGAGAAGGGATTTTCGGTGGCAACATTGGAGGAGGTAGATAAGAAGGTGGGGTTGTGATGAGGATGCGAGGAATAGAGGGAGCGTAGTCTTCGCATCCAAATAATCAATGCTTCAACATTAGTCCGAGACATAAGTCGTGAAGTTCATAAATTAGTGACCAAAGTCCCCAAAACAGCCCAGCCTTGTGCTCCATATATCAACTCCTCCTACCTCACCACCTCTCTAAACCTAACCCACAACGCCGGCTTCTCCCACAACAACCTCATCGTAACCCTCCCCACCCAATCCAGCTCCTCCGTCCCATTAACCCCCTCCAAATCAAACCCCCACACCACCCTCGCAAGAACAATCCTCAACTCCAACTCCGCCAACCCAAGCCCAATACACGCCCTCGGCCCAATCGAGAACGGCCTCGACGCATCCTTAACATCGTCTGCAAATCTCTCTTCCCAGAACGGATGGTCGTGATCGAGCCAGCGCTCAGGACAGAATGATCTCGGTGAGGCGAAGTACGAGGCAGAGCGTGTGGTTGTCCAGAATGAGGTGGAGACGCTGGTGCCCGCTGGGACGGCGTATCCCGATATTGGGTCGCCGGAACTGATGCGGGGGAGGCCGGCGGGTACGGGTGGGAAGATGCGGAGGCCTTCGGAGATCACGGCGTTGAGGTAGGGGAGGGATTGAGTGGTATCGCCGTTGATGTCTTTGCAGGTTGTGAAAGATGACCTTACTTCTTCGCTCAAGCGATTGAGAGCTTGAGGGGTATGGAGGAGGTAGTATGTAGTCCCTGAACTAATCAGCAAGATATCAATTAAGAATGAAAACCGTTGAGGTCCTACCAGCAAGCGCCGTTGCAACAGTTTCAGACCCAGCAATAACCAACATATTCGCCTGTCCAGTCAGGTACGCCAAACTGAGATCAAGCTCCTCACTCTTCACAATATGAGAGAAGAAGTCCGCTCTCTCACTACCGCTCTTCATACGCCTCTCAACGAGATCTCTTGACCGCTTGGTATTTGCAAGTCGATTTGTCGGTACTCTTTGACCTCTGACAGCCCAAGGAAAATATCTCAAGAACGGAACCCGTCGAAAGACATCTGTAAGCTGACCTTCTGCGATACCCCGCTTGATAGCAGGAACCCATTCATGACCTTTGGCGTTCTCCACTGCGCCAAAGGATTCGCCGAATGCGAGATCACCAATGATGTCGAAGGTGAGCCAGTTGAACCACTAACCTGTCAGCTTTCTGATCATCACTATGAGGGCCAAGTGCAGGGCTGCGTACTTCCTCAATGTTGATACCCCCATCAGTATCCCCATGCTTCCTGATCTGCTCAATCCACATATCAACATACTTCAAAACAAAAGCCGTCTGCGCACGGAGCGCACTGGAACTAAACGCCGGAGCAAGCAATTTCCTAGCCTCGCGATGCCGGACGGGATCTCGCTCGTTGGACATCACGAGGGATCTGGTCCCGCCGGGTCCTTGATTGTACCATTCGCCTTTCAGGAATTGTTTGCGTCCTTTGGTGGCGGTGCCGTAGATGTCTTGGTAGCTTTCTACGGTGGAGAAGTCCCTTGGCTTGTTAGATAGAACATTGTTGGAGATAGGGGATTCTTAGGGTGCTTACAGGTCATTGGGGGCGAATCGGACGACTGGGCCGTATTTCTTGTGGAGGGCTTCGACGGTGAAGGCCCAGCGTCCTCCTGTCCTATGGGGCGGTCAGATTTGAGCGGTTCGATCTGGGAGTGCGGTTATCTACCATCCGAATACATAGAATAAGTTTGAAGCCGCAGCCCACTTTGGACCGGGGAATTTGGACAAGGGGTGAAAGTATATGTTATAGATGACTTTGGAGAGTATGCAGAGTAGTCCCTTGTCAAAATCAGCAGGGGTAAAGCTCAATGCGGGGTAGCCTTACAACTCCAACAACAGCTGCGAGAGCATGGACAGAACTGTATATGAGTTTGTCCATGGTTGTTCTAGGGTACTGAGATATTGCTTGCATGATTTGCTGGATTGAGGGGAACGAGGATGTGAATGTGTTGCGGTCTGGACTTTTAGGTTACACCCGAGTCACGCTTGCATTTCGCTTCTGATCGCGACATCAAAAGCAACTACACCGCCAGTGATCTCACCCATTGAGATGAAATTATTTAAAAAGGCCTGAAGTTTGTTTGGATAGGTAAATAAAAGCATATTTTACAAAGGAAAAAAGTGGATTTCGGACGCATTTAAACACAGCAAGCATTGGCGACGGTATATCTCAACCTGAATAGTCGCATCTTGTTGGGCTGTTGTTGACATTGAAGGCTCTCGGTCGAGTAACTTTTAGTGACGACAGTGCAAAATGAATAGGATGTTTGAAATTGGAGGTAACTTACCTAGAGAAGCCAATGTTGAGAGGAAATGCGATGGACAGCTCCACGTTCCCATGGCATCTGTCAGGGCCTCGACAACTCCGAGGCGGTAAGACAATGATATGATTGGTCGACTATTTGCGTTTATTCCACTTTCTCCGTGAAGAAGAGTAAGAAAGACCAAACTGTGCCTGCTCCGATCAACTTTCAGACGGATATAGTTCACGTGATACTCATCACCTGACTACCACGAGAATCCGTCTGGAAATTTCTTAGCCATAGGAAGAAGGAAAGATGAATGCGTAGGAATAGCCAAGAATAAAAATAAGGATAAAGACTCGTCATGGATGTCTCCCCTGCCCGGGATGTAACCTAAAGCGCGGGAGTGAAGGTAAGCTTAACGGAGCCCAGAATCGGATGATGACCCAATCCATGCGACCACTTAGAGTTCTGAAAATTGCATCAAGCATAAACTTCGTTCCATCCAAAAGTGCAAGGCTACGCATGGACAGTGATGACGAGTCAATCGAAATGATCGTTTTGACAGTACTGGTGGTCTTAATTCCATCTTTGGCAGTTCGACGACTCGGCCTAGCTGGCTGGTAGGTGGAATATTTGGATAGGATGGATCGAGCTTTGCTTTTTGCAGAACTGCTCTGACCAGCTGTCCTCATGTCAACCATATCTGCGCCTGAATTAGTAAGCTTCATAGTAAGCTTCATTGTAAGCTTCGTCTAACCTTGTTTGGATAAATTCCGTTGATATGCAAAAGGCCGCTTACAGCCGCCGAAATTCCCGAATTATTATGTCTGTGCAAGTATTAGGCAGTTGATTTCTCGTGCCGCCTTCTGAGGACAAGGAGATATTGGTAAGAAAGAGTGGGAGTTAGCATGACTAGTATTGCGTGAGCTATGAGCTCCAGCGGCCAGATTTGATTGACCTTGAGGCATTTGTCCAAATCAGCATTTTCAACACTTCACAGGGCGCGCCGAGTTTCCACGTGGGCAGGTTTGTTCGCTGAGGCTTGTTTCTCAAGTACCGATTTCTCGTATTTATGTTAGTACTGGAAATGCTGCTCGTGCGTCCGATGGCTTGACTTTTAATTGTTTTGACCTACAGATTGCCCCATCAGTGTCAGCAATGGCTGAACGATAGTCTGCTGAACTCCCCGAAGAAGAAGAGATGGAGCACAGGGCGGTGCTAAGCTTTGCCAAGCCTCGTCAAAAAGCTTGTGTTTTTGGACTGGCGCCCATGCTTGTGGAGATGCGAGGTGACGCGGCCTTCCGAGTGGCAGGGTTTCAGATATCGAAATCTCGGGGGATTGGTGCGTCCGAATCATGGATTAACTATCATTGCCGGCGTGCGTTGGGGACACCAGAAAAAGCATTGGGTGGTGTTCCCTCCGGAGCAGCTGGTCTAAACAGCTGGGCATCAAAGTTTGGAATCCCCAGGGGTTTCGGGTACAGTACGCAAGGATGGCGACAGCGGATAGGAATCGTCCGGACTTTCTGATGCGGTTGGCACCCGTCTTGATCACCCTCCTGTTTCGTGAATTTTTAGCCTTCAACAAGAGTGAAGGCTCGCAGTGCCAGAAAACCAGAAAAGAATTGATATTTTTGATGACGCTCCCTACATAAGGGTCTCAGCCGCAAAATCAAGCGGCACGCGATGGCATGGTGAGAAAATCCTCCTTGCATTCCCAACACTAGACGAACACGCTTGGCACTTATTTGAGCGTCTAAATCCAGGAGGCTTTTGATAGCCAAGCAGATGACAGTTTTCAGCCAATTCCAGTGCTGACAGTTCTATTGGGTTACACCTGAGTCAACCAGACAACTCATTCTTGGAGGTACTAACTTTGACTGGGACTGGGAGCGAGCCGTCTTTTCCACAATGGTCGATGGACTCGTCATCTCACATCTCGTCGGTCGCGTGCCTTGTCTAAGTTGTCTTGTCGACGCAGGGATATTATAGTTTGAGCACACGAGCAACGGGGAGGTGATCCTGTACTGTATCAGTCCACGGACTCTGCTTGAAGGAAGTCCCCACACTAAGCTCCACTGGCGACGAATACCTGGACTGGGCCACGGGTACAAGACTTTTGATGTGCCAGTAATAAGAACTTGCCGCTCCTCCCTTTTTCCTTTGATCTCTTTGGCGCATCTTTGTTCTTAGTCTTTTGGAAGTCCAATCAACACTCCTTTTCTACCAGACCGACAAATTCCTCGTTTTGCTTTCAGCCGTCCTGAGGATCAAGCATCTGGTCTTACTGATTCAGATGGTTAGTTGTGCCAAGACAGTGCATCATCCGTTCAACCGCCAAGACTGTCGAGTATCCATCCCGCTCTCGCCCAACAATTCGTTCCTTCGACAACACCATGCGGCTCTCATGGCTGCTCGCACTTCCAGCTGTATTGTCGACGGCTTCGGCACTCGCCATACAGAGGCGGGATGCGGACTTCTACAGTGTCCGGACGCATGTCCACAAGGACATGAGTGGAAAGAAGGGTGATCCGACGGATAAATATTTTCGTGAGTTGGAGACTGTCGCGTGCCCTCTTCATTTAGGCGCTTGCTAATTCACCCTGCTTCAACAGATGAAAGCATGTATGTAATTCTATTTAACCGAATGTCACCGGATCGGTCAAGAAAGCTTAATCAATTGCTAACTCTATCCAATTAGATTCCATCCGCATTACGATGGCCGGTAAGTCCCAGCAGTTTGGTTGTGCGGGGTGCAAATGCTAAATGTTCCATGACAGATTCGCGGACCATCAATTAGGTTATCAAGAACGAAAACAAGCTCTGTCGAACCTCATCCAAACATATATAGCAACATTCGCGGATATCGGGGTGGAGACATGGCTGATGCACGGAACGCTGTTGGGTTGGTGGTGGAATCGAAAGGTACGAGCGATTAGACCTGTCGGAGAGTCCACATCTGATTAATTTGTTCGCAGATTCTCCCATGGGACTCTGATCTCGATGTGCAAGTTACCGAAGCTTCGATGCACTACCTCGCATCGTACTACAACATGTCGGTGTTCCACTACAAGACCCCGCGAATTCCGGAAGGGAGGGATTACATGTTGGAAGTCAATCCGCATTATGTGAATAGGGAACAATCGGATAATTTGAATGTGATTGATGCGAGATGGGTGGATACTACGAGTGGACTGTTTATTGATATCACGACTGCACGATACAACCTTACACATCCGGCAGGAAAGGGAATGTTGAGCTGCAAAGACGGGCATGAATACAGAGTAGGGATTTATATTGGAAGTATATGAGATTATGCTGACTGGTTCTAGGACTCGTACATCTTTCCGCTGCGAGATACATATTTCGAAGGCACGCCAGCAAAAATTCCATTTGCATACAAGGAAGTTTTGGAAGCAGAATACAAACAAAGGGCACTGACAAACACCAATTTCGAAGGGTACGTACAGTTGGAGACGTCTTTAAATTTTAGTACTGACACCCCTCTAGCCACCATTTTGATGACCAGAAATACGAGTGGCTTCCAGTACCCGAAAAGGAGAAGGGACAGCTGAAGTCACAGGAGCCGAAACGAGAGCAGCCCAAGAAAGAAGTGAAGAAAGATGAACCCGCCAAAAAAGCAGCACCACCAGTCGTCCAAGCCCAGCAGCAGACCAAAAACGAAGTAAAACCGCCTACACAACAAGTTGTTCCCTCCCCCAAGAAAGACGATTCAGCTTCACCAGCTACCCAGAAACCGGCCGACTCATCTCCAGAGAAACCCGAGGTCTCGAAACGAGCTGCGCCGCCGCAACAACCTGCTTCTCAGCGAGCTGCGGAGGAGAAGCTGTCTAAGAAAGAGCAGAAGAGGGAAGATGTGAGGAGAAAGACAGAGGAGAAGAGGAAGACTTTGGAATTGAAGGCGATCGCTAAGGAGGAAAAGAGGCTTGCAAGTCAGAAAAAGGCGGATGAGAAGAGAGCTGCTGATGAGGGCAAAGCTGCTTGATGAACTTGCTGAACTTGCTGACCGTTGAGACGGTTAACTTACGTGAGGCGAGGATACTCGAGCTGGGGTGTGCTTGGCTTCGCTCTCTAGTCAGTCGAGGCTGTTGGCCTGGGACATTTGCTGGTCACTTCCACCGGAACCGATATCAGGCCATTTATATTTGCCATATGTATTGAGGTCCAGCATACTAGGGGAGATCTACTGAAATCTTAGTCTGGATATGGGGAACATCTATGACAGTGACGAGTCCGGAGGAGGGCCTGAAAGGAAGAAAGCAAGGATTGGATAACGAAATGGCGAAATTTGGAAAGGTGTTGGATATACCCAGAATGGAATCATATTTTGGATGGCGCCACGAGATGATATGTATGTATGAATGTTACGAAAAGATAGCGTTTTTTTTTTTCTTAATTCACGGAACTTTATAGGATTATTGACAATACGGAAGTTCTCCATGATTTTGAGTCTATGTACGACCTTCCCTACTTCTGCTGTGGATATAGTGTGTGCTTTACGACGAGCAAGAGTCCTCCTGGTCTGAACGGTAGATGTGCAGAAAGACAGATTGAGTTGCCTTCCCACTCAGTCTTGGTCAAATATTTCACTGTGAGTTACCTTATCTACGACATGTGACTGTTTGAAAACCCTGCTAATCACTTACATTCCCCCGAAAGTATTTCAAACAAGGTAGGTATCGTTTTATCTCCCACAACCCAGCAGAAAGCCACACGGTTAAAGCTTCTTTTTTTTTTTTTTTTAGATATCTGACATGGTCAAGTACAGGAAGGTTTTCTCAAAATTCAATGGGACTTCATTGGGTAAGTAGTTTGAAGCTTGATATATGCAGACCCAAGATCTAATATATACGAATTAGGTTAACGTCCTCCCTCCTCCCTCCTCCCTCCTTCCCTTTCCTCCCTTTCTTCATCACCACCTCACTCAACTCAACTTAACTCAACTCAACCCAACTCAACCCAACACTACCCAGCAAAATCAATCGCCGTAGCAGTCTGCCCCTTCGCCTTAACATCCAACGCCACATTCGTCGCCAACTTCTTCTCCTGGGTGGCAATCTGCTCCTCCAGCCCCTCCTTCCCCTGCGCCTGCTGAATCTGCAACCTCAACACATCCGTCTGCAGCTTCAGCACCTTATTCTTGATCTTGCCCACCTGGAGCGCCTTGCCCGCGGTGGTGCCCTGTCCTCCGGCAGCGGCGATCGCGTCGTTGAAGCCGCCGGGCGCCACTTCCGCTTGCTCGGAGATCTTGGCTGCGTTGGAGATTATGGTTAGGTCTGAGGCGGAGACGGTGCTGAGGTCGCTGGGGAGAGGGAAGTTGGCGTTTACTTCTGCGAGGGCGGAGCCCGCGACGCCGGAGGAGACGGAGAATGTGTTGTAGGGTTGGGCGGTGAGGGCGCGCTTTATGCTGTGGGCTGGGGCTGGGGCTGGGGTTGGGGCGGAGAGGGTGGTTGCCGTGAGGGCGAAGAGGAGGGTGAGGGTTGGGAAGTGCATGGTGGTTGTGTGGGTGGTGGGTTTAGAGAGAGTGATTGTTTAGCTTCGAGGAAGTGGGTAAATTGAAGTTGAGGTAGAGAATGAAGATGGACAACAGCACAGCTGGGAAGAATAGAATGAAGTAAACAGATCAACCGAAAAGAGCGAATGAATCAAAACACAAGACGAATGTAATACCTTCCCAAGAAAGGAAAAGGGAAGGGCAGGGCAGGCGATCTCCCACCTCTTATACCCAACCATCTCCATGGGCTCATCCGATCATAAAAGTTTACCTACCTACCAAACTTACAGTACCATCCTCGATCTCCTCCGCTCCTTTCATCTCAATCTCATCTCAATCTCATCTCAATCTCATCTCAATCTCATCTCAATCTCAACTCAAAAGATCCACCTCCGACCCTCTCGAGGCAGGTATAACCATAACTTTACCGGAAACACAACCAATCGCATTACTTTTCCCAGCGGGAAACTATGGGGTGACCCAGATACGAAGTTCCATTTTGCGATACGAAGTTCCAGTTTGCGAGATGAGGAAGGTAGATGTGCTTTGCTGGGTCCGCGGGGAGGTGCGTGTGTGAATATTTCGGACGGTTTGGAGACAGGAGGTGTGTGAGCTGCGGGCGATCAGATGGCATGCGACGTTTGAGCTGCGCTAAGCGAGGTTTCGGAAGGGGAAAGGGAGAAGGAGAAGAAAAATGGGGTGGATCACGTGAAGGTGTTCTGTGGATGGGCTGGGATTATTGTTTGGTTATTTTGCGATGACTGGTTTGATCTTGAGAGTGAGTGGGATAGATCGTTTCTAATATCTAGTACTCGACTATGAGAATGTGAGGAGGCAATTGGAAGGGGTTTAATTCACTCACCCATCAATATCTCTAGCCGAAGGAGGATTCAGTATATTGAATAAACTGGACCTACTGGAGCGGAAGCTAGGATAGTCTATTTTCAAAGTCCCAGCCAGAGTCACTCGATAAACATCTTACTTTCTCATTGTCTTTACAGAAATGCATTTCTCTATCCATCCCATCGCTCTCTATACAAATCTCCAACCTCCGTCATTCCCTTCCCAACTCCCTCAAGAAATCAAAAGTGCCTTCTCTCCCTTCCGTCATGAAGTCATTTCTCTCATGAGTATAGGCAGGTAAGTAGCGCGTGACAAGGGCCTCGTGTAAGAACAAAGGAAAAAACAAAGGGAATAAACGCTAAACTTTTTAGTGTGACTCAATCCGCCCCAAGGTACAATATCAATCCAACCTGTGGATCTGGATATGCACGCTCCTGTGTATGCGTGTATGTATGTGATGATGTGCAAGAGAACAGCGCGAATGGATACCAAGCGCCTCTCTAATATTGCTCCCCCTCCTTCGGTCTCCTCCCTTCTCCTAATCAAAGATATCATCATCGTCATCATCGTCATCTCTCATAGCCGAGAGATCCATGATAGACTTGCGCTTGCGCTTTCCCAGCGTCAACGGACTGCGTGGCGAAGTGAGAGCTTGGTAACGCTCATACTCGCTGCGGAACTGGTGTGGTGAGTCCTCCTCATCAACAGTACCATCCATACCCATGGCAAGACGTGTTGGTTTGCGGACGCGTGTGCTGCCTCGAGTTGGGGCTGGAGCTCCACTGGATGTAGATGCAGATGCGGAGGAATTTGTGTTTGTGGCGGGTGTAGAAGTGTTGTTCGTGAAGGACGGTTGCTGGGAAGACATTTGCTGTGAAGACGATACCGAGGCGGTAATGTCGTTGGGGACAGAAGTTTGGGTGGCCGTCTTTCTCTTTTTTGCTGGTGCTCTGGGTTTGCGTGGTACCGCATTTGAGGGAGTGACGGTGACAGGGACGAATGTCGTAGTCGTGGGAGGTGGGAGAGGTGCACCATGGTATGTAATGGCATCGAGAGAAGCGTACATGTCAGCGTTGTTAGCTGCCGGGTTGCTGAAAGGGTTTTGTGGTGCTGCGGAGAATGTGGGCGGATTGTCGAATGTCATCGGTTGAGAGGGATTGGGAGGAACTGAGAAGAATGGGTTGGGAGTGAAGGATGAGGCTGGGACACCACTGTTTGAAACACCACCTTTGGCAGCATCCTTCGCAGCCTTCTTGGCAGCATTCGTAGCAGCTCTCTTCTCCATAGGACCCTTCATCAAGCCCTTCGCCCATCGCTCTCTTGTGGCTTCGGCAAGCTTGCGGCTCTTCTGTGCCTTCTTTCTAGCCTCCTCTTGAGCAGCGGACATATTCCCATCTTCTCCATCCCCATCATGACCCGACTGCTCTGCTCCGCTCTCAAGATTAGGAGTGTAGCTTCCAGCTTTACTCTTTCGCTTGACAGCTGTCTTGGAGTTTGTGCTGAGACCGTCAGTTTCATCACCCGTCTGGACACCACTTGGGATCTCAGAGCCTTGATGAGGCGTCGCTTTACCATTTGCAGCTGACGAGTTACCTGCTTCTTCAGGTGTATATGGCTCGACCTCTTTTCCTTTGCTTTTAGAATAGTATGTCTGATTGGACTCAGGTCCATATTGTTCCGAGAACTCGAAGCCGGCTTGAATTTCCCCAGCGATAAGTCCAACGACTTTTCTCTGGAGGCCGACGCGAATCATATGCTTCTTTGGTCGCGGAGGAGCATCTTCTGCAGCCTCACTGAAGTACTCAGATTCGGTGGCTTCATCCTTGAAAGTCTTGTTCTTTCTGGCAGGACGAGCTGTCTTGCCGCCCCTGCGCCGCTTTTGTGGTGGAGGCTCGCTCTCGTCATCCTGAGCGAAGTCTTCTCCGTCGCCCGGAAGAGCAACATAGATGGAATCTGGTAGTACAGAAGCCTTCTTTCGCTTTGGACGTCCACTTGCAGTAACAGAGCCCTCAGCAACTGCTTCGCCAGTGGCTTCTGGTGTTACTAGTCGTTTTTCATGGACCTCTGTGGCAGTCTCTTGCTTCTTTGTAGTAGTCTTGCGTTTCTTGGAAACAGAAGAAGCCGATTGAGTAGTTTCGGCTGCCCCATTCTCAACGACACGCTTGCGCTTGCCACCTCTGCCTTTGGTAGTTGACGCACCGAGTTGTGCAGACATTTCGCGAGTAGCTGCTCTCGAAGGGCGACCAGTAGATGTAGTCATGGCCGATGACGATGTGGTAGGCCGAGAAGTAGATGCAGAAGCGAAACGAGACTCGTCATCTTGTTCAGTAGATTGAATAACATCGTTCTCCTCACCAAATTGGGCTTGCTCAATCAGCGCATTAACTTCTTTCTTTGGACGTCCACCTCGACCCGCCTTAGGCTTCGCAGCTGCACGACCTCCCTTCTTTGGGCTTGGCTTGACCTCTGTAGCCTCATCACCACTCTTCACATTGAGGATGATCTTCTTTGGTCTTCCTCCTGCATGCTTGGGCTTGGCAGGTGCAATAGCTGCTGTTTGGGTTTGATGAACGAGAGCCTCGGCTGCCTCTTGAAGTTCTGCCTCTTCAATCGGCTCGAGTTCTCTGGGTGTTTGGGCGTCGGCAAGTTCATCTTCCGAATCAGAGCTCTGTGCTGGTTCAGAAATAGGTGGGAGGTGCGATTGTTGAAGCTTGGACTTGGAAGCGGATTTTGGTACTGGTGGGAGAACCTCACCCCTTGCCTTTGGTGGCCGACCAATTCTCTTACCAGACTTAGGGAAGACCGAGACCTTTGGGCTGCCTTCACGAGTTGCTGTTCGCCGACGAGCAGGTGAGGTAGGCAAATCCTGGACAACCCTAGCAGTGCGTCTGCGCTTGCCAAGGGGAGCCTCTTCTGAGTCCGAACCACCTGGAGTGTTGGTTTGTTCAGTGTCGTAAGCACGCTTACCTCGGCTTCGCTTTGGTCGGCCGTTCTCATCCTTGTCCTCAGTGACAACAATTGCACGACGATCCTTGAGAACCTGGTAGCCGATGGCATCCTTGTGCTTGCTGTAATCAGCCATGTAGACATCAGCGGTCTTCCGATCTTCGAAGACAACTGGGTCGACTAGGATGTTGCGTCTCTTGCGAACTTCCTCATCACCCTTTCTCAAAGCTGGTAGGGGGACATCTTCAAGGTGATGAGTAGGCTTGGCTTCTTGCTTCTCCAATTGTCGACGACGCTTGTGGACTTTAGACATGACTTCGGGATTCTTGATCTGCTTCATAAACTCCCAATGTCCTGGAGGGGTAGTATCGGGGTTCGAGGAAGCCTGAAGTTGATCCAACCAGACGTTGTAATCTCTCAGTGGCTGCTTGACCTCTTCCCTATACTGAGCATGAAGTCTGAGAAGAATGGCATCAGTCTCTGCTGCCTCCTTGTCATCTTGCTCCTTCTTGGCTTCAGCCGCCATCTTCGCCTGGAACTTCTTGGAGGCATCGTAATCGTCGGTCTTCTTGTCTAATATGTCGTACTCTTCTTGAAGTAAGAGCAAAGCATTTGCGACTACCTCCGTTTTGTGATAGAGCAGCTCATATGTCATCGCTTCAGGCTTCGCAAGATACTCTTCAAAGGCCTCGATAGGAGTTAGTTTAGGGAATCCTTGCTTAACAGATGCGGGCTTCTTCTTCCGGCGCATAGGAGTGACCTGCGGGACTGATCCAGACTGAACAGACCTATGAATCGAACCTGAACGGACAGACTTGGGGATTGAACCGGACCGAGTTGATCTTGACATTGAACCGGATCTAGCGGGCTTTTGATTCTGGCCACATGGGTTCTTCAAGATGGATTTCCAGACCTTGGGAGTCTCTGAATTGGCGAACACCTCGGTAATGACTACATCAGGAATCTCGGAGCTTTGTGATGGCTGTGGTTGATCGGCATCCGTGAGAGTTCGAGATGATCTGGATTTGTTGCTGTTTTGAGAAGCTTGCATGCTTTGGGCGCCATTGGGACCCAGAGTGTTTTGGGAGTCTTCAGCTTCGGAGAAAGCAACTGAGGATTTTCTTGATGATTTGGCAGAGCTTCTGGCGGAGTTTTTTGTTGAACTTCTGGCTGAGGATTTGGACGATCTCCTGCTGACGATCTCAACGGCGGATGCTTCTTCGTCCTCGTCAGAGTCGTAGAACACACTCTCATGCCAGATGTATGGAGAGATAGAGCTGGTCTCGCTGACTTCGTCATCCTCGATAGCTGACTCGTCAACTGCATTGATGTGATGGCCAGCATTAGCCACAGAATTGGAGTCATCAGCTAAGCCGTTTGGCTCAGCAGTTACGAGTCCAGGGTCGGCAGGGAGAGCTTTGGGGACGTCATCAACTTGCTCAGCATTTTGAGTAGGCGTATTGCTGGCACTGAGAGCGGCTGGAGTCTTGGGTGGAGGAGAGAGGCTGCTTGTCAAGGTACCACTGGCAGGAGTAATTGTAAACTCAGTGATGCCAGAGCAACTAGACACGTGACTCTCGAAGTCCTGTAACAGGGTTAGAAAGTGAAATCGAAGAAGGAAAAGTCGATCAGTAAGAACACCAACCTCAATGGACATGTTTTCCATGGTAGCATTGCAATGCTGACAGGTTCTATCCTCTGCGCTGGCCACGACAGGTTCCGAAGTAGCAGGAGTAGGAATTGGATCTGACGGCGCAATGGCTGGAAGCTGCGCTGGCGGCGGCGAAGCGCGTGTGTCAGCGACACTGGTTTTAGTTCTCGCCATGATGGCCGATCTTGATGATGATTCTCTCAATCAGATTGGAGATGCTGAGAGAGAAAGGACGGTGGTTGTAGAGTGCGCAAATGTTGCAAGAACAGTTTTCGGGGGTGCGGTGCGGTGCGGTTGTCTCACGACAAAATGCGCTGGACCAAAGACTTGATGTATTGGAAAGAATCGCGGCGAAGAAATCGAGAGACTAAGAAGTAACTGATGTCAACGATGCAGAGTAAAGAGCAGAGTCCGAGTCGCTGCACAAGAGCAAAGTCGAACTTTTGCGAGTCGAGGGTTGATATTGTCGAAGGGTCGGTCACTTGCTCTCCAGGTCAGGTCTTTGGTCAGTCTGGTTCTGGGCAGGCAAAGTGGATTTGCAGGGAGGTGTGGCTGACTTAGTGTCCCGGCTAAGATCCGCCAATCAGAAGACGAGCTAGGCCTGGAACGAACTGGCCTTGCTGGGGCTGGTGGGTATCAACAGCCTCATGCAACCCGACTGCAAGCTTCCCGTCGTCTGTTCTGTTCTGTGTTTACTTGCTGTGTTACAGCAGACTTCATCCCACCACAAAAGACTCCATTCTTGAAGCTGCCAATGGCCACCAAAAAGTCCAAGGCCGCCGCGCCAACTGACGATGAGTTGAACAAGCTGCTCGAGGGCATTGGAGAAGAGGGAGCAGCAGCTCCAGCCCCGACATCCAAGGGAGCTTCCAAACCAGCAAAGCCAGCTGCCCAGTCACAGTCCGAGCAGGACTTACTGGCTGAGTTGGACAACCTGGAGAATCTAGGAGCTCAACCACCCTCCAGACCACATACACCTCGCATCCAGTCCATCAAACGGACTGCGACTGGAACCCCTCCACCACAATCATCACGAACAAGTGAGGAGAAGGTAGCCGGTCCCCGGCCGTCGGGCGATAGCACACGATCATTCCATAATTCATTCACACCTTCTGCCACAAGCAGTGACCTGCAAGAGGCAGAGAAGAAAGCTCCAATTGCCCAGCCAGCTGAGGAGGTCCCGGCTGCAAGTGGTGGTGGATGGTGGGGGAGTGTGTTTGCTACCGCAACTGCTGCTGTCAAGACCGCCGAAGCTGCCGTGAAAGAGATCCAACAAAATGAAGAAGCAAAACGATGGGCAGAGCAAGTAAAAGGAAATGTTGGAGTACTGAGGGGGTTTGGTAAGACTTCTTTTTAACTGTTCATTGAACGTTCCCCTGGCCTCCTTCATGCGTTTCATTGTCCACCACTCCATACTATCACCTACCCATTCACAATTCCAATGACCACCATCATCCCAAAACCGCATCACTAACACCACAACCAGGTGGTGAACTCCGCTCTCGCGCCCTCCCAACCTTCACCAACATCCTCCACACCCTCGCCCCTCCCATCTCCTCCCACGAACGCCTCCAAATCCACATCACCCACGACTTCATCGGCTACCCCTCCCTCGACCCCCTCATATACTCGACCTTCTCCCGTGTAATGGCTCAAGTGGAAGGCGGCGACCTCCTCGTCATTCAGCGCGGCCACGAATCCACCGCCCGACGTAACTCAGAAGCAGGCTACTCAGGCGGCAGCGCAGGCTGGAGCGACGGCCCCTGGTGGCGCCAAAACAACGAACATCGCGACCTAGGCTCTGTGAAAGGTCTCGTCGAAGGAACAAAACTCGTACGTGTCAGCGCAGAAGCTTACGCCAATGAATATTTCTCTTCTCACGGCGGCCTGGAAGCTGCAGCGCAACGAGCGACCGAGAACCCGAGTGAAACCAACCCCGTACGAAGCAGTGATATTTTCCTCGCCGTACAAGCCATCTCGCATGATGCCCCAGAGGAATTGTTCCAGGGCCCAACGAAAGAGAAAGATGAATCCGGCGCCGTGGTAGAAGATAAAGAGAAGGCAGACGAACTCATCTCCTTCGCTCTGTATCTCCACGATCCAGTACACAGCATCACATTCTACACGGTTTCTCAATCTGTCCCCGCGAAATGGATGAGATGGCTTGACGCTCCTTCACCTATGATGCCTGCATCTCCTACTTCTCCCAGTGGAAGTGAAAAGAAAGCTGGATTCTTTGGTAATGAGGCAGAGGGATACCAGTCAAATCTCCCTGAGGAGATTGCGGAGATTATTGAGAGTGGAGGTGTTGATCCGAGGGAGTGGGTTGCCGAGTGGGTTGAGGAGATCCTGACGCTGGGGACGGGTGTCGTTGCGCAGAGGTATGTGGCTAGGAGGATGGGCGTGGGTGAGGGAGGAATTGGAAAGGGAAAGGCGAGGCAAGAGGAGATTATGAGTGATGGTGGTGGGGAGGCTGCTAGAGCGGGATTGTTCTGATAGTGTTCAAGAGGTGTTGTTTCCAGCGAGTTCTTGGAATGGGGAGGATGGCGTTTTGTCATTTGGTGTGCCTGTCAGTTTGTATTGGGATGGATGCATTCATACATTCTTCGTACTCTCTTCGAAGAGACTCTTAGTGCTTGTTATTTCTGTTCTCCTGCCTCCCGCACTTGGTTTACAAGCGTTCCAGAATACACTACAATCCAATACCAATACCATTCAATATCCCAAACCTCTTTCTCCCGCATTCAGCATTCAACACATTCAAAGTCAAATTCAAGGGAGAAACAGATACATGATACACAATACACGCTCTCCTTCCCAAACCCTGTCCGATCGTCAATCTACCTGCCTATTATCCCAACCAAGCAAACGACCAATCAATCAACCGACCGTCCCTCTCGTGTCCATAAGAGCAACTGACTGCGAGCTAGCTACCTTGTGGCTCTTGAATATCCATCATACATACCTAGGTACCTACCTACCCCATGGAGCGAGCGCACTTCAGAGCTTGAGCTCCGTGATTCTAAAAGCAAAAACATAAACAAAAAAGTGGGGCAGTTAGCTGTAGCTGAGAGGGTGGTGTGTGTGAGGCGCGCGTTTATTTAAATTTATCTACAGTCGGTCGGTAGCCAGAGCTACAGGAACAGGAACAGGAATAGGTACATCCTCAACGAGTCACGCATTACAGATATGAGTTACGGGCCGGGTGAGATGCCGTTAGAACATATCATCTCATCTCAGCTCATCTCATCTCGATTCATTTATCCTCCTTCTTCCCATTCTCCAGCGCCGGACATGGTGTTCCCATCTACTCCTACTCCAGCCATAGATAACTCTCTTTACAGTAAGTAAATACAAAAGAAGATACTATCCTGCCCTTTCATTTCATTTCAACTCAACTCAACTCAACTCAACTCAGCTCAAAACCAAGCGCCTCAGAGACCAATCTACCACCCTTTCCTTGCCTTCCGTTCCTCTCCCCCTCTCCTTCCCTCTCTTCCAATCCCATTTCTATGCATGCCTATTCATGCGTATTCATGACTATCCATCTACACCCATACAAGACAGGAGTATATCCAAGAAAAATCGCGACGAGGAATTTTGTGGATTTAATGGATGAACTAATAAATGAACGAATAAACGAATGAACGAATGAACGAATGAACGAATGAACGAATGAACGAATGAACGAATGAACGAATGAACGAATGAACGAATGAACGAATGAACGAATGAACGAATGAACGAATGAACGAATAAACGAATAACTACATAAATACACAAATGAAATCCCATCATTTACTTCACTTACCCGCCAACACGACATAACACGACACAACTCGACACGACACGCAGAAGGGGGGGAAAAGGGGCACCGCCGGGCACAGTAAACACAATGAATCGGGAAAAGAGAATTAAATAGACACTAAAAAAAATGCAACAAGAACAACAACAAAAAGAACGTTCGTTCGTCCGTTCATTCATTTAACTTCAACTTTCATCCCTAATCCCGAAAACGCCTATCCTTCGTACCATTCATTCATAAAATTTCCATTTCGAGGACGAAGAAGTAGAAGGAGAATACTCTTTCTTGTGTATGCACGCATCAAGCACCATTCAGCCAGCCCCAAATGAAATCCTCAAGCAACGCTCTACCTTCCACCATCGATCTTCAACCTCAGCTGCACTTCCACCTAATTCAACCCCCTAATAAACTAGCACTCCACATCCTACTCAGCTTCTGCTTCTGCTTCGGCCGCTCCGAATCCACCACCACAGGTATTCACTCAGCCATAGTCGACTCCCGCAGTCCACTAGGTCCCTTATTGCCTCTCCTTCCAAGCAACGTCGCATTATCGAGACTCAACTCAAAGTTCCCCTTTCTCGCGCGCACCTGCTGCTTAGCAGCCGCCGTGACCGCCGCACTATGCTGACCATAACCCTTCTGTGCAGCAGGAGGAGCCCGCGCCGCCGCCGCAGCATTGAGATTGGTATTTCTCAGACCCTGCTCGACTTGGTGGACATCAGCATCGCGGGCTTTTGGTACCTTGGAAGGAATGCCGTTGTCTTCTTGGTACTCTTCCTCCTCGTCGAATTCATCGTCGTCGATGGGGTTGAGACCGTTCATGGCTGCCGCGTTGCGGTATCCTGGCTTGAAGTTCTTGCGGCGCTTGCCTTCTTCCTCTTGTCTGTGGACGGCATAACTGACATCGAAGACTTCGCGCAGGTTGACTTGGCCAGGACTACGGAAATCCATACGCTTTCCGGCACCTGGTGACTCGAGAAGCGCAGGGTTGATACCTAATTGCTTTTGGCGCTCGAATGCTGGTGTGGCAAGTGGTGGAGCATCGTGAGCGGCATATGTTGGTTCTCTGGTGTTCTTGATCCATGGGTGCTCTAGGAACTCCTTGATCGTGTAACGCTTTGCTGGGTCAACGGTGAGAAGGTGAGATACCAGATCTTGAGCAGACTTGGAGATATCGTCCCACCAAGGGGATAAGAAGGTATATTGACCTCTGGCGACTTTCTCGGTAAGTACTTGGATGCTCTCATCGTAGAATGGCGGGAATCCACAGAGTAATGTGTAGAGTACACATCCCATAGCCCACATATCAACACTCTTCGAATATCGCTCGTCCTTGACAATCTCAGGTGCGGTGTAGCCAACTGTTCCACATGGCGTCATTGTTTGGTTGTCCCACACGATCTTGCTTAAGCCGAAATCCGCAATCTTAATTTTACCAATTCCACCTGCACCAACGCCAGGAATAAATTCTCCCTCATCGACCTTGTCTTCATCTTCGGGTCCTTTAGGCTTTGGGTTCTTTGTTGGAATGTGTGGAATGGGCGAGAATAATAAGTTTTCTGGCTTAATATCTCTGTCATGACGTCAGCGAAGGCCAGAGGGAGTGGTTTGAAACAACGCACCTGTGAACAACACCACACTCCTCGTGCAGGTATTCGAGTGCTTGTGCGACTTGTGTAATGACATGTCTTGACAAGTCCTCACTGAAGTATGTGAGACGAACAATCTGATGGAATAATTCTCCTCCTGGTGCCAACTCCAGCACAATGTAGTAGTACTGTTTCGATTCGGAAAAGTCAACCAGTTTCACAATGTTAGGATGATCTAGCTGGCGCATGATCTGAACCTCCTTGAGAATATTGGCTCTCTGTACAGAACATATTAGTCTCGGTTCCTGAAAGAACAAATGCATAGCCAAAGGCGCGATAAAAGTGGAAAATTTGCGCACCTCCACAGTCTTGGGCTGCTTCTTAAAATCCGGATGAAGATGAGCTTCTCCCTAGACCGCCACACGTGTTGGCAAGTATTCCCAAAATATTCCAATAGAAGACTGAACGCTCGAGCAAAATAAGAGACGTGATATAGCCCCTACTTACCTGACCAGAGTTCATCTCGAACTTGCGGACGACCTTAATGGCGACCTCTCCTGCTTGTCCTTCCAAATCCCGTGCCCTGTAGACATTACTGAAAGCGCCATCACCCATCTTCTCGATGAGCTGCCATCTTTGCAGGTCTGGGTATCTTGGCAGCTTTCCCTTGCTCTCATTCTCTTCCGCGACAATCCGAGCTAACTCTTCATGGTCTACCTTCTTCGTCTTCTTCTGTTTGTGCTCCGCGGCATGTGCTGCAACATGTCCTGCCTGCGCTCCGCGATTCCGGTTGTCGAGATCTGCGGTCGAGTATGCGTCGGCGGCATGCGGCTGGTGGTGTTGCTGGTTCATGGTCGGATCGCTGTTTGCGTAGTGGTTATTTGGATGCTGTGGCGGGGCATGTTCTTGATGTCGACTGTTGTGGACGTTGACGGGCGAGACGTGGGTAGTGGGGTCGTCTTGAGGTTGTGATGCTCGGCCACCTTTTCCTATATTAGAGTTGAGTTCTTAGATTCTGATGACGATGTTGATGGTTCAGGTACTACCCTAGCGGGTCATGAGGGGGGAAGGAAGGAGGAGGAGGCAAGGAGGGAAGGCATGGCAGGGAAGGACATACCGTGCCGGATTAAGTTCTTGATGGACTGCGAGATGCTCGACATGATTAGAGATCGGATAAGCAGCGGCTTGTATGCGAGTGCTCCTAAAGGACGGCCAGAGCAACAACAGCACAGGACAGAACAGCGCGGTGTGAGTCGGGTGCAGAGTGTTGAAATGTGCGGAAAGGTCGAAGAGAGTTGAAAGAGGGACGAGGATGAGGGACGAGGGACGAGAGACGAGGATTAGAGTGGATGGATGGAGCGCAAGAAAGCGTAAGCGAGAATGGAGGGGAGGGGAAGGAAGGGATTGCCTGTGAGAGGGCAAAGACCGGGACGGAGCTGGGCAAATATCAGAATGATCGACCAATGCTGCAATCGTCGATGTCCTCGAGTAGCAGAGATGTGCAGTTTGGTATATGTGGTTGATGTGAGATGGAGATGAGGCGGGTATGGTTCTGGTAGAATTCGAGATAGTTCCCACAAGTAAACACTCGTGTCGCAGAAAGCGCAGTGCTGTGCAGCGTAGCAGCAGCAGAGTAGTCAGTGCAGTTGAGGAGTAGCCTGTCCCTCCTGTGACGGGATTCTGGGAACTATGTTTTTAGCTGGGCTGGGCCATTATCAAGCAGGATCAGACCTAATCAGAAGCAGGGCGGGGGAATACAGATACAGCAGTGGTGGTGACTGGCTGGGCGAGGGGCTGTGGCTGTGGCTGTGGCTGCACGCGGCCCGCCGTATCAACGTCATCGCTCGATGACGCTGCTGGGACGTCAGGGAGTCAGGGAGTCAGGGAGTCAGGGAGTCAGGGAGTCAGGGAGTCAGGGAGTAGTGATCAATGATCCAGGACCCTTTGCGCTGGATGGGCTGGGCCTGCGCTCAGTGCAACGTAGAGTAGGTGGGCTGGCGCTGGGCTTTGGGGAGTCTTTAGAGCGCAAGGATAATTGCTCAGCTATTGCCATGAGATGAAAGAAGAACGTCTCACAATATTTGCTGTATTATTAACGACCCGCCAGACCGACGACATCTAATATCATCACCGAATCTCCGGCAACAAGTTGTATTATTCTAGACAAGCCCGCGTCCGCGCATCCTATTCCGACCACGCCGAACCCTCATCTTGGCTATCCCAAGCCCTATCCAGCAATCAGTCAATCAAATAGATATCTCCGCTTACAGATATCTGGTGGGTTTGGCATGGCAGGAAAAAAAATGCATGTTGATGACTGATGCACAAAATCATTGACGCCCCGCAATGTACATACAGTACCTATCGGCTCTGCATCCAGGGACGACTGAATAACCAATTTGACTACGATACATCAATACATGCAGATTCCAGATGCAGATGGATTTAGACCGGCGGAATGCGGAATTCACGCAATGACTTCATGAGCAAGCCTTGGGTAGACAAGTAGAGTTCTGTACCGAGATACGCGCTGGCAGTGCAAGCAATAACTTTACTGCACAAACAAGGCGAGCAAGGACCCTTGAACAGGACAGCAAATTTCAAGCAACAAACAAGGAAACCCCAAACTTAAGATCGAAAAGCCACAGGATACTCAGCAACAAACCTTCAAAATACCTGAAATACAATTTCGAAATCTTTCTTTGACTCTCTTCATCTCTTTCTGCTTCCTCTTTTTGACGTCTCGGCAAGAATTAAACGGCGTACTCGTCAAGTATTCCTTGCTCCATGGGGTCCTGACCTCACTTCAATGACGATGTACCGGCACAGCCAGGTTTACATGTATCCGGACTGCAGAGCCTCTCGGATCTCTACCTGGAGCTGGATCTTTTCGTCCGTCCGGGTAATACCCTCTTTTTTCGTATCTGCCAAGAGGTTGATCTCAGGAACTGGATATTGGGAAATCAATATCCAGGAGGCGTTTTGTGGAGATTAAAGATTGATAGACTGAGTCAAGTGACGTTGATTATAATTATGAGGACTTTCTTGTAGCACTCTCTCTTTACAGCAAGCAGACTTGATCAGGCTTGTTCCATTTCATCACAATACTTGACAGATTCCTATCTCGTACTAAACCCCTCATCCGATCTCCAATCCCAAACGCCCTCAAAAGTCATCTCCATTCCAATCATCCCCTGGAACCGACCCAACCCAACCCAACCATCCCAACTCTCCAATTGGACATCACAGTACCCCAGATATCTTATCTGCAGATCGCTCACCACACCACATCACTGTCCCTTCCCTCCCCTCCCGACGTTCGTTTCAGAACGACTGATCTACATGCCGTCGCATCATAGGTACTCACTCACTCACCAGCCACAACATCACTTGACCTTTGCATCACTGCTCCACACTCGACATCATACTTAGTTCATCAATTAAATTCCCCGTTTCTACTGTCTGTAGCGAGGAAAATGTGTATGAGATCAGGTACTAAATCTGGACTCATGCGAGTATTGTACTGCGCCGCAGGTCCTTGCATGTCTTCAGTGCAGTGGGAGTGAGGCGTGATAACCTTATCACATCGGATGAACTTTCACATGGATAACTCGGAGACGTAATTCTTTAACTTTAGCTTCAACTTCATCCTCATCCTCGTCTTCATCTTCAACCCTACTCTGAACACCTTGCCATCCCATCTAAGAACTGCCTTCCATTTATATTTACTACTCTAATTACTAACCCTGCCCTGCCAATCCTCGGAACACAGCCCGACCGATAGCATTCAGCCTCCTCCTCCCTTCGCTTACGCACATTACATTACATTACATTACATTACATCATGTCACTCCTTTCAGTTCCTTTCAGCCCTTTCACTGATTCATTTCTTCCCCTGAACACAACAGAACACAAAAACGCAAATACACGGCAGCTAAGCTAAGCTACTCTAGCACAGGTATGATGGCAATGGCGCTTCCCTTCCCGCGTTATGGTATGCAAGGCCGTTGGATATAGCGTGACGGGGGTATTCTCCGAAATGAATGACCGCTAAGGTGTTGGTTTTGCTGTTGGTGTCGCAGCCGCATGTTATCTACTGTAACCTCTTTCGATTTGATGGTTGACAGCTTCTTTTCGACCATTTCGAGTCACAGGAGAATGGATGGAGATGGGAGATAGAGAATGAATTCTCCCAGGCAGATCTGATTTTCCTGAGAACATTGATTCGAAGATGCCATGTTCTCCAGACCTAAAACTAAAGGATTTCCTCTCCCATCTGCTTATCCTTCTGGTTTCTTTTCGTCGGCACGAATAGAGACAATGTAACACGATACACGAGCCTTGTCATGACACCTACATCATACAGAAATCTGCTCCTACAAGTAGTTAGCTGTGAAGGATATATACCTACATGCATTAAATGAGCAGGGAGGCGGGCCTAGGAAAGGTATTCTCTAAGATTCTTGGATTTGATTTGCTTTTCAAGTTCAGCATTGTTGAAGCAGTGATTACAGCCTTGCTTTACCTTCATAAATCATCGGGTTTCCAATTGACTTTACGTCTAGTTTATTCATTCGTTCCCGCACTTGTCTTCGATCGAAACATTTTCTCTGAATTCTGTAATCTCTCGCCTCCATTTCCTCACTTCAATCAAACAACACCTCCCCTAACTTCCGTCTCGCCTCCTCCGGCTCCCAATCAACCAGTATCCTCTCCTTCTTATCCTCCATCTTCCACTCTACAAACCTCTCCATACCCTCTCTTTCCTCCTCACTCAACAAATGTACCCTTGCTTTCCACAACTCATCCTCAGAACCCTCACCATCACCTACACCATCCCTAGCTCCAAAAAACCTCTCATCCAAAAACATCCAAAACACCGTATCAAACGCCCAACTATTCCTCGCCGCATACCCCACCCAGAACCTCCCCGTCTCCCAACTCTCACGCATACACTTCGACAATACAAACGGCAGCGCCCCATTACCATCATCACCATCATCACCCTCAAACCCCATCAAAACCTCCCTCTCAGCCCTCTCCACAGCCTCCAACCAAGTCCTCAACCGCACCTCATACACTCTACACCAATCCTCGATCCCCTGCTCCCACGACTCCGGCACTTCAAGCAGCAGCCACCACGGACAATCCAGCACGAACTGCGCCGGTCCCGCATACGCCATCTCCCAATCAATAACAGCAGCAATCTCAATCTCATCCTCGCGCTCATCAACGAGGATATTCCCCGGTCTAAAGTCATCAAGCCACAGCCTAAAAGATCCCATAGCGCTGCTCGGTGCCGGGGAGAGCATCCTCCCACCGTCATTCCAGCTCTTGCGTCTAGATTGCGCAGACCACTCATCGTCAGCGAACCCAAAGGTTGAGAGGCGCTGGGTTTTAGCTAGGCGGCGGAAGAGCTGGCGAGCGACGTATTTGTTCCTGCAATCGTCTGCTGTAGTCACGAGGTCGTTGTGCTGGAAGATGAGCTGCGCGATGTGCATTTCTGCTAGTGCGGTGTACCACTCGTGTGTGGTGCTGTAGGTTTTGGTTTCGGGGGGGAGGACGGCGGGGTGGATGTGGGCGAGTTGGAGCATGTCGTTTATGTTTTTGGAGAGGGGTCGGCTTGTGACAGAGAAGGTGTTGTTTTCTTCGTTCTCGGATAGGGAACCGATGCGGTTGAATGAGAGCCGGGAAAGCTGTAAGAGGCATCGTGCTGCTTGTTTATAGAATTTTGAGAGGAGGGTCTCTGAGATGTTTGGGTCTAGGACGGAAGGTACGGCGGGGTCGGGATTGGGAGTTTTGATTCGATTAGCCATCAAGACACAACTGTCGATGTGTTGAAGGATCATGTAAGGTCCTAGAACAGACTTCTCGCCATAGCAGAATACCTTCGGCACTGGGATCTGGGTGTGTTGCTCGACATATCTCGCTGTGGCACCTTCTCGTAAAGTCTTCTCAACTGGAAACTGCACCCAGTCAGGGCATGGCAGCCGGACATAGACATCGGGTGTCATTCCCTCAACTTGGATTCTGTATAAGATATTGTATCCACCGATAATCAAAGGTGGTTTGAATGTTGCTTTTCGGCCGAATTTCTGCTCTGCAAGGGAAGCTGCGAGCTCGCAGGTGTCCCTCCTACGGAGTCGTTTCTGTGATATTTCTGATGCTTCGTCGTTTTTGTCCCATGCCAAGTTATCTAGCTGTGCTCTGGCGTCGCCCATGCTGGGTTCTGTCTTGCCTAGTAATCCTGTGATGATGAGATGAGATAGGCTGACGTTGAAGTCAAAAGAAGTTGATGTTCAGAAACGAGAAGCAGGTGCATATCTTGGCATTGTTGGAGATGCATACAGTGACACACTCTATTCGCGCGCGGTTATGACTACCCACGTTTGGTGGAGGTTGTAAGTTTTATGCTCTGCGCTTCCATTCCCAAGGTCAAGTAAAGGTCACTGGTGGTTTTGGTCTCCTTGCGAGACCTGCAATGAAAGGTCTTTTGATAGCTAGAATTTACTACGGAAATGGGACATCTTCAACGTCAACAAGTCTTGGGGCTTTTTAGCGAGCTTGCCTCTACTACGGGAATTTCCAGCCTCATGCTGATGTCTCTGTCCTTCTTCAATTTGATCATGTCTTCCGCAGTCCACTACAAATCGATGAATCAGAGTAAAAAATTAGAAAAGAGAGAAAACATATGCAAATCTGCAGAAGAAAATGATGACCTTTGTCGATATCTGTCGATGGCAGGTTCGAGATTCGACTTACTTGCGCCTTTCTTCTCGCTTGATACAGAGTCCTGGAAGAAGGTGTCAATTTTTTGTAAAGATAGGAACCATGAAAACCCTAAAGAATCCTGGTGTTACTTCCCTTCTTGCAATAAGCCTTCTCAGCCCTACGACAGCGGATCGATCTGGTGCCGAGAGTATGTCAATGGAGATACCTCTCATGCATGCAAGGAACAGATAAACCTAACTTAGAGCCTTTGAAGGGGGAAACAATCCCAACAAGTGCATAATTCTGTCAAGTTGAAGGTCTTCTTGGCAGCCAAGAACTCTGGGTCTTTCCATCAGCTGTGTAGTTCAAGATATTAACATCGATGTTGAAGACTCGAACCCCTAAGACGAGGAGGTCCTCTGTCGAGTAGGAATATCGGACTCGAGTCACGTTCTGTCAGCAAACTTTGATTGCCTCTTGGCAGCCAAGGGTCACTCGTCCCCAAAATACTTCTTCCCGAGTCTGGTGTTGACACGACACAGCCAGTAAAATACCAATTACCACGAGTCAGTGAAGCGGCCACATCCGTCCTGTATCAGAGTCCTATATGAGTCGCTTGGGTCATGTGCTGAATCCACAGTTTCGATTTACACTTTTTCAGTGTCTTGGATGTAGCATCGAAGAAGCTTGGAAGAAATGTAAGCGAGGTCGTTGGGTATTGTCCGGTTCTTACCTGGACGGTCCGATGTATTGCTCGTTGGCCGGTGTTGGTCGCGGGGTGACAGCTGGCAGGTGTACCAGAAAGATGGGATGTGAGCACGGTGGTTGCATAACTCGGATGAGTCGAAGTTGGGATGGACAATCTGAATGGAAGTTCGGGGAACAATAATTTGAAGTGGCCCATTCTCAGGCGAAGACTGAAGGCAGGAAATAATGTTTCCAAAACGGAAATCGACGACATAACTCACCGCGACTGCTGAGGGGTGGATTCGACTACCCAGACTTGCCGTGAACAAATATTAGCCAGCGTGAAATTGGAGATATAAAAAGGCTCGGAGATTCTTTCCTGCTGAACAGAACAAGAAGAGGAGGATCACCAAAAAACATGGTCGAGTTTCCCCAGCGCAGAAAATAGACCAATCGTGCGGCAAAGACATGCATGAAGCAATGTAAATGAGGATATAAATATCTTGAAAACCTTATCTGCAAAAAACATACCACAAGTGGAGACTTCCAGTGTAGATCCAGCCCCTTAACCAGTCAGTGTGTCTGCGCAAGTGGTAGTCTGACTGCCAGGACAGAAACAAGAAGTCTTGGATTTCCCGTTTTCGGAAAACCTTGGAAACGGTGCGTGGAAGACTTGGCTTGCTGTGATTTGGTAGAGTGGTTGAGGTAATGTTTCCATACACGGGGTCGTCAATGGGAGCATGGCTTGGTACGGGGCTTTTAGGGGCCCGTCCCGTTCTTGTCATGTAGACCTGGAGAGTTGTAGTCGATGCTGGCTGATAACATAGAGTTTAGATTAGAGGTGGAAGTTGATCTCAGTTGATCAAGAACGAGAGTTCAAGGTGCACTGAAAGAGTTCGAACTTAACTCCTGTAGCGCACCCAACCTGTCGGTAATTCCGACTTTGAAGACCAAGGAGAGAAGGTATCTTCTTGGGAGCCTTTCAATTCAGAAACAAGCTCCGCCAGGATTTCCAAGCAATGAAAAACGTATAATCACCCCATACCAAGACGATAGCAACTTGGTCTGGACTCTTCGCTCAAGCTACTTCTCCACGATTGGGCAAGTATTCACGGAGACTTGACTCCCTTGGGCCTGAAACCGTCGCTGACGAGTCCAGGCCTGTCGTCTGAACATGCAACTCCCAAGACTTTTTCGCTGTGAGGATGAAACGCCGCCGAGGCTGAGGAGTAGGGGTCACCAGGGAGGCGGGGACTGATGGGGAGAGCGTCTCAGGGTCGTTGTCGTCTGGCTGCGGACGGTGAGACACGCCCTCCCTCGTGGAAAGAGCAGATTTTTGCAAGACCGCTGAGTCGGGACTGTTACACAGCGTAGGGCAGAGCAGAGCAGAGGGAGGGGCCAGAGGTTCGTCCTCAGTTCAGATTCGAGGTGGTGTTTCGTAAGGAACGGGGCAACCCAGCGCAGGTGGGGAATGGGGAATCCTAGGGCGCTGCTTATTCGTTAATGCATACATACTGTAGGCTCGTTAAGTTAGCCGCTGGCGAGCAGCAACCACAACAAAAGAGTAGGATAACAAGAAAAGAGGCAGAAAATAAGTCAACTACTGATCGGAGGATTATGGGCTCTATGTATGTGATCATGATCAGCTAGATCTTCCGCCAATTTACACAGCAGCTTCCAAGTCGGGTGCGGCCAGCTTGGAGAAGCCCCCTAAGGGCATCAAGCAATCTTGTGTGTCTTGAGAAGTTCTTGGCTGCAGGTGTCAACGCCAGGCAGCGCTACAGTACTGTAAGTTACTGTACAGAGTCCAGACTCCAGACCCCGCAAATTTAGCGGACGAGCACTAACGGGCACAACACAACATCACTTCTCCAGATGTCGACGAAATACAATACAATACAATACAATCAAAACATGTACCAAAATCACTCGCGAGTGCGCGGAAGCAAGTGCTTCCAGAACAATGAAATAGAGGACGGTGTGCGAGTCTATTTGAGATCTATGTTTGGCTTTTACCGCGACGTCGCGTTTGCATTTCGTTGCTCCGGGTGGCTTGCATCACCACTCTGATTGTGGCCTGTTTTTATGCCATGGGTAGGACTTGGCTTCTTGATCTGGATGGATGCGGTCCATAACGACGACGGCGATGCCACCTGAACTCCTCCTTTCCCTCAGTTCTGCCTGTCTCAGCGCGGGCGTGGAGGTCTGACTGGGCAGGATTCTGCAATCTTATCCTCTCCACAATTGTTGGCATGCCTGCACTCGCCTCCACATACAGAGTCACTGACCATCCCCTCCCTGCCTCTCTGACTCTGACAGCATCCACTACTTCTCCTTGGGAAAGACTTCATTCGGCACTCGGAGATTCTTCTCCCCCATGGCCATGCTCATGGGTGTGCTGCCAAGCTCGGCGAATATCTTCTCGCTGGCTTGCCCGCGTCTATTCAGCAAGCAACCCCCCGTCAGCCAGTCCTTCTTTGGATCTGTTTCACATATTTCAAGAAGCAAGAGATACTTTTTGCCTTGTACAATTTAAAGTCTAAAACTATAACGGGAAGTCTGCGGCTACGGTTGGCTGACATTTCGTCGGCATGCCACAACCCCCGTAAGCCACTCCCGGGGGGCGTTGGCGGTAGATGGGACAGATATACCTCCTTTGCCCCCTTCCAAGATATCTCTTCTCTTGGTATTCCTGCCAAAGCAACGAGTAAGGCCCAGCTACCCATGGAGAAGGCCAGCTCCCAAGATATTTGGCAGTTACAAGCGTTACAAGACCCCTAAGCCTCATGATTCAGAACGGGTGAATTGCAACACGGACATTACACTGAGCTTGGTACCCCGGGTATCTTGTCATGTCGACTTGGTCTGCTCGGCCATAGAGAAGAGATGGTAGCCAAGATATGTGCACGGTGAGAGATGGGGCTCATGTATATATCATCACATCTTTCCTTCGTCAGACCGTTTTGTTTCTTGTCCATCATCATCTCTCATTCTCCTCCATCCACATCCTTTTAGTTCCTATTCCGCTTACTTTCATTCCTTCATCCGTCGATCGGTATTATTTCCAGGGCCCGGCGCTCATTTGGTCTTTATTTATCTTCTACTGTTTAACTTTACTCGAATCTTTCTAATCCTTACCGACGAAATTTCTCGCGAAAATCAAACACTCTCTTTAGACCAATATGAAGTCTTCAGCATCAGCCCTCGCCGTTCTCTTCGCTACCGTTCTCCTCGATAGCGCATCTGCATCATGCGGTCATGGTACTAGTCTGTTGAAGCGCAAGGTCAACTACAAGAGACAAGAAGGCGGAGAGGTTGCCAAGACTGTTGAGGTCGGACAATTCGGATACATTGGAGCTGTTGGCCCGTATGTGTTCTATGAAAATCAACCTTTACTACAACACACCACTAACATCTTCAAGTACCAACTGGGCTGCCCTCTCAGCCGAAAATGGCGACTGCGCAACCAGCAAGCAACAGTCACCCATCGATATTACCAACACTTCAACAACTATTGTCGCACCAGGTACCCTCGACATCAAGATCCCCAATGTCGAAGCCGCAGAGTTTGAGAACCTCGGTACCACAATCGAGGTAGTGATGGAAGGAAAGGGAGCCGAGACCGTAGTCGACGGAAAGGCGTAAGCTTTAGCCAAGTGATGTCTCAACCCACGAGCACTGACTGACATCTCAAACAGTTTCGAACTCAAGCAATTCCACTTCCACTCACCTAGTGAGCACACTGTCGATGGAGAATACTTCCCCTTGGAAATGCACATGGTGCACGAAGCTGCTGGTATGTTCCGCTTTTCGCTTACCACATATTGCCTCGGAGCCCAGATATTAACACAACCACAACAGATGGAGCAATCGCCGTCATCGCCGCACAATTCCAGCTTTCCGAGACCGGCGAGACAACCTCCCTCCTAACCTCCGTCACCGAGAAGATCGGCGCCATCGCCGCCCCAGGTTCCGTCACAGAAACCGGTGCTCTCGACTTCGCACCCCTCGTCGACGTCCTCTCCAAGCAATCACTCTCCACCTACGCCGGATCTCTCACCACCCCTCCTTGCGCCGAGGGTCTCACCTTCTTCGTCACCACCGAGCAATTGCCATTGGACGTCGCAACCTTCAACCAGATCAAGGCTGTTGTCGGATTCAATGCACGATTCACCCAGAACACGGCTGGGCAGGACAACCTTCTTGCCGCTAGCGCAAAGACCGTTGCCGAGATTGAGGCGAGTGCTGGTGCAGAGGCCGGAGCTGCTGCTCCTGTCGCTGAGGCTGCCCCTGTCGCTGAAGAAGCCAAGCCTGCTGAAGGCGCTGCATCTGTAAATACCCCCATTTTATCTTCATCTTCATCCCTGTCACTCCCCACTTCCCCATCAGATTCTCGAATCCGGTCTTCACCTCCTAAATTTGTATCGTCTGTTTCTCGTTCAGCGTCATTTGTTCCAGCGAATGTTGTATCAGCGAGAGACGGCGATGTATCTAAGCTCGAACGTATCCCTCCTTCACTATCCTTCTGGCGTAAACTAGAGTCGCTAACATGTATCTCTTGTTTAGACAACTACTGGCGGCAATGTCATAAGTGCGGGTAATTTGGGCCAAGCGAGCGAGATCGTCAAGGGTCTTACCGGATTGGATCTTGGTGCCATCTTGAGCGGTAACAACTAAAGAGTCTTCGACCCGACGCGGTTTGCTTTGATTTGATTCTTTGTGTTTAATGCTTTGGTATTTTATGTGTTGGAGAGGGGAATCTGATGTATCGATCGTGTGCTCCGGGGTTCTGTATTGGGCTGGGGGCGTGGAGGGTGAAGAAAAGATCGGCTGGGGGTTAAGGTTAAATGATTTACAAGATATATGAAGACCATTCAATAGATGTATAGATGATGGTGGGGCAACAAAATTGATAGTTGATACCTCATTTTCCTTGTCTCTCATTCTTTTTTGTTTGTCCCCGAGAAACTAGCCTGCTCTTGTGAATCTGGAGAGGGACTGGCTTCTTTTGAAGTCATTGCACATGCTCTCATCCCTGTCCCGAATTTCGTATCTATTTGCATAAGTTTCTTTCTACCTTTGTCGGTGCGTAACCTCGTCATTCAAGATTTCCTTCATCCCACTTTCGAATGCTCTTCATATTCTGCGACTTGTTATAACTAGTTAAGAGTTAAGCGTTCACACAGCTGCTCCTTGTGCTCAGGTTTGAGTGGCGTTGCTCGACACTTATTCCTTCAAGACATTCAACTATCAGCCCAACTCAATCACCACAGCAGCACAATAGAAACCCTCCTCCTCACCTCACAAACGGGCCCGTACGGACTTACAGTAGTGGGCTTCAGCAAGTCTGTCTGAACCACTGTACTGCTGCCCAATTCTCAGCCACCTCTCTCCACAAGCTCCAGCACTAGTCTGCACCAGCTCTCTGTCACGGTTCGGCGCGAGTACGAACACTTGAGCCTCCTTCAGCCCTTCCCACATACTTGAACACAATTTTCCCCGTCCCGTCAACCCATTGAAACAGTCCACACTGATTCTCACTTGTCAACCCAACATGCCGACCGGACGGGATGGAATTTTGCATTAGAGCTGCTCAGGTTCGTTTAGCTCATTTTCACTCTTTGACCTCCTCGGCTGCGCTACACTGCTTGGATGTAAATGCTCGGCAGATCGTGTGCGAGGATCATCCTTTGCTTTTGGGCTGGAAGCTTTGAGGAAGGTCGTTAGGAGGGGGTCTAGATCTTTCCGCTAAGCAGGATTTCCGGGTGATGGGAGAAAAATCAAGATGATTTTTCCGCGAGAGGTCGGATATGGCTGTTGCGAGTTGTTAACGCATGATACAGATTCTATGAGCTTGTAGCTAATGAACTTAGCTGACAAGAGTTCGACACCAAGTACTCAGAACAATTGTAGGTCTTAGTGGCTCTGGTAATACGAGAAGCTTGATAGATAAGTCTGCCAAACACACAAGATCGTCCTCCTATTTTCCCTCGGGATCTAACAACAAACAGAGCAACTCAATTGCGTCGGACTCCAACGTCAGCCCAACATGCAAGTCTTCGATTGGTCCGGTTTCATACATGCACGTTCATACCTTCATTTCTACATTGAGTTTGGCATGTGCAACAATGGGCCAATCATGTTGAGGCGCGACCTCGCTTGGCCCCCGGACTTTGAGTTTGTTTTGACGTCGCTACCCGAGCTCATTGCTTTTTTCTCCTCTCCACACTCACATCATCCAATGAACATTGCTCGGACATGTCTTCGAGCATGGAGATGCGAAATGCTGATTTTGGCATTGCAAGATCTGGATGGAACCGAGGAGAATGCAAGCGATTTTGCTCATCTTTCTCGCAAAACATCGTGTTAAACCGCGCATTCATGTGTGGCATTTGGCATGCTTACCCGAGGAAACACTCGCTTTTCACTACTGCATGTGCTTCAATGGTGTGCGGCTTCACATGGCAACCTCCCGGTGTCTCCGCAAACTCTGATGAAAGCCTCTCCTGCGTCATCAGTCTAATCTGCAATGTGCTTGGTGGGAGATTACGTCCTAACCTTCGGAGGTTAGGATGTGTCAATGCCTTCGTATCGCCCGAAGTCTGGGGGTGCATATTCCGAGCGAATTAGGCGTACAGGCCTAACATGGCTGGCGAGGATACTAAAGTAAGGCTGTTCATCCCACGAACCGAGAAGTGTATATTAGGAAGAGAAGAACCGCCCTGGAAGTATCTTTGCCACCGTCAGTCTATACATAAGCTTGCGAGAAGAAGGATCATGAGCCGCAAAAGCTTCTGCCACACCATAGCAGCAAATTCAAGCTGAGCCCAGATAGAACATGTGGTTGGATCGCCTCTTCCAAATTATCCCTCAAAATTCACGATGTCTCGTTACTCATTCATCGATCACAACCCATCTCCACGCCAGACAAAGGTGAACAGGCCCGCACTGGATTGTTTACACCGGCGACAGTCTACACAACAACACCCCGAGCCCGGCAAGCTATTCACCACCACAACCAACACCGACGCAATGGTCCCGCCATTAGAATTTGCAAAGATGAATCTCGCGTTCTACGTCGACCTGATCTCAGCTCTTGAGAACGACGACGACCCTCAATCAGCAACGTCTCCAATCGCCACCGCCAAACGCATCACATCATTCAACACGTCGCGTAATGGATCGTGGAGTCAGATCTCGAGCTCGAGTGGTGTTCCCAAGGCTTTCAATGCCCCGGGAATGAAAACAGATGTGCGGATCAGAGTGTTTGAGAGAGAGTTCCATGTCCACTCAGTGGTTCTGCGTCTGTATTCTGCATTCTTTAGGACGTTTCTCGATTCAGCAGACAAGGGACCAAGTAATAGTGAGGGACGATTCCGATACGATTATGTCTCCGTCCTTGACCCAGACGGAGGATGGGGACTCGAAGTAGCAAAACCAGTATGTCTCTTCCCCTCCCCCTCCATCCCAATTCAATACCACAACCAAAGCAAGCATACTCACCCCTCTACCCAGGGCATGCAATCCCCCACGGTCCTCAGCCCCCTCAAAGAAGGCACCGAAACCAGCAGCGACGAGCTCGCCTTCGAGAAACTCCTCTGCGCCATGTACCACAAAAAATACAGCATCAGCGGCCTCCGCGAACTCTCCGACATGACCCGCCTGGCAGACTTCTACTGCTGCCTCCCAACCTTCTCGTCCTCCCTCTACTCCGCACTCTGGCACAGTCCCGACCTCATCGCTGAGATCTCTTCAAACTGCAACTCGACGCTTATCCTTGCCCAGAAACTCCGCCATCCGCTCCTATTTCGCGAAGCGCTCGTGCATGTTGCATGTCAATGGAAGGGGTACAGCCATTTTCTAGAAGGGCATTATGGTCTTGTCTGTGCCGTCACATCAGCTTATAACCGCGTGTGTGAGCGTTTACTTGCTGCTAATCAAGAGATATTCATTGCTATGCAGCTCGGCGGGCAAGTCAAAGTGGATATCAGTGCGGCGACGAGCGGGCTGGAGAGAGAGGAGATCCCGACGCAGAATGCACACTTTTATAGGCATTTGTATAATCAGTGGGAAGGGGAGCAGGAGGATGGCATGCAGAGTGTTATGGAGGCTTTGAGGGTGCTGTTGGAGAATAATTTGGTGTTGGATCGGAAGGGTGGGCTGGCGGGCGAGGATGAGTATAGGAATGGGTTTCTGTGTGGGGAGATTTCGGATTCGGAGTTGCCTTGGAATTTGGAGGAGGAGGATTGGTGATCTGGAGTGTCGTTCGTGGAAGGATCGGAAGAGTTTCGTCGTTGTTAAGAGCCTGCAGCATGGGAATGGACATAAAGTGAGGAATATGGAGCTTGGCGTTTGGCGTTGAAAGGAAGTGCGAAGATGGCGTTGTTTGGTAATTTTGTCTGTCATTTCTGTTTGAGCAAGAGAAAGATATCCAGGCGTGCAAAGATTGGCAAAAAAACGTCGGATCTACGTTATGATTGTCGGAGACAGTTAGCACCTCTCTCAGTTAGCTGCTACCTCCAGTTTTTGAAGAGACTTATGAGTAATGAAGTAATGAAGGTCGTCGAAGCAATTATGGTTATACATATCGGCTCTACTTCGTGTGCTGAAAAATAATGATTAAAGGATCCTTTCCACAGCATCAGAAATCTCCGAGGTGAGACAGTATATATTGGAAAAACGCGTTCCTGCGGAGGCTTAATTGCCTGATTCTGGCAAGCGAGAATGCCTGACTTTGATGGGACGACTACCTTCTTCTTGCCCTCCGTATAGAGACATCAATTGGAAAGTCGCAAAAATGATGGAATACTGTGAGAAAGAGTTTTTGTAGTAGAACAAATCAATGAGCAATTATCAATTTAATGCATATTCAGTTGACTTAGAGCAGATCCTTTCAAAATCGGTCACTGGATTCCGTGCCAGAGAGGAGAAATAGCATCTGTGTGAAATTCTTGATACATCAATATAAGCTGAAGAACTCTTGTATAAACTCATGACCTATTCCTGATAAATGAAATTTATTGCTTGATCTTGTGGTAGATAATCAGAGTGATATTCGGATCAGAGGCCCACAAGCCCAACCCGAGAACCCCGCTGGGCACTGACCACCTCGCTAATCTGGCAATCTGGCGCTAAACCATCCCCTGCGTTAGCCCCAGTGTATGACGTTCACGACTCGAATAGTGAGCTTCGCGTCAACCTCGTGCTACAAAGACATCAATTGATGTTCTCAAAACCCCGAAGTGAGCGTATGTTGAATTCTCACACCTGGTCCTCAATTTGATGTTTATATCCCGATTGCTACCCCCGAGGATATTTAAAGCATCCATTCACCTTGTCTTCAACGCGAAAGCTCTCCCTCTGTCACCAAAGATCCGCATGAACACCATCGCAACCTCTTCAAACTTCAAAATGCCACCCAAGAAAGCAGCAACAAACGGCAAGCGCAAAGCCTCATCGCCCGCAGAGCCTGCACCAAAGAAATCTAAGATCAGCAATGGCTCCTCCGATCCCTTACGCCGACCTCACGAGTCCGCCCAAGAAGCAGAAGACAATGGCATTGTCCTCCGCGAGTTCTACCCCCACGAGATGTCCAATGCGCGCGCAGCAGCATACAACAACGACGAACTGCCTCGGCCGATCGAACTGCTCAATGATGCACTGTCAGAGACCAAATCGGACAGAGAGAAAATAGAGGTCAAGGATGCGGTGGTACATTGGTTTAAATGCGATTTGAGGACGAAGGATAATAAGAGCTTGCATTTGGCTAGCGAGAAGGCGAAAGAGAAGGGAGTGCCGCTGATTGCGATTTATATTGTTAGTCCGCAGGATTTCCAGGCGCATTTGACGGCGCCGGTGAGGGTGGACTTCATTTTGCGGACGCTGGAGGTGCTGAAGGAGGATTTGGCGAAGCTGGATATCCCGCTGTATGTTGAGACTGTGGAGAAGAGGAGGAATATTCAAACGAGAATATTAGAGTTACTAGAGGAATGGGGTGCGAGCCACTTGTTTGCGAATGTTGAGTATGAGGTCGATGAATTGAGACGAGAGGCAAGGATGGTGAGAGCGTGTCTGGAGAAGGGTATCGCTATGGATGTTGTGCCAGATACGTGTGTGGTCAGTCCTGGCGAACTCTCAAGTGGAACTGGCAAGCAATACTCGGTCTACTCTCCATGGTATCGCGCCTGGGTGGCATATGTCCACAACGATCCCACAGTTCTGGATCTTGTCGATGCGCCAAGCAAGAATCCTGCAAGCGCCAGGGAGAAGTTCAAAAAGCTTTTCGAGAGCTCCATACCTGACGCGCCAGCCAACAAGAAACTGACGGATGAAGAGAAGAAACGATTCAGGTCAATGTGGCCAGCTGGAGAAGAGGAAGCTCATGAACGACTTACCAAGTTCTGCGATGAGCGTATTGCAAAGTACGGAGACAAGAGGAACTTCCCTTCTCTAGGCGCAACCTCGTCATTAAGTGTCCATTTCGCCAGCGGCACCCTCAGTGCCAGAACTGCCATCCGCACAGCCCGCGACTACAATACGAGCAAAAAACTCGACGCCGGAAACAGTGGCATCCAAACTTGGATCAGCGAAGTAGCCTGGCGCGATTTCTACAAACACGTCCTCGCACACTGGCCATACGTCTGTATGAACAAACCATTCAAACCAGAATACACAAACATTACCTGGGAGTACAACCAAGAACAATTCAAAGCATGGTGCGAAGGCAAGACTGGGTATCCTATTGTTGATGCAGCGATGCGCCAGTTGAATCATTGCGGATACATGCACAATCGCTGCCGTATGATCGTCGGATCTTTCCTCGCCAAACATCTCCTCCTTGACTGGCGGATGGGCGAACGCTACTTCATGGAACATCTCATTGATGGAGATTTCGCTTCCAACAATGGCGGATGGGGATTCAGTGCTTCGACAGGCGTCGATCCACAGCCTTATTTCCGTATTTTCAACCCGCTCCTCCAAAGCGAGAAGTTTGATGCCGATGGTGAATATATTCGGAAATGGGTTGAGGAGTTGGAGGGTGTGAAGGGGAAGGCGATTCATGATCCTTATGGGAGGGGTGAGGGCAGTAAGGCGAAGAAAATGGGATATCCGGAGAGGATTGTTGATCATAAGGAGTGTAGGGAGAGGGCTTTGGCGAGGTATAAGGAGGGTTTGGGGAGGGACACTGCTTGAAGTTATTATGTATTTTAATCGTACGGGTACGAGCTGTTAAACTAGGGAAATTAAATCGTTGCCCTTCTTCGTTGAATTCCATCCAATGCTGCCTTTATGACGGACGCTGCTCGAGCCCACGGTCCGATTATTCCCCATGGGCCAACAGATACGTCTTGAGGTTTCGATTTGAGATGAAAGTTTCCAGGTCGCCGCTGCTTCGTCTCTCGAGATGTGGACTGTGATCCATTCCTTGTTGTAAGGAGAGGATGCAAGGACATAACAGGAAATGAAAGAGTATCTCTATCAAAGGTTTTGGGGAAGATACGAGACATTTGAATCGGCTCTCGATTCGTAGTCCTTATTTTGCATCCTTATCATTCTCTCTTGTTCCAGTAACCTCTTGTCCTTGCATGCGCTGGTAGCTCGGGTGGTCGGCTGTTGCCTTTGTCACTGGATCTCCATAGGAGCTGTGCCTGTTCGCACCATCGGAAGTGGTCCAAGAAGCCATCTCGTGCATATTGTTTGTCTCGAGCTTCGATTGCCCACTTCGATGTCTTTTTCGAGAGCAAGTTGACACCCGGCACACGACATTCCTCTTTCGACTTTGCCAGAACGTTCATTGTAATAAGGAAGTGCACACGACCCCACAAAATTGTGTTTCTGATTTCGTTCTGGGGTCGTTGTCGGGGCTTGCAACCGTGTATCTGGTGGCAGTCTGCGAATCAAACGAGCATGGTGAACAGAAGCAATTGTAAAGCGGGCTTTGTACACGGTTTTATCCATAGAATATATTCCAGGCAAGGTCTTGAAAGAACTAAGTCGGTCTGCTTCGATCCTGGTCAGGTGATATTGCTTTCGGATAGCCCTAAGGGTTTGCACTTGGGTTTCCGAAGCCTTCTTGAGGCATTCGAAACAGCATCGCTGCCACGTTAGGAGGGATATAAATCCGCCGAAATCCGTGACATAGAGTACACGCCTTGGTACATAAGGCGTTGTAAAAGTCGAGTACAGAGATGGCAAGGGCACGTCGACGTGTTCGTAACAAGGCGCAGAAAAGGTTCAGTCCATGCAAGACTACCATCTGGTACTGCTTGAGACCATCTACCATATGTCTTGATCTAAGGTTTGTTTGTCGAAATATGAATAAAGAATGCATGTCCAGATGGAGCAGCGTGTGGTACAAGAGCTCAGGTGGTAGCCGATCAGCGAGCCGAGTCCCACATTGGAGGTCCACGGAAATGGGGTTGATATTGACAAACGAATATCGATGTGCGTACGAGGCGAGAATCAAATCACAGATTGACAGTATTCTTTCCAATAGTAGGTGGCGGCTCGAATAATGCCATCGGTCTGTTTTTCGCCGAATCGGTATTCTGTGTCGGAGCGATATCCGCGAGGCCAAAGAGTAGCCATTCTCGAGACTCTTTGGTATATTTGAGTGAAATGAGCTCGGGGTTCTGTAGGCGTCGTTGATGGATGATGAATTCAAAGACTCGTTTGATGTGTTTGTACTACACCCTGACATGGCTGCCTGCACATCTTGTCAAGCTGGGCACTTGATTGCTTGAATCGGGAATGCTGCATCCTTACCCGGCGACGGCGCTGTGTTTGTCTCATTTCTATACTTGCAAGTCTTCATATCGGCACAGGATCTACTTGTCGACTTTCATCGACGAGTCACCTGATATTTAGAGGCACAGTGCCTCCGGCTCGAAACAATATTTCGCGGGACTTCATCAGACCCAACAGTAGTTGCCTGGTTCGAGAACCACAATATTTAGCAACAGTCTCTTCTAGAGTACCTCTTTCTTCAAAGAGAATACCATGGTCTGGAAAACGGAAGTCAGAGTAGTATCAAACGCTATAGACAGACATTAGTGATATTTCGTGTCCTCCTATTCTTGTACTTTAACTGAAAGCCATAACATTATTTTCCGATCATTAATATGATAAGATTGACAACTAAATGTACAAAATAAAACATAGTTCAGATACTGCCTTGATATAATCAAAGTTCGAAAATTCTTAAGCATTCACCACCGGACAAGTAAAAGTGAACACCCAATTCGAATCTTACCCGAGGAACTTGTGCACCGTAGGTATAACGAAATAAGACGATTTTGTCTCAAGCACCCACATTGCTACGTTCTGGTGATGCCTCTTCAAAACCATAACACGCTTATGGTTTCTAACAGACCTTTCGCTTCTCGGTCGGATACGTGCGCCTCACCGCGATTGGGTCTGCGAGTTTTGCTTTTTGGTCCTATATTCCAATTTCCCATTCCTATACTCATCGCCGAGAGTCAAATCATAAATCTGCATAGGAAATATTATTGCTCTATGTTGTAGATTTTTTTCTTGTCTTGGAGGGAAAGTTTTTCTTTTTGTTCATCCGGAACGTAAACATTCGTTAAGCGAGTGCCTATGTTTGACGAGCCAAGTCGCAGGCGGGAAGATTGAGAACCGCAAGCGACCTCTACATTTCAAATTATTGCCCATGGTCCCTAAGATTGATTTGGTATGATCCGCGTCCCCGAAAGAGTCGTCTTCCAAAAAAGTTATTAACATCAGGCCTGCCCATCTTTGAACTAAGTCTTTGGTCAGAGCGATACTCTTCTCCGTTCAAACATCACAGACCGGTGACTCATGTTGAGCATTGCCACCTGTTACTTTCATGGAAATAGCATCATAGTATCCTGTGTCATGTTGTGGCGGTGCTGTAAGTCCGCACTCATAATCCCCTCTTAAAAAATTCACGTGAGGGTTTCGGGAGCCACAAACCTTGTGTTTTGTTGTTAGCAGGAACGATGGGGCCGAGGCCGCTTAGTCAGCCGCCGCCCACCCTTAAGGCGAGGCCGTTATAGGAACTAGGAATGTAAGCCTTTGACACACAACTTACTTGCCCTATTATATAGTAGTAATTCCTAAGACCTCGTCTAGAGCCTTAGAATATCAGAAACACCAGACCTCTCGTCTAGAGAAGAAACGAAACACTAAAGCACTCGTAGAGAACGAACGACACACCCTGTGAGGCGGCGGAACGAGGCCTGCCAACGTCACCCCGCGTCTCCCTACAGTACAAGAACTGCCCGTGAGTAAATATCACGATTCCTCGCTGAAGAAGCACCCTTACAATCAGACCACGAAAAGAAGAAATCGAAACCACGCTTAGAACAAGCAAGGGACGATGAGTGGATTTCTATATTGACACTACGAACAAGCTAACGTAGCCTGGCCCCTTCCTCTTCAAGATTATCACAGTCCCCAGACCCTCTAGCAGGAACACCTCTATCAGTCAGCGACATACCACCGTAATCAAAGATACAAGCAGGTCGAGAGAAACTAGAACAGGAAAAAAGGAGGCGTCGAACCACTTCGTTACTGAAGTCCTTACGAGACTTACAGAGAGAAGCTTTCCCAGAGTAAGCCCGCGCCCTAAGCGAGGACTCCATCGCCCGCTCTATTGCTAGCCTAAACATCCCCGACTCAGGCATCGGACGTATACCCACACCAATAAATCCGTGGACTAACCGGGCAGCTTTCATTCTTTGTGACGAACTTCGATTGACAAGGCCCAGATGCTCGTTCTCATGGCAAGCTCCAAGAATATAACAAACGTAAAGCCACCCAAGTACGTGACGATTTGACACTTGAATTTGAGTACAGAACTTGGCACCTCAATAGAAGAAATAATATGTACCATTGTATGTCTGGAAATTTTTATAGTAAATACAACAAATGCAGAATTATGAACCAAAAGACTATGTCCACCCAGTCATAAAAGAATATACATCATAAGCACCATTTCATCGTTTTCGTAACCATCCCCCACGTTCCTTCAATTATCTGATCATCAATTTTCCACCTGGTGTGCACAGAAAACCGGACTTTTCGACAACCCTTAACCAAATAAACTCCGAAGCTTGAATCCCCTGGACTCCCTCTTTGACTCCCCACCCAACGAATTCCACGACTCCGTACGCGCCCTCATCTCATCGCGCGGCGAATGTGGCGGTGGCTGAATAGTCTGCTGCGTTGTTGGTCTATCACTATCAACACTCAGCCTCGAGAACGAGACATCGGGTTCTCCTTTCATAGCTCTTTCAACGCCTTGGTACTGGCGGCGGTAATCGTCGTGCTTGGTCTTGGCGCCCATGTACTGTTTCTCGGCTTCTCGTCGGCGCTCTTGGAGGGCGGCCATTTCGGCGTCGAGTTGATCCATCTGTTTAGCTGGTTAGAATGCTATATATCAAGAAGTGAAAGGGAATCATGAATGTCTGATCTAGCTCGAGAATTTCCGAAATCCTCTAGTTAACAGAATATCTTGGCGTCTAATTGGAAGAAATAAAACAACGACTTACCAAGTTCTGTGCTTCACTCATTTGGCTATTGTACTCTTGAATCTTGCCATGCAGGGGCTGCAAGACGCTTGACATGACACTTGGACTGTTCAGGCGAGGGATTGCATTCCCTAGTGCCTGATTGCCTTCCTTTCCACGAGAGAATCTCCGCTCAGCATCCGATGACTTTGTTGGACTATGCTGGGAAGGAAGAGGATCGGCTCTACTTCTGGTGTTTGGCAGGGACTGCTTATATGCTGCTGGATTGGATTGAGAAGGTCCCAATACTTCACCCCTACCGGACTGTGGTGGAGAGGGCCGGGTGGGAGACTGGTCATCCTTATCGGTTCGTCTGTAGCCGCGACGTCTAGCTTGTTGCTGTTGTTGTTGCTGCTGCTGCTGCTGCTGCTGCTGCTGCACCTGTTCTTGACGTCTCCGGACAGCCTCATTCGTCTTGTTCAGAAGCTCATCATGAGGACCTGAGTAAGACGGAGGTCGCTGCCTGTCTGCAACGACGCCTCGCCGCGATGCCGTGTTATTGGCCACTGGTGGTCCGGGCTCATTCGGCACCATGTGTTGCTGCTTCTGAGTCAGAAACCTGCACAAAAGAAGTTTTGGAGTGACTTACTTGATTCTGAGGAATCTGAGAAGTATTCTCTCTCGTTGGTGAGCGTTGAGCAGGAGGTTGTTCCTCTTGATCGTAAACATCAGCATAGAAGTGTGAGCTCCCCCGCCTACGCTCTTCGGCCTCTCGAGGCATCGTTCTGTTCAGAGATGTCTGCATCTTAGTTGATCTCAGCCAAAAATCAGTAGAAGCAACAATGTGAATGAATGAGGAAGGAATGTAAATCCTGTTGCAGGGGTTGATAAAGGGTGAGGGAAAGGTGAGTGCTGCCCCCACCACCTGTTTACTATTCCAGGTGGCGGGCGACCCGACCCGCATAAAGTTTCCGGCTAAGCGAGACTAGCTTCCCGAGACATCAACAAAGAGGCTGGGTTCGACGCAGAATTTAGTACTGTTCATGTGAGTAAATGTGCTTTATTTGGTTTGCTTTCACTGCATCGTGGCATTTCCTTGAGGTATCGCCACGTGTCGTGATGCTGCATACGCGTCCACCTACGTGTGTGCCCAAACCCTGGACATTGCGTTTCGCACCAAGTCAAGTAATTTCTTAGGATTTATTGACAGCAGCTCGCTTTGTCTCCTGATATCGTTCTGACCTATTTGGTTAATTCAAAAGAGCTGCTTCTCACCCTCAAAACGTGTCTCTGGACGGTCGTACTCCCTCTAATTCTAATTCACAGCTCACGACAGCACAGATTTCCTATTTATCCAGATGTATCTGGAGATCATCGATTTAATTGCCCATTCGGAATAGCTCAATTACGTACGGGGTCAATGGCAAGCCCCTACATCTAACAAGGTCACTCAGAGTACTAGACACAGAAACGAGTGCTACTTCACGGATCAACAGTTCATGACACCCAGCCACCAAACCCCTGAAAGGTGGGAGATCCACGATAACGATGCAGATCCCGATAAGGAATTTACCCCTCGTTTCCCTTCAATCAAACAAACATCAATGCCATCATCACTTCCCGCCTACAATGTAATCATTCAAACTTCTTTAATATAGAAAAATACTCATCTGGATCTTGAGTTCTCCTTTTCCACAAAACCCCTCCGGCAAGCATGTCCACCGAAACCCTAACATTCGGTCCCCCAAACGATACCTGGACATACGACCACCCCACCAAAACATGGGATCTCTCTAATTCCTCCAAACGGAACCTCACATTTTCTACGACAGAAGGCTTATCAGATACATCTGTGACTATTAATCCAGAGAGAACTGCACTCGTGGTGGTTGATATGCAGAATTTCTTTCTTGATGCAAGTTGTATGGAACACCCGAATGGATTGAAGGCTGTGGAGCCCACGGCTAGGGTGGTGGAGTGGTGTAGAGTCGTGGGTGTACAGGTGAGTTATAACTGGAGTTCTTATTTTATATTTACACGTTGAGGAAAATAAATCTGATATTGTCTATATTTGGTCTAAGTCCGGGCGGTTTATGTATTATGTGCATCTTCATACCAAGCTAATTCTCTCAAAATGACCAATAACATCTTTCTACATGTATATTGCCTCTTCGTCCTGATAAACGCTTACACACTACTACCCAGGTAATCTGGCTCAACTGGGGCCTCACCGACACCGACATGTGCACCATGCCCGCCAGCATCCTCCGCAGCTTCGCCCGGAACCTCATCGTCCCTCCTCCATCCCCTACCTCACCAACGCCGTACATCGGCCTCGGCAGCCCTCTCTCTCCCCCCTCCAAAGGCCGCACCCTCTTCGCCTCCACCTGGAACGCATCCATCTTCCCCTCTCTAGCAAAACACATCTCCCCAAGCGACATCCACGTCCCGAAAAACCGTATGAGCGGTCTCTGGAACGAGGAGCAGCCGTTGTATAAGACGTTGGTGGAGAAGGGGGTGAAGACGATACTGTTTGCCGGTGTGAATACGGATCAGTGTGTGTTGGGGACGTTGGTCGATGCGTATAATAACGGGTGGGCGTGTGTGTTGGTGGATGATTGTTGTGGGACGACGACGAGGTGGGGGAGGGAGGCGAGTTTGTGGAATGTGGCTGTGAGTTTGGTTTTTATCTTTTTCTTGTATTTTTTTCTTTGGTGCATTCTTTTTACTTGGGTAAGAATTGTCTGGGGTCTTCACCTGATCTTCACAATCTTTTTGTGAATCAATGCCCAATTACTTACTCGATTTCCTTTCCTGCATATTATTTCTTTGCATATATATCGAATCAAGTCGTAGATCTAGTACGCTGCGAGCTCCTCGAGGAGAATTAGTGATTCTCGCAGAAGTAAGCGAAGCAAAGCGATCAGTCACTGCAGGCAGTTCCTTCCAATGTTTACACAGCAGTGCGGAAACAGGTATCTGAATTGCATCTAGCGTTCACTTTGGCATGTGCTTACTGACCCACTAACAACAAACAGTCAGCGTACGGATTTGTTACTCGAAGCGACGAGCTGCTTGCTGCGAAGGTGGGGTAAGTGCAAGATATCAATAACTGTATCATTCAAGAAGGTAGGAAATCAAGATACGGATGAGATGCAGGTAGACTAAGAGACTAAGATAGTCGATACGGATAACCTACTCCGGATACGAGACCAAGCCGTGATATGATGCCATGTGATGAGGAGTGGTGCACAATCCCATCCTATCGGAGACGTTCCTGGGAATGAGGAGAAAAAGGAAATGTTGGAGCGGAATATTTTAGAAGAATTTGTTCTTGATTTCTTATCTTGTTCGTACGGTATGGTATGTGGGTAATGCGTGGGTCTGTCTCGTCCCAATTGAAGGCTAACGAAGTAACCTTCACGGGCTCCCCCATCGCCTCCCTTGCCGCATTCTCTTCTCTTGCAGAATGCTCCACCCATCTGCAGATTCTCCACTTGCTTCCTGACTGCTTCTGTAGTTATCTAACCCACCCTTAGAGGAATGCACGCTCTTATCCAAAATCCAAATCCAGAAACCCTGCCAGAATCCGTCCCTTATGCCTCAGTCGGCCTGTATCCTGTGCCCTCCCGAGTATGAACGCCGCCGATAACCATAATGAAAAATCTACTCCATTCCCAATGCTTAAAAAATGTACTGCGCCGCCTTTTGCAATTGTAGTGTTGTAACGCCTTTTCCCGCTGTTTATATGCATGCATGTGTGAAATCCGATGCCTGATGTGCTGGCAAGCCTTATGCTCCTTGGATGTTGACGTCTCCTTTGCACACTCCGTAACTGCAGCATGCACTGGGATCAAGTTGGCCCATGAGGACTAGGTCTCTTATTCTCTGTTCAAAGTGTCAGTTTTATCAATCTTGAAGCGGAAGTTTCTGAAATCGGAACGTACGTCTGTGCAAGGCACCGGAGTTGCTGCCACCATCGAGGACATTCCCAGCAGCGCAACAGCGAGAGTGACGATTTGCTTCGTGAAGAGCATTGTGTATGATTTTTGTTGGCTCGAGTGAAAGTGCAGATGCAACTCAAATTGAGTTTGTCGCAGACCAGACAGAGGATGCGATGACAGGAGGCTGATGTATAGTACTGATAGATAGAGCGTACCGGAGCGAGGAGGGACGATTACGTTGACGTCTCGGATGTGATACAATAATTGCTTTGTTTGATGTTCTCCCCGATCGATGATCTCTATTTCTGTTGATGCAAGCAAGTACCGTAAGGATATATGAATGTAAGAGAGTGTTTCTTTTTTCGTTCCTTCTTTGACAAGCGAATGGGTATCTGTTGACAAGGGAACGAGAGAGGAATGGAGAAATAGATATAGACTGCAAAGATCTGTACCAAGGGAAAAGGGAGGGGTGGGTGAAACTAGTTATATCCCCTCACCACATGCCTCACCTTACTTTACCTACCTGTACGGTCATGTCTCGGTGCTAGACCAGACATGCACGCAAGCAGACGGACTCACGACCCTTCCCAGCCCCCCGTATCGCAGCCCCGCTGCAAACGAGTGTGGGCCGAATACCAACCATGGCAAAACTATGCCGCTTGCGTCGTCCGTACTGTTGATGAAGTAATCACCAAGACATTCCCTGTCTGGTCGTCTTGTCTTGTCGTCAGGCTACTGCTTCGTATTGACAGGTTCCGGTGATGGGAGAAATGCGGGAGAAGGCATCGGTGTTTGATGGTCGGGAGATCCTGGACCGCTCAGCTTAGCCGCACGCTTACGAAGTCCAACCGAGCAACCATTCCGTGCATGTGGTTGGTGCACGCCACAGAAGCGGGGAGTGTTCTCATTGGCGAGATCTAAGAATAAATTTGAGTGGCTGTCGGTGGCTGTGCGGATACGTTTTGTTAAAGGGTCCTGATGGTCCTGCTCATGGCTTGAAGATGACAATAGATCGCAACGGCTTGGCCGATGGGCAACGTTACTGTACGTAACATTTGAGTTTCATGGAGGCGAACATAAGACAAGCACTCGCCGTTGACATTCAGTGATGCCGTTGACTCACCGTACTGTAAATTTACGAGAACTTTCTGGAATGATTGGCTGTGGGTGGCTGCTCTCATACTGCCATTATCAAAGCCATGCAGGATGGCTGTTCGTCTGTCAGCACACCATATCCCATGCCTCGCGATGAACGATCAACACCCATTACCCGGATCAAGCAATTGTTCCTTCTATCCCTCAATCAATTCGCGGTGAAGCCCTGTCCTTTCATTCATGCTCGGTCGCTTGATCTTCTTGTTCTCAGCTCGCTTCATCAATTACCCTTGCTTGAAACCAATATTCACTATTGGATATCATAGCATACAGCGTCCCCTGACGATCTGTCAATGGGAAGAAACAAGCCTTGGACTTCATTGGATGGCATATCATCTTCTGAGGCTCTGTTCAGACGATCTGCCGGCAATCTGATGCCCTGCGTGGCATGATCACCGGGTATTTAGAGTTCGTTTCGGATTTGTTTGGCGCACTTGCTTCCCGGTCGATCTGTTCATTCTTTTCTATAGATGGGATGCATCATGCAAGGCGTGGGGTTTACAGAGTGTCTTTATACCCCTTTCCGACCCCATTTTCTAGGGGTTGTCCTCGGACAGGTGTGCGAGCAGTGAGATGAACACCTTGACAATTGACCTCGCTTGCAATAATAGCACGTGACCTCCATGTGAGCAGAGCTGGTTGCTTTCTTCCTGGTCTTGAGACTATGCTTGGATTCTCGATTATCCTTCATCCACTTTACTCATGCTTTTGCATGCACATTTGGGAAGCAGATATCGAAGATGACGAAAGACAACTTCAATAATGTAAGCAACTTCTCATGGTGAAGGTTTCATCAGCAAGAATGAAGATGGACTGTGGCTCTCATCTATCCAACGATCTGTGGCAGATATCTCTCAGTACCACCCAGTCGTTGCGCTGCGATTATCTGGTCCAGAGCAAAAAGCAATTTTTCCAAACTGTGGAGTTCTTCACTTCAATGGATCCTAAATTCCTCCGGCAAACGCCTACCCTCAGCAACCTCATCCATAGCTCTCCCCTCCATGTATCCATCAACATATGCCTCACCAACCAGAACCACATTTCCTTCATCCGCAATCCGACCCCCATTCCTTCTCAATACAACTGGAAAATCACATCCCACTAATACACAAACTCGATCTCCCTTTTTCGCATTCCCACTCACTAAAGAAAAGTTCCCGCATTCCGTAACACCAAACTTCCTCCCTCTCGCATGCCTCAGAAAACTCTGCTCCCATGCCTTCTCATTCGGCCCCGCAGCACGCATATCTTCTTCCCAATGTTGCATAATCGCCTTGGTATTTCCTCTCCGCAACCATTTAAGACACTGTTCACGGAATTGAGGTAGGTGGGGACTTTGCAAGGCACGATTGCAGCACAATGTTCGCCAGAACCCGTCGACCCATTCTTCGTCGCCAATACGTTCCAGTCGAGGACCGAAAGCGAGCTTTGCCCACGAGAAATATGTTTCGTAGGCGTGTAAGATGAGAAATGTGTGGTGACGACCTGGAACCATTGATTCCCAGGTTTCAACCTTCCCGATATCTGCACCGATGGCGGTTTCTGCAACTGTAGCCAGAGTATCGATTTGAACTCCTGAGGCGACGAGAACATCACCCTCGATTTGGATTGTCATACTCTTGTCGTAGGCACCACTGGCGAAGATGTTGCTTTGGCGAAGGCTGTGATGTATGCCTTGTAGAGCCATCATATCAGGCCAATAAGTCCAGTCCGGTATCCAGGATGGCAGTGATCGGTTTCCTGCCCATGGAGTACTCAAACATATCACCGTCAGAGGTCCGTATCCCTGACTGGCATACTTCCCACTCAACTTCACGCTTTCGATGAAGACTTGCTTCGTGTCCATCTCATAGTCAATCCTCGCACACAGACTCTCCGTCGTCTCCCCTTCAACCCCCGAGATACCCAGAATAGAAAACACCTTATCCCTCTCATCCGTACACTTATAGTACCGAAAGAAACTCAGATTAGCCCACAAACTACCATGTCTCCCCTCCGAATTCTTCATATTATTCAGATTCGCTGGCAGCAACCCATCACAAACATTCATAAACCTCGTCACCATCTCCGGCCGTCTATGTTTCGATAACGCAGCAGGATTCTCATACACGAGAAACATGAATTTGAGAACCTCCTCCCACTCAAGCTCGTCGGCACCACAGTACACTACCAGCTTCTTCGCCGTCACAATCTCCTGCACGATCCACATCCGCCGCCAATACTCCCTCCGCGTAAAATCAAACAGCGCTTTCCATACCGCATCATTAGAAGGCTCATTCATAAACCCCACCAACCAATTCTCTTCCGCCTGTCGACTCGGAAAATTCAACAGAGCTACCCGTCTGAGAAACTCAACGCAAGTCTTACTCGTGCCGTCAGCTGGCCCAAGCCAAACAACTACCCGAGATGCACGCTCATATATCTCGCGCATCATGCGGACCTGGGAGGTTTTCTCCAAGGTAGAGGATTGATCGATGCATAGTGCGTCGATCCAGACTATGCGTTCGCGGTCTGGGAGCCGCAGACGGTGGAGGGCGAGGGAGAGGCTGGGTGTTACGGGGAGGGTGAGGCCGTGGAGTTGGATGTGGGATTTGGGGGTTGGAGGACCCCAGGTGTAGGAGAGGGCTTCGTAGAGGGATGGGGGTGTGGTGAAGAGGGGAACGGGGTGGAGGGTTATGGAGAGGGGGGAGGATGGGGGGCCTGGGGAGATGTGCGCGAGGCGGATGGAGGGGGTGGTTGTTGGGAGGGGGGCGTATTGATAGGTGGGCTTTGAGGGTGTGGGGTTGGCGGGGATGTTGCTTTTGTCTTTTAAAGTCTTGAGAATATTCCAAGGCATGTTGACGAGCAACAGAAATGTTTGGGTGTTTTTTTCTTGTGAAGATATTGTCAAGTGACTTGTTGGAGTTGAAGTGTTGTTGTGGTGCGCCACCATGCAGCCGAACTCCCCTTGTCAGCTTGGCAGGCCGGGATGCAGCTGGCTCTTCAAGCAGCGATCTCTTACCAGATGAAATGTAATCTGTAGTTTCTGGACAAAGATTGCTTCCGTGTACTGTACAAGATCTAACAGGGAAACCACTACTGGCGGAATCAGCCTTGCTCCTGTTCATAATTGCAGCTGTGTTGCTCGAGGACATGCAAGTTCACTCAAATACCTGCAAAAATTAAGCGGAACAAGTTCAAGAAAGTCAAAGAATCCAATAGGGATGTAGACTTGACTTAGAACCAGCAGATTCGAATAGCTAGCAGCAGCTTGCCGAAAAGTCGGTTAAGAATACACATCAGCGCGCGATATACCAAGTGGAGTAATGACGATAATGTCAATGGCCGTTTGAACTAGGGGTTGCTTCTCTGGATTAGCATGCCAATACCTGTTTCCTTTTGTAGCTGGGCGGTAAGCTGCATCGCTGCATCAGGATGTGAAATGATTCCTACAATCCCGCTTCCGCTTCAAGAGAGTTGCATGTACGTGGCCAAATCTGCTCGCCGATTACGGTTGAGCGCATAATCTGTTTGTAGCTGAACGGAGAGCTGCTTTCTTGCTTTGTGAATGATGAGATGATTCGCAGAACGTTTCTCAAAGCACGGGAGAGGACAGACACGGGAAGGGAGATTTTCAGCTCCCTCAAGACGAAGGCGAGAACAGTGCTTTTCTCCGAGAGGAAGATGTTTATATTGCAACCTATATCCTCCTCTCAAATCCCCAGGGCACTGAAACAAAATCGATCCAACACAGAAAACGAACAGCCAAAAAGTCTTAGCTCCACGATACAACCAAATTTCGACAAAACCAACCAGCATCATGCCTGGTCAAATGAGCAAAGGCGATTCGTCGCGCATCCAGTTCTCACAGGTAAACAATTCCTGCTTGACAGCTATCAGTTCCTCCCGTGCTTGGTCCCGCTGACCATCTCCAGGCCAAGAGCGGTGGAGACATGTCATCCTCTGGATTCGCGGCACGCGCTCAGAGCGCTGCTGATCGATCGGGCAACTTTGGTGGAGGTGCATCTGGAAACAGCAATTCGGGCGGTGGACGAGGTTCTGGAAATGGAAGTAGTGGTGCTGGTAACAACAGCAGTGGCCAGACAGGTGGTAACAAGAAGTAAAGATTTGATGCGAGATTCGGAGGAGAGATATTATGGGAGGTTCCAATGGAATCGTGGGTTCATTGACTTGGCGAGCAAGGACTGAATGTTGAACACTCATTTCGAACGTCAAAATGCTGAGAATTGAACACTTGTTCTTCTCCAAACTCATCTTCATGGTTTTCCATTCTTCGTGATACTTCCGAAAATTAATGCAATGGAAAAGACTTCATTCCTAGCCGCAATTTATTTTTTGAAAACCATGCACATGTCATGCCCCCCCTCACAGCTTCTCCCTCCCTGTCCCTCTGCCATGCATTCAAGCAAGAGCAATACACTCAATCTCCACTGGCACACCCTTTGGCAGCTGGTAAACAGCCACACAGCTTCTTGCCGGCTTGTGTGTGAAGAACTTCTCGTATGTGGCATTCATCTCAGCAAAGTTGTCCATGCTAGTCAAGAAGACATTGACCTTGACGACCTCCGATATATCTGAGCCGGCCTCCTTGAGAACTGCAGAAAGGTTCTTGATGCAGAGCTCGGTCATCTGGGAGATGGATGAGGAATCGAGAGTGAGGATTGTGCCGGCGCTGTCGCAGGGGATTTGGCCAGAGCAGTAGATTGTGGATGGTGTTGCAATTGCTTGGGACTGAAGTTTTTCAGACGATGTATAAAGTAATTTCAGAACCTAGGGGTCAATCTTGAGGGAGACGTACATATGGTCCTGCTGCTATGGAGGGGTCAGTGTACTTTCTGTTGGAAGGTGGGGTAAAGCGTACGGAAAGCAGCATCCTTAGTGTAAACAACCTTGAAATCTGCCATTTTGAAAGATCGGATTGGTTTCTTGAAATTAATTTTGGTCAACGCAGGAGACGACGAATTGAAGTGATCTGGAAATTTGTTGATGTTGCGAAGTTTAGCTTCGACGAGAGGGCGCACAGAAGGTGGGGTTATTTGTTTGGCGGGGTTGATGACTAAGCGGGGATGACTTTAACGAACCCATCTTCAACGACATCTCATCAACTGGACCTGCCAGATCTCCACCACAATGACACGTACGAGGATGCCAAAGCCTGTTGCTACGTCTCCGTGGAAAATCATGGCATAATGCCCGGTCGGAAGATGTTTTTCGGCCTCGAGAACCTCTAGGAACAACAATTACTACCACTCAGTGCTAAAGGTAGGCGAGATCTGCCTAGCAGCACCACGCAGGACCCCGAAAACCTACACCTCTCACCATCACGCACTCGTGGATCGATAGATATTTCCATTCCTAAATTTAGCGAAGTATCATTACAATCTCCATCGTTATATCATTTTCAATCAGACACATCATAAGTCTGAAGCAGGAGGTCCTACCCCCACATCCTTCTTGGAGCTACCCGGCCCTTCCGTTCAGCATCAAGCCCGAAGCACGCCAAAAGATACCAAAACGCCGCATTACTCGGTATACATTGCTCAAATGCATTCCTATCACCGAAACCAATCTAGTCTTCGTCATTACAGTTTTGCATCATTCACTCTACCACACAGAATCACGCTTCGTGTTTCATGTGGGCTTCTGCAGCTTGCACTGTTTTGGTCAGCATGGGAAGTCATCATCGCAGTGGGATCGCCATACACTGAGCATCCATTTTGGCCAGCGAATTCATTCCCGCAGAGACATGAAATCTCCCATACACATTTACGTCGCAATCACAGAACATTTCACCTCCAATATCCATTAGATCCGGAGTTGGAATTCGCGACGGCCTGGGAGCTGATGGCGGTCTCTGGCTTTGCCTTGACGGAGCATCCGGAACCTTTGGAGGGACATGGGATGTACTCTTCCCACGTGGAGCCTTGTCTCTCTTTGCAGCAGAGTTGGCTGATCTCCTGGCCGAAATCCAGTTTGTCGATTTGCTTGTCATCTCGGAATCTCCAGCTGCAATGCGGGGCAGTGATGCTCGAGCCCGAGTTTGAGTTAGGGGGTAGAAGGTCCATGGTGGCTGAGCAGAGTACTGGATCTCAGTGTCCTGATAATGCCTTCTGGTCTCTTGAGGACAAAAGTCGGTTTCGAACGACCATGCAGTAGGTTCCTGTATTTTTCTTGAATCGTTTGGTGCTGTCACGCCTCCTGAAGACCATGACAAGGGAAATGTCTCGGTCTTTGGTGGAAATGCTGCAATGGCTTTTGATGATGCTCTTTTTTGTCTGGATCTCATCTTGTATTCGTTATCTACTGCTGTTAAATCGAATCGTACTCTCTTTTTGTGATTGTCTGGATGATCTTCTACCAGATATCGCTGGTCAAGCGACGAATCACTGAGTCTTGCACTCAATGAGACAGCCGCCTGCATTGTTGCTGGTGGGTGTTGTGTTTGGGTATTATGGATGGCTGAATTATCACTGAGCGAAGGGATGTGGTGATAGCGTCACTAGACCTGTGAGGCTGTGACGTTCAGAGTCCAAAACCCCGTCAGTGAGAGCCGATGGATTTCTTGGCTAATATTGATTCTCAGAGTTGATGAAGCAATAGTGGTTGATGGATGGAATTGATGAAGTCTTCATCAGTGACGGGGGGTGGATGAAGGTTGATGACAAGTGGTTGCCTTGGCGAGCATGCTTCACCGAGTGAAGCGATGAGATGTGATCGAGGGTACCAGATATAGCTCACGTGTGGAAGTCCTCACAGGGGGCCGACGGGCCTAAAATAAATCGGGATGAGTTCGATGATGGTTGGGATGATGATGTCGATGAGGCTTGGGTATCGAAAGGAGTGTGGAAGAAAGATGGTGGGTTTGGGGGGGAGTGCCAGCTTTTATGGTGTGGGATTCCTGACTCCCGACTCCCGCCAATCAGAAGCGAGCACCCTTCAGCGGCACTGCATATCTCCTCCCTCCTCAACCGGTTTAGCGACATGCCATCACATCTACCAGGCAAGTGAGCCAACTTTCCGAAATAAACATCAACAGAATAGATATTACATCTTCGCCTGCTTTTTCTAGTCATTTGAAGAGCTCTCAGTCTCCCTTTCGGTGGTCCGTGCATTCCCGAAGATCTGATATAAGGGTGACGGACTCGTTCTATGCCAGCATTGGAAGAGGCGGTCTATAGGCATGGTACAGTACATTCTTCTTCCCGAAATCATCCTTTGCAAGGACATTTCTCTTCGACCTTTGGTCACCAGTCTCTTGATTTATGCCATGGGTCACGAAACAGCACTCATCTCTCTCGCAAGTGTTGAGTTCCAGTCCCCATTCAGAGCATTATTAGAAGACACAACACGGAATACCTTCGAAATATGTGCTCCATCCCTATATTTTATTGGCAAGCCGCAATTAGGGTGTCATTGGTCTTCAGCCCTTTTCTGTTTGATTTATTCATTCCCTGAACTGCTACACAAAGGCAATCGAAAGGGTATCTTCACTGCAGTAGGAATTGTGTGCCACAGAAGATTCAAATGTGATATCGAGAAGCTGGAGCGCCGGAGAGCGGATGCCATAGTAGATATGCAGTGCTGTTCTTTCTGAAGAGGCGGTGCAGATGCTGCATCAACAAAGCCATTCACGTGATCATGTGCTCTCGGCACATGGAGTCATCCAACTCCCGATCCATTCCTCCACGGTACGACCTTCCAACCAAACCGTCGTTTACGAATCACATCATTTTTATTTCAGCAATGGTGTTACACTCCCACCAGAGGCATTGTCATCTTGATACGTCTTTCCATCGTCAGTACTGAACCCGACTTCTACCAAAGTCTCCCGATCCTGCTCATTTCCAGCCTTTATGGTCAATCCCAATTGAGCCATAACTCTCCTCGCAGCCTCAAATCCTCCATCAAAGTATACGGCTCCGATAATGGCTTGCATGGCCCTCTCGATTGTTCTCGTTGCATCCTCCGTTCTTACATCATCTACCAGTAGTCGGAATGGATTCCTCGTCTTGCCTTCCTGCTTTGGCATCTTGTTCCGTACCCAGCTCTCGATCTTGGTATTCTTGCCTACTTTGAAGAGGTTGCTTCTACCGATCATGTCGTTGACGATACGCTTCTGGCTATCTACTTGCATATCAGCCGAGCCTCCGCCACCTTGCCCTCTTTTCCAGACGGAGGAGAAGTATATGCAGAGGAAAAAAACTTACTTATCCTAAAAGTATAGCACTGATCCAAAATAACCAGCTTCAGTACCTTCTTCCCAACTTGCGCAAGGTGTTTATTTCCCTCCTCGCACTGTCTATACGTCTTTCCCACACAGGTTATCCCTGACCCAGGACTTTCAAGCGCCTCTTCGAGCAGATCACCATTTTGAAAGGTATAGCGCAGGATTCTCTCGATATTGGCTTGGAAATGTCCACCAGAGCCAGGAGTGCAGTGCGTTAGGATACCTCGACGAAGCTTGAGGTCGGTTCTTATCCCTCCAGAGGCATGAGGCGACCAATACTGTTCTGGGACCAGAGTCTGAGAACCGTGAAGTGAGAAATTCGTTGTTGCCTTGGAAGCGATAGATTCTGGTCTGGAAGCTGGGAAGGTGCTGGCGTGTCGCGGAATTTTCGCCTGGTTAGTGAACGTCGCGTAGTTGATACTCTGAAGGTTAGAATTTCCTCCCGCAATGCTAGGCGGCGGTATACTTGTGTTAGTGGTGTGCTGAGGGGTATATGCCATCTGCGGGATGTTAAAAGAGGGGGTATCGCGGATAGTTGTGCTGGGTTTGGTGTCTTCGGTGTGGGCTGGGATAGTTCTTTCGGTGTCCCAGCTGTTAGCACTTACGGCGAAAAGGGTGGAGCGTGTTGGGGAAGACGAGCAGTTCATTACGAAATGTTCCTGTCTTGTTCAAGTGTAACTTCTGGGTCTTGATGGAAAGGAGAAGACTTGTGTGAGAGTTGTATGGGCCTGGGTTTTATGGATATCAGAGTATGAGGCCATGATTCAACTAATAGACTACGAACAGCTTGTCCGGAGAGTTTAGGGAAGTCATAGCATTTTTTAGAGGGAAATAAAAGCACTGGTGTGAATAGGTACGGTCGAATTGCCTGCGAAAACAGTTTCTGTTCTTATCCCGGTAGTCTGGTGGGAAGTGGTAGGCTGAATAACAATCAGAAAGACTATTGAATGAGCAGTCACAGCTGCTCAGCAGATGAACACATCCGGACAATCAGGACTCAAGCCCATCAGCGTCCTTTGAGATGAGCAAGAGAGCAGCACCGTGCCAGACGGGAATGATTCATGTGACCAGCATTGAACCAAGCAAGGAAACCCGAGCAAGGCATGACCGGAAGTCAGGACCAGGTATTTTTTTATATATTTGTTTATTTCTTCTCATGTTTGACCTCAGTTTTTTAGCGCCTTTTTCCTTTTGTTTACACAGGAAAGTCAACAAACATCGACTGATGTCAGAAAGCGCTAAATAGTCCTTGTCAATGTCTTTTTCCATTTTGTTTCACCGTCATCCTTTGACTTCCGCTATTCTACTTGAGATATCGCTTGAAACTCTGCAGTCTCGTGAATTCTATAACGGGCTGTCAGAATCTGCGACTTCATCACCGCCACGACCTCGCTTAGAAACAGCGACATTGACGTCTCGCAAAAACATACTCCGCATGACCATCAACCTCTTTGAAACAAGTAACAAAACAGAATCCACACCATCTACATACACTATCTGCACCTTACCAAACTCACAAACCATAACACAACATCACCATGGATTCCTCTGCTAGCACATATCCTGTCCCTCTCACTGCAGCCGAGGAGGCTGAGATCGCAGAATGCGAACGCATCGTGGCTTTCGCGGAGCAGGTCATGACAGGGACACATCCCCGTATCAAGATCCCATCCCGTCTCGTAAGTCTCCTTGAAACCGATAGAAATGACCTACAGCGCTTCATTGTACGAAGAGCATTTTCAGCATTGTGGATACTAACGAAATACAGCTCGAAGCCCAGCAGGCCAGCAACACCACACCTCCCAACCCAGCTGCCCCTGCTCTCCCAAACCCTGTCATCGATTTCCGCCGCGACTACTACCGTGATCTCGGTCTTCAGGAGCATGTGAAGCAAGACTCGATCATCCGCGCCTACCAGGGAAGATGCAAGTAATTCTTTTTGGTCCATTGATATCGTATCAAGCTGATTCGCTCATCAGTAGCCGGCTGTAGCCCGGATTTCAAGCTGGGCCGATCCAAACACGAATCCGGTAACTTGACCACCATTCGGAAGGCTGAGAAGATCTACCAAAAGGTCAACGAGGCCTATGAGATCCTGGCCGACCCCGAGCTCCGAAAGAAATACGATGAAAGACGCATTCGCGCTCGTAGCCCTCCCAATGAAAGCAAAATTGTTCGCTCCGCTTACCGTCGTGGAGGTCGCAAACGTGGACGTGGTGGAGGCGTTGGAAATCGTGGATAAATTGAGACGACTTTGGGCGGAATGTTGCTTCGGGATTGGTGTACGATTGCGTTTGAGGCGTGGCCGCCGAAGGCGCCTTACAGTATGTTCTTCCTTTGTTGCATACGTCTGCTCCTTATCTAGTCTCCCCAGTCCTCCCTGTAGAGTAATTCTTGCTGACCCCCTGACTAGGACTCCACGACCACTTCCTCGCCTTCTGGGGAAGACCCATCGGCGAACTCTGGAACTTGGAAGGTCTAGCTGAAGCTTGTAAGCGCGAGAACAAATACAGTTTCATGCTGACAAGCGCTCCGCTAAACTTCCAAGGCGGAATTGCGAGTCCTCCAAATGCCATTGCTATTTTGTAAATACTAGGTATATGTCGTCGGAGAAGGGAGGAAGTAGGAAAGCCGAATATTACGTGTGTAACGGATGTTTTGATAGCCAGAAATGTTGAATAACTTTTCTAAATCATCACTTACCAATTGGGATGTAAGTAGCAGGATTTTCAAGCTTGTTTTCTGTCCAAGGGTGGTGGCAGACGAGAAAAAACATTATGGCAAAGTTAAGAAAGCTGGCCATGAGTCCATGACAACCCCATCGGTTACTTTCCGAGTCTGACAAATGGCTATAAAACCGACGTTGAATGCTGTTGAAACCCACAATCGAAAGATGTGGGCTTTGAATTAAAAGAAGACAACTTTAAGCACAGAAACACACCTGATATCACACTTTACATTCGCCACGGGAGAGGTTCACTTACCCATACATTAGGACAAATACTAGGATACTGTCGCACCGGTGACTTTCATGTAGAAGATTTGAGAGAAGATGTTTGTTTATTCTAATCATCAAGCACATACCTAGGCTATTACCTAGCTACTTGCACGTAGTTCCTTTCGGCCGTTATTCTGCCTGTGCAGCGCCGGATATGACACACGGTCTTCCATTTCGCCTCGTCCGATCCAACCCCACGCATAGAATCATGCTCAGTCACGCCTATAGAAAGTCCAGATCCAACGCCATAAACCGCTTGCCCAGAAGTACAAACGCCACGCAATGCAACGTAAAGGAACCCAACCGTCTCGGTACATGCACACATAAAGCCCTCGCTTATTCATGGGAGGGACTTGAGAGAGGAGAAGAACGGCCAGAGACCAATCAGAGGGCCTCTAACAAATTACTCTACAGCACCACCTGCCTAGCATCCCGCATCAAGCTCTCATTCGGACAATACGGACACTTGAAGCGACTGCCCTTACTCAGCCTCTGCAGACTCTCCTTCGCCACCACATGACCACAGGGCATCATCATTGGCGGGTTACTCTCCGTTGTCTGCTCTTTCGACACAGGACACACGAAAATAGCGTGGAAGATCATGCTTCTCGGCAGTGCGATCTCGACGGGTAATTCATCTTGTGTTGTCCATTCCGTACGTTTCTCCTTGACGATCGAGGCGAGCTTGAGAAGGGTGGGGAGGGCAATGGCGCCAGCTGTGCAAGCTATGTAAAGTGGTGACGAGGGAGATAAGCCGAGTATGGTGCAGAATTCTCGGGTGAAGGACTGGGAGACGTCGGACCAAGCAGTTTCAATGTTGAAAAGTTGCCAGTAGGGACTTGAACGTAGGTTGGTCTTGTATAGGATTGCTGCAAGCAGCTGTTGACAGTCCTTCGTGAAGCGTATTTGATGTTTGGGAAAGGTCTCTTGGGCGTATTTAATTGCACCATTCAGACCGTTATTCTCGTCATCCGGCAGACCATTTATCGCCGGTCCCTGGAATAACCATATGTATTGCAATTTGCAGAGTTCGAACTCCAAACTGCTGCCTCTGTTCTCCAGCTCTGCGCTATTCTGCCGTGCCCATTCTATGGCGGGGTGGAGGTTCTGGTTCTTGATTTCGTGGAGGATTTGGTACATATTGGAGAATGTCTCCTGCAGTTCCTGGGATTTGAGAGATGCAAGGTCGTTGAAGTCGTTGCTTGCGGGATTAGGGGTCCCGGGAGTTGCGTGAGGTTGTGGAGGGTTGTCGAGGGCTTCGGAAAGAAAAGTAGATGCAACGTCAAATTGTCCTTCTCGTAGGAGGTGCATGGCTATAGCTCGATTTATTAAAGAGGGATGTGATGCTAGAGCATCGTATTCAGTGGGTAGAGCTTTCACTGGGAAGTACTGTACAGCATCAGCGGAGGACTGTCAAGCTACTTTGAGTCCATACCTTGTCCAGAGCCTTTCCAAAGCTATTTTGTCCCTTGTGAATTTTCTTGAGGTCTTCGTTGACTTTCCAGAAGCCTTGCTGGACAGGGTTTTGTAGTTTGGCCAGTGTTATGGACGCAGAATCCGGTTCTTGAGCAGCATCAGCACATGCTCGGAAAGAAGTATTGCCATTCACACTCTTCCTACCTGCAATTATGGTCTCTCGAGCTTTCTCCAGCTGCTCAATAATCTTGTCCACATCATCCATGCTCTGCTTGAGGTTGGCATCTCTCCGCAGCTTCGCCAGCTCTATCTGTAGGTGATCCATGGTCATTCAGCCACCCCGCCTTCGATTCTGATGTGATTCTCCTTGCAGCTTGTATTTTCTCCCGCCGCTATCTTCTTGTTCTTGAGGTCGAAAACATGTGTAGTCTCAGTTCGTCGTTATCTCAGAAGTATGAGCCGTCCAGGTTTTGGAAATCCGATGGGTATTTGGCAGAGTGTTGTTGTTGTCGTGAAGTTGGGAAGCGGTGGAACCAGAAGTCAGTCAACCAGGTCACTTAGTCGCTGGCCGAACCCCGGACGGCGCCTTGCATTAGTGAGTCGGGGACCCAATAGCAGCATCCGTCTCAGGGCCTGGGGCATACGGGCAGGGGCCATTAACAGTGCTAATAAATCACATGCAGTACGCCGCCATTTCTTGAGCTTGAAAGGGACAATGCAAGGAGGGCAATGGGTGAAAGGAACAGCCGGACACTCTTTCCTTTGTGGACTTGATCACAACTACTTGGTAATATATCCTCCACAATCCCGAGAAAACCATGAGTTGTCCCAAACATCCCTTCGCCTTGAATGCCGCGCTTTAGCCTTGACGACGTCACCCTCACCCCAAACACCCCCGTCGCCTTGAACGGAGCAGCCAAAGCTCGAAAAGAGCAGAGGATACCCCGAAGCAAACCATGGCAGCCAGGTTTACCTTTCCCAATGTGTACGATCCACAAATGCATCGAGAGGAGGTCCTCACTCTCTCGAGAACGACCTCCTTACAAACTACAAGAAATCTCGCAAATGGAACGACAGACTCTCCAATGACCAGACATGGCCCCCCCTCTGGCAGGAACCCCCCTCATACTCTGCAGCGGCGGAATATTGTGTTTCCAGATCCTGTAGCTTTCAGGTAGGAGATGTGACTCTACCATTGCTTCATGAAATTGACTGCGACAGATATCTCGAGGAAGATCCTCTTGCCGTGGTAATAGAGCGACGTGGGAAGATTGTTGGATACGAACTCTATCTTGTCGAACAATGGGCTTGCTCCAGGGTGCACCCGACCTTTGTGATAGCGACATATACCGGTGATCCAAATCATGTAGCTTGGGTAGGAGTACTGGGTGTGCCTGCAGATGAGGAAACATGGTCCCCTAGGATGCGTGTATACTTCACAGCTGTCGCCAAATTTCATGCTAGACCAAAAGACACACCAAAGGGAATGCTAATGGTTACGAATCTCAGCAGCTTCCCTTCTGCTCTTACCGTAATACCTGTCCCCGATGGAGATATCACGAAACACAGGGAGGACTTCATAGTGAATGAGAACCTGAAAAGGCTGGGATGTTCTGGACGGTCTGGAATGAGCTTAGCTACTCCAGCTGGAGCAACACAAGCCAAGTTTTTCCAACTGTACAAGACGAGTGATCGAATACCACTATATGGGGCTGTAATCGAATTGGTCAAGCTCTGCCAATTTGCCTTGACGATATTTGGGAAGCTGGAACAAGAGTATGCGGATGGGATCCTCTGCGATGTCACAGAAAAGGCTGTGAATGACTGGTGGACCGAGATCGGGTCTGAATACTACAACATCGAGCCTACGGACGGAATACTTGGACCAACAACCGTGGCAGCCATGCTGGGGATGCTGATAGGTGCTCGGAATCGCCTCAGCTGGTATGGTGCACCAGTTCCCAAGGATACCTTTGACTTCGTCCTCATGAAACGTGGAGTGGCTTATTTCCAGAAGTCACAGAAGATGGAGCGAAATAGGCGGTTGGACCGACACACGCTCGATCGCCTGCACAGAGTAACAGCAAAGGCTGCTGCAGGAGAAGGATGGGCAGTGCCAAAGGCTGTCAAGTCAACAGTTGCTGAGCTTAGTGGTAAAGGTGGGGAGATGGTAATGGGAATGGTTGGGAGAGACAAGCCTGGAATCGGAGATATAGAGACTCTGGATTATGATCGATTTGTTAGTCTTCTGCACGGAGAGAGGGCCAAATGGCTCTGGTATGGCAAGCCAAGGAGGAATGGTGGAACTGAGCAGTTTGGGAGACATGGAGATCATGATGTTGGTCACCTGAAATTTCAAAAAGACGATCATGGAGGCTATATTTGGTCACACAGCAAAGCGGAGTCAACACCGGCAGAAGAGGAGCCACGGAAGAAAGAGGAGCCACGTAAGAAAGAAGAGAGTCCTCAAGCTGTGTATAACAACAAACCACCAGGTTCAGTGACAAGTATGCTCGAAAGTCCAAACGAGAAGGATCCGCAGCTGCGGAAGACTGTTTTCAAAAGTGTGACGGGCAAGATGAGTGATGCCAGGTCTGGATTTGGCCGAATCAAAGATGCAGTTGGTCTTCGTGGCCACACCAGCAGACCTTCGAAGGACGAAGGCGTCGATGTAGGCTACTTTAATGCGAACAATAGCTCGAGTACATTTGGAATGGGGTCAACTGGTACCCCAATCAGTCCAGTCATGATTGGCAAGGCTTTTACCTGGAAAGACACACCCGCTCTGTATCAAAATGGCTCCCCGAAGCCCGAGATCTTGTCGTCTGGTGCTTTGCAACGAGAACCAGAAGCCATGATAGAGGAAGTTCGACCAGACGTTCCAATCGTGAATGTCCCAGAGGAAGACCAGAACGCCATGGAAGCCGAAGCAAAATGGGCTGAACAAGTCAGAGACATTCGCCGAGACGTGGTTTCAAATGACATCTCTGTGGCTGGATCTGTGTACGACGAGAAAGATCTCGAGCGTCCCTTGTTAGAAGCTCTGCGTGAACCAAATAACTTCCAGGTGCTTCTTCATCGCCGCCATAGCTTTTCGGGAGCATTTCCCATCACCCCAAAGCAACGAAATGACGCGTGGTGGCCTCGACAGATGTCCTTTACCGACGCCGAAGATGCCATCCTGGGTTGGGAACCTGTAGGTACCATTGCTGATGATGGCGAGGACGCCGATACTTGGGCGGCTCTACAAAGACAAGGTTTACTCTCTTCTGATTTCAAGAATCTCTTCGAGAAGATAATTGATCTGCAAGATGAGATTCGACCTTGGGTTGAGCAGAAGGTTCAAGGGATTGAAAAGCTTGATGAGCAAGCATCTACAGACCAGGAACAGTTTCAGACGCTTTACTACCAGCTGACTGAGCAGTACCAAGCTGTGAAACAGAGCTCTCAGGACGTACTTGGTGACGAACGATCTCATGTTATGGAAGCCATTAAGGATATCGAAGTCCTCGGAGCCAAGCTTGAATATGAAATCAACGCCTTGGTATCCAAAGTCCAAGACGTGGAAGATGGAGTACTACAGTTTGAAAGACAGGTCGATGATCTAGAAGGTCGAGCGAACGATCTGGAGAAGCAGTTGAGCACGGAGAGTTGGGCCCACTGGCTAGTCAGAAGCATCACAGGAATAGGAACTGGACCCAATATCACAGCACCTCGGCGGCGCCAGCAGCAGCAAAGCAACAAGTGAACAACAAGCAAGCAAAATTACAGGATATCGGAGCATTGGTAGCATATAGCGGGCGGCGTTAGGAATACCCTATGAGCATTTACATGGTAGCATGATAGCGTAGCGTGGCATGTGTGCGACCCGAATCGGTTTTGAGTGGATAATGAACGCCTTGTTTTCATACAACGTTCTATAATACATTTACCCTCCCATGGGCTTTTATCATAACATCCAATACCGTGCGATCCATATGGCCGTGAACCAAGTAATTCCCACTCTACCTTCCCACAGCAAAGAGTATGGCCAAGGTACGACATGATTCCCAACTTCCAACAATAATACAATAGAAGAAGCTCTGCCACCTCTTCTTCACAACCAATATCATCACAACGCAGTATATCTCTCCTCGTGCTCCCTCCCTCTCATATCTTCAATCTCCCCTTCTACATTCCACCGAACCCCATTCCACCACCACCTGCACCCTTCGCTGCCGCTTCCGCTTGCAACAACTCCGAGATCTTCATCTGCACATCGAAGAATTTCGAGGCGCAACGGTCAATGCAAACACCTTCACCCTTGTTGATCTCGCCCTCGCGGTACTCCTTGGGTATGCACTTCTTCATGCAGGCTTGTTGGAGTCTGGGAGATGAAGGTCAGATTTGATCAGGGAAGGTAAAGAGGAGCAACGAGTTAAAGGAATATAATTTGGCATATAGAGATAATTGATTGGACTCGGGAGTCCAGGAGATCTAGAATGAGGCGACTGGGATAGAGTAATAAGGGGATAGGACAACCGGGATAGAGGAACATACTTGTTGAACATATCAGTCACTAAATCCATCTCCTGCTCTGCGGCAGCAATCTTCTCCGCCGATGAAGGCTGTGGTCTACCGAGTCCGAACATTGACATGATTGCGGTTTGTGCTGAGTGCGGAGACTGGAGTGAAATGTAGAGTCGATTGTTGATTTGGGAGTTGCGGATTCGAGATTCGAGGGCGATGATGCAGGTGTTGTCTTTCCTTCTTGGGTCCAAAAACTGGAAGCTCGCATGCTGGCAGAGTGGAGACCACATGCGGGCGCTAGCGGACAGCTGGGACCATAAATTATTTCTGCAGGAGACTCGAGATCTTTCTCTCTACAACAGCTTGGAGCGAATGCTTCAAGCCGCGAACTTTTGCTGTAAGTTTGCGCTTTCTCTTCTTGTCAATCTGTTTGTGCGGAGGGATCAAATGATGATTTCAATATAACATTAGAACCGTTGCGACTGACACCTCCGGGTGGTTGATCTCACATCGATCCGTTGTCTGATAATATCCCTCAAAGCCACTACACTCTTGCCTGCAAAGCTTTGCTGGACAGTTTGCTAATGTGCGCGATGATACAGATGAGTTCTCTTACCGGTCTGAGGTTCTTGCGGCCATACTTGCAGCAGGATGTGCCTGTCGTGAGACACGCAGCATACCTACGATTCTTCTCGACGTCGCGATCATGTCTCGCAGCCACGAAGAAGAAAAGGAACCTGGAGGGGGTGGGACCCAAGGTTACGACCAAGAGTGATGTGCAAGGAAGACTGGATGAGCTGAGGGTTAATGAAAAGTTGGATTGGCCCAGATTAACAAGCAATCGACACGCTATGACTACATCAGACTTCATTGTGAAGTACCGCGATATGAAGCCCTGCGAGTTCAAAAACAGTGACTTTGTGATGTTACGAGGTATGACAGGAAGCAATTGATGTTCTCCCGGGGTGAGCGCTGGCGCTGATGGGTATGTAGGTCGTGTGCTGGCGTCCCGAATAGCTAGTTCGGCTCTCGTATTCCTGGATATAATGCAAGAGGGCACTCCCGTTCAAATAGTCGCCGATCTCTCTCGTGTTGATGCTATAGAGGGTGAGGGCAGAAAAGTTTTCAGAGCCTTCTACCATCTGGTTCGGAGAGGCGATATCATCTGTATGAAGTTCAATATCCCATCCCACCGTAGCCAACACTAATGCCTTGAAGCTGTGTACGGACATCCTTACGTTACCAAGCGAGGACAACTGTCTCTCAGCGCTGTAGAGATCCCCCAGATCGTGTCGCCTTCCTTAGCCAGTCATCCACTTACACTTGAGGACCGAGAAACCCGCATTCGAAACCGCCATGTAGACATGTTGGTCAACAAAAGTGTAGTGGAAACACTACGACTCCGCTCTCACATCATCCAAAACATGCGAGACTTCCTCCTCAAAGATAACTTCATGGAAGTACAGACACCTCTCATAGCAGACAAGGCCGGTGGAGCGATCGCCAAACCTTTCACGACTGTCGCTACAGAGTTCTCCGAGAAGCAATTAGCTCTACGTATTGCGCCTGAGATGTGGTTGAAGAGACTGATCATTGGAGGCATGGATAGAGTATTCGAGATTGGTCCTGCTTTCCGGAATGAGGGATTGGATGCTACTCATAACCCTGAGTTTACCACTTGCGAGTTCTACAGAGCTTTTACGGATCTGGAGGATTTGATGAAAATGACCGAAAGCATGCTGTCAAGTATAGCAACTCGTGTCGACGAACTCCGCAAAACAACACTTACCAATCTCCCCGCCGGGCCGCCCCTGGAAGACTACTTGCAGCCTTTCCAACGACTGGAGTTCATACCCACCATTGAAGCCGCTCTCGGATCTTCACTACCTGACCTCTCATCCCCCACCTCCGAAGCAGACCTAATAGCACTCTTTGAACAACACTCAATCCCCCTTCCAAAATCAACTACCCTCCCCCGCCTCCTGGACAAACTCTCCTCAATCTACATCGAACCTTCCTGTACGACCCCAACCTTCATCACCCACCACCCCTCCTGCATGGCCCCCCTCTCGAAATCCTTCCCCTGCCCCAAAACGAACCAGTCCATCTCCGCCCGCGCCGAGCTCTTCATCGCCCACCGCGAAATCGCAAACATGTACGAAGAAGAGAACTCGCCGCTCTCTCAGCGCGAGAAATTCACTCAGCAGCTCCAATGGAAAGACGACGAGAACCGCACCGGCGTCGACGAGAGTTACATCGAAGCCCTGGAGTACGGATTGCCGCCCACAGGAGGATGGGGCGCCGGCATCGACAGGATCGTGATGCTATTTGCGGGTGCGAGGAGAATAAGCGATGTGTTGGCTTTTGGGAGTTTGAGGAACGTGGTTAACCTGGGGAGTCAGAACAATGGTGGTGCTATAGGCCCTACTGATGTCACGGTTACGGCGTGGAGGAAAAGAAAGCAGGAGCTTGAGAAGGCGAGAAGGGCGAAGGTGAAGGCGGGGAATGTGGCGATGATAGAGAAGGACTTGGAGGTCATGTTGAGGAGAGCGAGGGAATTGGGGTTGGCAGCTGTGGTGCCTGGATTGGATGAGAAGATTGGGATGGAGGGAGATAATAGAGATATAAAGGATTTAGAAAAGGAGGAGGAGAAGAGGGCGGTAGGAGATGTATGAGTACTAATTGTTGAGAGGCAGGGCTGGCTGGCTGTAAGATATCTGCTGTAATATATGTACAACTGTGATATACTGTATAGACAATAAACTAGAAATTGTATTGCGTATTTACTGTCTACATCTATTTATCTATACTTACTGTTTAACTTATTAACTGTTAACTCATCAACTATCACTTCCTTTTTCCTATAAATCCCCGATTCCTAAACCCATTACTCCCAACACTCTGCAATCTCCTCCTCATCTTCACTTCGCCCCTTCACTGTCATTTCTCACTGCTCCTCTCCCCTCTTACCACCCTTCCCTTCTCTCCCTTCTCCCCTCTAAAGTTATATTTATATCCTCACTCCATCTCACCAGCCTCACACCCATCTCACATCCCACACCCCATCCCATCCCATCTCATCCCTTCCCCTCCTTACTACCCTCACCTTCCTCTTCTCACCAGCCTCACATCTCATCCCACCAGCCTCACATCCTACCACCAACCACCAAAGTACCAAGTTGCCAAGCGCCAAGTCCACAACTCCTCTTGGCACCCCCCAAACCACACCCTTTCATAGGACAAGCCAAGACCGCCAAGCACAAAATGTGCGACATGCGACAAAATCGACGGGTAGGCGTGCGGGAAGGGTGGTGATTGGTTGGGAGGGTGGTGGTGTGTCAGCAGGTCAGGTGAGTTGTGCAGGGGGTGGGACAGGGGAGTGGACAGGACAGGTGAGGGGTGTGGCTTGGATTGGGTACCTATGAGAGGGCTTGTGGCTGGTGGGAACGGGTGAGAGGGGGGAGGGAGAGGAGGGAGAGGAGAGGAGAGGAGAGGAGAGAGGGAGGGGAGAGGGAAGCAGAAGAGGAAGGCAGAGGGAGAAGAGTGATAAAGATTCCAACGATATTGGAGAATATGTGGTACATCAATCCGTCGTTGAATCTGCCCTCAATCAGCAAGTTAACCATCCCCTAAGAAACAGTAAATTACCAGGAGCAGAGTAGTATGTATATGAGGATCCTCACCTTACTTGCTTTCATTTTACTTATCTCATTTCTCAAATAAAAAAAATAAAATCAAGCCAATAGATCTGCTTATACCATCCTTTTTATCCATCCATCTCCTACTACTTTCCACATAGGATTATGCTTGGTTGAATTCAAATCAGGAGGGACCCGGGCCGGATTTTTCGGTTTTCAGTTAGTGGTTTGTATCCTGCCTTCAGGTATCTATCTTGGTTGCGAAAAGGAAGAAAACTTACAGCTGTGTTGATTAGTTGAGTTTGGAAAGACAGAAAGAAAGTCCCATACCTACCTAGAATTGGAGAGAAGATCGAAGTATAGCACCTGTTTGGCTCCTCAATCCAGAATGAAAAAAGGGGGAAATGAGACTCTGATGTGAAGGAGAAGTATACTAGCCATGAAAATGCACTCGCTGGTGGGTTGTAGAGACTAAGTTGGCTGAGAGAGCTGTTAATCTTACCTACATCAACCGTGAGATGAGGCTTGTGATTTGGTGTATGGGAGAATTTGCAATATGTTAGTTGGCAGCGACAAGAGTACTGTTGTACCCAACGTCGCTTGTAATCAGTGCCGAGATTTTGTTCCAGTATAACCAGAGTAGAGGCATACGCCGAGGCTTTAATTGAGAATCTGGGAAAAGGCTCTTTAGATGTTCAATATCTTCTTTAGCGCCATCTCTTGCGAAATGTCCCTCAACGCCATCATACTTAAATTATACAGTTGTTGCATCCACAGCATCTGGACCCTTCGTCTCTCCCTCTTCCCCGAACTTCTTCTCATCAGCCGCTTTCCCATCAGCATCCACAATCTCCATATCCTCACTCTTAGCCACATCATCAGACTTGACTCTCTTCTCTTCACCTCCCATCTCCTCATCTGCGTCTCGTTTAGGCGTGCTGGGCCGTTTACTTTCCACTGCTGCCTCGACTTCATCCTTGACTTGCTTGTCGGCATCTTCCTCGTCGTCATCTGATTGAGGGTCTAATCTTCTGCCTACGGCAGCTTCGATATCGATACCCTGCATACCGATTGCACCTCTTTCTGTAGCACTTCCAGCTGAGTGTTGAGGTCCCATATCCTCCATGCCAATCTCCTCTGGTCCTCTCGCATGCGGTAGCTCATCTTCCTCACTGAGTCCATCGCTATCTCCTCTCCCACCAAGTTGCGCCGCAGGTACCACGCCAGCTCTCTGTTCCTGTCTCAACAATTCTCCCTGCGTAATCCCGCCTTCAGCTCTCAAACTCGCAACCTCGCTATCACTTCCGACTTGAGCTGTAGTAGAGGAGATGCCGTTCACAGACACAGACACCGTCTCAACACCACCCATCCCATTCGGCCCATCAATCATCTCCGTACTCTCCGTCCTTACCTCCCCTTCAAGTGGCGAATGCGACCCCGTACTCGAACCATTGCGGTTCAGCCACGATATAGGCGTTAACAGTGCACCGCCGAGGCTCTCGTCTGATCCTAGTGCGGGAGCTATCGACGCTGCTGGGTTTCCCCAGGAGATGCTGAGGGGGTCGACACTGCTGGCTGTACCGTTCGAGAGGAGACTGAGGGATGATGGGTCGGGGATTGCGGGCGGGAGAGGGAAAGTGTGTGCGCCTGATGTGACGTGTACGACGCGGTCGAGGGCGTGGAGGTAGGCGGGGAGAGAGCGGTAGTGTTGTGTTGGTTGGAGGATTAGTTCGGCGAGGCGCTGGATGGTATGAGGTGGGTGTTTGGTGAAGAGGGATGTGAGGGTGCTGGTTATTGAGGTGATGAGGTCTTGGATTGGGGTTGGGAGGGAGGCTGTGGGGGTGGGTTGTGGAGGGGCGTTCTCTTTGTTTTGGGGGGAGTCGCTTGCTGGTGGTGGAGAGGAGGGCGGGTTGGACGATGAGGATATTGTGGATGTTGCGGGTTTGGAGGACGGGGGAGGGAAGTCTTCTTGTATGATCTGGGGAATGGTTAGAGAGAGGTTTGCAGTGGGAGGGAGAGACTTGCTTTCTCTAATCGAGGTATCAATCTTGTGAGAAGGCTAGGCCATTGCTCGCTGCCCTTGTTAGCTATGAATCGAGCGAAGGAGATATGAGCTTACTAATCCATGGACTTGCCATCTGCAAGCGCTCTCAAGACCTCGTCGTCTGCTTCGAGATCCATTGTTGATATTTGCGACAGGATGGAATTTGAGACTGGGATTTGGGACGAGCGCGATTAGATTTCGGCTGAGGTTAACGCGAGATGGAGCTTGCAGGGCTTGGCGGGGACTTTACGAGGCTGAGGACAAGAGTTTACGGAGATTCCGTTTGCAGTGGCCACAATTGATTTGATGAAGCCACCTGAGGTATAACCTACATATCATGATGAGTCCAAACTCATCTACTCCTTGTTCATTGGTTACATATTGTCGTTGTTCTGCATTGCCCAGCTTCTCTCAGTGAATGCTCAAGCAAACAAGACAAACATTAAGGTATTGTGCACATACCACAACACGTGAGCAAGAGCTGTCAAACAGTGCAAACACCGGAACAACCAATCCTCCGGCGCTTCTGCCTAGCGTCTTGAAAACCTATATATTCTCCGTCCCTCCCGCTCCCTTTCTTTTCTCTTCATACTTACCTTCTTGAAAGCTGGCCGCTCATGAATGGCTTCGCTTGCGATACGAAACCTCCATTGCACATCGGGGAGTTGAGAATCGTTATCTCTCCTTCGGGGGCGATATCGGGGGAATTTTTGATTGCACTCTCTTTACTGAGAAATTTTACCTTTTCATTGAGATCTGAGCTTATGCTCGGGCTTGAAGAAGAGACTTGGGGTGAAGACGCGTATGAGATTGAACGATGATCTATATTCATGGTTCGCTCGAGGAAGATACTTTATCACGGTTGTATTTAAAGCCAGAGGAGTATGGGCTTGAAGTATGCCTTGGTCTGCTTGCTGTTTGCAACTTTGCGCCCTGTGATGGTTTCGTCTGTGCGAAGTGATCTCCTCCTTCACAACTAGGCACAGCAACAATTAGACATAGTCCAAACCCCACCAGATCCTGCAATTCTCTCACAGCTGAAAGTTTGCGAACGCGAATGCCTTCATCCAGCCTCGCTCACTCCTAACTATTATCCGAAACCAACTAAGACCTCCGCCACTTCTCATCGTTTGATGTCCAGATTCGTCCTCGAAGTGGGCATTGATCACCATCATCCCAAGACCGTCAAACAAGTACTAGTGATATTGAACTTTTCTTTCCTTAAAAGCCACTAAGCCGTCTATAAATCAGGTCACGATAAGATTTGACTGGATACCAAACCTCTGCAGTTCTGGAAATCTAGAGCTTCTCCTGAGCTAAGAATCGTTAGGGAGGGCCGGTGTTTGACGTGAGCTTTCCCGCGCGAACGGAAAAAACGTTCAGCTGAATGCAAAGTCTCTCGAAACATCCCAAGCCTTGGCAAGAATGAAGCCGCGAGGACCCTGACTGCCTGAGTAGAGAATAGCAGAACAATCAATGCAAACAAACAAAAGTATATACTTCACAGACCTCCAAAGCTCAGCCTCGAAGTTGGTCCCCACCATGATCCGTTGTTTACTTCCCAGAAAGTCCAAGTCCGGGAGGACCCTCAACCGGTAGCAGAGCGCGTGCTCAGCCTCACTGGGATCCAAGTGCCAGGGCTTTTCTGACTTCTGCGCCCATCTCTCCCCTCCACAACGGACAGCTGCAATAGGTGCATTTCGACGTTCACAAAGCGCAGGGCACGCTCTCACTCTGCTCTTGCCAGTAATCTACTTCTAGATCTGACCTCACCGATGCATCAGCCCCAAAAGCAGAATTGTTTTCTCTGGTGCGGTCCCTCTGTTGTTTAATTGATTTTCAGCCTTCTCTTCTGTCTCCTCCATCCCGCTGCTCCAGACCAGACAGACCAGACTATTTTCGTCGGCTTAGCGACTGCCCTATTTAGCTTGGCAAAATCTGCTGGGTGAGACCCCATACTACCATACTACTAATCTCTGACCTCCACCCTCACGAACCCTACCTCCTACCTAACAACCGACCGACCGACTCAGTTCGAACACGACCTCGACCCAACCTTCACCTGGAATCTCCATCTCCATCTCCACCTGCCCCATCTTTCCATCTCCATTCTCTTCTTGACATCCTCCTCCCCTACACTCTCTTCATTCTTCCGACTCTCGTTCTCCTATTCCTATTCCTATCCCTACAGCCGCGACGGTATTCGCCCCTATCAAAGTGCCGACTGTGCCGCCATACGCAACCCAAACTGATCGCCAACCCGAACTGCAACCCTTTGCCGCTGTTTCACGCTCGTTGCAGACCCAACAACCCTTTGCACTACGAGTCAACGACATCAGCTCCATCAACGCCAAACATACCTTCCCAGTACATCCTCAATTAAACTTCAATCATCCGAATCTCTGTCTTCAACTGCGTCCATCAAACACGTACATACTCTTCGTCCCTTTGTTCGCGTCCAAATAGCTCCCTGTGGAGCGCTGAACTCTACCAACGAATGTCTTACAGGCATGAATCAAGATCTTCTTTGATCCGCGGCGACTCACAAGATCCCTTTGCATACGTTGGCGGTTACCATTCTCGAGAAGGATTAACACCACCAGCGGAAAGCGCGGTGCCTCGAAGCAGAAAGATGTATAGGTATGGAGGCGAGAGTGTCATAGATCGAAGGATCGTGCTGACCTACCCAGACCAAATACCACCTGGACTTGGGCGTTTCTGATTACGACAATTGTTCAAGCAGTGATAGTCCTGGCCATTGAGTCGTAAGCACCCCTCGAAGAAATTGCGATGATAAGCTAACATCTCCAGATACCTATTCGCAAAATTCCAAACGAGTTTGCAAGATGGCCTTTCCGGCGAACCCTTGGCAAAGACGATTCCTACATATCTCACTCTCTTCATTTTCGGTTTCCTCTATCAACTCGTCCTCGTTTACGATTCCCTTCGATTGAAGAACACGATTCAGGTCATCGGACTGTGTATTTACAATGTTGGAATGCTGATTTATGCTTCCATTCAATACGATCAGATCAATAAGGCAATCGAGTCCCTGTCTGCGCTAGGACTCATCAAGGCGGGCATTCCTATATGGCCTGATATCCGACCGTATTTGGTCACGGTTCCTGGGATCATCGGATTTTTTACAGTAGTCATGTCCTTTATCGCATGGAAGCTGTACGACGAGTTTGCGTGGACGATCTACAAGCACATCAGCGCTGATCTGAGAATGAAACGTCGCTTCTTGACCTTCCAGGTAAGCATTGAACTGACACGAGTAGATTGCAAGCTAATAGCCGACAGATTTACATCGCTCTCCTCAAATTCGATTTCTTCTTCTTCCTTGGCTTCACTGTCCAGTTCCTTGTTATCGTCACAGGGTTGGCAGATGCTGAATTCGGACTTACGATTGCCGCTATACCGGTTACCGTTCTCATCTTGTTTATGGCAGCTTTCTGGACTCGACGGGAGAACAAGATTGGAATGGTTGTGATCATCTTCCTCTACTTCTGTGCCATGGCATACTTCATCTTCAAGCTTGCAAGAATGTATCAACCAAGCCGCAAAGACGACTACCTACCGGTTCGAAAGAGTTTGACGAGTTTTGCCGTCATCACTATTGTTCTAATCGTTCTCACGATCGTCAATGCATCAGTCTGCATGGCAAATTTCGATAAGGGATTGAAGCCACATATCATGAAGAGAAAGATTGGCGGAGAGGAGGCAGCAGAGAAGATGGATAACATGACCGAACTACCAGACCTTAAACACGGAGGTCATGGACCAGTATCGAGTCGGATGACCATCGATTAAATTGTCAATACGGATATGGCGCATTTGGGCAGGAAAGGAAAGGCTGTGAGATGCATGGCCATGTATACTGAAACGACACCAACGACTTATTTCATTTTTTCTCCGTAAAGGGGTCTTCAACATTTTTCTTTAAAAATCATATGTCCTTGGCCAGCGTGGCATATCAAGGCTGGGATGGCTTCTCATACCCGGATGGCGTTGTGGGAGAGATTAGATGGAGTTTGAGGAGTTGATGCATTCATTCTATTTTCTCTCCTTTCTTGTTTGGTTTGTGAAGCGGGTTCGTTGTATAGGAGGTGTTGAATACCTTTTGCCGTTCCTGGGGCAAGGATTCTAGCTAGCATAGTGGGTGTAGTGTCTATGTAGGTGGGGAAATGTGAGAGATTCATCTAAATCAGGGCTCTGCCTACTTCTATGACTTATTGTGTGCTCTTTTCATCACAGCCGGTATGTGAAGATAATGGCAATCCCGGTCGTCGACTTTGTCGACTTTCTCATTTGAATATCTCGCCGAGTCCAGGTTCCTGCTTTCTTTCCCCGTGTTCATAGAGCGGCATAAATTCAAATATCAGTCCAGGAACCAACGCTCATTCCTCCCGCAGGTTCAAGCTCCTGGATAGGGATCCCGCTCTGTCTCCTGCAGGTGCAGCTAGCTGGTGTGCAGGGCACTGGGCAGGCTGCGTGGTGGTTCTGCCCTGGCTGTCGGTTCGGGAGCTACCCCGCATAATTGGCCTCGGTTGGCCTGCCCTGGAGTTCGTCAACGTCAAGCTTCAAGCTTCAAGAGTCACTCAGACCTTTGTTATTTGTTTGGATGTCCAGGACTTTCAATTTTTTATTTATCTACTGCGGTTGAATTAGTACTGTTGATCTGATTACATTTTGGAAGTTACAGGTGCTTCGTTATTTGCTCGACGGTCTAGTAGTCTTCTTGGGCTTGAGCAGCACTGGATACTGGAAAGAGCTTTATTATCGAGCTCTTAAGCTGTTAAACTTTCAGGTTTCCACGCTCTCCTCGATATCCTTAATACGTTTCTCGCCTAATACGACGGTTTCCAATATCTATACCAAGAACCTAGGTATACAACTACCTATAATTCCGTCACACCAATCTACCTTGGAACTTATTCACAATGGGAACACTCCCGACTAGCTATACCACCCTCCCATACGAACACATCCGCGTCTCACATGTCCCAGCATCTTCTCCCATACCTACGCCCGTGATACTCATCACGTTGTACCGGCCGGGGAAGAATAATGCTTTTACGGATATCATGCACACGGAACTCGCCCAGTAAGTACAAGGAGGGCCATTCTTTCCTCTTACACATATCTCAAGATTCGAAAGATATATCTCATTTCTTTCAACCATTCCCCTTTAGACGCCCACTAACTCCACCCCAGAGTCCTCCCCATCCTCTCCTCCGACCCGCGCGTAAAAGCCATCATCGTAACCGGCCACGGCAAAATGTTCTGCGCCGGCGCCGACCTCGACACCGGCCTCAGCTACCAAACCGACACAATCCGCACCCACCGCGACGGCGGCGGCCAAGTCGCCATCGCCATCTACAGGTGCAACAAGCCCGTCATAGCAGCCATCAACGGGTCCGCAGTCGGCGTAGGAATCACCATGACCCTCCCCATGAACATCCGCATCGTGAGCGAGAAGGCCAAGATCGGATTCGTGTTCGCCCGCCGCGGGATCGTCATGGAAGCCGCGAGCTCGTTCTTCCTCCCTCGCTTGATTGGGTACTCTCGCGCGAGCCATCTCGTCACCACGGGAGAAGTGCTGCCTGCTACGCATAGGTTGCTGGATGGATTGTTCTCGGAGGTTTTGCCGCAGGAGAGGGTGCTGAGTAGGGCGTTGGAGGTTGCGGGCGATGTGGCGAGGAATACGAGTTTGGTTAGTACGACGCTGATGAGGGATTTGATGTGGAGGGGGCCCGGGACGGCGGAGGAGGCGCATTTGTTGGATAGTAAGATTTTGTTGGGGCTGTTTGAGGGGGAGGATAAGAGGGAGGGGGTGAGGAGTTTTTTGGAGAAGAGGGAGCCGGAGTTTAGGGGGACGATGGAGGGGGCGCCGGAGGTGTGGCCGTGGTGGAGGGAGGTGGATGTTCGTGTTAACACGTTGGAGGGGAAGGTGGAAGGGAAGGGGGGGAAGGAGAAGGCGAAGTTGTAAGTTTGGGAAGCGGAGACAGGATATTGTGAGGAGGAGGAGAGGTTTAGAGTTTGTATATATGACAAGGAATCAAGAAAGTGTGATTTTAGATGCGTTTCCATTAAGTCAACTGTAGGTCATGGCCTTTGACTTGAGTACAACAGCTACACGGGCACAGCTGTATTTCCTGAGATGACATGAGACATTACTAGTCTCATGTTGTAGGCCTATGATATAAGCTTACTTCCCATTTAGGAAGATTTAGGATATCAATCTCTTGAGCCGTAACAAAGCAAAGTCCGCCAAGGTGGTGTCCAATTACCCCGCCATCGGAGCATTAGGATGTCAGTATGTTTACTTGCCTGGAGAGAAACACAGAAGGAGTTCACTATATAATAGATCTATCATCTCTACCATCCATAGTGGAAATCAGACCTCAGGCTATCACGTACAAAAAATACTTTGAGGTCGCCGCTTCGGAAATCCCGTTTCCATCTCATGGAGGGGATTGGCAGCAACCCCACCTTCTGCATCCCCCACTTTCAGTCAAGTCAACCCATACCTATGAATCTACGCCCTTCTTGACTAACCACCAACATCGACAACGATATATCATTCTTCAATTCTGACCAAGCAGATAATTGTCAGCATATGTTTCATTCTCCTACTTAAACCCGCATTGCCCATCGTCCTCACCACATTCAACAGCTCAACAATCCATCATAACCCAGACTCGACATTTAAGACAAAGACACGAGAAACTTCCAAAATGGCAGCCAAAACAGCAGTAGTCACCGACAAGGCACCGCCGCCACTCCCGTTCTTCTCCCAGGCTATCAAGTGTAATGGGATGGTTTACTGTTCTGGGTCGATTGGGATGGATCCCGTGGCGGCGAAGCTTGTGGAGGGGGGTGTGGAGAAGAGAACTGTATGCTTGCCTTACTTCCACTCTCACTTTCCATTCTCATATTCTCATCAATCTCAACTCACCAATCCACTACTTATTCACACCACACATCAAAACATACCTGAATTCCGTTGAAGCAAGAATCCACTAGATAGATGCAAGGCAATGAATGCTGACCCCCACCCCCATATATAGGAACAAGCCCTCGCCAACCTCAGCGCAGTCCTCACCGCGGCAGGCTCATCCATCGACAACGTCGTCAAAGTGAATGTCTTCCTTACCGACATGAAAGATTTCGCGGCTATGAATGAGGTGTATGCCAAGGTGTTTAGTAAAGATCCGAAGCCCGTGAGGACGTGTGTTGCGGTGCATCAGTTGCCGCTGGGTACGGATGTGGAGATTGAGTTGACGGCGCATTTGTGAATGAGTACTTGTTTTGTTTGTCGATTTTATGTTAAGATGGATCTATCTATGCTTGAGATTGTGATGTGGCTGACTTGATGTAGAGGTGATGAGAAGGCAAAATTGTGAGGAGTGAATGGGCTGGATGTGTATGGGAATCAGGGAAATCAGATTATGAAAACAATGCGAAATTCTCTTCTTGCGTGTAACCATCTTGTTTTCCAACTCGCATGTTTCAATTATGTACGGTAGGTATCGTATCCAAGTCATCTGAAATCCGATCACTCATCCGTCCGTCTCCACTAATACAAGAACCTCACACCCCATTATCGCGAACATTAAGTTTCCCTCACTATTTCCGCATTCGGTTCAGTTTCCCAATGGTGTCGCTTTCAGCGATTTTTAACACGTTTTTCCTTTCTTTCATCTATTTTCACGTACCAGTTGCTCAGGAATGTAAACTCGCCAACCAAGCCCTTTCCGACTCGCTTGCGCTTCGCTTCTTTGTTTAGGTCGACTGCTGGTACTCTGCACTTTATCTTGATTCTGACATTGAAGTGCTTGAGTTAGTGTTCCAAAGCAAGTCTTGATGAGAGCTGTTGTGATAACAATATTTCGACATTGGAATTGCTATTATTGGGCTTGTGCTCGTGTAGGAAACCATGAGTGATCATACAAGGCCCGGGCTTTCTAGGCCTCCTAGAGGGTATAGAGTACCTTCAGTTGGTATGTTGTGCGCTCGGGTGTTGAGTGAGACCTTCTAACTAGTTTGTCTAGAGGAAGATGACACTGAAGATGAAGAAGTCATCGGTAAGTGATCTCCAACCACTCTCACCACATCTTAAACCCCATCCAGACAATCCAAAATCTAACACCCACCAAGCCCAACCTCTCCACACAAACACCCCGCTCTACCCCCGTCGCCACCCCTCCTCGAACCAAAAATTCCGACGCTCACGCATCACACCGTACCAACGCCAATCTTTCGACCCCATTACAAACACACCCAACATATCCTCCCAAAAACGCATCCAATTCCAAGCCAGCGACGTCCTCCAGCAACTCGAACCTCTACCTCCCGGCCCGTTCGGTCCAGAACATCAATTGATAATTGCAAGGAATATAGCGCTTGTTCAGGGCGTGACGGCTGATACGGTGGAGGAGAGGCGGGAGGCGGAGAGGATGAGGAGGAGCATTGTGGGGGGTGTGAAGAAGGTGGTTAGGTTTAGGGAGCCGGAGTTTGAGGTGGAGAGTGAGAGTAGTGATGAGAGTGAGAGCGAGGATGAGAATGAGATGTGGACGCCTAGTGGGAGTGAGGATTCGAGTGGAGGTGCGCCTGGAAGCAATGGAGGAGGTGACGGACCAGGAAGCAGAAAGCGGCGCCACCCAGATGGAGAAGACGGCGATGAAGACAGGCCGAATGCCAAAAGAGCCCGTTACGCCAACCCTGCCCTCCAAATCCAACCACCCATCGACATAACCAAACTCGCCCCCCTCCCCCTCCGTATCACCTACCCCCCACACCCCACGACCGACCGCCCCGACTCCTGGTTCATAACCAACTTCCAGCAACTCTTCCGACAGACCTCAGCCTTCTGTTCCAAGTTTTTCGCCCTACAAGAGATACCAATCAGTGACGAGCCCTGGGATAAATGCAAGATGAAGCCGGAGTTTATCAAGTGGGCGGAGATCGTGGCGGAGCCGGAGCCGAGACAGGGCAGTTGGGATGAGTTGTTGAGGGATAGAGGGTTGAGGAAGTGGTTTGTTATGGCGGTTGTGGTGAGGGTGTTGAGGGTGAAGGTTTTTGAGGAGTACTTTTTTGGGGGGACGGGGGAGGAGGTTGCGTTGATGCATCAGGTTGATAGGGCGTTTTTGGGGAGGGAGGGTGAGTTGGTTTTTGTTTGCTTTGTTTACTTTTCGGGTCGCTTCGGAGCCTCGTTTATCCCCCGTGCCAAATGTCTTGAGTCGGGTTGAGAAGAGCCGAGTGGCTCGCTATCTTTGAAGGAGAGGAAAAAGGAACTGATCCAAAGGAGAGAATGTACCAATTGACAAATAACAGGCTTCCAACGCGAACAACTCCGCGCCTCCCAAGCCCGCACAATCCTCGGCTCCTCCCCAGTCCCTGAACTCTTCTACCCCTCCGTCGCCAAACTCACCGCGCAACTCGCCCTCCTCCTCACCCCCCTAACAACCTACCTATACTCCCTCTCCCCACCCCCTGGCACCCCCACCCCTGATATCTCCTCCCTCTACCAAGCTCTCCACAACCTCGTCTCGCAAGCAGGATATCTAGCTATCTGCGTTAAGCTCACCCCGAGTGTGATACAGATGTATGATGTTCGCCCAGGCGATATCTGGCAGCCGGATGATATGCATTGTCTTGATGAGGCGGCGGCGTTTGCGGCGAGTAAGGAATTGGTGATGGGGGATTGGAGACAAGTGAGACATGGGGTGAGGGTGGCGAGGGATGAGGCGGAGGCGTATATGAGGGGTTTGGCGCCAGAGGGGACGAATACTTACAGAAATGGGTCGGAAGATAATAATGAGGATGACGAGCAAGATGAGGATGACAGAGAGGCAGAGGTAGAGGTAGTAGGAGGAGGAACCCGCCAATACCGCCACGCCAAAGCGAATTTCGACAAACTAGACGCCCTCCTAACTGATAAACTCCAAAACCCACCAACGCGCACGCATCGTGCCCTGATCAAACTCTCCGTCTGGCCAGTCATCCGCCGATACACGCCCGGCTCGCTCGAAGAAGACTCCCAGCCGAATAAACCGCTGCATGAGAAAGATGGGTTTCGGATCTTCCTTGTTGCGAAGGCGGGTGTGGTTGCGTATTTTGGGAGGGAGGATAGGAGGGGGGAGGGGGATGGATATGTGGGGTTGGGGGAGTGGATTGGGATTAAGAGGAGGCAGAGGGAGGGGAGATTGGGATGGGGAGGGGTGGTCATAAAGGGGGCGAGGAATGCGGTGAGGGCGTCGACGGTTGTGGTTGCGGTTGTGGCGACGGGGTGGGTGGGGAGCGTGGTGGATAGGGTTGTTGGGGCGGGAATTGGGGATGGGGTTGAGGGGTGGGTGAAGGGTGCGGTGGATAGGGTGGTGCAGAATGTGGTGGGGTTGATGGTTTGAGGTTGGAGAAGAAGTGAGGATTTGGGGTGTTCTGGTGTTGTTGTTTTTGTTGTGATAAAAAGGGGTATCTCGCTTGAGAAAGCCATGGTTGCGGCTCGGTTCGGACAATCTGCATCTTGGGTGGTGTTAGGGTGCGCGCATGTGGACACGGATGATGGATGTGGAACCCTTGATTTTGGATGTTTTTGTATTTTTGTTTTTCTTGATGTTCGTAAGCAAATGTAATCATCATTCAATAGACACTTCAAGCAAGAGCAAGCTATAACAAACTGAGCTCCTCCAAACGCCTGCCTGTGGTAAAGCTTCCTTTCCCGTTTCCATGGTATTCCGAAAAAAAAAGATAGGCGAACTGCCATCCCAAGCAAATACGCCATCCGTTTCTTATAATAAAGGGTTGTGCAAGAATAAAATGTGCCTCCCATATCGCATGCGAGTCCCGTTAGGCATGTTCGAGTGACACCTACAGAATGCAAACGCCGAAAGCAGACAATTCTCTAGGTCATCGGTCCAGGGGTGTTGTTCGGTGGTGTGGGTGAGATGTGAGGTCCTTTCTTCTTTTCTTTCTTAGCCCAGCGTAGACCGCATGCGTTGCAGAGGGTCTTGGGTCCAGTGGGTCCTTTTCTCCATTCTGGGGAATCGAGGGTACCTGCATCGTAGGTGAGTACAGAAAACGGATGAAATGTTGGATATCCTTACCGCAGTCTGTACAGACATACTCATCCGGTAACTTTATTTTCTTCTTCTTATCTGATCCTCTTCCGTCTTTGTCTACTGGTATCGCAATCCCAGCATCTCCGCGAATGAGTGCTGGACTTTGGTCACCAGTACTAATACCTCGACTCCTCTCGCCGTCTTGATATCGTAGACCCGTCAGCATCTCAATGGTTTCGGTGTGTGTTGCTCCTTCGTAGCGAGCCATCTTGTCATTGATCGAATCGGGTCTACTTCCAGCATTGGCATCCGCTAGGTTCTGGGTGGTAAGAGCAGGGTTGATGGATGGTTTTGCTGGTGGTGGCATTGCTAGTGCGTCTGGATTTATCGTGTGCATCGATGTACTTATTGATGCTATGGTATCCGTCTCTTCAGATGGTTGATCCGACCTGCCCTCTTGCTTCTTCAACCAGCTCTTGTGTGATTCGTCGGCTTCCTCTGCCTCTTCCCGTTTCAAGTCTTCAATACGCTTCCTTAATCGCTCGTTCTCTATCTTATGTTCTAGGAATGAGTCCAGTAGAGCTGCATTCTTAGTTGGATATGGACGTGCCATCATGAAGAAACCCCGACAAAAGCCAGATGCATTTACTGGTCCTCCATATTGTGCGGCCTCGGAGGTAAGATGTGGATGACCATGAGACTCGAAAATGGTGTAGGTGTCGTCCTTCCTCCGGAACCGATAGAAAAACCGAAGAGGGTGTCCACTTGCAATAGATTCATTGAACTCTCGCACGAAAATCCCACTATCGTCCGGATGTATGAAGTCAACAATAAATTTCCCCACCAGTTCATCTCGAGCATAGCCAGTCAACTGCTCTCCACTTGGGGATAGGTATACAATCCGACCATCCGGAGTCAAGATGTGCAAGAAGTCCTTCAGTTCCTCTACTACTCTCTGCGACCAGTTCCTTCTCTTTGTAAATTCGGTCAGTGTGCTGCCCCCAGTCAAGGTCGACTGTGCTCCAAACCCAGTAGGCAATGGTCCAGCACCTGCACCAGTCATAGGATTGTCCACTGGACTGGATATTAGACCGCCCCCTTCATCTCCATTGTCGCTCTGTTGTGGTGCGCCGGAATTAATTTGTGCATAGACCTTGTGCCCGTTTCCACCATCGAGTCCATTGAGGTCGAGCTGGCCGGGCATGTTATCGTAATCATCAAGCATGCTGTCTTCTAGCATACCACTCATAGATGTATCGTTTCCATTGGGAGGTGCCTATGAGAGAGTACTATCAGTATTTGGCAGTGGCAAATGGCGTGGCATATGGTACCTGCGAGGCTGACAGACCCCTAGAAAGGCTGTCCATCGCCGCCAGGTTGGTATAATACATGGACGGATCCATGTTGAGTGTATTTGGGTTCATCGCCGGACCATGCAGGAGTGGCATGCTCTATACCAAGGCCGCATTCGAGGTTGGGAAGGCCAAGACGCCTTATGCTGACCTGTATACTGTGAACATAACGAAGAGTGAAGTTGCGCCAGTGAGGTCGGCAAGTCGAGTCGAGTCGATCAGGGATCTGGCGGGATGGGAGTTTGAATGTCCCGGTTGGGTTGAGCTTGGGCTTGGGCTTGGGTTGGGTGCTGGCTTTAGCGAGGAACAAGGCTTGAGGCTTTGCGACTTTGATGCGAGGCGGGAGATGAGATGCGACACATAAATACCTAGGTACCTACGAGTACCTATGATTGATAATCTATGGCAAGGCTGAGAATACTGTGTTGTATGGGATTGGGCAATATATTTTCCTATTTCAGCTTGCCGGCTGTGTTTTACCTTAAGCTCAGAAAGGCCATGTTTGGGGCTGGCCGCTGGGCTGCACATGCCCGCGCTCTTACGAAGTTACGAAGCTTCGTTACACCCCAGCCAGCCGTGCGCAGTTCACTTCCAATAACTTAATGGAATCGCCCTTCGAGACCCCTTCAGTGTAGTCACGTGATCTGGCAGCCTGCCAGACGCGCTGAACCCAAACCGTCGCGTCCCGCTCGACTTTGACCCTCGAATCTCTACAAAAACAGCTCCCTCCTCCACTGCAACCCACCCCAGATATCTCGAAAGCCCCCCAACTTGTATGGTCTCGAGCGAAGTTCAATACACCAAGGATCGGAAGTATCCGTCATCATGTAAGTCAAGCTCTTCTTGTTTATAGAAGAACGTCCAAGCTAACTATCACAGGTGTAAGTTCAACAAACGGACTCGACCCAGCCTGATAATACTAACAAGGCTACAGCTTCCATAACCAAACTTGATATCAGAGGGTAGCGTGCCTTCCCAAGATGATCTCTAGGCAATAGCTGACTCTGCGATGACAGAATACGCTCCTTCGATTCCGCCGACCATCAAACCATCCAGTTCCATGCCCCCCTAACACTGATCGTCGGAATTAATGGATCCGGAAAGACCGTACGTATACCATGTTTCGAACCTCAAGGGACTTGTGCTAACATGTACAGTCCATCATCGAATGCCTCAAGTACGCTACGACGGGTATCCTGCCTCCGAATACCAAGAACGGCGCTTTCATCCATGACCCCAAGGTACGACAACTTCGTCACATCATAGCACATGTGCTAACTACCTTTAGCTTAATGGAGTGAAGGAGGTGATGGCACAAGTCAAGCTTGGGTTCCATAACGCATCACAGGCAAAGCTAGTGATCAATAGAAGTCTCTCCCTCACAGTTGCGAAAGCCTCGGTCAAGCAAAAGACACTCGAGTGTAATCTTCTCATCAAGGCCAGAAATGGCGAACGAACATCGATATCCACAAAGGTCGGCGAGTTGGACAAGATTGTACCGCAGCATCTTGGAGTCTCTTCAGCCATTCTGGAGGCTGTCATATTCTGCCATCAAGATGAATCTCTCTGGCCAATGAGCGAACCCTCCAAGCTCAAGCTTCGGTTCGACGAGATTTTCGAGGCTCAGAAGTACACGAAGGCTATCGATAATATCATCAAGATCTTCAAGCTTCAGAAGATTGAGCTAGGCAAGCTCAAGATTCACGAGGCAAATTTCAAGGAACTCAAGGACAAGGCAGAGCGCGTGAAGCAGCGGTCTCATGATCTTCAAGCCGAGATTGCTGCCCTTGAGATCAAGCAACAGTCTCTCAAGGTGGAAATCGTTGCCGCAGAAAAGATTTCTCAGGAAAAGCATCTTCTCAAGGCCGAAGCTCTCGGCATCGCAGGTAAGTTGGAGCAGAAGAGAAGCCATGCTGAATTTCTCCAAAGCTCCTTGGATAGTTTGAGAACCAATTTGGTCGAGCTCAAGGAGTCCGATGAGTGGCTTGAGGCAACCCTCAATCAATATGAGGAACGAATGGCTCAGTATCGAGATCAGGCAAATGAGTACGCCGAGCAATACCAAAAGCTTCTTGACGATGCCAAAGCCTGTCGAGGTCGAATTTCTCAGAAGGAGATTGAGCAAGGGCAGCATCAGGCTACGAAGCAGGCGTACGAGGAGAATCTAGTCAAGCGAGTTGACCTCATCCATTCAACTTCCCAGGAGTATTCTCTCCGTGGATATGATGGCGACCTTGAGGATAGTCAGATTAGCGACTTTGTGCAGAGAGTTCAGAAGCTTTCGCGTGACAAGGAGCGAGAGCTGGAAAGCGTGAAGAAGGCCACCGCGGATGAGTTACGGCAAACCCAAGGCAATCTGACCAAGCTCGACCAACGCAAGGCTACTCTTAACCAGGAAAAGGTCAATGCTAGCCAGGCAATCACCGCAAATGACAAGAATATCCGCCGAAGACAGGCTGATATGTCTAGCATCAACATGGACGAAGGCGCCAAGGCTAAGCTTGACACTGCACTCAGCGATGCAGAGGAGAGCCTTGCCAAGGCTAACAGCGACTGGGATGCCGCTTCTTGGGATCAGAACTTGAAGGCTGAGAAGGCGAACCTCAAGGAACTGGAGCAGGAGGCAGCTCGATTGGGCGAAGAGCTTTTCCAGATCAACAAGCTGGCAAAGGACCGTGCTGCACTTGAGTATGCAAAGAAGGAAGCAAAGAATGCTCGCAAGTCTCTCGAGACAATGATTTCGACTCACCAAGAGCAACTGAATGAGCTGATTGGTGGAGACTGGACCCCAGATACGCTCCAGGAGGAATTCGAGGCCGTCCTCGAGCAAAGAACTCATACAGTCAAGGATCTGAAGTCTCAGCAGGATTCTGCAGTCCAACAGCTCTCGCAAACTCAATTTGAGCTCAAGACCGCTCGAACAACTGCCACGAAGAAGAAGACCGAACTGGAAAAGAATGAGGCAAAAGTCCTGGCATCCATCACTGATGAGGATGACAACGCTATCACATCTCTTGAGCAGTGGAAGGAAGAGTACGAATCCTTGGAACAGGATTACGCCAACCACAAGAGCGGTATCGCCGGTAGCAGCGCTCTCTTGAGTATGTACACCCAGTTTCTCAACAGCGTGAACTCGAAAGACTGCTGTCAGCTTTGCGAGCGAGCTTTCACCGACCAGAAGCAACGTCACTATGCAGCTGCGAAGTTGGAGAAGTTGGTTGCTAAGCAGAATGAGGCCGAGAAGAAGAAGGACTTGGACGAGGCTGAGGCACTATATAAGGCAGCTGATCGAGTCCGTCCTCTCTATGATGTGTGTATGAAGTTACGTGACGTCGAGATTCCCGCTCTTGAAAAGGACATCAAGCGACTTGAGGCTGAGAAGACTTCTCGAGTCTCGACCGCCGAACGACAGGATCGTTTGCTCAACGATGAGGAGTCTGCCAAGAGAGATATTGAAGCCCTGGGCAAGACTGTCAACGACATCACAGCATACAACCGTGACATCTCCAAGCATGAGAAAGAGATCACCAGGTTGGCCTCTCAGGAGACTTTCACCAGCACTATGTCGATTGAAGAGATTCGAGAGCAGTCTGATGCTTGCAACGATAAGATCAGAATTCTCAAGACCAAGACAGAAAAGATGGATGTAGACAAGGAGAGCGCAAGAGTTGAGATCGTTACCTTGGAGAAGCAAGTTGGGAACTTTTCACAGCAAGTTGCCAGTGCTAAGCATCTCTTGGAGAAGAAGCAGGCCCTTGCCGCTGTAGTTGAAGAACTTCGCGAGTCTAACAATCAACAACGTAGCGTTATTAGCAAGGCTGATTCTGAGCTCGAGTCCCTCGAGCCTCAATTTGCCAAGGCGAATGCTCAACATGAGGATGTCCAGCGAAGAGGTAATGCCAAGGCAAAGGAGGTCCAGGGCGACAAGGATAAGCTTTCCCAGACTGTGAACCGATTCAAGCTTATTGAAGACGCAATCAATACATACATTGACAATGACGGACCAGGACAGATCGAGGCTTGTGGACGTTCTATCAAGCTCCTCAAGAAGGAACTGGACCGCTATGAGAAGGAAACCCAGCAAGTCACCAAGAAGTCTAATGACCTGAAGACTCAACTTGCAGATGGTGACAATACCAAGAGAAGCATTCAGGACAACATCAGATTCCGTAAATCGGTCAGAGATCTGGAGTCTGTGAACGGAGAGATCGCCGAACTGGAAACTCATAACGCCACTGAAGACTACCATAGATATCTTCGCGAGGCCGCTGCCGCCGACAAGCGTGTTGCAAAGTTGACTGCAGAAAGAGGTCCTATCATCGGATCTATGTATGCCAAGGACGAGGATCTCGGAAAGATCATGACTGAATGGGAGATCGACTACAAGGATGCTGCCGCAAATTATCGCAAGGCTCACGTAGAGGTTGAGACTACCAAGGCTGCCATTGAGGACCTGCAGAAGTGTTCCAAGGCATTGGACAACGCCATCATGCAGTTCCACAGCGTTAAGATGGAGGAGATCAATAACATTGCCGCCGACCTTTGGCAGAAGACATATCAAGGCACTGATGTCGACACTATTATGATCAAGTCCGAGAATGAGAATCCGTCCACTGCATCCTCAACTAGACGAAACTTCAATTACCGTGTGGTCATGGTCAAGCAGGATGCTGAGATGGACATGCGTGGTCGATGCAGTGCTGGTCAGAAGGTGTTGGCATGCATCATTATCCGTCTCGCCCTTGCCGAGTGCTTTGGAGCCAACTGTGGAGTAAGTTTCTCTTTCCTGCTATGATAACTCAATACTAAGACATACCAAGGTCATTGCCCTCGACGAACCAACCACCAATCTTGATCAGGACAACATCAAGGCTCTGGCTGTGTCTCTCCACAAGATCATCGAGAGTCGAAGACACCAGCCGAACTTTCAACTAATCATCATCACCCACGACGAGGAGTTCTTGAAGGAGATGAAGTGTTCTGATTTCACAGACTCGTATTACCGTGTGTCCAGAAACGCGGCCCAGAAGAGTGAGATTGAGAGACAGAGTTTGACGGATTTTATGGGATAGAAGTTTCATGATTGATCCATGGTGTATTTAACAGAAAAGGTGTTCCTGGCTAGGGACGTGGCGTTTATTTGCAGCGGTTTGCGACTTTGTTTTATTTGAGCGACAAAATGGTTATGGGCATAGCATAGCATGGCTACGGCGTTAGCTTATGGGTATTTTCGATCCTTTTCACTTGGTGTAACCATTGTACATTGGCGATATGGAGTCTTTTATAGAGTCCTCTTAATATGACATCTTCCTAACGTGCTATCTCTTCGTGCTCGTGACGTGCTAAAAGAATTGGTGGGCTCACTTTCGTCGCGATGAAAAACCTCGCTTACCGGCCCAAAAGTGGAGCACATGTTTGTTTTCATCCAGACAGGCCAAGAATAACAAGAAAAAAAAATTATGAAGCACACCCAACCAACAATCTGCACCCCATTCCCAACTTTCCCCTCCCCCCAAAAAATACCCCCCAAAAAAACTCAGAGGGGGACCGGAGACTCAATCCACACAACCTAGAACAAACCCAGGCCCCCTTCGAATACCCATTCCAGAAGGGGGTCGACCTTGCTACAATAAACCGGGTTTTGTTTGAGAAGTTCAGCCATCGACGGGATTTCGCTCTGCGCAAACACCCTTCTAACTTATGCCTCAGAAGGGCGCTGACGATCAGGCTAGATAGGGCAGGACCGGACAGAGGGGTACGTCGAGTATGGTTTGGGAGTTGCTTATTTTGGTAGATGGAGGGAGAGGAATTGTCGCGTTTTTTTTTTTTTTTGGTTTTGGATGGGTGTTGGGATGGACTCGTTTGGTTGGTTGGAAGGAGGGAGGGTGACTGGGTGACTGAGCGGCGGGTGATGGGGTGATGGAATGAAGTGAATGCATATTATGATATGGTAGAAGGTAGAGTAGGGCTTTCGACTGGGGTGAGATATTGCGAAGCGTTTTACTGTATGTTGGATGCATTCTAGTCTTCTAACTTTTCTTCTGTTCCGTCATTATGTTCGAATATCTCTGGAACTGCAGCTTGATCACGAGCAGGTCTCTTTCTATTTCCCAAGAACGACACTAGATTCCTCATACTGGCCATCGTATCCGGGTGATCTTTCCCCCGTACCCTCTCCTGAACAGCGACATTTTCACGATATAACAGTTCAGCATCTTCTAGCTTGCCCTGCAACTGCAAAACAACCGCAAGATTGTTAGCGACTATAAGCGTCTGCGGATCTTCTTTTCCGATGATCTTCTGTCTGATCTCCAGTGCTTTCCGACAAATGTGCTCCGCTTCACTAAATTTACCCCGAGCTTGACAAACAGCTGCAACGTTGTTCATGCTCGCAAGTGTTTCCGGATGATGTTCGCCCTGGAGCGTCCGTTTCGAAATCTCAAGGCTTCGATAGACACTTTCTGCATCAGCTAGTCGTCCTTGGGTTCTTAGAAGAAAGGCATAGTTGTTACAATAGGCAAGTGTGTCAGGATGGTGAATTCCTAGAATCTGACCGCTAAGGGCTGATATTTGCTCATAGTGTGGAAGAGCTTCGTCAAATTTCCGCTGCCTTCGCAAAATATATCCAACAAGAGCTTTAAATGAAAGCAATTCAGGATTTCCATCTCCAATGCTAGATTGGAAACGCGACATAGCCTCTTTCGCGATAGGTTCAGCCTCTGCTGTTTTACCCTGATCGCAGAGCAGGTTGGCAAGTTGCCGCATGCTTCGAAGACTTTCGATGTGGTTTTTGCTGAGGACTCGAAACTTGCCCTCAAGGGCTTTTCGACAATAGTGTTCTGCTCTTTCATATTCGCCTCCGCGTCGCAGGTAGAAAGAGAGATTTGTCATAGCCACGAAAGTTTCCTGGTGGTGTTCTCCGAACATATCGACGATGGCAGAGAGGTCGATCTGACAAAGTTCTGCTGCACGCTTGTGGAAACCCTGAGCATCCAGAAACCATACGATTTGTTGGAAAGGACTGAAGGCCGGATGATTTTCCACGAATAACGGGGCTACTGTAACCACCTCGTGGTTGAGAAGAGCATCAATACATTGCTGAATGTGCTTCTTGTCTCTGGGACTAATGTCGATGTTTTGAGACCGTAGAGACAGAAGGTAGGCTCCTAGTATATCGGTCCCTTCGGCCTTCCATTCCCGTTGGATCGGACGTGGTACACTAGAATATGCCCATGATATTACTTCTGAGCTTATTTGTACGATGACTCCATCTTCTTCAATCTGACAATCAACAAGCACGGACAAATTTCGTAACTTTATGAGGACATCCCGGAAAGCGTTTGGCTGCCACAATCCATCATCATTTCGACAAGATGGCATCCAATCCACGTTTTGGATGGCGTATACGTGGAAAGCCTTGTCAGAAAATTCTGACATTTTGTTCGATGAGAAAGCTCCGAGTACTCTCAGAAGACGAAGAATCTCGTCTGCATGGTCTGGAGTAGCTCGGTGGAAGAATTGTTCAGGTGTCAACACCAGGAAGCTCTGATCCAACTTATCATTGTTCGCCATTACGGACTTCCTTGGCATCTCCTCAGCAATCGATGGAAGAGGAACCCCTGTTAAAGCCACATCCTGGGACATCGCTTTATAGTGCTCTTGAGCAAACAATTCCCGATGTTTTCGCAGCTTGATCTCGACAGGATCCTCTACAGTAGTCGAGGCCTTGTGTACTACCTCATACTGGACCATTGGTTCGGCTTGCTTTGGGACAGGACTTGAGAGACGGTTCCTAGATGTGACATATGCTACTGGCTGACATGCAGGGTTGTCCGGTAGCATGTTGTAGACTGCGACTGGAATTGACAACATCACCACTGTCGAGTAGCTGCTGTAAACCCCTTCGACTTTAACATGCTTAGCTAGTCCAGGAAAACTACAAATCCAACGTCGGCAAGCTTCAGCGTTGGGAAGCATCTGATCCTCGTCGAGTGCAATCGAAACAAGCATGTGCGGTACTTTCAGATCGACATGCGACTCGGAAGTGGAATTTTCATTGAGTCCAGGTAACGCTCGCGGATCTGATTGACCACCGGTGGATATCATTGATGCTTCCAATCCCTCGCATCCGAGACTCATCAAATCGAAATAACTGGATGGAGTTAAGCAGTCCTGCGGCAATATAGGCACCGAAGTTTCTAAAGTCGCTCCACTAGGCGACGTCTCAACAATATCAATGAGCGTCCGTTTACAGAGCCTAATACCTTCAACACGAGGATCTCTGGACCCGTTGATGTATACAGGAGTGCTGCGCCACTCTCTTTTCTGGCCATTTGAGCACCTCTCCTTCCGCCTCTGCATCAAGACCCTGAGGACCTCGCAGTGAAGCATCGTAACTGAGAATGAGGGTACATTTTTCCAATCCACTAGTACCTCGATCAATGAAGTTGTGAAAGAGTGCTCCCCAGGAGGTGGAGCAATCCCTTCAAATCCACAAGCAGCAAGGGTTTCCATTGCAGAGTTGGAAGGTGCTGGTGCAGAGCTTGCAGCAGCACAACAATCAAGGAGAACCAAGACATCTGATTTTGCTCGTTCGAACAGACCTTGGATATGAGACCACTCAACGGTCGGGCAACCAGGATGCTGTGAACTAGACTGAGGTTAGGGCTGTTTCCTTATGTGTCACAACTTGTGATGTATACAGATTTTGTAGGAGGCGGGTGACTGGTGTTGAGAGGTCATGGAATATAATGAATGTTTTCTTACTACGCCCAAGTCGACTGACGGTACCGGTTGATGAAGCCATGACCAGCATAGTACAGGATGAACAGATTATCCGATGTGTCAAAGTCTCGGATGAAGTTCAAAGCCTTTGACATGACCTCGTACTGTGAGCTCTCGTTCGATGGAATGATCCATGTCGTAGCGTCGAATCCATACTCATCCTGGAAGACTCTTCGAAGTGCATCTAGTTCCCTCTCAAATCCCCATTCGCCATGTTCCCAGCGCATCATAGCAACGTGGACTGATTTGTATCTTGAACCTCCTTGGTTCGGAAATGATGAACTAACAGCCTCGTATTTGTCAGCCTCGTCTACTTTCTTGGACGAAAAGTAACTTACTTTCTCGATATTCTCTGCCAAGCTACTCAGATCATTCATATGCCATCCTAGTCGTGAAGTATCATGTGTCCTAGGTGGTGAGGTGAAAGGAGTGCCATCCGAGCGAATGCTGTCTCTGTCGGTGTCTCTCTCATGTACTGAGCTCTCTTCAACAATAGAAGAGTCCCCATCAGATAAGATGAAGAACTCAGGCGATGCCATATTGGGGTCGAGTAGACGAGGCTCCCGAACTTCGCGCTCTCATCTGTTTAGACTGTTTATGATGCGTTTCAAGAAATCATATCTGGTGGTGACAACTTGAAGTCATTTCGGAGACATTGACGTGCATATCGAACTATGCCTCATTCGTTTACCGAGTATATGGACTTCTTGATGTGGCGGGGTTCTTCTTGATAGGCTGGGACATGATGACTTCGCCTCAAAACACTTGAGAGACAAAATATGCATGGTGTCTGGATAGAGAAGATGACAGCAAAGCTGGATCGTCCTCATTTTGTATGAAGCAGTGCTCGCTGTCAAGTTATACTTGGAGGATCATAAACTGGAAGCATGGTACGTGTGGCATAAAGTATCCCAACAAAGCAGCGCCCCTCGAAAACACGAGACGGAAGATAGGATCGATGTCAAATGGTATTGATGATAGAAATTAATACATGTTTTAATGTTACCAATGATGGTAGAGACGATGTAGCGAGAAGGAACGGAACCCTCAACTTAGCGCATCACTCTGTGTCATAATTACAGTTGCATAAGAAGCTACTACAGAGAGAGAGAATCTCCTATATAAAGGGGTAGCGTACTCAGTAGTACGGCCTACAGTACTAAGTCTACGCCTACAATCCCTATATTTCTAACAGCCCCCCTATTCTTTATATCTGTAGTAAATAGAGCTTTCTAAAGCAGTATAGCGCTGAATATTCCTGAAGTAATACTAGAGTATCGCTGAAGTATTACCGATAACTTGTATTATATAAGGAGCCTCGATTATACCTTATTAACTCCTATAATATACTAGCATGTATATAGTACCTACGTCTCTTGTTTTCCTAAGAGTTTAGCAACTTTATAGTATTAAGGTATATAAAACAGTATAAGAGTGTACCTAAATCGCTTCCTTATTAATAATCTCTTACTCCTACTACTCTTATTTACCCTTCTTTATAGCTACCTCACACCTTCCTTTTATAGCTACTAAGATATTCCTTACTAGCTTTCTCTCTAGCTTCTAGGGTATATAAAAGTTATCTTTTTCTAGTTCTATTTCCTTTCCTTCTTCCTTTAACTGCGAAATAAGATTTATCTTAACTATTAGGTATAATAGTTATATATCGTGTTTTACTTAATTCGTAGTTATATATTATTATTAAGGAAGATATTTATTAAAGGACTGATTTTCTGTGAAGAATATTCTATTTTTTATAGGTTCCACTACTAGAAATAGCTTTAATTTATATAGGTCTACTATTAATTAGCTAACTATTATTAATCTTAGAGTTATTATTAGAGAATCAGTTATTACTAGGTAACCCTATATACGTCTTATATCGTTTAAACAATTCTGAAGGTAAAGCCTTTATAAGAGTGTCTACTATATTATTATTACTTAGAACGTGTTTTACTACTAACTTATTATATAAAACTATATTATCTCAAATATAGAACTAGCGGATATTAATATACTTTGCCTTTAGATAGAATTTCCGTTCTTTTAAAAGAGATTTAGCTCTAGTATTATTAATATATAGCGTAGGAATTCGGGATAGCTTTATATTAAGGTCTTTCTATAGCTTAAGTAATTAAGCTGCTTCTCTAGAGCTATTACTAGTAGCTATTATCTCAAAGTCTAAGCTAGAGAGAGCTATAGACCTTTACCTATTAGTAGCCTAAGAGATTAGACCCCTGTAGAACCTTACTATCTATCCTTAGAACAATTTCCTATTATATTCCGTCCCCTATATAGCGTTAGTCTAAATATCAAATATATTATTATCTAGCTTTCCCCTATATTCTATTCCGATTCTAAACGTTATTCCGTCACCTTCTATATATTATAGATATCAGAGAAGAGGTTTCATATCTTAGAGGTAAGATTTAAGGGGATTTAATATATACTACGGTAGCTAGCCTATTATATAAGTAATATCAGGTTATATAAGGTTCGAGAGGTATATTAGAAAGCTAATAATCTACTAAAATAGTAAGATCTCTTCAGGGGAGGCTAGTATAACACCTTTATCTTTAGCTAACTCCCTTAGTACTATTCTAGTAGCTATAGGTAAGGTATTACCTCTAGCTGTAGCTATTCTAAACCTTTCTAGTAGCTTTTATATATAAGCTATTTAATAAATCCGTAGAGTCTTATTCTTCCTATCCCTCTTAACTTATAAGCTTATAAACGTATTAATAGCTCCGAGGTCTTTACTTTTCTAGGTCTTTAAGAGCTATTTCTTAAGATATTTATAGTTAGCAGGGTTACTTATAATTAGTATATTATTAATAAAGACTAATACGTATACTCTATTCTTAAAGATAAAGAGATTAGGGTTAGCCTCTAACGCTTCTAGACCTAGCTTTTCTATCTTATCTTTAATAAGGAGCTACTATTCCCTAGGTGCTTATTTCAGGCTATAGAGAGAGCGTAGGAGCTTTAGATATATATCTTTCTTTCTATTTAGCTCTAAGTAAAGCTTATTCTATATCTCTAGTATCTTATCGTTCAGAATTATTATATATATATCTTCTTTCAGGTATATATTTAGGAAGGTAGTATTAATATTAATATACTTAATCTCTAGGTCTCTTTTAGTTATAACAGCGAGTAGTACTTATAAGGTAGAATAGCGTACGACACTTGCAAAAGTATCAAAGTAGTTAAGGCTGTGTTTTTACTTAAAGCCTCTTATTACAAGTCTAGCCTTTCGCTATACTATAGAGCTATCAGAGTTAATTTTATTATATAGAACTAGTTTTAAAGATATTAGTTTCAAGCCAGAGGAAGGCTTACTAAAGTATACTCTATAGGTTCTAGCGCTTTATATAGCCTGTAATTCCTTGAGAATAGTAGCCTTCTATTCCACTGGATTCTCCCTTAGAGCCTCTGCGATAGTTATAACCTTAAGAGGTCGTATAAGTTCACCCTCTAGCGCAATTAGTACTATTTAATAAGTTAGTGCCTTATTAAGGATTTACTAAGAGTATAGCTTTATAGTTATTACCTAAGTAGCTTACTCGAAATATTATTTTCTATACTATTTCTTACTATATCTTAATAGTGAAGTATTATTAGACGTGTTTACTAGTTAAGTCTATTCAGGGAGGCGTTAATTAGACGCTCCTTTAGTATCTCCTACTATATTTTCTATAGCTAACCTTCCCTTTAAAGGATTTTCAGCTTTTATAGCTAGCCTCTCTTCTAGAGGTCTTTTAGCTTCTATAGCTAGCCTCTCTCTTAGAGGTCTTTCTAAGCCTTTAGTACCCCTAGCTAGCCTCTTAGTAAGTACTAGACTAGTAGCTAGTAGTAGAGGTCTTTCTACTGCCTTATTACTACCTTTTAGTATAGTTTCCTTACTACTAGTATATATAAAGTATATTATATACTTATTAAAGCTATAGTTAGCTGTTTCTAGTTCCTTAAAGGTTTCTATGTTTAGGAGCCTATAGGTTAAGGTGTTAGCTATACCTACTAATATGAAACACCCCGGAATCATCCTTTACTTTATTTTACCCTGATATAGCCTTAGTAGATATAAAGGGTACGCTATAGAGCTAAATACTCTTATTTTAGAGAGGTTTATAAGCTATCCTCTGTACGCTTCGATTAGAGTGAGTCTAGTAGCTGTTTTATATAGTAAAGTAGTAGTTAAGCGTCTGTTCTTTAGCTTTACTACTTACTTAATAGCGTAGTACTATATATTCTCAGGTATCTTCATGTTATAAAGGATTAAGCGTATAATCTTAGCTAGTTCATATATCTATCGCTTTACGACTCTATTTAAAGAGTATTTATATAAAGAAGAGGGTTTAAGAACAATTTCACTCTCTTATAGCTAATTAATAAACTCAGGACCGAACTCTCCCTTACTATTATTAGTCCTCTAGTAGATAATTATACGGAATTTACTTTACCTTTAAGTTTCAAGCTATAGCTTTAATTTCCGAATAACTAGTTAAATAGTTAATATAGACTTATTAACTAAGAGATCTACCTAACACGTCCTTATAGTATTATCTACTACTAAAAGGAAGTATTTATAGCTGCGAATTAAGCGTAATAAGATACTAGAGATATTAGCGTGTAGTCGACAAATAAGTATATTAGTTCTACTATCTGACTTCTTATTAAAGTGCTCTTTTATATAGCTTATAAAGTAAGCCTTATAACACCTCTCTCCCTTTAGCTCCGGAACAGAAATCGGTCTTATTTCGTAACTACTATAAGTAACTAGTTTCTTTAAATAGGCGTAATTTATATAGCTTAAATACCTATAGAGTAGATCTGCTTTTATTTCCTCTATACTAGGCTAACTCTTTATTCGTTCCTTTAGTAGCTTTAAGTCTAACGGAATTACGTTATACGTAACTTAATATTAAGGATTCGTATCTAGAATATATAAACCTCTGTTTCTTATACTTATAAAAGCTAGTTCACTATTCCGGTATCTATTTACTAATATCTTAGTTAGTTCCGTATTAATTCCTTCGTCTGAGAGTTAATATATTAATACTAGCTTTATAGCTCCGAAGTCAGGTACGTATTATATATCTTTAAGAGTTAACCTATTAATAGTAATATCTCTATAACCTTTAGTTATTAAGTACGAATTAGTCGCTATTTTAACGTATTTAGTGTTACGCTAGCGCTTAAGTTACTTAAACTTAGCTAGAACTCTACTAAAGTAGTAAGTAGCGCTAAAGTCGATTTTCTAAATAGATTCTATAATAGAGATTATTAATAAAGTATATTCTACGTCTTTAGCGTAGTAAATCTCTTCTGAAGGGAACACGGGATAAGTATTATTATCTTTAATTTCCTCTACTTTATTAGCGCTATCTCTCGCGTAGGTATTCTTAGCTTCCGTGTAGTCTATATACTAGTAGCTATAGCTTTTATACCGGGTATACTAATTTCAGCCTAATTGTCATGAACCAGGCTCAGTCTTGGTACAAGTCACGGGTTAGCACTATAATACTGATGGTACTAC